GAGAAGACTTTCTTTAAATTTAATTATTTTCTAAATCTAATTTTTCTAGTTTAATAATTTAAAGGTTAGACTAGATTATAAAGATGGCGATAAGTATAGTTAGGATTGACTTAGTAATAAGATAATCGCAATTTAAATAATTATATTTTTTATAATAAAAGTATTTATCTTTTTTAAGTAAAGTGATATATTTAATAGAAAGAAGATAAAGATTAGATATTATAAATCTCTCTTTTTTAACTATTAATAATAAAGAGGTCTTTTTAATATCTATATTTTTTTTTATAAGATTAAAAGATAAAAGAAAAGCTTTAACTTTAACTAAAATAAGTTTAATTACTTTATATAACATTAATCTAATATACGTTTTTAATATAAATATTAATTAACTATTTTAATATAATATTATTGTTATTGTTATGAATCAAGTTTATTGTCAAGCTTTAAAATGAAGATAGAAATTACAATAAAAAAATCTTTCTTATAATTTATTTTAATAATTTTAGTCTTTTTTATTAGTTATAAATAATTAATAATAAAATTAGTAAAAAAATCTTTAAGCTTTATTTATAGAATATAATAAGTAATAAAAGTTTTAATGTAATAATTTAAATTATAAAAAACAATCTTTAAATAAATAATTATATTGTTAGAGTCTATATATAGCTTCTTAGATTTAAGATCTAGCTATTTTTTAAAATAAAAATAGATTTTATTTTTATAATAGTTAATTATATAGATCTTATAAATAAGTAAGATTAAATAATAGTTAATATTAACTTTAAACTTTTAATAGATTCTAATAGTATAGTATTTAAAGTAGATTATCTTTTTATTACTAAATATAAAAAGGTCTAGTATCTTCTAAATCTTATAAGAAATAATTTCTACAATTAATATATCACTAGTTTATTATTTTATTAGATATTAGATCTTAACTTAAAGTTAAGTAATCTCTATTTTATAAGTTAATTAAATAGCTCGCTTTTTATTAATTATATTATTTATTTAATTTATAATAATATAAAGTCTATTTATTTTATCTCATTCTTCTTATAATACAATCTAGCTAATTTTATACTTTTTTGTTATTTAAATATATATTTTAGCTAGCTTAATAATATATTTATTCTTTAAGAATTTCTTTAAATAATTTCTTATATCTTTATCTAGATAATCTTTAATACGCTTATATTTAGAGATTAGATCTAAAATAAATTATCTAAAAACAGGAAAGATCTTTTTGTGTATGTTTTCTTTTTATGTATCTTTTTTTTCGACTGGATTGATAGAGATATCTCGTCGACTTGATATACTTCTAGTTAGTCTAGTTTATTTTAGTGAAGTCTTTTAATTAGTTATTTGGTTAGTGCTAAAACGGGTATCTATAGGCGCTTATTATCAAGTATAGAAAGTTAAGATAAGTTCTATTATTATATTAGATAGATAAAGTACAAAAGAAAAAGATCGTTTTTATAGTCTAAGAAACGATAATAATAGAATTAAAGAAGGAAAAGAAAGAAAGAGAGCTATTAGGATCTATATAATAAGATCTCCCATCCTCCTATACATATGACAAATCACGTGACCTCGTTGAAGCCTGCCCTGCCAAGTAGACCGTCAGATACCCAGGCATCTAGGTCTAGCACTAAAGTCCAGCGATCCTGATAATATTTTAGTTATATAATTAGAATGAACATAATATAAATGCTAAAATATAACTATCATCTCTATGATATAATAGTATATATATATACTTTTTAAAGCATTAAAATCAAGTAAAGAGAAATGTTTTTAATTAAAAAAGATATTTTTATATTATAATATATAATAAAGGTTTTAATACAATAATTTAGATTATAAAAGATAGTTTTTAAATAGAAAATTATATTTTTAATATCTAGATAAGACTTATTAAACTTGAGATCTAGTTATTATTTAATATAAAAATGTTGGAAGGGAGTTCCTGTCGTTGGTGGATCACGTGACCGTGACCCTTCTGCCTATTAGTTCTCGCTCCTCTATAGCTTCTCTCTTCTTCTTTCTTTCTCTTCAGACGCATAATACTATTCTTTGAATAGCCTTCTTTTCTTCTTGCCTACGTTCTAGTAGACCTTCCAAGAAGTTATGAGTCCTTTAGCGCGCTATTGATTAACTATCAATTGCTGAAGCTTTTACCTTAGCTCTGTGCGTTGAGCTAATTAATCAACCTCGCTGAAGCTTTCCTATTTTAATAACCCTAACGAATTAAAAAGATCGCCTATTTATAGTAATTATCTCGAGAGATCGTTTTATTGCTAGATCTACCTTCCTAATCCAGTAATCTGATAGTTTTATCTATTGTTATCGATCTCTATAATCTCTATTAATATCTTGTTGCCTCACTAATTCCTCGCGTTTTGCTATAACAATATTCCTATCGCTTCTCTATTGAATCTACTAATTCTATTATACTAGCGATCCCTACACAAATTAAAAGTTAGTATAATTTCCCTATATCTTATGATTACAAACTCTTCTTCCAGCAAGTAGCTTTTATTAATGGACGATAGCTGGGTTTATATTGTGATAGCCTAGCGCGATAGCGATAATATATTTGCTGATTCTCATATATATATAATATAGCTATTAATAGCTATATTAAACCTCTTATCCGTGTTTTATTTTAGTATTAAATAATTATACTTAATTTAAGGAAGCTTTTTAACGATATACTTTATATAAATACAGCTTTTATAGCTCTCTATATTATAAATCCCTATACTAGTAGTTTATTAATAATCTCTTGTAATAATAGCTTATTATTATTAGATCCCTATACTAGCACTTTATTAATAGAAAACACTATTACTAATATCTTTTTATCTAATTTCTTATTTATATAAAAAGAAATCGTTTCTTCCTCTTCTCTTTAAGAAAGATTTCTTAACAATTAAGCACCTCTTTGTAAAACTATCTCTATTTTTTAATCGAGATATCACCTAATATTACGCGCTCTATCTATACAGTCTACTTTGCTTTGTTTATTAGACCACTCTTTACTCGTTCCTTAGACCCTAGATATATCTTTTGTTTTACCCCTTTGCCCTTTCTTATCTATAAACTTAATAATGTTATACTATATTTTCTTACGTTATTATTAGCTTTATAGAGGGCTCTTTTTTTTAAAGAGATAGATAGATGATCTCGTAGAAGGTGTTGGAAGGGAGTTCTTGTTGTTGGTGGATCACGTGATCGTGACCCTTCTACCTATTAGTTCTCGCTTCTCTAAAGCTTCTCTCTTCTTCTTTCTTTCTCTTTAGACGCACAATACTATTCTTCGAATAACCTTCTTTTCTTCCTGCCTACGTTCTAGTAGATCTTCTAAGAAAAAATAAACTCTATTTTTATAATAGCTAATTATATAGATCTTATAAATAAATAAAGATAAAAAATAATCAATATTAGTCTTAAGCTTTTAATAAATTTCAATAATCTAATATTTAAAATATATAGTCTTTTTATTATTAAATATAAAAAGATCTAATATCTTTTAAATCTTATATATAAATATAGCTTTTATAATTAATAAATTATTTACTTATTATTTATATAGCTATTAAATATAAACTTTTAATTGAATAATCTTTTTTTTAAATTAATAATATTAATATATTTATCTTTAATTATTAGATTTATTTTATCTATAATATTATAAAATCTTTTTAATTCTTTTTTCTCTTCATATATAATAATCTTAATTATTTTATATTTATCTATTATCTATTAATATATCTTAGCTAGCTTAATAGTATATTCCTTTCTAATAAAGTTTTTAGATATATTTTTATATTCTTATTTATATATTATTCAATAAGACCTAAAATAAAAGTTCGAGCTAATAAAAAAGATCTAAAGATAGAAAAGATCTTATCAATTTATATATTATCTTTTTATACTTCTTCTTTTTTTTTATATAAAGATAAAAATATTATATTAATTTGATATAATACTTTCTAGTCTAATCTACTTTAATAAAGTTTTTTAATTAATTACTTAATTAACATTAAGACAAGAATCTATAAGTGCTTATTATTAAATATAAAAAGTTAAAATAAATTCTATTATTATATCAAACTAGTAAAATATTGTTGGAAGGGAGTTCCTGTCGTTGGTGGATCACGTGACCGTGACCCTCCTGCCTATTAGTTCTCGCTCCTCCATAGCTTCTCTCTTCTTCTTCTTTTCTCTTCAGACGCACAAATACTATTCTCCGAATAGCCTCCTTTCTTCCTGCCTACGATCTTGTAGACCTTCCAAGAGGTTATGAGTCCTTTAGCGCGCTATTGATTAACCATCAACCGCTGAAGCTTACCCCGGCTCTGTGCGCCGAGCCAACCAATCAACCCCGCCGAAGCTTCCCCGCTTCGACAATCCCGACGAATCAGAAGGATCGCCTGTCTGCAGCAGTCATCCCGAGAGATCGTCTCAACGCCAGCTTTACCTTCCTAATCCGGTAATCTGACAGCTTCATCCCTCGTTGCCGATTCCTCCCGTTTCGACAGCATCTCTCTCCATCGTCGTCGATCCCCGCGATCCCCGCCGATACCTCGTTGCCCCGCCGATTCCTCCCGTTTCGCCGTGACAGCATTTCCATCGCTTCTCCGTCGAATCCTCCGATTCCGCCGTGCCAGCGATTCCTACACAAATCGAGAGTTGGTGCAATAACTGCATTCCCCGCATATTGTGACCACAAACTCTTCTTCCAGCAAGCAGCTTTTGCCGACGGGCGACAGCTGGGTTTCCGTTGCGACAGTCTAGCACGACAGCGACACCACAACACATTTGCCGATCCTCACGCGTGTACCACATAGCCATCCAAGGCTACGTCCAGTCCTGACACTGTGGCGTCATCGTACAAACCACCGCGCGTTTCGACAACCCATTCCCTCATCTCAACCCCCGATTTCAGTCCAATTACACAGTCTGCGTCTATTGAAGATACATTCCTGTCTCTCAACATGTCTGAAACCCCCTCTCCTTTCATTGAATTGCCCGCCGGCAGTCGCGAGCTCTACGTCAACCTGGCGAATGAAGAGCTTAAATCCGTCAAAACGTGGACTATGCAATTCAAATTGAACCTTCCTACTTCCTCCGCCGATATCCGTTACTTTGAGAACGTCCCTAAGCTTCGAGGGGAGCCTAATTGGGCAAACTGGCGGATTAAGTTCCTGGATGCTTTGAATGCGTAAAACGATGCGTTTAAGGGTATCACACTGGGTATTGTTAGTCCTCCTGTATAACCGCGTTTTATTCCTATCAACGACGATATCGTTGAGCGCGAATACTTTCTTGGGAAGATGACCAAGCCCCAACTCGTCAATTTCGACAATTCTAAGAAGGACATCGATGCTCCGACTATGTCTGATCTCAGCAAAGTTCAGGAATCCCTGGATGAGATTAACGACAAGCTCCAAAGCGGTTTCTAGTAGAACCAGAGCACTTGGGTTATCGCTTGTTCCCGAATCATGAATTACCTCAATATCTGTATAGACGCCAATGTTAAATCGGCGATTTCAATATACGACATGCCCTTTGAGGCCTTTATCACCCTCGAGAAACTCTACGGACAGGGATTGTCCCAGGCGATCGTACAAAGATTCAGGATGTGGAATGAGCTTCGTTACAAGGGTAGTGATGCCGCTGGCTTTGCAAACAAGTTCCAAAAAGCACTTCACGACTATGAAGAGACCATTACGCCAAACAAGGTCTTCTTTAAATGGGAGTATGCGGCTTTTATGACCGCAATCATGTCGAATCCCCGCTGCAATGCTTTTGTCCAGATGTTCAAACCGACGAACGCACATGCCATGTATCAGGAATTCTACACTTCCGAAACGACCAATAAGTCGATCCAATACGCTTATTCTAGCGACAATAAGTCGACGAATCTTCCTTCCACGAACTCGACAACCGCCGGGATCTCTCTGGGGAATATTCCGCCGTCTACAGGTACTTCTTCGTCATCTAAAAACAACAAGAAAGATGACAAAAACAACAAAGGCAAGGGATCAACTCCTCCGAAGCCTGAGAAGTACAAAAACAACAAGAATGCTCGTTATTGTCAGTATCACAAGTCTTAGGGAATTCACGAGCCCAAGGACTACCATCTGAAGAAGAGTGGCTCTAGCAATTCAGCCAATTCAGCCAATTCGACGACTGCCCCTACTCCGTCAACTAACGCCCCGCCGGCGTACGGTATACAGGCTGACATGGCGGTTATCGATCCAGCATTCGCTTATTACGATGACCTTTGGACACAGCAAGTCGGCATTTAGATGTCGAAGAATGCTGCCATTTCTCCGTCGTCGTCTACTGAATTCGATTGGATAATCGATTCTGGCACTTCCAAGCATATGACGCCCTTCCAGTCGATTTTTGCCAATTTCAAGCCTTACCGCATACCCGTCATTACCGCAACAGGTCAACGTTTCTTTACTGAGAGCTTTAGTGACGTCGTTCTATCCGTTTAGGATCCTGTCGCTCAGGACCTTGGAGAACTGCTTCTTCAAGAGGTCTAGCTTGCCCCAGAATTGAACAATAATCTAATCTCTGTCTCCACGCTTGATAAACAGGGTTACCAAACCAGCTTTAAGGCCAAAAAGGCTATTTTCTCACGCAAAAACGGGTCCAAAATCGTGGACCTATGCACCGCTAACCTCGTCAAGGACCACTACTAGCTTAGATGTCTGGAGGGTTCGTTGGACTCGATGAAACACTTTATTCGCACTGTGCAAGCGATCTGTTCGCCCTCGATCAACCTACTTTCATCTAAGGACCTCATCAATGGTCTAGAAGACGGTTTTTGGGCCCAAAACAGTCAAGATACCGCAAACGCGGCAAACACAGTTGCTTCTGCAGATGTCAATACCACCAAGAAGCGCAAGAATAACCCCATTTCCATCGATTTAGCCTATCGTTGTGCCTGTCACGCCAGCGAGGACCGAGTTCGCAAGATGGAACATAATACAATTGGGATGACCCTCAAAAAGGGTAAGGGTGTCACCTACTCCTGCGTTCCCTGCATCAGCGCTAAAAGCCATCAGCTTCCGTATGGTAAAGAGCACCAAATTCACACCAAACCAGGTGATTTACTACACTTTGACACCTAGAGACCCTACTCTCATACGGGCTACGAGCGTGAGACCTACTTCATAACGGTTTCCGATGATGCCTTCCGCTACATGTGGGTCTTTACGATGAAATCGATGACCGAAATCCTTCCAAATCTACAAAAAGTGGTTAGTTTCTTGGACCAGCAGTTTAAGATTAAGGTCAAACGGATTCAGGGAGACGATGCCCCCATTCACAAGCCCGTTTGGGCCTTTTGCGAGCATCATGACATTATTACATCTCCGACGCCCCCATACACAAAGCAGCTAAATGGCGTAGCCGAACAGTCCAACAGACGTTTGGTGGAACCTATGATCGCTGTAATAGTCGAAAATCAGCTCTCAAAACACCTTTAGTCACTTATTTTGCAAGGAGTGAACCATACGATCAATCGACTGTACCATTCGCGAATTAACATGACCCTATATAAAGCCTTCTATGGCCGCAAGCTGGATATCTCTTATCTCCAGGCATTAGGATACCAGGTTTGGTATCATGTTGACAAAGAATAGCGCGTTGACAAGCTTGATTCCCACGTAAATGAGGGCCGTTTAGTCGGTTACGATACTGGGAATCGCTATATAATCTACAACATCCGCACAAAGAAGACGACTCGCTCTCGCAACATCGTTTTCAATGAAATCAAGGAAGCCAGCTTGCCTAAGCCCCAATACAACACTAAATTGGGAGAGCAGATGCACGGGGATCGATTCACTTCAGTTCCATCTAAGCGCTCCCTTGCGGAGATTGCAAGGTTTGTTCCCATCGATTTTCTGATGGATAGTTAGCCGTCTGCCGATTCTGCGATTCCTGGATCTCCTCCGATTCCTGCAAGGCCCAAATCGCCCCCAATTCCTTCGCGTCCTCGATCTCCGCCGATTCTTGCGCGCCCGCTCCCTCCGCTGGTTCAAACGGCTTCGAAGCCTCGAATTTACCCTTCTTGTCCAACGGTTACAAGCGAAGAGGCTTTAGGGGAGGCACAAATGGATGGTGGAAGTGACGCTCGTCCGGTTCCTCAGCTACGCCGATCTGAACGGATCGCGAAGATGCAGCAGGGATAACACCAAGGGAGTGCCATAGCGGCCACTCCGCCTGCTTCAATTGCACCTGCAAGTGCTAAAATTGCATCAAACCGCCCGTCTACGGTGCCTCCGCCCGGTCACGTTCCTCCGCAGATCGTCATCGACATCTCTGGTGGAGAACCGACGTACGACGCGCAGTATCCGTCCAAAAAGGAAGTAGCATCTGTTTTGTCAAGACATCGCCATTTGACTTCTCTCGTTTCGATCCCCTCGCATGGAATCCACTACACGACGGTTAATCCGCCGTCTCCTGCGATTTTGCAACATCTGAAGGAGCATACAAAGATGGACATTGACGTTACCTCCATGCTGGCAAGCAATCCTGATGCCACCAAAGAACTCTATGTTTCTGCGGTTCTCGACAAGGATAAACCCTCCAAACTAGGGCCCAAGGACCCCGGTTACATCCCATACACTTGGAAACAGGCCATGACCTGCCTGGAGCACGATAAATGGCTTGTCGCTGCAAAAAAGGAGCTGAAACGCCACAATGAGAATGGCACCTAGCGCGTCGTTAGTCGTGAAAAGGGTCAGAAACGGCCCCTTACCCTTCGCTGGGTTTGGACGATTAAACACGATGGCACCTACAAAGCTCGCTTGGTCTGCCGCGGCTTCAATCAGGTTAAAAACGTCAACTTTCATGAACTTTACACTGTCGTTTCGAAGCCCATGTCGTTCAAAGTCTTCGCAGCCATTGCGGCTAAGAATGGATGGCCCCTTCATCATGTTGACATCATTACTGCGTTTTTAAACGCGGAAATGAAGGAGTCCGTCTATATTGAGCTTCCTGAAGAAGAGCGCGAGCGATTCCCTGGGATGATAGGCCTGCTTCTTCGAAGCATAAATGGTCTAAAACAGGCACCCCGTGAATGATATCTACTTCTTCGTGACGTCCTAATCAAAATGGGATTCACCGTGCTGGAATCAGACCAGTCTGTCTTCGTCAAATTTACCAAAGATGGCCCCATTTACGTCCTGATCTACATCGATGACCTACTTATCACTTCCCCGGCCAACAAACTCATTGTGCAGTTCAAAACTGAGCTTGCAAAGCACTTCGACCTCACTGACAAGGGAGAAGTCGAGCGGTTTCTGGGAACAGACATCATTCGTCGTCCGGAAGGGATTTATCTCTCCCAAGAGGACTACGTCGTCAAAACCCTGCTAAAATTTGGTCTGCATGAGCTAAATAGCGCCCATACGCCAATGAATGAGAGGATGATCCTTATTTCGAATCCAGCTGAAATTCCTGCGTCCAAAACCGATGTGAAACGGTTCCAGGAACAAATTGGCTCTCTCATCTGGCTGATGGTGTCTACTCACCCCAACATCTCGTTCCCCGTCATTAAATTGACTCGTTTTACGACCAATCCGGGCGAACAGCATTGGGCTGCCCTCAAACGGGTCTTCCGCTATCTACAGGGCTCAAAGGACCTATACATTTTCTTCGTGGACAAGCGGCACTATCTGGCCAAGGGCCCCACCGCCGTTTACGACGCCGAGAATCGAGTACGCGACATACTCGATCCCGAATTAGCGGACCCAGATCCTGTCCCCGAATACCGAGATTTAGGGCTCATTGGATACTCCGACGCAGACTGGTCTAGCCCTCATTCCAAGAGTGCCCTATCTACATCCGGTTTCGTCTTCATATTCGACGGAGGACCCATTTCCTGGACCTCTAAGAAACAACCCTGCGTTGCGACCTCGACCACCGAATCCGAATACATCGCGCAGGCCCTCGCGACCCAGAAAGCCATCTAGCTTACCCGCCTACTCACCGAGCTTCGCGTCCGGGTCTTCAAACCTGTCAAAATCATGGCAGACAACAATGGGGCAATTGCCCTATCCGAAAACCCCGTTTTTCATGCGAATACAAAGCACATCTCTGTACGATTTCACAAGATTCGGGAAGAAGTCAAAACTAGCAACGTCGTCTTTACGAAGATCCCCACAGCGGAGATGGCAGCGGATAGCTTCACAAAACCCCTCGCCCGCGTCTTATTTCAGCGCTAGATAACTATGCTCAATTTGCGAAAACTTCCTAACGATGTGCTTCGTGCAGATACGGCCCCCGCGGCTCTCCATGCTACGGATCCCCATACTAGCAGCTCGCCAGCGACCCCTCGCGATGACAGCTCGTCGTCGTCAGATCTCCATGCTGGCACTTCATCAGTGGAAAACACCGTCACCAACGCCCTTTCGCCGGATTCCTCGCCCGCATGGGAAGGAATCGCTTCTTCCTCCCCTCCCTGGGAAGGATTTCCTGACGATTAAGCACCTCTTTGCGAAACTACCTCTATTTCCTAATCGGGATGTCACCTAACACTGCGCGCTCTGCCTGTACAGTCCACTTTACCTTGCTTACTGGACCACTCTTTGCTCATTCCCTGGACCCTGGATGCACCTTTTGTTTTGCCCCTTTGCCCTTTCTTACCCGTGAACTTGGTGATGTTGTGCTACGTTTTCTTACGTCATTGCTAGCTTTATGGGGGGCTCTTTTTCGAAGAGATAGATGGATGATCTCGTGGGGGGTGTTGGAAGGGAGTTCCTGTCGTTGGTGGATCACGTGACCGTGACCCTCCTGCCTATTAGTTCTCGCTCCTCCATAGCTTCTCTCTTCTTCTTCTTTTCTCTTCAGACGCACAAATACTATTCTCCGAATAGCCTCCTTTCTTCCTGCCTACGATCTTGTAGACCTTCCAAGAAATATAAAAAAAAGATCTCTATTATAATCTAAAAAACGATAATAATAAAACTAAGAAAGGAAAGGAGAGAAAAAGAAAGCTGTCAAGTGCTATATAATAAGGTTCCTATCCTCCCTATACACGTGACAGATCACGTAATCTCGCTAAAACCTGCCTCGCCAAGTAGACCGGCAGGCATCCAGGCATCCAGGTCTAACATCAAAATCCAGCGATCCTGATAATTAATAATCTTAGATTTTAGATTAAAAATATTATATAATTAAAAAAGTGTCTAGATCTTAAATAGACTTTAATTCTAGGTTATTTTAAGATATTATTTGAAAAAATATATTATTTATCTTTATATTTAATATATAAATAATTTATAATTATAAGTATTTTTTATTTATTAGAGATATATTTATTAGATATTTTTAAAAAAAGATTTTTAAAATTAAAAATCTATATCTCTTTTTAAAAGATATTAAGATATTTTTTTAAAAAGATTAATATATTATTTAATCTTTTTCTTGGAAGGTCTACTAGAACGTAGGCAGGAAGAAAAGGAGGCTATTCGAAGAATAGTATTGTGCGTCTGAAGAGAAAGAAAGAAGAAGAGAGAAGCTATGGAGGAGCGAGAACTAATAGGCAGGAGGGTCACGGTCACGTGATCCACCAACGACAGGAACTCCCTTCCAACACTTTTCTTTTTATTATTAGATTTAAGACTATTTTATAATTAAATTATTACTAATTCTATTTTTTTAAATTGCTAAAAAGAGTTAATTATTTTTTTTAAATCTTTTTTAGTAATATTATATATATAGGGGTTGATACAAAAACACCGCCCTTTACTAAAAAAACACCCCTCTAACCCGATTAGGAAGTTTGACACCTGAAACTCCAGGCATAGACAACTTGACAAGTTACAGTTTCTTCGGACCAATCAGATCGTACGCAGGCGTTCCAACAATGGATATAAAATCTCTATCTTTTATTATATAAAACTCGACTCTTTTTATCAGGTTTAGTAATCACGTGAACTGGATAGTAAATTACAGATGCAAACAATATAAACAGCGGATCTCAGCTCTCTGGACCGTGACATATTCATTGTCACGGGGAAACATGGAGAAAACCCCGTTACACTTTGCTCGCTCTTTCCCTTTTCTTTCTCTATTCAGTTCTGCTATCGTCATTATTAGACCATAATTGAGATCCTTTTTCTTTTCTACTTTTGCTGCGTGACAATAAGAATATTACAAACAGTATCTTGGCCTAGCTTAATTGAATCAATAAGCTTTAGCCCTTCACAGCTCGCGCTAAATTTTCTCCTCTTCATCAAATTCTTCTTTATCTTTGAGAACCCTACAATTTGTTATACAACTAGGCTGGATCCCTAACAAGTTACGATGACTATATACATCTTATAGTAATTATACTGTTAATTCTACAATAGAATCACTTCATTTTTAACATACGTGCTTTCTGCATGGTTGGCGATTTGGCGGTTCAGCAGTCTGGCAGTATGTTCAAGCTCCACAGCAATTTTTGGCGGGTATCTCTGTTGATCCATAGATCCCTCCTCTCTCAACCGAAATGCTCCGATCAGAGGATAGAGCCTCATCCAGCTGGGTACCCATACATCTATAGATAATGGGGGGAGCTCTTGTGATAGAATTCGGGATCTAGTGATGATGGGCTACGCACTTCATACAGACAAGGCATCAGGGGGAGAGGGTGGGAATTAGTGATTCAAGCATAGTAAGATCGCTTTAATGACAGCTCGTCCTGTCTATGCTTTTTTCAACAACTGATGGCGAGGTCATGCGGGTCCAAAGGACCGAAGAACTGACCGGCAGGGACAGAATATCATCTATCATCCAGTCTTATGGAAATGCCCGCCCCAAAAAGAAGAAAGAAGAAAACAGACACGCAATGCAGATGTATCAAATTGCGCTATATTGTGTACATAGCAAGTGTCCCCAGCCCACTCATAGTATTCATAGTATTACCAAGCCACCTATCATACATCCCTCCCTAACACGGAACATCAAGAGTCAGTGCAGTAGATTGAAAAACACTGTGACTCGCTCATACTGCACATCAGCGCCAGGAGGGCCAGCTCGGGGAACCCCCCTGGCCGGTCCCGCAATGGCTTCCAAATCAACCTTGGTCATACCGGGGTGCAAACGGATGTCATACACAGGTGTAGATGAATCACCAGACGGCTGCAAACGCTGCATTCCAGTTAGAGCGACTATCTTCACCTGTCGCTGACCAGTACTGGCTGCCAGACGAGGCTTGAGAGTCAGTAGATTATGTGAAGAGGGAAGATGAATCATGAGACTTTGTTGTGATACAAGCGACGATGGCGGAATGTCGAGACAAAAATCAGGCTGCAGTGACAAGGAAGTGTGCGTGGCGATCTGGACATTGCGGATGAGAGCCATGCTTGCATCTGCCCATAGTGTTAGCCGAAGAAAAGGATCGCCGAGTCACACACAAACGAGCACGAACCTTGGCCTGATTGTCTCAAAACGCAATCCATGGGTGATGGGCCAGGATATTGGTACGAGAGTGTGTTAGCTGGCAAAGGGGGTCAGCACAGAGTTTAAGGCAAGCAGGTTTTTGAATGTTAGAAAAGTAAGTGGAGAATGTCACTTACGGGGAGAGAATTGACGAGCACTATCAGCAGAAGTCCCGAGAGCTGCACGCGCCGGGGCTTGTGGTGTGGAAATCGACATCGGTGTTTCGGCTTTGACCACGCTCGATAGCCCCCGTGCACCCAGGAAAGGTTGATCTGAGGTAGCTGTGGTACCCACACTCGCCCCGGGGCTGTTAAGGTTCCTCAACGACCGTGCCGGAGGTGATGTACTGACATTCTGGCTAGCTGATCCACCGGGTGCCTCTGGTTGTGAATCCGAAGGCTCGCGGTTGGCCAAGGTATTCGATCGCTGCCCGTTGGTTTGGGATATCGTTTCAGAACCCTGTGCAGGCATTTTCAAGGTTAATCTTCCCGTTATTGGTGGTACCGATGCGCCCATCTTCAATTTGATGCGAGGCATCTCAAGGGTTCCATCTACCTGGGGGTTCGGAACAAGCTTCTTGGCTTCCGCAACTCGATTCCAAAAATAGTTCTAAGTTTGCAAATTAGTTGGCTTGCATTGGAGCGTGGGGCAGTGCTCAAAGGTACCTCTAGAATTCCCGCGAGCGCCGATATCTCACTGTCGTCTTCGTTGTATTCCCTGGCATTTCGCCAAATGTAGCTGACCTCCTCCTCAAAGGATTGCCAAGTTGGATAAGCGGTTGTCTTAGATGTATTCTTTCGGCTGTCCGTGCCCCGAACTTTCTTCTGTATACTTCGCAACGAAACGGGGTGCTGGATGAGCTCATAATAGTCCCGGTATAAGGTGCGATCCGGTTTCCCAATGAAAGGGTAAGCTACTTCTTGGCCGCTACCGAGGATTAGTACAACATGCACAAACAAGTTCCGATGGTCAGTCTCACTCATCATCCTGAAGCTTGGTCAGCTCGGACATGATCTTGTCCTGAGCGCTCTGCAGACTATCACCCTCAAAGTCTACCTCGGAATAGTCCTGCGATTCTGGATCTTCGTCATCCTCTGACTCTATGTGTGAGGACACACGACTGGATGTTTCGTCGATGTCATCATCCTGTTGTCCATGAAATTGGTCAGCCACCAGGAGAGAAGGCTCAGGATGACACGCAGCACAAATCATGAATATGGGGAAATCCACCCCAGACCTGACTACCAATGGGAATACGATAATCGAGCGGAGACTTACGGAGACCTTTTGACGCTTTGCGCGGGATCTGACATCTGGGGAAGCTGCAGCAGCCGATCGTCGTTTGGAGCTCATCACGAGTTACGAGTCAAGTTTGAAGTCGAATCAAAAGTTGCAAATATGTCACAAGTACTATAGAAGTACACGTATGGCAATGGAGTACAGAAGGAGGTACCAAAGAGAGTACGGAGTATAGAAGCTTGGGAGACGTGGAACGTGGACGCGTCTAATGCGGTCATACCGCATTAGGTAAGGTATGTATGTGCCTGTTACATGTATTGTGTATCATATACACTTTGTGATACCTGATATAGATCCATGGATAGCAGAAAAGATGGGGCACTCGGTACTGAAATACATAATTTATGCATCCTGACAATATCCATTCTGACCGAATGATTACTCAAAGCTATTGGGCTACAGCCAAGATCCCTTATCGACCTCGGCGTGAGGTTCCATGGAGCGGAATATATACATTGGGCCATACCCATACTGTAGATTGGTATTGTCATGTAATTTTGCCCCGGACTGATAATGACTCAGCAATGTTGTTGACACCTGAGGTATCAACGATTCGATTTTCCCCCACTATTTTCCCAAGTCCCGCCAAACACTCCGATGATATCGTCTTCCGCGTCACTTCTCTGACACCTCGTCCTCTCTCTTCACCTCAACGCACTTTTGCAAGCTGAGCGCTTCCTCTTTGCATGCCATAATCACAGTGAGTTGAAGTCCTCACTTCGCGTTGATTCGATTGGAAGTGGTTTTACTGACAGCCAAATCTTCCAGACTGCAACAGTCAGTCCTACTTTCTTCCAATGGATATCGATCCCGCTCGACGCAACAAGAAGCCTCGTCTCCTACTGGAGAATGAGCGCGAAAAACTCGACGAGTTTGTGGATTCCATTCACTACTCGGCTAGGTGAGAAGTACAGTGGACTTCTGGGTCAGTGAAGGAACCTAACAGATCACCAGATACAACGATGACAAATATGAATACCGCCATGTACAGCTCCCCAAGAACATGCTGAAGAAGATCCCATCGGAATACTTTGACAGTGCCAAGGGCACATTGAAACTGCTCTGGGAGGAAGAATGGCGCGCGCTTGGTATCACACAGGTATGTGGAATTGTCGCGTTACGGTGTATACGGAAACTCATGCACATGCAGAGTTTAGGATGGGAGCACTACGAGGTGCACGAGCCGGAGCCTCACATTCTTCTCTTCAAGTGAGTTCTCTGCCCCCCCCCGTCTGTTTGACGGCCTGACTGACGGATCTTGCAGGCGTCCTCTGAACTACCAACCCCCATTGCAGCAATAAACTTCTCATTGAATGGTGTTATCCTCGGAGATTTAAGCAATTGAGGAGATATTCCTTCGTCGTCATTGATGACACACGCGTTCACAGTATTGCTCCCTAAGGTCCCACATCCACAAAAACTTCATAACCGGATCGGAATGAGACAAAGTTTCTTTATCTCCTTTCCTGCCATTCCATTGACTCGCTAGATCCAGGCTATCCATGTGTTGCATCGAGTACCGGCATCTGTCTCGTTTGCAGGCCCCTGGGTTTTCTTGGCCATGGCTATCAGATCAGATCACGTTTTTGGCGAGCCACTCTCCCCACTGGGCAGCGGTGAAGCTACTGCTGATGCTGCGCTCTTCAGCTCCCTGGTCCTGGTGTTAGCACCTTGCAATATTACCCTCTCAAATTTCCTTACATTGAAGAAGACAGTGGGAGAAACGTGGACCCCCACCACTCGGTCCGTCTAGCCGATGTCAGCCCCAAGCCCCAAGCCGGAGAAAAGTAGGTGGTGGAAACAAGGCGGGAGTATGCATACCTTGACCATCCATTTGATGTCGTTGGTCACTTGGTTCCCAGTGTTTAGTTGTCCATCTTCGGATGTTTCGCTAATGGTTAGCAATTCAAGTAACTTCTGCCCATCTACTCCCGCACTCGCTGCCACGCCCGCAAGTCGCTCGTATGTTTTGTTGCGTGTCTCGTTGACCACGCTGACGTCAAAGAACTCCGTTTGGCGTTTGAATAAGGCGGCACTGAACTCCCAGAACTTCTCGGGAGCGATTCGTAGAACCGCCGCTCCAGCCTCGTGGGTCAGAGTGGAGGATGGGTGCCATGGTTGGATATGCTGCCGAAAGATGACCTGAAGACGCGGCCCATACGTTTGCGCGATCATAGGTTTCAAGGTGTAAAATGTATTGTACATCTTGGCCGAAAACTAACAATGGGTTAGTCGCGGCCAGTCACGAGTTGCATGTACGGTGTCACTAACTGGGCAGACATAATCCAGATCTACAAATAGAGTTAGCAACTCTGACATCTTCCACAGGAGACAATTTATACTCTATAAGACGTACACAATTCGAGGGTATGTGATGATGCCTGAGGCGAGGCATCGGAGAGCTTGAGCCCCGCAAGATGGGGAGGAACAGACATAGTGGTGATTGAATAGATGAAAAGGAGGCGAAGAAGATATGAGGAGTTGAGGAGGACAAGAGGTGAAAGTTCCAAGGTTGGTTGGTTGTATGGAGGGGAAGTGTGGGGGGTGGGGAGGAACGTTGTTGATAGACTGCGTCATCTTCCAGATCACGCACGGACTTAGGACTCTATTTTAGTATGAACGTCATATATATATATATATATACAAGAAAATAACAGCCTCTTCAATTGCCCATCGCTCTCTGTCTTCGCATATTCAGATCTTTCAGTTCCATCTCCACCGTCCGCCATTCACGCTTAGCCGGATCAAACTCGCCACGGACCTCAAATCGACAGAATCCGTTGGGTCCCTTCAATCCAACTGGGCCAGTGATGAAGAAAGCACCCCGACGAGGCGTTCCCGGGTCTTGGGCCCGTTCATTGTTGAGCCGTAGCTTGAAGGCCTGGGATGCCAAGTGCAAATCCGACCCAGGACCGAGATCGGGGAGAGGTATCCGTTGCAATAGAGATATGAGGGCTGAGGGGTGATAGTTGGTATTCTCGGTGTTGGGTGGCATATTTTCTCTGAGGCCATCGGTCGAAGGTGATTGGAGATTCGGTTGTTCCTGTTCCCCATTCCACTTCCCTTGACCCTCTTCTGGGGCACTTGGATGGGTGGGAATTCCCGAGGCATTTTCTGCCCCGGTGGGATTCTGGAAGCGCTCGACTTGTCTTAGAAGTAAAACCAGATATGCATCTCTGATGGCGAGAACCACGTGGATCGGTTTCATAAACATTTGCAACCGATCCCCCATGTCAGGGTCCATCGGCTTTGAAACCCAAGATATGCTCCCATTCGCTATCTCAAGTCTGTTCACGGTTAGTGACCACTATCGCTGCAAGCCATCAAAGGTGAAAGGGACATACCCCGATCGCACATATCCAGGCGGGGCACGGGTCGGAAATTGATGTACTAGCCAAAACCCTGTTAAGGCCAGAGGATCTCCGAGGATCTTTGACATCTGATCACCTGCACTTGTGAGGACAATGTTGGCGAGTTCGTCTACGCGTGTGATGTGAGCCCCTGGCGTCGGTTGACAACAAGATACGTCACTTACCTCTGAGCGCTTGGAGTTTCTCCCGATCTTTGGACAATTTCACGAACTGCTGCCATTCAGGATCGGATGTAGCATAGAGCTCGCCTTTCTGCAACCGAGACCAGGCAAGCGGAATGAATAGCGCATCTTCATCGACCGATTCTTTCCCCGCACTCTCGGCACCCTCGGCGGGGCCTTGATACGCAGCCGTTTCATCGGGACTAGATACAGCGGCTGCATCTTCGTCCTTGTCGTCGTCAAACTGGACCAGCACGAATGTGCTCCATAGGTGAAAGGCGGTGCCGTAGAGCAAACATTTGGAAATCAAGGACCTGGAAGATTTGCGTTAGTCTATCACTTGTTGAACACATCGAGTCCTGCGGCAAAATACTCACCTGACCCAAGGCCGCCTGAACCTTACGCGTCGAACATTTGGCGAGAAGTTGGCACGGGCACCGGTGTGGGTGAAACGGAGGAGAGACGGACGTGCTTGAGGACTTCGAAGCAGATACTTGAGCCGGAGCATTGGAAAAAGCCAATCCCTGTCAGATTTCTCTCTAGCGAATCATCTCAATCGGCGAAAGTCGAAAGGGACAGGATGTGTCTCGTAAGGCGAATTCCCCGAGGCTCACAGGATTATGTAACTGCGGCCACCGGCTCCAGACATCGAATTGTTTCAGAGCGGAATATATTATCCCTCGAGAATTTTGATTTTTGCAGATAGTGCCGAGTGGTTATCGAGGGGAGAAGGTCTCACAGTCTACCAATTCATGTGGTATGTAGTGTTTGGGTGGTTGGATGTTGGTCGAATACAATCGGCCATAGATGTAAAAGACCACGTGATATCTTATCGGAGACCTCGTAGCTCCCCTGCACTCCGTGTGTCCCCAAATCACTCAGATCGCCAACCAAACGATACTCCTGAGGGGAGATACTGGACGTGGTAATTTACACATCAGCTGCAATCATATCCCACTGCCCTTCGGCCCTCACGATCCGACTCGGCAATATGCGTTGGGTGTCTACTTTGCTTGCCATGGCCGCGACAGGCGCATTGCAAGTAAATGCCATGGATGCTACCATATTGACATTTCCCTCTACTCCAGCGGGTGCATTAAATGCCGTACCAAAACAACAACAACTCCCCGAAGATGAAGCTCGGCTTGTCCTGGAGCTTCGCATGCAGTCATCCGTGGCGTCGATCCTCGGAGCGGTTGATGCAGACACCGTGGATCATTTGAATCAGTTCGCTGAAACTGAGTCTGTCCTTTTTGGTGGACACAGTGGCACTCAGGCCTCCGGGAAGAGTATCTTGATCCTAGAGGGGTTAGATCGGCAGACCAGTAAGTGGATTGGCTTGAATCTAGGACCCTTTTCTAACGCTCCTACAGCTCTAAATGTGCAGTCCAGCCAGCCAAGCCATATATTTGTACCCCGAGTCTCCTCCGGGTTCATCGACGCAGATCTTTTGGGATCATTCGGTGGAGCTGGGGACCATGGAAAGTATTGTGCCCACAATGACGGCACTGGGGTTGTATCGAGCAAGGCGCAGGTACAGACCAATTCATCAGAAATGCCCAGATTATGTCGCTAATCCTTAATCTCATCCTACCAGACTGCGCAAGAATGTCTATCTCAGGACCCCATGCTCGCTGGCCAATCTGGCCTCTTCGACCGTGGTTCCCTTGCCGCCATCAACTCCGTGGAGGATTGGACCAGCCATGATGGTAAAGACTCTATGTTGAAGCTGTCCTTTAAGGTATTTGGAACCCTTGATGTGTTGCGTTCATGAATCGTCACTCACCTGAGTTCGTCAATCGCAGAATCTGGGCGACTCCATTGCTGGACCTAAGTTGCTCCAGTCTTTGATCGCTCACTTGGCCGAGTCATCGTCAGTCAGCAAACGTGAAATCACGGCTGTGATTCTGCCATCCGGTTACCAATCCACACCACTTCGCCGCCGAGGTGCGGAGACCCAGTGGTCATCAGCTGGCAACCACAACCCTGCCAAACAATCTGCCCAAGACTCTCCGCTTCTGTCAACACTGGCGCCTGTTTGTCATGCCTCTAACTCCTCATGTGCTGAAGCTACCAGAAATTGTTCCGGTCATGGTTCTTGCTATCTCAAATTTGGATCGGGGGTGGAGGGAACCACGGGCAATTGCTATGCATGCAAGTGCCAACAGAGCATTGTCAAAAACAACGATGGAACCACAAAAACTGTCCAATGGGGTGGCTCTGCTTGCCAAAAGAAGGACATTAGCTCGCCCTTTTTCCTTATTGCAGGCGTCAGCTTTTTGGCCATCCTCTTGGTTGGAAGCTCCATTGGCATGCTTTTCAGCATGGGCTCAGAAAAGTTGCCCAATTCGCTCAGTGCCGGTGTGAGCAACCCCAGAAGCCAGATGTGAGAGTCCACGGGGGCTGAATGTACTATGTCGGCGATGTTTCTTTTTTTCCCCGCCCCTCTTGTTCTCGGGCTTCATTTTGTACCGCAGTCTAGCAGCATGTCATATTGTCTCAGCTTGCCGGAACCTGGGTTGTTTACACGGAGTACATAAGGACTATATAAGTTTGACGAATATTTGCATATCATGTACAAGATAGTATGTATTCGTGACGGGGCAAGTGGAGCCCCTGTAAAGCCCAGCAGGCTCAATAGGTAGATAACGACCCGGAGAAACCCGAGTCGAGCGAAATGAACCCAGGATGGTCAAAAGTATGCGAGCAATAAGAAAGAAAAGAAAACATCACGAAATATCTGTGATCCAGACTCCAAACCGAAATACAGCCAGATCATTATCCATGTACGCCTCCGTCCGAGTACAGCAAAACTCGACAGGGAAAAAAAAAAAGACAAGAAAGAAGAAAATACACAGATGAGGTCGTTATCAAAGGAAAATATGCTTCGAGCAACATTCCAGATGTCGTCCCAGAATGCGAAAGTAAGGGTATGATTAAGTGAGTCGTGAGGTAGGAGGGAATAGACGAAAAAGGCCGGTCACAAGGTTCCAGCCTCCACTTGACGGGGTGTGCGCTGTTCTGAAGTGGGGGGATTTGTAGGAACTTCAGCAGCCGGCGAACGAGGACCTCTTGCAGGAAGGGAGAAGGGCCGGCGAAGTCGATTTGGAATAAATCTGGACCAACTAGATCGATCTTGACTGGCAGCATGACCGGGGATCCAAGTCTCATCACGCCTGCGCAGATGCTGATCTTGGTCGAGAGAGGTGTCTCCTTCATTCAGGTCGTTGGGATGTGACTGAGATGCCCTGCCGGGCAAAATCATATGGACTCGGAATCCATTGGCTCGACTGCCGTGGTGGGCGACGCGGGACGGCCGGAGGATTGCATCTACAGGGCTTGATGCAATCCGGCGGGCGCGACGGTCAGCTAACTGTGCTTCAGTCTGCGCACGAGGTTTGGGGACATAGTAATCGGCCTTGCACAAAGGACAGCACGCTCGTCTGCTCGTTAGCCATGGGTCGACACACGAGGCATGGAAGGCGTGCCCGCATGTCAATCCACGGACATCATCATCGTCCTCGATGACATCGAGGCAGATGGCACACGAATCCCCAGGGTTGGGCAAGAGATCGGCGGGAACCGCGTTGCGGATGTGCTCCTCTCCATCTTCAAGATCGATATCCTTGTTTTCGGACTGTTGCCATTTTTCTTGGATACTTGCGCGAGGGTCGTCTGATTTTGAGGTGGTCCCTGGCTCTGGAGAGACGCTTTGCTCCGGCAAGTCCAAATGGGAGCCTCGGGGCGATATTGGGGCCACGGATGAATGCATTTGATCGTGCCCTTTGGTAGGATGTGGTTCTGCAGCCGTAGAAACATTCACCACCGTGGTGACGACATCCCTCTCCTCCTTGAGGCTCTGCGGCCTGCTGTTGGGCGCGGTGATGCCTCCCTCGGTGGAAAGGCCTTGGTTGGCGCGAGATGACCTCCACACTTTGTATTTGACAAGTGGGAACCGCCCGTTTACTTCATCCATGGTCATGAGTTTCTTCTCCCTCCGCCTTCGAGGGGTCCGCGGCATCGTCGCCAGGTCGATCGGATCTCCGCTTTCTTCGCCCCGAAGCTGGCGATTTCGTTGATTGTAGCGGAAACAGTATTTCACGCCCACTATGATCCTGCGCGCATTGTTAGATGGCAGGATTCAGGCAACCGCAAGGTTTTGCCTCGTGAGCAAACCACACCACATACCAAAGGTTGGTAAACACCACGCCGAATCCCAGAGCAACAAAGAATAACAACGGCGAGCTTGTGGCATTATTCGACCCCGATCCCTCTCCGCCGCTTCCAGCCGTGGTTGTCGCAGCACTGCTAGAGGCTGTTGTTGACGTCGGGGACATTCTGAACGACGAGCGGGATAAGAGCGGGCACCCAGAGCTGGTTCAGTGGAAGAGTTAAGCCTGCCAATCGATCATGCCTGGTGTTCCGTGTACAGGTCCTGTATGTAATCCAAAGTCGACTCGTCCGACGGGGTTGAAATCGTAGGGAATCTCGAATCTAGTCAGACCTGTTACGGAGAACCGCAAGCAGGGGCTTCAAGGAGTTGAAGCAAAGGTATTCTCATATCAAAAGAGATCACAGAGAGAAGGGAAAGAGAGAGAAAAACGGACAAGAGTGGATCCGAAGTTCAAAGGCTGATCGATTTAAGGATGCGGAGACTGGTCACGGGACAACTTACTTCTCTCCTTGAGCTCTCTCTCTCTCTCTCTCTCTCTCCTTTATTATCTTCCTTATTGTCTTCCTTATAGATTCTCTCTCTGATGATCTTTGTCTCTAAGAACCCTTTCATCGGTGAGGGACATACCAATCGAGGTGAGACAATTGCCCCTTGTACTACGGATATTTCAATATAATGCCACACTACCCTACTATACTACTATACTACTATGCTGCTATACGACTCTATCCCAACTACACTACAAGCATTCTTTCTAATTTATGAATAGACCACATCAATAATTCTCAACTGTACTATCATCTTATTCTCGGGCCTAGAGAAGAGTAATCGTGTAGAAAAACCAAAGGCGGTGCGGACATGGCACTCTGCTTCTTCCATACTTCTACTCTCTCTCTCCTCTTCACTCAAGGCCACCTCTCACAATGACCAATCCTGTCGTCTTTTTTGATATCGCCCTTGGCGGTAGGTTCTGGTCCCCTTCGTGATAGCGCAGTAACTAACTCACCCTAGGAGAGTCACTCGGCCGGGTCAAAATGGAACTGTTTGCAGATGTCACCCCGCGAACAGCAGAGAATTTCCGCCAGTTCTGCACCGGCGAGACCAAAAATCCCAAGGGACAGCCTCAGGGCTACAAAGGCAGCAAGTTCCATCGAGTGGTACGTGCCAAAGCCCGCGAGATGCACGCGGAAACTAACCTGTCGTAGATTAAAGATTTCATGATCCAAGGTGGTGACTTCATCAATGGTGATGGTACTGGATCGTGTACTATCTATGGCACGCACAAGTTTGCCGATGAAAACTTCAATCTGAGCCATGATCGCCCGGGCTTGTTGAGCATGGCTGTGAGTCCCAAATCGCTCTGATCAGAATGCTTTGCTGACATCCGCCAGAATTCGGGCCCGCACACCAATGGCTGTCAATTCTTCATTACAACCACAGCGACTCCATTCTTGAACAACAAGCATGTGGTCTTTGGTCAAGTCATTGACGGTATGGAGATTGTGAAAATGGTCGAACAGACGCGCACCACCAAAGACAAACCCAATCAAGATGTCACAATCGTGCAGTGCGGAGAAATGTGATCAGCTTCAATACATTTACTATCTCATTTACTAGATTCACCAAGCTGGCCCATCATTTCCATGTCAATTTGATACTAAGCATCTGGACCTTGCTGTTTTTGTTTTTCTCTCATTTGGTTTCAATGGCGGACATGATATCCCACCGAGAAGCAAAGGGGTAGAAAGGTGGGTTTGAAAAAAAAAAAAAAAAGTAGAACATGAAGATGCGGTCAAATAAATGACACTAGAGCTTGAACTTGCTCAAATAGTCTGCAGCCAGGGAGATGGCATCCTCCACCTTGTCAGCGTTGGTACCGTTTCCAACGGATGTAGCTCCCTTTCCTCCGGCCTTTCCACCAACAGCACCAGAAACAACGGCCGCCCACTCGCTCGCAGAAGCACCCTGGTCACTCAATTCCTGCAAAACAGTTAGTTTATACCCCACGCATTGGATGTAGGAAATCAACTCACCTGAGCGATGTAACAGCCGTGTGAGACCCGACCTTGTTCCGAGTCTGCGGCCAAGAGATACACACTCTTGCCTTGCAATTTGGATTTGACATGGTTCAGGGACTCGCTGACAGCCTTGGAGTTCGCCGAAATAGGCAGCTGGACCACAAGCCACGACTTGTCCTTGTTCTCTGGGGCCTCGAAGTACGAGGTGATGGTGTCAACGGCTTTCTTGGACTCCAACTTTTGCTGAGCCTTTTGGCCGTCAAGAACCTGCTTGTTGATCTTGGCAAAGCGGTCGCGGAGGCGGGCCTTTTCCACAGCGGAGGTGGTGAGCTGGTTGAGATCCACCTGGACCTGCTTGGCCTCGCGTTCCTTCTCAGGACCCAAGGGCAAACTGTTGAGCTTGTCAAGGCGCTGGCTAAACGCCTGGGCAATGCGCTGCACCTCATGTGCTTCCTCGCCAGTGACGGCGATGATGCGACGAATGCCCTTGGCGATGCCGTTCTCCTCCAGGATGACCAGATCCTTGATATCGCCCGTCTTTTGGACATGGGTTCCACCACAGAATTCAATGCTGACCTCTTGCCAGCGGGGATCCTTCACATTCTGGAGAATCTCTTCCAGCTCCACGCCGACGGAGACAACGCGGACGGGATCGGGGTAGGTCTCACCAAATACGGCACGGACGCCAGAGATCTGCTGAGCGGTGGCGAGAGGGACTTCCTGGGAGTAGACCGCACAGTTTTGGCGGATGTACTCGGTAGCCTTCGCTTCAATCTTCTCCAGCTCAGCATCGGAAATCGCGCTCTTGTGGGAGAAATCAAATCGAAGCTTTTCGGCTGCCACCAGAGAGCCCTTTTGGTCCACTGCATCACCAAGAACTTCCTTGAGGGCGAAGTTCAAAATGTGAGTTCCGGTGTGGTTGTTGCGAATGGGCCAGCGGCGGAGCTCATCATACTCGCAGATCACGGAATCGCCGACGGCAAATGATCCGTACTTCATGAAACCGGTGTGCAATACGTACCCAGCATAAGACTGGACGTCGCCGACTTCGAGTTCCGCCTGTCCATCAATGATGATCTTACCTGTGTCGTTTTCTTGACCACCCTGCTCGGCATAGAAGTTGGTACAGTCGAGGATGACACCAAGCTGCGCTCCTTCGGGCACGTTGTCGGTGCTGCTGTGGAACTGCTTGCCGTGGTAGATGGCCTTGACGTGAGAGGTGATGTTGCCCCGGCCAAACTTGGCAGAGTCATCGGTCTTGTGAACGTCGTTCATCTTCTCCAGGTTTCCGAGGTCGTGGACATCGAGCTTGACGGTGTTCTCTGCGGTCTTCTTCTGTCCCTTACTAGCTTCCTTAGCCTTCAGGCGGGCTTCCTCGAACTCGACATCGTCGATGCAGAGACCACGCTCCTCGGCCATGATCCGGGTCAGGTCAACGGGGAAACCAAAGGTATCATACAGTCTCCAAACATCGGCTCCGTGGAGCTTTTCGGTGCCCTTGACCTTGCATTGCTGAGCGTACTGCTCAAACTGACGCTCACCTCGATCCAAGGTCTTGGCGAACGAGAGCTCCTCCTCGTCCAAGATCTCGATGACGTCCTGCTGCTTGCGTCTGAGTTCGGGGAACATGTCACCCAGCTGGTCGACCACAGTGGGCACCAGCTTGGCGAAGAAGTTACCGATCTCGACCTGGAAGTATTTGCGGGCATAGCGAGCACCGCGACGCAGCACACGACGAATCACGTACCCACGGCCCTCATTGTTGGGGATGACACCGTCGGAGATCGCAAACATCAGGGTACGGACGTGGTCAGCAACGACACGGTAGGCCGTGTCGATTCCGTCGACATCATCGGCGCCGAAGTGACCGCGGTATTCGCGAGCACCGGTGGCATTCTGGATAGCCTGGAAGATGGGGGTGAACACGTCGGTGTCGTAGTTGGAGGACTTGTCTTGCAGGATAGACACCAATCTCTCGAAGCCCATACCGGTGTCAACGTGCTTGTTGGGGAGAGAGCGCAGGGAGCTATCTGCCTCGCGGTTATATTGAATGAAAACGTTGTTCCAGATCTCCAGGACGTTGGGGTCGTCTTCGTTGACAAGATGAGCAGCGTTACGTCCACCGATCCGGTCGTAGTGAACTTCACTGCAGGGTCCACAGGGACCTTGGTCACCCATCTCCCAGAAGTTGTCTTTCATGTCTCCGGGAAGGATGTGATCTTCGGGGACACCCACGGACTTCCACAGTTCCTTGGCCTCCAGGTCCGGCTCGAGACCACCCGCCTCACTCCCCTCGAAGTAAGTGACGTAGAGACGGTTCGGGTCAAGGCCATAGACCTCGGTCAACAGGGTCCACGAGTATGTGATGGCTTCCTTCTTGAAGTAATCTCCGAAACTCCAGTTACCGAGCATTTCAAAGAATGTCTAAGGCGGTTTAGCAACTCTGGTCCTCTGAGAGCGAAGATACTGTATCACGGGGCGCTCTTACGTGGTGGTAGCTGTCCTTGCCCACATCATCCAGATCCTATACTCAACTCAGTCAGTATATACTCAACCCATCATCCAGCTTCATCTTTGAACACCCACGTTGTGCTTTCCACCGGCGCGAAGACACTAAAAAAAAACCCCCAGCGTTAGTACCCAACTGACCATTGTGCGTGGGGACGTTCGGTGAATTCCTACTTTTTGCGAGTTCGCCGCACGCTTCAGCTTGCCAAAGTCCGACGAGGGGTCCACGGTTCCCAGGAAAATGGACTTGAACTGGTTCATACCCGCATTGGTGAACAGCAGGGTTGGATCCGACAAGGGAGCGACGGGGGATGAGGGAACTATAGGCGATCATCTCAGTATGGCGGGGGTTTTTGGAGGGGTCAAAAAAAAGAAGAAAACGAACAACGACCGGGCAATGGAAGGAAGACGTACCAAAGGTATGGCCATTTTGCTTAAAATAGTCCAAGAAAGTGTCACGGACACGCTGAGCGGACCAGTCTGCGGTGTTCGAGGCCATCCTGGGGGTGAAAGGGTTGAGTGACGGAGGGAGAACAAAGCGAGGGTAGAAGGTTCTGGGGGAAAAGATATGAGTCAAGGCCCCGTTCCTCACAAGCACCCGCATCGAGAAAAACCCCCTCAGAGATATGAGCGCGACCCCGGATTCCGCTCCCTGGATCTGGTCAATTCTCTCCTGCTTTCTCTCTTCCTTCGTGGATGGCGCGCGATGAAGAAATTCACGGGAAGAAGCGCCCGGCCCCAGCTGACCCCGATGCGCAACCGCTAGCAAAGCGATTTGGTCGACTCCGAATCGGTAAGGCTTTCCCCTTCTCTTGCTCCGTGAATGGTCAGGGAAAATGTAGGAGATGAGGTTGACGTTGTTTTGATTCTTTTCTTGTTCTCTAGATAATCGCGTGCCTATCGCCGCTCGGGCCAAATCCAAGGGGGATTCTGATCCCTCTCCACCGTCCGATACCATGCTGTTGGATGACACTCCCCACACCACCTACATTCATAATTTGGAGCAAGAATTGGCCGACGTGGACTCGCCCGGTCTGGTCTTTGCCCCGTTCGCCGAGAAAGTGTTATCGGTACCGCAATCGGTGCTCTACACCAAACCCACGGGGACCGAGGTGGTTCTCTATACCGAACCCACCTCGTTGACCGTGCCTCAGGATCATGATAACGTGCGCAAGGCGATCTTGGAGTCTCGAGCCCGGGCCCGAGAACGCAATACGACGGCTGCCCTGTCGAGAACCAGTGACCCTGTTCCTACTGACACTACCACTACCATGACTACAATGGCTCCCGAGACTACGGAGGGAGAGGGGGATGAGCATGATGCGATGGAGATTGACGAATAGGGAGTAGAGCATCTACCACGGCCTATATTGCCCACAGATAGGAATATAGGCACTCTGTATACTCTCTGTAGAGGTCGAATATCACCAAATAGCCAAGTCCAAACAAAACGGACAGAAACCCGTTGAGTCACATGACTTACCGCCTTTGAATTTTTTGCGGTTGTGGCACTCGATTAAATATGCACTCGGCTTCGATCGAAAAAAATTTCCTCTTTCCCCCACCATCCCTCCAAATCCCTCCCTTTCATTCCCATACCAATTATCATAATGGCCGACACTGAGGTCTTCGACGGTGCCGTCGGTATCGATCTGGGTATGCTCTTCAAGACTCGATTTTTGAAAACGCACAGCTAATTAGGGCTTTTTGCAAAATTTAGGTACCACCTACTCTTGCGTTGCCAACTACGAGGGCACCAATGTCGAGATCAGTACGCTTCTGTCTCTTCCAATGAGGAATTGTGGGCACAATACTGACTGCTGAATTAGTCGCCAACGACCAGGGTAGCTACACCACCCCCTCCTTCGTCTCTTTCACCGACAAGGAGCGTCTCATCGGTGATGCCGCCAAGAACCAGGCTGCTATGAACCCTGCCAACACCATCTTCGATATCAAGTGAGTACCCATGGGGAGAATTTCGCCTTGAAATTTCGATCTGTTGCGCATTCCCCACAATTGGGGTTTGCCTGATAGATATATATGGGGCTTTGTGAGGAATCTGTGTGAACTAACATGAGATCAGGCGTCTGATTGGTCGCCGCTACGATGACCCCATCGTCAAGAAGGATGTTGAGTCCTGGCCCTTCAAGGTCATCGACCAGGGTGGCAACCCCGTTGTCCAGGTCGAGTACCTCAACGAGACCAAGACCTTCACTCCCCAGGAGATCTCCTCCATGGTCCTCATGAAGGTAATGCCCACCAACCACTCAAGATCATCGAAACGGCTTGCTAATACCCGAAACAGATGAAGGAAGTTGCTGAGATCAAGCTCGGCAAGAAGGTTGAGAAGGCCGTCATCACCGTGCCCGCCTACTTCAACGACAACCAGCGTCAGGCTACCAAGGACGCCGGTGCCATCGCTGGCCTGAACGTTCTCCGTATTATCAACGAGCCTACCGCTGCCGCTATCGCTTACGGTCTCGGTGCCGGAAAGTCCGAGAAGGAGCGTAACGTTCTCATCTACGATCTCGGTGGTGGTACCTTCGATGTTTCCCTGCTGAACATCCAGGGTGGTGTCTTCACCGTCAAGGCCACCGCTGGTGACACTCACCTTGGTGGTCAGGACTTCGACACCAACCTCCTTGAGCACTTCAAGAAGGAGTTCCAGCGCAAGACCGGCAAGGACCTCTCCGGTGATGCCCGTGCCCTCCGTCGTCTCCGCACTGCTTGCGAGCGTGCCAAGCGTACCCTCTCCAACGCTACCCAGACCACCGTTGAGATCGACTCTCTCTTCGATGGTGAGGACCTCAACTCCTCCATCACCCGTGCCCGTTTCGAGGACCTGAACGCCAAGGCCTTCTCCGGTACCCTCGACCCCGTCCAGCAGGTCCTCAAGGACTCTGGCATGCCCAAGAACAAGGTTGACGAGATCGTCCTTGTCGGTGGTTCCACCCGTATTCCCCGTATCCAGAAGCTCCTGAGCGACTTCTTCGATGGCAAGAAGCTCGAGAAGGTATGTTTCAAACCCCCCACGAGAGAGAGAGAGAGATGTCTCTCGTCATTTTCCACCTAGATGTATCACTAACTCATCTTTTTACAGAGCATCAACCCCGATGAGGCTGTTGCTTACGGTGCCGCCGTTCAGGCCGGTATCCTCTCCGGAAAGGCCACCTCCGCCGAGACCGCTGACCTCCTCCTTCTGGATGTTGTCCCTCTCTCCCTCGGTGTTGCCATGGAGGGTAACATCTTCGCCCCCGTTGTCAACCGTGGCCAGACCGTCCCCACCATCAAGAAGCGCACCTTCACCACCGTTGTCGACAACCAGCAGACCGTTCAGTTCCCCGTCTACCAGGGTGAGCGTACCAACTGCGCCGACAACACCTCCCTCGGAGAGTTCACCCTCGCTCCCCTTCCCCCCATGCGCGCCGGTGAGGCCGCTCTCGAGTGTGTCTTCGAGGTTGACGTCAACGGTATCCTGAAGGTTACCGCCACCGAGAAGTCCTCCGGCCGCACTGCCAACATCACCATCTCCAACGCTGTCGGCAAGCTCTCCAGCGCCGAGATCGACCAGATGGTTGAGGATGCTGACAAGTTCAAGTCCTCCGACGAGGCCTTCACCAAGCGCTTCGAGTCCCGCCAGCAGCTCGAGTCTTACATCTCCCGTGTTGAGGAGATCGTCTCCGACCCCAGCATGTCCATGAAGCTCAAGCGCGGCAACAAGGAGCGCATTGAGTCCGCTCTCTCCGACGCCATGGCCCAGCTCGAGGTTGAGGACTCCTCCCCCGAGGACCTCAAGAAGAAGGAGCTTGCTCTCAAGCGTCTGATCACCAAGGCTATGGCCACACGGTAAATGCATACATTGGACGACATGAACATAGACTTACGGCCAACGAATTTTCCTCTTTCCCGAGACTCGGCTTCTCAGGGAATCTGCACCTAGACCCAGGGCAGAGTTGGTCTCTGTCACGCTTTGTTTATGAAGCCGGGCTTTTGGGCGCAGTTTTCTTTTCTTGAAAAGTACGATTTGTTTTGTTTTTTGTAGACGAAGTTCACCATCTGCAATTTAATGACATTGTGATGACCTTGTCGCTATTATTATTATCTCTTCTTTTGTTCTCAACACTTTGTAGTGACTTTGTAGTGACTTTGTAATGACCATGGCATAACTATATCAATCTGGAACTTAGCCAGACCTCGAGGCCTACAATGATGTACTTGAAAGTAGTCGTATGGCGCATAGCATGTGGCGTGTGGTGTGGTTCCAAGCTACGCTTTGGTCTCGGGCAAGGCGGAGCTCGACCTCCAATTTTGAACTTCCACATCTCCCTCAACCTACTCCCGCCATGCAACGCATAATAACCCACTCAACTCGTTCAATTGCCTTTCGAATTCCAACCGCACGCCCTCAACGGCTGCAGCCACTACAGGTCCTGTCCAGCGTTCAACATGCGACACCTCTAAACAGTCGCAGCTTCGCCATTTCCCCTACATTATACAAGAAGAAGGACAAGGCCAAGAAGAGCGCAGACCCTGAGCCTGTCGAGACTGTGAACGCTGCAGAGGATCCATTTGATCTTTCTCAATTGCACAATGGGATTTCCACCGCCGTGGCCCGGTTAAAGGATGATCTATCCAAGCTCCGCGCAGGAGGACGGTTCAACACTGCAGTCTTGGAGAGCTTGCGAGTCCACCTAAGCAAGGACAGTAAAGACACTATCAAACTTGGAGATCTCGCGCAAGTCGTTCCCAAAGGAGGTCGTATGGTCACTCTTTTGGCTGCTGAAGAGGATGTGAGTTCGCCATGCGCCGGAAGCGTTATTTTTTTTCCCAAGCCTTTTCATTCAGAATGCCCGACCGTCATAGCTAACGCAGTTGGATAGCACTTGAAACCTCTCACTTCAGCAATCGTCTCTTCGAACCTATCCTTGACTCCCCAGCCTGATCCTCACAACACCCTCCAGCTCAACATTCCTATCCCACCACCCACCAAGGAATCTCGGGATAAAAATGTGCAAGCAGCAAAGCAGGCCTTTGAGAAGGCGTCTGGTGTAGTGCGCGACTCTAGAGGCGCCTTACACAAGCGTCTTCAGGATTTGCAAAAGAAGAAGCTCGCCCGTCCAGACGACGTGCGCAAAGCCCACGATCAGATGGAAAAGGTTACAGAGCAAGGCCACAAGGAGGTCAAAGATGCGTTTGACGCCGCTAAAAAGACCCTGGAACAGGCATGATTGCTTTGAGCAACGCGAAAGGATCGAAGTAACTGGCGAATTTGTACATCTAAATCTATCACCGAAGCAAATTTTGGATAAAGTATGGAAAAGACACCATGACAAAAAATATATAATACAAACACTTCTAATTTACTTCACATATCATTGAACAATCTTCTTGGGGCTCTCCTTGGCCACTTGGCCCGTAACAAGCTTTTTTCCCGGGTTAACGAGATCATTCAGCTTCCTCACAAAGTCCTGAGATTGATGCAGGCTAAAGGTCGCATTTTGTCTGAGTCTGTCTTGCGCCCTGCTCAGCTCACGATGATCGTAGCTTGGCGTGTTTCCAGCGTGAGGGTAGACACCATGAACGAGCGGCTGCACATGTTTCTGCATGTCACGGTTCTCGGGCGTGTGGTTGAGGAAAGAGATTTCTTTGGGCTCGCAAAGTTTACCAAGACGCCGTGAGTGCATGTTGGCATAGCGTTGGCTCACGCGTTCGGCCTCTTTCAGGGCCTCGGCCTTTTCAGTCTCGCTGTGGAAAACGGTTGTTCGCTTCTCGTAAAGTCTGCGTCCGAGCTCACGGGTCGAGAGGTAACCGCCCGCAATCCGGCCACCGCGGCGAGAGAGCTCCTGGTAAACGGCAGCTGAGCGAGCATTGGAGTCTGTGGGGATTCTGGGCCACGTAATGCGCAGTGAAGAGAGACTGACTTCCTGTGGCTCGTAGCGAACAGGAGTGGGTCGGGCATCGACGATTTGTTGCTGCTGGACTTGCTCGATGAGCTTCCCCATGGCGTCTTCTTCGCCCTGGTCGCCATCGGCAGAATCACGCTTGCGTCGAGGGAATTTTCCCTTGCCCTTGCCTTTTCCCTTGACAAATGGTTTGGCGTTACGCTTGAAAGGTTGACCGCTGGATTGACCGCCTGGACGACCACCTGGACGAACGCCGGGACGACCACCGGGAGGACCGCCGCGGGTTCTGGGGCTGCGGATGATTTTGGGCTGCTCTCCACCACCGGCCTTTGACGCGGCAAACGATCTAGCGTCAATCACCCGAGGGGGGCGAGTGTAATTCGGGTTTGAGCGAGGGGGCCCATTTGGGTTGTGAGGTCGGCGGTTGGGGGCAGCCGACGAAGGACGAGGATTATGTCTGCCATTTCCTGGGATGCAATGTCAGGAATCACACCAAGTAATCAAGGCCAAAGAATTGCAATTGGATCTCTTGCATTGCCTTGCGATTGAGTACCTACCAGATGGTGCAGATGGCCGGGGTTGATCCTCTGCCACCGTACGGGTGTAGGAGAATTGGCGCGCGGGCGTGAAAAGACCCAGTTTCACACGCTCACAGCGCAGAGAGATCTGCCTCAGCTGGGGGCGAATCATCTCGTGTATTGTGTGTCTCTGGACCGGAGGTAGAGACGAGTCTTGACACCGCGGGTCATCAACACGGAGGTTGAAGGAAAATGCATGCACGTGACATACCGCCCTCCCGACCCATCAGCATCTATACCGAAACTCCTCCTACAACAAGCCTTAAGTCGTCTAATCCTCTTGACTTCCACTATGCTTCGCCGCAAGCCAACGGCTATTGCCATTACCTCAGAAGACTTGGCTACATTTGAAGAATCCAGGCTGCGAAAACTGTCCGAAGAAAACAAGCAAAACGAGTCACTCTCCAAGGGAGCTTCCAATGCCCACTTCGACCCCAGCGATGAACTGAAGCCTCTTCCCGGTGACAAGGCTAGGATTGTCAGATCGCGCGAAGAACGGATAGGCCTTGGTGGACGTGCTTGATTCGTTTACTGCTGCATCAAATCCTCTGGACGAACAGGCTATCCCACGTTCCGCCAACACGAGATTCAAAGCTTGGTCATGACCTACTGCCCAGCATGTCTGGTTTTGGATTTGCATTAAATTCCTATTACCCATAAATCAAGGAAACCAGGCAGAGTCACGTCATGGGCAACCAAGAGACGACCAGTGGCTCCACCACCATCTTGAGATTTATCCACTCGCAACCCAGAGTGTGCCTATTTCCACGCCAACTGGACATACATACCCCCCCGTGCAAAGACGTTCTTGAGAAACACCGGTCTCTACGCTATTCCTGCGATCTGTCCCATATAAACGTCCGGCAATTTGAACCATATCATATCAGCCAATGTCTATTTCTTTCCAGTACAATAGATTCGTTATGACAATGAGATCAGGCCGTGGAACCATGTTCGGATACATATCGAGACTCGACATTTCAGCCATCGTACACTAACTTAATGTGACATTTGAGTTCTCTCTGGATCTCCACTATTGTAGCGATGCTCATTCGCTATGGTGCTTCATACATATAGGAACAAAATATATCTCTCTCAGTCTATCCTCGTTGGCGTTTGGACATGCCGTCAGAGGCCATGTCACCTGGATAGTTCCACCGTCTTTTCATTCCTTGTGGGTCGTATACACTGGCAACACTTTGCTGCCAATCTCGCGCGGAGAACACCACCGGGGGTGCCTGGAATTGTGGAGGGGAGAGTGATTGGGAGGAGGTGACGGAGGGTACCTTGTGAGGTGTTTCGTACTGGACGGGGTATTGAGAGTTCATGACGTTTTGTACACCAGGTACCGTGTTGTTGATGGGCATCGGCGGAGAGTTCGCACTGACGGTGGAGGGGTTCACGGAAAAGGCCATATCCCATTGCCTATAGTGAACGGTAAGTATGTGTCTGACGAGGATGACGAGACTGCACTCGGAAACTTACGTTATAATGCGGGTTGGATCCCAGCTCTGTTCGTCGACCAATGGGGCGTCCATTGGATGGGTAGTGGGGGGTTGATGGGCGACCATTCCGAGGGATTGTAACTGAGAAGAGGCGTCGGACTTCGAGTCTTCAGCACCAGCCGATATAGGAGGAGTTATTGGAAGCGCATGGAAACCCACTCTGGATTGGACTTGATTCAAGTGTGGATGATAGTGTGCATCCATCGGCGGACTGGGCTGATAAGGCTCCGAGGGACTTCCGTAGGGGAAACTGGGTTTCAGTTCAAAGGGATGGTGCATGTCGGCGGAGAAAGCCAGTCTGAGGGAATCAATTTGAGCCTGGATCTCAGGCATGGGCCAGGCGGTTGAGCAGGTCTCCAGGATTCTCATGTGACGGGTGAAGAATTCCCGGGCATCTGAGTTGAACTCGGGGTCCGGGGAGGTGATGGCAACCTGCCAGTGTCAGAAAATTGCGGCAAAAAGATCGATCCATACAAGCGTCTCAATACTCACTAGGTGCAACATTGTACATGTCAGAATACAATAAATGGCAAAGTTGATACCCCGCTGCATATAGAGCAGACCCGAAAGACCGAACCGTTGTAAGATAGCTTCCTGTAGTCGACAAAGGCTCTTTGCTGATGAATAGCACAACGACATGTGGATCTTCCATTCACCCCCAGCGGCGAAGGATTGGGAGGCAAGAAGCTGAGGGCGATGTAACAGAATGATAGCAAGGTGGCAATGAGAGTGCATGTTGCCCACGAAGTGAGAAGGAAGCCATGGCGGGGAACCATCGGCTGGGTAGTTGACCTGTAGATCAGAAGGCAGGGTTCGAAGCCAATCTGCGAAAAGGGGGTTGTTCTGTACGAATCGGGCATCCGCGCCCCAATCCTTTTGCTTTTTAACTTTGTGGTAGATATCTGTGATGATGCGAATGTGATGTGCGTTGCGGACAAAATAGGCATACTGTCTTGAACGATCAATTTCGTAGTGATCAAGTCCTCTGATGTCCAAAACCGGGCGCATGTCCACCGTCTCGGGATCAACTCCGTAGTCGGAACGACCTGCGGTGGTCAGCTCAATCCTCGCTTTGCTTTGGCTCTACATTCTAAAGTAAAAACTTACCTTGCGGCGCACCGATCATGACCTCAACGACCAAAAGGGCCTGCCAGACTCGAGTGTGTACCAAGCATTCAATTGGGCTGAGACCACAAGGCTTGCCCTCAGCATGGTTGCTATAGTGCTCGTGAATGTCCAGGTCTTTCGCCATCGAGACAATGGTCTTAACCGTCTGCCAAGACCTATAATAGTAACCCTTCTTGGGCAGTGATTCTCGGGCTTTCAGCAAGAGAAGCAACGCTTGAATGGTGCTCAGGCGAGGCACATCCATGAAGCTAGTTTCATGTCCTGGATGCTGTTAGTCTCACAAAGCCATAGCAGTAGAAGGTCATTTCTCGTAAGCCAATGCAAAGAAAGAAAGAAAACTTACGGTTAGCCAAAGCCAGCCACTGAGCTCCTTCGGCAGGCTCATCAGATAATCGACCGGCACATGCAAAGAGAGCCTCAAGAAGAAGGGGTGAAATGGAGCGGCGGTCGTGCTGCCACTGGTAATATAAATGGGCTCGTGAAATGACCGGAACATAAGGGTGTATCTCATCAAAATAGATCTTGAAATAAGCCATCACATCATCTTCCGCGGGCATCAACTCGGGCGGAATTCGAATTGTAGCACCCGACCCGGTGCTCAAAGGAGGCAATCGCTCTTCAGTTTCATCCTGAACAGGAGCATCGGGTTCAACCCGATCTGTCCGTTGTCTTCTTATATATGGAGCTTTTGGTGGAGAGAAGAGTTAGTCAATCGACACGTGGGTCTGCCACCGCTAGCACGAAGGGAAGGTTCCATACCGATTCCGGTCTCGTCAATCTTGAGTTCCCCAAGTACTTCACTGAGGTTCTCCGCAGTTGACTGATCATTATCAATGTACAAGCTTCTATCTGATGTACCCATCGATGGTGTTTGCGGCCCAGTATACATCTGAGGTTGTTGGTAGGCTTGAGGGGGCATTGTCATCGGTGGCGAGCGAAGGTCATTGTACATGGCCGGCTGGGCCTGGGGAGGAACAAATTGGGAATACATGTTCATCTGGTCGTATGAGGGCATGGTGTTCATGGGTTGGCTGTTATTCCTGTACACCGGTGGAACTGGGAATGCGTGACCATCGACTGAGTTGGATGGACCCCCTGTCTCCATCGTGGACTCACCCTGGCCGTCTGGGAGAAAGTCCCCATCTTGCCCGATGGTGGGAGGAACACAGACCAACTTGAGTCGAGTACACGCAGAGCACGGCCAGGTATTTGTCGTGGCTGCATCACACTTAATTTTTCTCTTTCGGCAACCATTACAGGCTCGCATCACTAAACGAGGTCAGTATTATGTTTATGTATGATATACGATGGGATCTTATTCCCTACCCTTTAGTCGCTTGTGTCGGTTATGTTCATCAACAAATACATAATCTGCATCCAGGAGAAGAGGCCAGAATTAGCGAGCGTATCAACGGACCAGAAATGCTCTCAACCTACTCTTTTGACCCTCTTTGGGAGGCCCCGCTGGGGGCGCAAATGAGTATCCTTGCATGGCTTGGTTGGGTTTGGAGGTCAGACTCGGGAGGATTGTGCAGGCTGCGAGGACTGCGAGGTGTGAATGGAATTGCTTGAGTGAAAGACAATCCGGGTATCAAAAACTATTGCGCATTAACGAACTGTCCACAAGGGCCTGCCCTGGGAAATGTCGAAGAAAGTCGAGAATCGAAAAGAATCGCAACGGGCCGCGGATTTGTGGTGTACAAGCACTGTTGTTATTGCCGAATGAATAGCGAAGACCGACGGAGTGGTGTTGGGTGGTCGCAAAAGAGGCGGATTGATCAAGGCCAGTTACAGTTGACGAAATACCCTGTACAGTCCGGTGGAAGGCCAAGCTAACGGCTCAGATTGACAGACTGGCCTAAGTGGGGACGAATCGCACAAGGTCGAGGCCAAAATTGCGCGTCGAGCGATGGGGGAGAGTTGGAGGATGGAAGCACCAGGTATCTTGCGCGAGGCGACCGCGGTGACAGGCAGGGAATTCTACGTTAACTTAGTACACCCGGTCTCATTAGCCTCCGGACCACCCGAGGAGCGAACCAGCGCTTACCAGAGTGATCGCATCCAGTACTCCGCAATTCAATGCATGTCGCAATTGGAATGAGAAGCGCGGAGTATTAGCACCGGAGCGCAAGTGGAGGCATAGGGGGCGAATAAATTCCAAGGAAAAGAAAAAGAAGAGCCCGAGAAGTCTTAAGCACAAAGAAGCTAGAAGGAGAGGAGGATCCAAAGCTGAGGAGGGGGGGGAGAAGACAGAAGAGAGCGAGAGAGCGAGAGAGGTAAGGTGAGAGGATCCAATAGCGCCGCTGTGGGTTTTCCCTGAGTGGAGGAGGGGGCGATCCGGAATATCGTGATTTGCTTCCCACCGTGATCTTTTGCTTTGAGGGCCCTGACGGAGGACAATATAAGGATCTACAGGTGATTGGGATGATTATTGGAATTTTCCAGGGTTTTTCCCTGCTTGAATGGCCGGAATATGTCCAGGTGGATGGGTGTATAAGACACCGGTAGATGTCCGAGAGGGTCTCCACACTGATATTGAATAGGATTCCACGCTGAATGTACTATAATCCTGATGGGGTTAAGATGATCCAGTAGCGACTACACGTATTAACACTATTAACGCCTAGAGGCTGGAGTATAGTAGCCCTAGTATGGAGTACTCCTCCGTATCAGTATATACATGTACTCCGTAGGCGTGGAAGTACGAAGTGCTCCATACTCCATACATGAAATGCAGAGAGCCAAAGTAGTGTCAGCACTATGTATACTCCGTACTGGAGTCCAGTGTAATCATAAATTAAGGCGCATGGATGAAACAGCCTAAGGGGGCATTAGGGGAAAAAGAGAGACAATGGCAGTTTGGAAGAAAGCCTCGGTAACTCAGCTCAATTATAAATCCGAATCCGAAAATCCCCCGAATAAGCCTGTCGATCCCTCCCGAACCGCTGGGTTGAGCTTATGATCTACTTGATATTCCCTTCGAGAGTGTATAGATATAGACATATAGTATTATCATGTACGATATAGAGTGAATATCCTCAATAGATCTGTAATATACGACTGTAACAAGTATTATACGTCAGATCATGTGTTCTGTACAGAATTGATGATGTAATTCTTTTTTTTCTTTTTTTTTCTTTTTAGGCAAATTACACATCACGTGAGATAACCTTCCCTTATCGGAGTTTATCGTCCCCTCTCAGACTCACGACTCTCTCAGTGTACACTACCCTCGTCACCCACTATATCGTCCGACATCATGACAGAAGTGCAGAACTCAAACCCCACAATTCTCGATGCCGCAGATCTCCCCACACGTCTGCGGCCATCCACCCAAAAGTCAGCGGACCAGGGCCTCTTCACCTCCGCCTTGCCCCTCCCTGCAGACTTTGATAGTGCGTCATCTGACTCCGACGATGACAACCTACTCGAGGAGCCAATCGACGAACAGGAAATCTATGGTACGTGACAATGTAAAATCTCCAGGGGCCTGACGCCTCTCGTGCCGTGGAACTCTCGCTCAAACCGGAACCAGATCTGATTTCCACCATCTCCGACCCGGAACACCCCATCTCCCTGGGTGAACTAGCCGTGGTATCCCTGCCAGACATTGAAATCAAGCCAACTCTACCCAATGTGCCAGACTCCCCGCTGCAAACGGTCACCGTCCTCATCACTCCGACTATCACCCACTGTAGTCTGGCTACGGTGATCGGATTAGGTGTGCGCGTGCGTCTTGAACAGTCTCTGCCGGCACGATTTCGCATGGATGTGCGCATCAAGGAAGGGACTCACAGTACGGGGGATGAAGTGAACAAGCAGTTGGCCGACAAGGAGCGAGTCGCCGCCGCCTTGGAGAACGGCGCGCTGATGGGTGTCATTGCCAAAATGATGGAAACCTGCCAATGAGATCCTGCCAGCACACACTGTATACTGTAAATATAATTTCGTCCCGTTAAGGTTGATGAATACCTATCGGCGAACGCAAGGACGCCCTCGTGACGACCGCTTATGACGAATGACCAGATCTTGAATGACTTGCATTGAAATCTTGATTAGAAGTACATAGAAGCAACATTAATCTACGTGAAAATGTTGACAGACTCCCCCCCGTGGCCAAACCCATTTTGATATAGTTTTTGCATTCCTCTCAGAGCCAAAAGATGCAAGATCATGAGTCCAAAACACCGCTTTCCTTCAATCCCTTCCAAAGCTCGGGCTCCAAGAATTTGCTCACTGTAACATCCTCAGCGAGACCCTTGCGTCTTCTGGTCTTCAAGACAAAGTCGCGCGCTGTGGCCATGGCGGAAGCTTGTTCCAAGGGCTTCAATTGGACATCCCGATCCAGAGGGTCGCCGGGGACGACGCTCCACTTGTCGAAAGCAAGGTGGACCATGGCTTGACCCTGGGTGTGGATACGAAGATCGGTCTCAAAGCCAAAGGAATCAATGACGGGGATCAAGCCGCGAACAGAGTACAGAGGCGTTCCGGCGATAGGGCCATCGGACAGAACGTGACCACGTCGGCGGGCGAGAACGGTGTACACCGACGAGATGGAGTCGGCGGGACCAGTCATCGACACGGAATAGACAGGCTCCATGAGACGCGGGGAGGCCATGAGGAATGAAGAGTACACAGCGCGACGGGCAGTGGGGATAATCTGACCACCACCGCGGTAGATGGCTTGGTCGGCCAGGGACACGTCTGTGAGTCTGAACTTTGTGTTGCGAATGGCTAAACTCCAATTAGTGTCACATTCAGTCATTTACGCCGAGAGGGGGAGCTCATTGGCCGTATGAGAAAGAGGGTTAGGTAAAGACTTACGTTCTTCACACAGAGGACCTTCTCGTGCACCCCAACTGAAACCCTGAGTGATGGAGTCCCGTACCGTTCCAAGAAGCTTCTTGTCTACTTGTGAGGGCAATGTGTCATCCTGGAGGATATTGGGGCCCATCTCATCGGGTCCAAACGCCCAGATGCTTCGGGCGGCAAGCTTGTCCCAATCATAGTTGTCCTCGAAGTATCGAGCAACCTTCCGGATCGGGTCCTTGATGCTGACTTTGCCACTTTCAATGTCCTCTGCAATGCCCTCATCCAATGGCTCCGCGATCATGGTAATCTTGTTCTTCTTGTTCGGGGTGATCGAGTAACACATGATAGCGGATGTTTCTACCACGGTCTCACAGAAACGCGTGACAGGATCAGAGACCTTGATTTCCATCTCTGAGTACAGTTTTCGCAGGTCGTGCAGCACACAATCCATGTATAGTTCACCAGTACCCAGAACAATGTGCTCACCGGATTCTTCAACCTTGGTGGAGATGAGAGGGTAGCTTTTGTTAATTTTCCGGAGTCCGTCCAACATCTTGGGAAGTTCCGAGGGGTTCACAGGCTCCACAGCGACCTTGAACACCGATTCAGTCATGTGTCGAATGGGGCGGAAGATATGAGCCTCCTCGTCATCCTCGAGTTTGAGCGGGACGAGCGTTGCAGTCTTGACAATAGAGTTGTCGACGCCACCCAGAAGCACCCAGTTACCGGCGGGAACACCATCGGTGGAGATGTTGTAACGAGTTTCCGCAATCCACGTGTCGGAGATGGTTGCAGTGACCTGGTCTTCTTCATCCTCGGGTGTGTAGCCCTCACCAAGAACCCGAACTTGCTGACCGGGCCGGGCGGTTCCGCTGAGAATTCTACCGAACGAGTTGAAGCTACCAGCATCGGTGCTGCTGAACAGTTTGGTGACGTGGATGACGAGGGGACCATCTGAATCACAAGCAGCCATTGAAGCACCAATCTTGGTGTCTAGGGGCCCGGTATAGTACCGCTCCAGGGTTCTCTGAGCGCCTTCCACCGGGGAAGGAACATGCTGGACAACCATATCCACAAATCCTGACGCAGGCCCAAAGAATTGCTCACAGACAAGACCAAGTAGCTCCTTGGCATCGGTCTTAAGCTGAGATGGCTTCAGATGAACACCGACACTAGCCAGAGTCTGTTTCAAGTCCTCGGGGCTTTCACTCAGGGTATGAGAATAAAGCTTGTAAATCGGCTCCAGAACGAACTTGACAAAGGATCGCTTCGACTTCTCCTCCACTCCCTTACGAGTAAACTTGCGGCTCGTAGGATTGTAGAAGATATCGCCCCAAAGTCGAGCAGCGAATTCTGTTGAGTCCAAACTCGGGTATGTGTCGGCGTACATGCGAGAAAAGGAAGGCAAAGTGAAGCACCAGTTCATGGAGCTTGAGGCAAAGGTAACGTTGCCCTTCTCGGGGCTCAGTCGTCGCCGCTCACCTTGTCCTGGGACGATACTCTCGATCAGACTATTCACCTCTTCAATGACATGCTTCAGCTTGAAGTACGCGTCATTCGGGGGAAGCTTCAGCTCCAAAATGAGGCGGTCCATCTTATTCACCACCAAGGTCAAGGGGATGTCCTCCAGAACTGCATGCTTGATAATTTGCTCGGTGTTAGCCTGCACACCCTCCACAACGTCGACAACCAACACCACACCATCCGCCAAGCGAATGGAAGCTGCTACCTCGTCGACAAAGTTCACATGCCCGGGGGTATCAAGGAGGTTGAGCAGGTGAGATTTTCCCTTTGTCCCTTGGAGCACCAGACTCATTGGTGCCGATTTAACTGAAAGACCACGTTCCCGCTCGAGGAAATGCACGTCGGTGTATCGCAGCTGTTCCTCTCGTCTCCGGCCAATGCGCTTGTCCAGTCGCTCTGTGAGGTCATGTGTCTGCTGCACAAGCATGTCCATGAAAGCAGTCTTTCCATGGTGCAGATGACCGACGATTGCAACATTTCGTATTTGTGATGGGTGGTTCAAAAGATCGGACATAAATTCGCGAGAAAAGTGAACGGGTGGCAGCTCGGTCTCTGCGATCGCAAACTTCTTCTGCGTGACCGGAGCAATGATGGGCTCTGATAATGGCTGAGCATCTTCCTCCTGAACCATCGTTTCCACATCTTCGCCGTAGACCTGTTGTGCGCTTGGGTAGTATTGTTTGTCCTCGTGCAAGATGACCGCATTGGAAGGTCCATCTGAAGAGACTGAAGTTAGCGATTGCAGAGCAAGGACGAAGAGGCGCAACTGTACCATCGACCTCCATCAATTGCTGGTCATTCACTTCCTCTTCCTCCTCATCGTCGAAAGCCTCATCAAACTTGTAGGCTTGAGGTTGGACATCTTGTTGCTCCTCATCGGATTCGGCGTCTCCGATGTAATTACCAAATCTAACAAGTTAGTATGTTGAAATTCAAGCACAAGAAAGGAAGAGAAAAGAGAGAATCGTAGAATTAAATCAAGAGAGAACATACTCATCATAAAGGTCGTCCATGGTGGATTGTGCAAGAGGTTATCGCGGAAGGACTCTTTTTGCGAATGTTCCCATCAACTTTCACCTGGTCCGAGCGTCTCGGAGTACTCGCGCCTACACCGTACAGCTCCTCACTCTCCACCATGTCCTTTTATTATATGGAACGCTCTCTTCCTCTTCTCTTCCTCTCTCTCTCTCATCCCCCTGATTCTTCTCAATCTCCTTAATTCTCCCTATCCAATCTCCCCATCATGTCTTCTCTTCCTCCTGTCTACATTGTGTCCACTGCCCGCACTCCCGTGGGTGGTTTCCTTGGGTAAGTTGGAGTCTCTACTTTTCCCCTTTTCTTTATCTGATCTGATGGATCTAACCTTGTTTCACTAGCTCTCTGTCTAGCCTGACTGCCCCTCAGCTGGGTGCTCATGCCATTAAGTGTATGCTATACCAACCCCTCCACCCCCCACCTGCACTATGCTAATCCTAATCTATAGCTGCCGTTGAGCGTGCTGAGGGTATCAATGCCGCCGATGTGGAAGAGGTCATCTTCGGTAACGTCCTGTCTGCTGGGTAAGTTGTCTCTCTATACCTTGTGTCTGCAATTGAGGCTGACCGGTGGTCTTTTTACACCTTTTCTAGTGTCGGACAGAACCCCGCCAGACAATGTGCCATTGGTGCTGGCTTGCCCGAATCCACTGTCTGCACTACCGTGAACAAGGTCTGTGCCTCTGGTCTGAAGGCCATCATCCTCGGTGCCCAGACTATCATGACTGGTAACGCCGATATCGTCGTTGCTGGTGGCACTGAGTCCATGTCCAACACCCCCCACTACCTGCAAACTTCTCGCACTGGTGGCAAGTTCGGTCCCCAGACCCTGGTTGATGGCATCCAGAAGGATGGTTTGACCGATGCCTACGGCAAGCAGGACCTCATGGGTGTTGCTGCCGAGGAGTGTGCCGAGGACCACGGCTTCAACCGTGCCCAGCAGGATGACTATGCCATCCGCAGTTACGAGAAGGCCCAGGCTGCCCAGAAGGCCGGTCTCTTCGACTACGAGATTGCTCCTATTGAGATCCCCGGCTTCCGTGGCAAGCCCGGTGTCACTGTTTCCCAGGATGATGAGCCCAAGAACGTAAGTTTACCTCCCCCCACCAAGGGAATCAGTTGCTGACAATTCGTTCTCAGCTCAACCCCGAGAAGCTCCGTGCCATGAAGCCCGCCTTCATCCCCGGCACCGGAACTGTCACTGCCCCCAACTCCTCTCCCTTGAACGACGGCTCCGCCGCCGTTGTCCTGGTCTCCGAGGCCAAGGTCAAGGAGCTTGGCCTCAAGCCCATTGCTAAGATCCTTGGCTGGGGTGACGCCGAGCAGAAGCCCAGCAAGTTCACCACTGCCCCCGCTCTGGCCATCCCCAAGGCCCTCAAGCACGCCGGTGTCTCCCAGGATGCCGTCGATGCCTTTGAGATCAACGAGGCTTTCAGTGTTGTGGCCCTTGCCAACCTGAAGCTGCTCGGTCTCTCCGAGGAGAAGGTTAACATCCACGGTGGTGCTGTCGCCATTGGACACCCTCTCGGTGCCAGCGGTGCTCGCATCGTGTCCACTCTTCTTGGTGTCTTGAGCGCCAAGAAGGGCAAGCTTGGCTGCGTCGGCATCTGCAACGGTGGCGGCGGTGCCAGCGCTCTGGTCCTTGAGACCCTTTAAATCAGAAACTCTGTTGAAACAAACAAACAGAGATGTGAAACGACTTTCAATCTTGCATGTGAATAAAAGCCTCAATTTTGGCGGGCACATCTTCGGGAGTATTGGCAATGGGCTTGCAGAGCACAGCCCATCCTACAGCAATCCGAACATCACGAATACCTTTCGTTGTATTTAGACTAGTTAATGAGATATCCTTGTGTCTTTACACAACAGCCATTCGTTCCAAACTCCCTGCGGAGGTATCATGGTTGCTTCTACATAGTAACCAATGAGGTAGTCTTACAAAAGTCTACTCCATAGTTGCCAGCCTTCTTAGTGTTCTGCTTGAGTATTTTTGATTTCGAAATTTTGTTGAAATACCCAAGGTTACCCTTAGCCGTGGGCCAGCGCGGCTCCTAGGCCTGTCCTAATCCTTGACAAGCACCAGTCTCACTTGCAGCTATATCTGAGCAAGCGCGATCTTTCTTTGCCTAATATCCCAAAGCCTTTAGAAAACCGTGAACTCCCAACAAGGTGCCGAATCAAGAGAATTGAGTGCTAGCTTTTGAATCAGATTCCTTCAGATATGACATTATAGATGGACCCAGTGCGCGGAAGGATGAATCGCGGAAGGATGAATCTAGGTTTGATCAAGGGAGGTGATCCCGTTGCAACCATTGTGGAAATGGCTGTGAGTGATATGATACATTGGTGGGATGAAGAGGTTGTTTCGTGGAACAAGGATATGTTTGAGACCAAACCATGATCTGCGCTTTCAAGCGAAAGCACCAACGAGCGCCATGAGAAGGGCACCTCCCGCAACAGATACACAGGCCTCGACACGCCGTCTGCCCTTGAGAGTCTCGTAGCTAGATTCACTCAGGAAGTCTTCTGCCAGCAGTTCTACCAAGCCAGCGAACAGCAACAGACCGCTGCTGATGGCATTTGTCACACCAACCATCAAAAGGCCTGTGGTGCTTGCAGGATCATACATGTTGTGCAAGACCAATCCGATAGCTTGGCCCAGGGGAGTCGTGGTCCCGTAGGCAAGACACATGAGCCAGGGCTTCATCGAATCCGGGGCGAAGAGATCTGGGATGAGCGATGCAATTCGCGACCCAAGGGCAAAGCCCTCGAAGGTCTGATGGAAGCTGATTGCAATCAAGAGGACAACAAATGAGGTGCCAGTTGCCACACTTAGTGCCATTCCAATGAAGATGCTGTGGAACAAGATTCCGGCCTCCAACAGAAGACATTGCAGAAGCTGGCGCTGCGGATTCACGAGAGGGACGTCCGACCCAGTTGGGCGGTGGCTTGCGCTCATCTGCGATCTATGACGACGGTGAGGCTGCGCGGACCGGTCCGCTTGCCCGTTGATGGGCTGTTGATCATCATCCATATAATCATCCAGACCATCGAGGTCGGCAAGTTCGTCATCCTTGTCCCCTGATGTATCCGACAAAGGAGAGCGGTCATATTCATGAGACGAGCCTGAAGCTCTTGTCGCCCGCGACTGAGGCTTGTGGCCCACGTGATCCAAGTTAATATTGTCCGAAACCTGTCGGGCTTCAAGCCTCGAATATTCATCTTGATCTCCGCTCAGACTGATTGAGTCACGCCCAACCTCGCCGATAAGATTATCATATTCACTTCCATGGATGTGCTTCGCGCCTTTCATGGCAAAGAACATCTCTACAATAACAACGGCAAATACCGAAATCATTGCTACAAATCCAGCCATGGCACGATATGATTGACTCCAAAATCGAGGAAGACATGGATCAGTCAAGGACATGAACGCGGTGGGAAGTAGGTGTACAAATGCTGTCGCAATCAAGACACCTGTTCCGAAGTGTCTGGATATGAATAGGAAGCGACGGGGGATTGGAAGCCGCGGGAATCGGTGGGCAAGAACTGGAAAGGAACACGCTATGATAGACTGATGGTTAGCTATAGCCAGCGTCAAAGGGGGGACGTAGTGCCTACCTAGAGTACTGAGCACAAGGATGAGGAATAGTGCCATGACGTGCAATGGGGTATTATAGGCCCCGCGAGATTTCGAGCCGCATGATGGAGTCTCATCTGACGTGCCATCTCGTCGCAGAAGCTCTGCCTTCAAGACAGCATCGGGTAGCTCTGCAATTGCCGCGAGAGCTCTCTTCACGTCTGCCGCCAATGTTAGCTACCTTTTCATCACGATCGACCAGGGAATACCAACCCGAAGATAAGTCATTTATATTCCAAGGCTGGTCATTCTGCATTTTGGTGTCTCAAGTTGTCCGGAAGGTCATATCAATTCAAGGTCGAGAGAGGGGCTGATCGTCACCGAGGCTGGAGAGGATGTACGCAATTGAGTTTGGAGAATGTTATACCGCAGAGACACTAGATCAGCAAAGATGCTGACAGCGCATGAACATATTCCGAAACACACCAAGGCCAGACTAGCAGCAGAGTCGGAAGTTGAAGCTCCCAGGGCTCCCCTGGCCGCTTACTAAGTCTTTATCGACGCACGTGGGCGGGACTTTGTACAGCATCATTTCTTTTGGTGTTTGGCGTTCGACTTCAAATACAATGACTATCTTATACACAGGTTCAATTGATTCATTATAGTATGGTAATATGGCCGTGGATCCATTTCTATCTGGTGCCCACTTTGGTCCAACCTTTGGTGCCTTTGCCTTTGGGACGGGCATCTGAACCCTCCCCACCTGGATCTTTGACAGAATCGATCCTTGTTTTTGAACTTGGAGTCCTGCCACTAGTGACGCTCTCTGCTGTATTGGCCTGAGACCCAGCCTGAGAGCCTGGTACAATAGACTTGGGGGGATGCGCAACAGCTTGATGGGATTCCGCAACTGCATCGCCCCATTCTTTCTCTTCAAGCAGCTCCCATTCCGCACTGGCCATTTCACCGAGAAGATTCGACTTTAGCTTGTCCGCTATCTTGGTCGGCGTTGGGAGCTTCCACATTCGCATGAAGTCCACGCCTTCTGATGCCCCCAGGAAAGAATGTGCGGTCCCATGAGAATAGTGGCCTAGCATGGCAAAGGAGGTGGTCCGTTGAATGGTGGTTCTGGGTGAGTCTTTGCCAGGCTTCAACTGTGTTTGCGTGTCTCGGCCAGCAAAGGCTCGCATCAAGGTTGAGGGGTGAGCGGGCGGAGCTACCAGTAGTTGCCACAGGTTTTTGCCAATGTCACAAACTTCCTCCCAAGAGTCAGAGGAGATGCTAATCCCCTGAGTGCGACATAACCATGCAACGTTCCATGCTAACAGTGTAGCCCCCTCCAGGAAGAGGGTGTATGTCGCAAAGTCATCCTTGGCGAGTTTGGGTAATGGTTTCCCAATGGAGAGAGGGCGTGGGCGTGGTGTGTGAGGGCGTGGGTCCATCGTTCTTGATGTTGCTGGACTAGATGAGGACTGGTAATCGAACCTGGTTTGGGCATCACGCGACCGATAAGATGCCGAAGGTGTGTATATTGTGGGAACAGGGTAGTTTCTGTGAGGGAGAGTAATTTCGGCAGGTAGCCTCAGGGACAGGTAATGTGAGACAATCATGAGAAGGTGAGCGATGTTTGAGAGAGAGGTGGATATTTGCTCGTGTGGGATTCCTGTTTGATGTAAGTCGATGTATAAGGCCCGATGGTGATCTCCTTACCATTCATCTCCCTCAAATCAACGACGAAATCGCCCCCAAGTACGTAGCTCTCCCGCTCTTGGCCTTTCTTGGTGGCTTTCCGCAAGCCATAGAGATTGGCAACCTCCCGGCATAGGTAAATCCGAGACTCGGCCGTTTTGTTGTGGAGATTGTGCCATACATGCTCTACCCGCTTGCTGGTATTCTGAACACTTGCCAGAGTCCCGGCTTCTCGCTCACCTAGTTGATATTTGGCGGACTCCGCATCCGAGCGTCTGCGAGCTAGAATTTCTTTGCGCCGCGTGATCTCGGATTTTTTGGCCTCGGCCTCCGATTTCAAAGACTCAATTTGGTGCGCAAGAGATTCCCTCCTTGCCAAAGACTCGGCATAATTGCTGTTTGTCGTCTGAAGGGCCCATCGGGGCGATGAATCATTATCTGTATCGAGTGGCTCCTGTTGGGCTGACTTTCGACCCCGGGTACCATCTTGAGTAACAGCGATCTCAATTTGTTTCCCAAGAGCCTCCTTCTCTAACAGCACTCGGGTGCTTTCGATACGCAGTTGATACAGCTGGTTGCGAGCGCATGTCGGACAGTGGAATGGAAGGTGAGGATGAGAAACACGTGAGCATATAGAACAGCTCATCGCAAACAGTTTCTGTGGTATTTTCGATAGCTCTTAGAAATAAGGCAAATGTCCATGTTGCGTCCGGTGGAGATGGGTGCTACTTGAGTCGCCGCCGCGGACCATATAGAGAAGTGAGAGGGTTGCCAAAGAGATACAAATCCCACATGACTCATATAACGTATAAGAGAGATAGACCTCGGAGCGGAGGTATCCGTGATAATCTCCCCTGGTGGAAAGAAGCGAGAGAGAGGAAAAGAGAGACAAGAGTCCGATGTCGTCACCCGACGGTGTGACCGCTTCTTAGACCGCTCGCTTATCGCGATCTTATCTTTCTGGCATCAAAACAAACCTCCTCCATATGACCGAAGAGCCTCCATTTTGCTGGACTGCATAATCCCTGAAGACTCACTATGCAGTCAACTCCCAATAGAATCAGCAAAATTCCCCGACCTGGGGCACTTTCGCCACGCGCTAGCCAAGAGAGCAAAAGCCCAGACAGTGGAGGTCCCCAAGGACGTATCAGCCCCCAGCAGCCCGAGGACGCAAATTCTACTTCTGCTCCTGCTGCTGCTCGTGATGAATATCCATTTGTTTCTCACCTGACGGATGGTCTCGAAGACTGTGACTGGGACCAACTGCAGGATAAGTACGCCGATGCGATGGAACAGCATGGTCGAGTTGAGGAGAATCTACGCCTTGAAACCGCAAAACTCATGGAGGTAAAGGTCACACTTCTCATCTGTGATCTGTATATCTGATTGTTTTTACAGGTTTTCATGGCCTGGTCTCAGACAACCGTCTCACAGGATGAGAGCAGGGCCCTGAAAAGGTGAGACTTGCAGTCTCAATTTGGTGCATCCCCCAAGCAAATACTGAACATTCTGCAGGTTCAAGACCCAAATGCAGCACGTCCAGAATTCCGAAGTCAATGTGGAGAACAAAAAAAAAGCACTGTAAGCCATCATCTCTTGGTGCCAGAGATCTGACCACTCATTTCTTTCAAAGACGCAGAGGTGGTGAAGGCCTTTCAGAATGCGTTGGCATTGCTGAACGATCAACTGAAGATCTGAGATTATGATCGCAACGACAATTACGAACTTACGAACTACTGTATAACTACATTACTTTTACCAAGGAGGTTCCGGAACGACACCATAGGAGGAAAATGCGAATAATCATACAGAATCTGATTCATACCTCCGGTAAATGATCTTCAAGCGCGAGAGGCGAAAAAGGAAAAAAAAAAAAAAAAAAACAATAATGCTGACATATTCATCAAGAGCACATTGAGATATCCTCGCATCGTAAACTGAAGGTGGTGCTAATTCATGTTGTTTCGGAAGTGTTGACTCGATACACAGAGCTATTTGATCATCCTTGGGAGCGCTCATTGCGGCCTGATCGTCCTGTTATATCTTGCCAGCTAGCATTGAAGCGTCTGCCCGTATTGGCCAGCAAGCCTTCTTCTTCGGCCTCCTCGGCATCTTCGTCGAGCTGCGCCTCGTCCAGTTTCGGTGAACGGAGCAGAGAAGTGACAAACACAATCAAATACAATCCTGCGAGACGACAGTTAGCGCAATGTCCTGAGGGTAAACTTGAGGATGGCTTGACACGAATCTTACCTAGGAAAAAGAACTGGGCCCAGAAGAACACAGCACCAAAGAATGGATAGTTCAGAGTGACCCGATTCAAGAAAGTGCTGACGACACTAGGTGTGCAGACTTGCTGTGCGCTTGGGTTCTTGGCCACCTCGGAGCACGGCTTGATGAGTTCTGGGCTATTCGAGCAATCCGGCTTTCCAATGAAAGTCCCGGGAGCTCGATCACAGAACGTTTGTGGACCGAATGTGGCATACTGGGGCGCAACTACCATTGAAATGGAATAGTTCAGTGCCAGAATGATCAGCATCAACATGGCAGTGGCTAGGAGCAAAGCCTGGGGGGATGTGTGACCGTTCCGAATCTGGAAGATCTTTATCCACAGGAAACGGATTCCGACCACTGCAATCCCGACAACAGAGCTGCAGAAGAATAACAGGACGAGCAGTGTGAAAATAGCATAGTCGATAGGGAAGACCTTTGCTGATTTGACAAGCGCCCAGTTGATGGGATTGAAGATGTTGACATGGGCGAGGATGTATCCACAGCGATGCTTGCAGATCGAGTTCTTGGCTTTGTCGATTGACGTCAAAAGCATAGATACCCAAGTGACGAAAGCGAGGAAGAGCAGCAGGATGCCACCCAGAAGCTTGAAAGGACGCAACACCGCCCCAATCTTGTACCATGCCTTCATCAACCAGCTCCGCCCTTCGCCTTGAGACTCCTCGGCTAGACGCTGGCGCCGGATGAGCGTTCTTTCTTCCCTCACCAGTGTATCGAGTTCTCGACGGTCTTTCGAAGATAGAAGCTCGGGGTCCCCGGCACACCGGCCCTCGAGCTGTCGCTGTCTTTCTTGGTTGGTCTCCAATTGCTGTGCGCTGCTGGCTCGCAATGTAGCACTGGAAATTGACGGTGCGGTCTTGATGAGACTGATTGGCAGAAGTGCTAGTCCCACTGAAGTATACAGGACATAGAGGAAAAGTCCAACAGTCATCAACAGTCCAAGACCAAAAGTCAACGCGCGCTCGCCATCTTCAAGAATCGTCATTAGTCCTGTCTTTCTGGTTCATGGAAGTTGGATACTCACGGTTCTCCGTCAAAAGGCGCTTGAAATAGTCCAGATCCATGTCATTCTTGTCCCGGGACAGTGGGACAAAGAAACCGACCAAGAACAAGATAACCACAACCACAACAAAGCTCAGTGTGTATTTGAGGGCACCCCAGACCCGTTGACCCACGGTCTGTTCACCCGACTCCGCCGCAACCTCATCGTATTCCTCATACCAGAAGTATGTAAAGGGAATGACCAGCAGGCAAAGGAGGGCATCCAAAGAATAAAGAAGGTAATAGATAATTGTCAAGGAGTAGGTGATCTTATCAACAACATCTTGTGTTGCCCAATCCTTGCGCTGGCCCAGTTTGGAAGAGGTTGTTGATGATACTAACGCGACATCAACCGGTAGTAGGAGCACCGTTGCCAGGAGACTGGTAATTGAGATGATGCAGGTCAGTGTAACAGACGGTGATCGATCGCGGGGAGTTTGGTAGACATAGATAAACACTGATGCGACTGCCAGTAAAACAGCCACCACCACCGCGTACACGATCCATATGAGCGAAGTTTGTAGAAGCGCCATGGTGAAGATGTGCACTTCACTGTTTACTGAATCTTCCAGTCATCAAAATTCCTGAAGAAAAAGGAAATGATCAAGATTCACGAGTCAGATCAGATCAAAACGATCCTGCGGAAGGTAGGCATGGCTTGTGTCGTCATTGCTGATCCGCGTTAAGCCTATTTAGGAAGTGTACAAAAGCGGTGAGTTTGACTTGGCAGTTAGCTTGGGAGACCCACTCTTGTCTCGACCTTACCCTTTCACCACTGCTATGACAGCTGGCGACAAGAATTTTCGTGACTCTATAGGTCAATCTGAGACCTCAAATGTATCACAATGTATCAGTCACACGCGTGGCCGGATACTGGCGAGTACTATCTTCAAATTGCTGTCCAGCCCTTCTCAAGTTTCCTACTCGACCAGCAGTCTCGTCGATCAAGTGACCAAGAAACTCTCTGATCAGATCGGCTAGGGACCTCCAAATCCTTATTTACAGTCCATTATGCCAATCGGTGTTGGCCACTCGCCAGAGCAAGATCAGAGGGCGTGGAGACATCCAGCGTTTCACCTTGGGTGCCCAGGATGACGAATGAGAACACTCATGCACTGGGAGAACTGACTTTGAAAATCTCAAATCCCCTCCTTACAATCATCACAAGATCTGCGTGCAATTGGGAACACCAATCCCCAAAGCACCATGTTCACTACCAAAGGCTCGTACTAACAAGGTAACGTCCGAACTCGTGCAACCTAATCATGGACACCACGGCTGCTCGAATCACCCATGCCAGAACCAAAGAGATGACCCGGAGGTCTTATACTGCCTGTCCAGCAGATCGGACTAAAAGTTGGCAAGTAGCCTGAGCGGTACTCACTTTGATCTCTATCAACTGGACCAAGAGTCTGAGTCCGCGAATATAGAACTGTCGATAATTTGTGCTCGGCGAATCCTTGCAGAACCCGTTGCTGTAATACTCGACCTTCCAGTGCGGAGTACCAGGCTAGGAGATGATTATCATGGCATGGCATGAAGGGCGTATTCGAAAGAGTCTGATCCTCGTCTTACTGAGAGAATGTTAACTGGAGACATATTCTTTCCTTGCTCTCACAGGATCTTATGGAAAACACAGTAGCTATTATGAATACGATTAATTTTGTCTTACAAAGTTATGAAGTACCTTTGCCCTATCCCATCAATCTAATGAATTGAGTAAATCTTGTTTATGCCTGAGGCAGTATATGCCTGAGGCAGAATAAAGTGACCCACCCGAATTCTGCCAGATTTCCCTTACAGGTAATCTATACGGTGATTACTAAGAGGTAGACCGCTCTGATCTCCGTCCGCCGAGCTACAGACGCGACTCGAGACAGGTCAATATCAATCTTGCTCTCACACGTGCTATGCTTTGAGACACACCGTCATCTGGACTACCCTTTGAGCTTGCTGGTGCCTTGCTTTCCTTGAGGCCTCCTGCCCCCGGAGTTCACAATTGCAATGCGCATATCCATCCATACCAAAAACACAGTTTAGCTCTTTAAAGGCTTCCAAGCACACCTGGCCTCACAACCTTGGTTGCGAGATACCCTTCAAAATGCAGTGCTACACAGAGCTCCTGCCCCCGACGGGAGTCACCCACGCTGTGTCGGCTCCGTTCATTTCAGCAACGGCCAACAACTTGATTATCATCAGGACCTCTCTATTGCAAATCTTCTCTTTGGTCAAAACGTCCTCAGAGACAGCCAGTGACAGCTCGGAGATTTCTTCAGCTCAATTTTCTCAGCCGGAGACGAAATTGGTCTTGGAAAAAGAATATCCGTTATCCGGAACAGTCACTGATTTGAGCCGAGTTAAGATCTTGAACACCAAGAGTGGCGGAGAGGCCATTCTCATAGCTGTGCGCAATGCGAAGCTCAGCCTGATTGAGTGGGACCCAGAGCGCGATGGGATTTCCACTATATCCATTCATTACTATGAGCGGGATGATCTGACCCGCAGCCCCTGGGTGCCTGACCTCAGCCGATGTGGGAGCATTCTCAGCGTTGACCCAAGCAGCAGATGTGCCGTGTACAACTTTGGTATCCGCAACCTCGCCATAATACCCTTCCATCAAGCGGGTGATGATTTAGTCATGGATGATTACGACTCAGAGCTTGATGGGGAACGTCCAAGTGAGGGTTCTGGCAAAGAACTCGAGCAGAAAAAAGATGGCCAGATACACCGAACACCCTATGCATCATCTTTTGTTTTGCCATTAACAGCACTGGATCCGTCATTGCTCCACCCCATAAGTCTTGCATTCCTCTACGAATATCGGGAGCCCACATTTGGCATCTTGTACTCCCAGGTTGCGACGTCCACCGCTCTCCTCCACGAGAGAAAGGATGTGGTGTTTTACGCGGTTTTCACCCTGGACCTCGAGCAGCGTGCATCTACAACACTTCTCTCCGTGGCTCGTCTACCGAGTGACCTCTTCAAGGTCGTGGCATTGCCGCTCCCAGTCGGAGGCGCGCTGCTCATTGGGTCGAATGAGATAATTCATGTTGATCAAGCTGGTAAAACCAATGCAGTGGGAGTCAATGAGTTCTCGAGACAGAGTTCTGCATTTTCAATGACCGACCAGTCAGACTTGAGCTTGCGTCTCGAAGGCTGCGTGGTAGAACGACTAGGTGGTGATAGTGGAGATTTGATTCTAGCGCTTGCTTCTGGTGACACAGCGTTGATTAAATTCAAACTCGATGGGCGATCTGTCTCTGGCATGACTGTTCATCTTCTCCAGCAGAACGCAGGGGGAAACATCCTGAAGTCAGCAGCCTCGTGTTCCACTTGTTTTGGAGATGGAAACGTATTCTTTGGTAGCGAGGAGGCTGATTCGGTGCTTCTCGAATGGTCCCATACATCTTCTGCTTCTAAAAAGGCTCGACTTGAATCCAAACAGGCCGATGACGGCATTGACGACCTTTCAGACGATGATCAGATGGAGGATGATGACCTGTATTCTTCGGCGCCAGGGCCTGCACACAACGATGGCCGCATTGGCAATGACAGCTCAACACCTCAATACTATAACCTTCGTCTGAATGACCAGCTTCCCAGCATTGGGCCTTTGAGAGACATCACTTTAGGCAAAGCTCTTCCAAATGTGAGAAATCCGCAGACAACTGATGGAATCGCTGCCGAATTAGAGTTGGTGGCATCTCAAGGCTCTGATCGAGGCGGCGGCCTGGTCGTCATCAAGCGTGAGATTGACCCCTTGACAATCATGTCTTTGGAAGTCGACGACGCAGATGGAGTTTGGTCGGCCAGTGTCACTACAACTCAAGGGAAAGGAGCACCCAACACAGTTGAACATCAAACTCGGCAATATGTCATCACTTCGCGACTTACAGGGCCCGATCAGGAGGCGAATGACATCTACTTAGTGGAAGATCAAGGCCTCAACTCTTTCAAGGCATCCGAGTTCAACCCCAACGAAGAATGTACCATCGAGATAGGATCTCTGGCTGGCGACACTCGTCTAGTTCAGGTTCTGCGGAACGAGGTCCGAAGCTACGACATAGGTATTTACTTGTTTCAACTGGAGGTGTTTGCACGAGCTAATGGTCGAAATTGATAGACTTGGGACTCTCACAAATCTATCCTGTCTGGGATGAAGAAGTCAGTGAGGAGCGCGTGGCTGTCAGTGCAAGCTTCATTGATCCCTACCTCATGATTATCCGAGACGATGCGTCTGTGCTATTGTTGCAGGCAGATGAGAGTGGAGACCTTGACGAGGTTTCGCTCCCAGATGAAATCAGCACATCTCAATGGCGCTCTGGCTGCCTTTATCATGATAAACTCCAAGCATTCGATGCGGAAGGTTCACCCTCAAAGGACGCAGGTAAAAATGAGATGCTTTTGTGTCTCTTAGACCCAGAGTGCAGGTTATCGGTAGGCTCTCGCCATGCAACACATTCGGATCATGATCTAATTGAAGTACAGTTATTCCGACTTTCCGATATGAAGTTGCTCGCTGTCATCCAAGGCGTCGACTGTTTACCACCCGTCCTGTCCACCGATCCCCCCAAACGATCTAATATACGAGAAACTCTTTCCGAATTTGTGATCGCAGATCTGGGTGATACATCGACTACTTCACCCTATCTCATAGTAAGAAACTCGCTATTGCTCATATGATCCGGTCTAACTCAAAAATCATAGGTTCGGACTGACAACGATGAGCTCATCATCTACAAACCAACATTCGTCCCCACAAGTACTGATGGGGAATCAACGCGTCGCCTACAGTTCTTCAGACAACCAAACAGTGTCCTCCCAGACACTTCCTCGCAAACTGACGATCAACAGCGCTTCAGGCCTATGAGAATTCTCCCCAACATCTCGGGCTTTAGCGCGGTCTTCATGCCTGGAGCCTCACCCAGCTTTATCTTAAGAACGGCCAAAAGTCAACCACACATAAGTCGTCTCCGAGGAGGCTTCACACGTTGGCTAAGTAGCTTCGATTCAGCCGAAGCTGGCTGTGAAGTTGGATTCGTCTATGCGGATTCTCAGGTAAGAGGTACCTAGCTTGCTGGCTTTGCAATGTCCACTAACACTATCCTAGAACGTCGTACGCGTCTGTCAATTGCCCCCACAGACTCAGTTTGACTACCCGTGGCCATTGCGCCAAATTCCACTTGAAGAACAAGTTGACTTCCTGGCTTATTCAACATCTTCTGAAACCTATGTTATCGGCGCCAGTCGCCCAGCAGACTTCAAGCTACCGGAAGCCGACGATTTGCATCCCGAATGGCGCGGAGAAGGTCCGTATATACTTGTTTGACTCGTTGCTGTCTCACTAATCAATTTTTTAGAGCTATCGTTCTGTCCCCAGATTCCCGAAAGCTCAATCAAGGTCGTCAGCCCAAAGACATGGACCATTATTGACAGGTAAGACCATCGAGACTAGCTACTGAACTCACAAATGAACCCCGCTAACCTTTATAGCTACCCGTTGGACGCGGATGAGCAAATCACAGCAGTGAAGAATGTGAACATTGAGATTTCGGAAAATACACATGAGCGCAAGGATCTCATAGTCGTTGGAACGGCTATTGCCAAGGGCGAAGATATGCCATCCCGCGGAACGATCTATGTCTTCGACGTGATCAACGTGGTCCCAGACCCTGAGAAGCCCGAGACCGGTCGGAAGCTGAAACTAATTGGCAAGGAATCTGTCAAGGGCGCTGTGACCGCTCTATCTGGCATTGGCGGACAGGGATTCATCATTGTAGCCCAAGGACAAAAGTGTATGGTCCGAGGCCTGAAAGAAGACGGAAGTCTCCTCCCCGTCGCTTTCATGGACATGCAATGCTACGTGAATGTCGCAAAAGAGCTCAAGGGAACGGGCATGTGCATCCTGGGCGACGCCGTCAAGGGCCTTTGGTTCGCCGGCTATTCAGAGGAGCCATACCGGATGTCCCTGTTCGGTAAAGACCCCGAATACCTGGAAGTAGTCGCCGCAGACTTCCTCCCAGATGGAAGCAAACTCTACATGCTAGTCGCAGACAGCGACTGCAATCTGCATGTCCTACAATATGACCCCGAAGACCCCAAGTCTTCCAACGGTGACCGCCTCCTCAGCAGGAGCAAGTTCTACACAGGAAACTTTGCCACGTCTGTGATGCTCTTACCGCGTACGCCCGTTTCCTCCGAACTTCTAGAACCATCAGAGGAAGCAATGGATGTGGACGAAACACACGCCAAGCATCAAGTCCTCGTCGCCTCCCAGAACGGATCCTTAGCCCTCGTGACATCAGTGGCTGAGGAATCCTACCGCCGTCTATCTGCGTTGCAATCGCAGCTCGTCAACACCGTCGACCACCCAGCTGGACTCAACGCCCGCGCGTTCCGAGCCGTGGAAAGCGACGGGGCCGCGGGTCGGGGCATGGTCGATGGGAATCTATTACGCCTGTGGCTGAACATGGGCAAGCAGCGCCAAGCCGAGATTGCAGGCCGGGTGGGTGCGACGGAGTGGGAAATCAAGGGAGATTTGGAGAGTATTAGCGGCGACGGATTTGGGTATCTATGAATGCCGGAAGCGTCGAGGTGGAGCAGCGGACTGAGGACTTCATTTACTGTTTCCGGAAACACAAAGGCGTACAGTTCAAGTTCAAGTATGAAAAATACAGTGCAATTGTCAGCTAAGTGGCCAGCCCAAAATGGGACAATGTATTGATCTTGGACACAAGAGCGCCTTCATCACGAAGTGAATAAGTAGCGTGATATCATAACATATGGGATATAACCAAAAACCCGCCCAAAAAAAAGTAACCAATCCCGGGGTAATTCCAAGCCCAATTCCAGGGATATCAAAATCCAAACACCACACACGTTCGCCAAAATTTCGCCCATAACTGTTGGAATCGTATATGCCAAAACCCATCCCTAAATCGCCGAGATATCCGATAAGTTCAAAGACGTTTTTGTGTGCAACACACAAGTCTAGAAAAGAGCAGAAAAAGAAAAAGAAACAAGACTAAGACAATATGAAAAGAAAGAAACACCCGAGCAGATGCGAGAAGAAGAGACCCAAACGCCACCTTGCACCATGAAAGCCTGTAGATTAAAAGACGTCTTCGGCGGCAAAGTACCGCTTGCTACGGCCTCTTGAGGCCACGAACTTCATCTCGGGCATATTGGTGTGATGCACCACATGGGGGCGATAGACCGCGTCAACGGGGGCTTGCCAGTCATCCAAGCCCAGAGGGAAGTACTCGTAGAGGAGATCTGTGCTCTCATTGGCATATGGAAGTCCTGAGACATATGGCTGGGGCAGATTGGCCGTTTCCAGCAACGGCATAGACGAGGTGACACTCCGTGACGGAGTCTGGGAAACGGCGTGGGAAAGCTTGCGCATCTTTGAAGGAGGAGCGGATTGATCGAGGCTGAGGGTGCGCTGCTGCTGCGACAACTCGGCGGCGAAGGGAGATACCATTTTTTGGTCGAAATGGAGATTAGGGTCTCCGCCGTCGTCCTCGTCCAGCAGGGAAAGGTTGATTGGGGCGGCGGACGCCGTGGAACCGACGCGCCGTTGTGAATCTGTAACCTGGGAAAGTTGCTCCGGGCTGGAATGAGGATACAAGGATTGGGCATGGGACATGACGTTTGATGTAGATTGGGGGATGGGCGTCCAGTCTGGGGTCGCTTGGGTCTGTTGCATCAGACTGGGCGGGGGCACCGAGGTGGTTTCCGGGGAGCTGCTTTGCGCAGTGGGTTTCGTTTTCGCTGGGGTCACGCTTGTGCGACGCGCAACTGATTCACTGGTTGGCGTGCGGTTCAAGGTGCTTGCAGAGTTGGCCTGGGCATTCTTCCGGGAGGCGGCGGCACTGCCGCTCAGGGGGAGATCCTTGCGAGACTGGAAGTTCCGGGGGCTGCGGCCACGGACAATGACGGGACCGGACTGTACTTCTGAGATAGGAATCTTCGCGCCGGTGGACAAGGTGGCAATCACCTTGAGCCGAACGACGAAGTGCTGCTGAAGCTCCTTGCGACGGCCGTTGTTGGCTGTCGCGACACGGAACTGCAAGCGTTTCCACGCAATCGGGAAGGTCGCAAAGTCGGAATCCATATCCTGTCCCGCCATGATGTCCAGGGGGATCGCGGGCGGCTCCTTCTCAATCTTGGCGCCCGTACTCGGGTTATTTTCCTCGGGTCCAAGACCCGAGTTGGCGGCGGCTGCAGAGGGGGTCTTCCAGGGCACTGAGATGATCTTCACCGAGTTTCCTTCGACGGATTCGGTGGCTGACACGGTGAGTTCCTGGGCGAGGATGGGGATCCGGCCTTGGTCCGTCATGATATAGCGCAGTCCGCGGGGCAGAGTGACCGATCCGGTGATTTGGAACAGGTTGCGGCGGTAACAGGTCAATTCGGCGCCTTGCTGGGGCGGGGCGTTTTCGGAAGGGGAGGTCGTGTAGGGTGATTCGGCGAGAAAAAACATCCCGTGCAACTGGGCGGACACGGATAGTTGCACGCGGCTCACCGAATAGTCGAGCAGCGTATAATGATAGACCGGCATGGAGAAGCTCAGCAGCTTGTTGTTGTGATCGATCGACGAATCCTGGGGTTGTTCCTGGGGTGCGGGCTCAAAGGGCGCCACCATCTCGGTGAACGGGTCATCATACACGGACGGAAAGGGCCTGAGTTGATGTGACAGACTGGGCGGGGCGAACGCGAGGTCATCGCTACATTGCGGTTCATTAGCACAGGTTCCTTGGGGGCGTTGAGCGAGCACGCGGCGGAGCAGATGATCCACCCCCTCTCGTCCCACTTGGGGGCGCTTGTCAATACCCACCTCACAAACGTCTCGGTGTCAAAGTTAGACCGATGGTCGGGCATATCCAGACTGGACATCGCGTTGAGATAGTCGGCACCTTGCAAGTTCCCTAATGACAGCGGGCTTGCCAAATATGGCGGCACCGCCATCGTGTCGAAGCCCTCCATAGTGAGGACTGGTGCGATCTGCAGACACGCGATGCGGGGAAGTTGAGGATTGTCTCTCGGGGGGGAGGTCGAGGGAGGGTAGGTTAGTGAGAAAGAGACTGGGAGAGTGGGAGAGTGGGAGAAGAAGAGGGAGAGGGAGGGAGAGAGTTGAGAGTGGGAATGAGTGAGGTGAGTAAGAGGTGAGAAGGGGAAAAAAGCAGCCCAACAGAGCACGATCTAAGGCGGAAGAGCAAGCGGAGCGGGCATTTGAGAGGATCGCAAAGGGAAAAGTCGAGGACCGGAGCCGGAGAGTGGAATCTCGACTTCTGCACCCAAAACGATCAACGGATTCGGGGAATAGTGGAGCCGCGGTTTTTGCGGAGAACGAACGCAGCGCTGACTCAGCCTAGAGTATCTTATTCTTGTATACAAGTATTATAAGATATTAGATATTAGATATTACTTATTCGTTATTACTTATTAGTTATTAGAGAGTTATTAGTTCAGTTTCCTCTCCTACTCTATTGGCTCAGAACATCCTCCCACTGCCAAAGTATCTCACATCTCACACGGCCAAAGTACCCCCTGATGGGGTAAGACTTGATCGGCTCTCGGCAGCCCTGAAGATCTTCCCGGTGCAGAGTACCGCGTACTGGTATCCTGGTACGGTGAGAAGGTACTGTTTCTCCTCTCAACCTTGGAACTGTCTCTGTTTATAGCCAAACTCTCCTTCAATGAAGTACACATATCAAAAGAAAAGAAAAGAATAAAGAATAAAGAATAAAGAAATGATAATTATCCGTTAATTTGACTTTGTACCCACCTGCCTAACCGGGTAATGGGTTCGGGTCGACCCTCCCAACGCCACTTAATCTATTCTGTTAGCGAAGTACAATATATAACGGCCTTGATATCACTATCCCAGTATACTCCCGGTCTCCAATATACGGATCGAGATTTCTCGGGGTCCGGAGGACCAGTCGAGACATGGACTTTGGAACGATCCGTCAAGTGATCTGAAGTATGTTCCCCCGTATTTGGACCCTGTCAGGCCCCCCACATAGGGTAATGGGTAATGGGCAATGGGTAATCATGCAACCTGCAATAATCATGCATAGAATAGACGCCTCGTGCTTGGCCCGGCGATGTCCGTCGATCTGCAAAAGTTTCGACCTTTTGACTTTCTTTAGACTTTCTTGTTGGTGTTTCTGTCTTTTCTGATTGTCCACCGTTGTGGAAGGAGATACAAAGTGTCAGAGTCAACCGTGGATCGACCAATGAAAAAAAGAAGAAAACAACCGGATCCAGGACAAGCTTCGTTTTCGCATGTGAAGGCCAATGGGGCCTTGAGGTCTGTGCATTTACCCGATTCGATCATCCCGAGATGATCTTCCCTTCGTTCGCTTGCTCTATCCGGCGCGATGCCCGTCTGAGTGCTGACTTGGTCCATTCTAGTCCTCGACCCCTGGGGCTTTCTTCAGCGCTGGTACCGCCAGAGCGGGTGATCATCTGGAAGCTTCCCCAAGTGTCAACTGTCCACTCTCCAGCTCTGATAGTCCTAGCCCTGATAGTCCTGATCTCCCTGATAGTCCCAACGTCGATATCAGAAACCACGACTTTGCCACTTCCAGGAATGTGCAAGCCCCGAGGGTGTGCAAGTGGAAATTGCAATCCGTACGACTGAGGCATTTAACGCAAACAGGCCAAAACCCAAAAAACGGGCCAATCAGACCGAGGCATCGGATCAAAGTTTGGCCCCGACGACCGAGGCACGTTTGCTGGGTTTGCTCGGTTTGTCCTATTTGTCTCGTGGGTGTCGTGTGGGAGTGTTTGTTTTTAACCACTCGAACGACTATTCTGATATATCGATATATATATATATATATATATATATTTATATCTATGGATATCCAGTTCTCCAATGTCACTGTACAAATACTACCTGCTGCACAGACCTAAAAGAAAAAGTGGGCAGAGTGGGTTCAGCCAGACCCAGCAAAAACCTACAGCGGAGCTCCGGGCCAGTGAGAAAGCAATTCTGGTGCCTGTCGGTAGTTAGGGATTCAGCCCGAATCCCGAGCCGAGAGTATATATTTCGTATAAACTGAATAAAAGACCCAATGCGTAATGGATATCATAGAAACACAAAAAGACCAAAACTCTACGTATGCATCATCGTCCATGTTGCTGCATCGCAGTTCACCTCCTCAAAACTGTGCAGCGTCGTAAATCCCATCGTGGAGAGATCGAAGGTGCCATCGCCGTCAACCTATAACCAGTTAGTTCAAAACAACAGACGAAGGGGAAGGAAAGGGCAAAGGAAAGGGAACCATACACAATCCATCACCACTGCATCGGCACTCAATTTTCGAATCTGCTTAATAGCCAAGAGCACCAACCCCTGCATGATCGTGGAATAATCCTCTCCACACGGCGAAATCACCGGCGAGGAAATTCCGCCAACCGCTGCAGGGGTCGCCCGCAGGACGGGCATATGATCCGCCAAGGCGGAGCGCTCATTGTAAATCACGATGCTGCCCAGGATAACCCCGTCGGACGGCCGTTTGGCCCGGATGATCCCGCAATTAGGCGCGCCCCCCAGCGCCATGCGATAGATATCCACTACCCCCTGTCGGGCGTACGTCTTGATATGGTCGAGGATAGCCTGGGCAAAGTCCCACCCGTAGACGAGATCGTAGATGACCTCCGCGCTTTGCAGCGTGGCAGTCAGACCGTCCGGCGGCACCCAGGTCGCCAGGTTGCGGAGGATGACACTGCAGACGGGGCGGGAGAGAGCGGTGTTCCAGCCCATATTGGCGAACCATTGGCGCAAGCGTTTGCGCTCGGCGGGATTGACGGTGGGAATGCCAAGGTAGATGCCTGGGAGACGGGAGCCGAGTTGAAAGCGACGCATCCCGTTTCTCTGGAGGAGGGTGCGGATGGCGCGGCCGTGGAGGGAGTGGCCGATAGAGAGCTTTCGGCGACTCGGGTCGACGATTAGACAGCCTAGGACACCTACACCCGTGGAACGGAAGAAATAGGTGGCACAGAAGCCGTAGAGAGCCTGGGTGCTACTATTCCGAACGACGAAGTGGGCTTCGTCGATGTCTTCTTTTCGAAGGAGAAAGCTGCTGGACGTAGCGCCCAGCAGCTCGGATGGTTGGCCCGGTGGGCAATCCGCGCGCATGGTATCTAGGAGAACGTCGAGCGCATAGGAATCGCGCTCTTCGTTCCAGTTTTCCACGAGCCAATGCTGGCGGGACTGGTGAATCTTCTGGGTGCGGCCGATCGACCCCGGCAGCGCGGCCGAGGGTGTGAGGTCGCCATATAAAACCTTGACTAAGGCTTGGAGAGCGGTCTCGGTGAAGTCGTACGTGCATATATAAGTACCGATGGAGGAGTCCACGGCGAAATCATACGGCGAGCTCACTGCTACCACAATCAAGGGTATTTCGCGGCGTTCCCCGGACGGGGAGTAGTGTGACTGGCAGATCATGGAGACATGTTTCGAAAACCCCTGCTGGTACATATTCCGATTTGCATCTGCCGTGACCACGATGACTGCACTCGCCCTCTGAATGAGGTCTTCATGAATGGGACGCACACCGTTCGAGGTATAGGAGGTGTGCAACACACGGCCATGTCTTTGTCGTGAGAGGGCACGTCCCAGTTCTTTAAAGACACTCTCCCCACTCAGGACAGAGGAAGTTCGATCCCCAGGGAAGGTATCAAATGGTCCGTGGGCAGTCTCCGAAACTGAGAGAGATACCGCCGAGGTTGGCAGTGGCCTGACCAGCGGAGTGAGAAGCAAAAGTTCTTCGTCTGCATCGATGACATTGGACAGGGGAAGTAAGTTATTCTTATCTCGCATGACCGTGATAGAAGAGTTGTAAGCTCGGGTGGAAAGATGGGTATGCGACGGTTGCATTTGTGTAAGTGAAGAAAGCCCTGGAGGGTTCAGGGCTTGTTCCCACGAGGTACACCGCGCCTTTAAATCCAGGACGCGTCGTAACGATTGTTCGATTCGTTGTCGGCCGATTATTCCATTCTCCACCCCTAGCTTCAGTCCATTGATGGCCTCTTGCTGGACTGGAAATGACCGACATAACAGGATGACATCGCAGCCAGCGTTCTTTGCCATCACAGTGCCGCCTCCAACACCGATGTTGTGCGTCAGAGCCTCCATTTCTAGGCATTCCGACACCACCACCCCTTGAAATTGGAGGTCTTTCCTGAGAAGCTCGTCCACGACTTGATCACTCAAGCACGCGTGCATTACATTCATTCCAGCTGATGACATCGATACACCGCCCACCATCATCGCATCCAGCCCCTGGGTGATCGCGCTGCGAAAGGGGACCAACGCGCTGAGACTGAGTTGCTCCAATGATTCCGTGATAATCGGGACATCGTTCTGTGAGCCGAGGAACTCCAGATTTCCATACGATGGAAAGTGTTTCCCACAGGTTACCAGACCAGCTTCCTGGTAGCCCCTCATGAACTGCACACCAAATTTGGATGCCTCTTGGGGGTCATCTCCAGAGGTTCGAACTCCCAATGGCTGGTTTCGAACATTAGTCAACACATCCAACACGGGTCCTAAAATCCAATTGACGCCCACTGCCTTGAGCTCCTGCGCGGTGGCCAAGGCGACCTCGTGGGCTAGGGATTTGGATCCCGTGGCCGCAATACCCATGGCACTGGGGAATTGACGAATGTATATTTCGTCATACAAGCTGTTGACGCCGCCATTCTCCTGGTCCAACGCGATAAGCAGAGGGACTGGATGGCCTGCGTCGCGCGCAATGGTCTGCAATTCCAAGACCAATCTAGTGGCATCCTCGGCAGCTATAGGTGCGTGTCAGTAACAGTCCATGGGATCAAAAGCGCGTGACCCGAAGCCAATACATTTCAAATTCTTCGCGGATAACAAGACCGCGCCTAGATGATAGTTCTCTATCAGGGATCGGATCTGTGGATTGACCTCTGTCCCATCAAAGCCCATCATAAAGAGCTGACCCATTTGCCTACAGGGACGTGTCAGCGCAGATTTCCCAAAATGGAAAGTGACCAGGACCAGGTTCCACCGATCATCATACCTATCTAGATCATCCCAGCCTGGGGGCAGCATGTCCTCTTTCCGGGCCATAGCCCTGGAGGAATGCGTGGCAGCCCAAAGGTAGGATTCGAAGGGTGCGTCGGAGGACGGGAACGGTGGTAAGCACAGCGGTTATCGTCAGGTGACGACGTTGCAGGAGTCAAAAGGCCGAGCCTCAGCCGCAAATGTCCAAATGTCGGGGAAGGCTGATAAGATAAGCTCCCCGCTTAAACGGGTGTCACGTGTGTTTACCTAACCAGTTCTTTTCTTGACTGCTGACTAATCTTCCACTTGAACTGATGAGTTTACACCGTTCTGACTCTTCATCTACTCATTTCAGACTCAATTGACTTTCCCCTGACTGTCTTAGGTTCCTTGGAACTACAAAACCTCCCAGATACAGACTTACAAGGTCCATTGTACCATAATACACCCAGTGATACTTCACTTCCAAGCTAGTCCCGTCCTTGTATCACGTGCTGTATTGAATTTACATGACCATACGACTGCGACGCTGTAGGGTTACACTCGAGGGCCACTTCTACAACGTTGTACACCCAAATGGAACCTTCACTTCCACATCTCTTCCTTTTTCCCTCTTCTGGTAGACTATCTCACGACGTCATTCCATCGTGGTGGACTATTGTTGGCTGTCTGTCATTGTTTAGCCACATGGGTCATCTATTGCAGCGGAATGGAGGCTTCCCCATCTTTGTGTCAAGTGCGGCCCATAGAATGAGGTCTGGTTATCAGCGCCATTGGACCTCAATGATACACTTCCGGTAGAGATCCATAGTAGTAGAACGTGTCTGGCCCTATGCGACGTGGGAGATCAGTTTGGCACTGTATCATTGTAACCCATGGGCCCTACATCTTAACATCTTCCATCTCAACCACTTTCAATCTCTTTGGATCTTCTTCCTTTCTTCCATACTCAACTTCACACACACAAGTGACGTAATCATGTATGTGCGACAGCTCTCTTTATCGCATATCTCATCTGGTATATTCACAGCGCTAATACTCTACAGGCGTGTTATCATCAGAGAAGACCCTCGCTCGGCGTCTGTGTACATCGCAGACTACATCATCAGTAAGTTGAGATGACTCGCGATGCTCGACTCTGCTGACTTCTGCATCCAGGCCGCATCCAGGCTTTCAAGCCCACCCCGGAGCAGCCCTTCGTCCTCGGTCTGCCCACCGGCAGCAGCCCGGAGTTTATCTACAAGATCCTCGTGCAGCGCCACCGTGCCGGCGAGATCTCTTTCAAGAATGTCGTGACCTTCAACATGGTAAGAATACCCTTCAGCCTTCTACTCGCAGAGACATCACCCACTCACACCATCACAGGATGAATACGTGGGACTTCCTCGTGACCACCCGGAATCCTACCACAGCTTCATGTACAAGCACTTCTTCTCGCACGTGGACATCCCCCCACAGAATATCAATATTCTCAACGGCGAAGCCACCGATCTGACCGCGGAGTGTGCGGCATTCGAACAGCGCATCGCCCTCTACGGCGGTATTGAGCTCTTCCTCGGCGGCGTCGGACCCGATGGCCACATCGCCTTCAACGAGCCTGGATCCTCGCTCAACAGTCGCACCCGAGTCAAGACCCTCGCCTACGACACCATCCTCGCCAACAGCCGCTTCTTCGGCAACGACGTCACCAAGGTGCCCCGCATGGCCATGACCGTCGGCATCAAAACCATCATGGAGTCACGGGAGGTGGTCATCGTAGCCACGGGCGCACACAAGGCCATCGCCGTGCAGAAGGGACTCGAAGAGGCCGTGAACCACATGTGGACACTGTCCGCGCTGCAGCTCCACCAGCACCCACTGGTTGTGTGTGATCGGGACGCGACTCTCGAACTCAAGGTCAAGACGGTTCGATACTTCGAATCCATCGAGCAGGCTGGAACCGATGCCCGCACCCAGGGACCCGCTCTGGTCTACCGGCCCCGGACTTATGTTCCGGGCCCCATGCCCAAGACCCCCAAGACTGCGCAGCAGGAGACCCCCGATCGAACCCCCGAGAAGGTTCCTAAGGATCTGCGCATCAATACCGAGTTGCACCACGCCATGGAGGATGACGAGCTTACTCCCGATAGCATGTCTTCGCGCCTCGTGGACTCGGCCATTGGTGGTTTGGACGGAACCATCAAGAGTGATCTGATCTTCGACCGTATGGGCACTCGCATGACTGCGCTGTAGGGAAAGATAAGGTATCTTCAGTTCATTTTTCCAATTTCTCTTTGCGGGTTTATTGCGTGACATCTGCATGGCTTATCTTGATTATGGCTTCGGTCCATGGGGTTCCGGCGTTTCGATTTGACCAATAGATGGGCTATCTTTTGATTCTCAATTCTTTCAGTGTAATATTATGATGGTAGCCATAAATTATTCTAATTGTGCATCATTTATCTGTATTCCGTGTTTATTTCCATCGTATGTAGTGTGTCTATCTGAAGTATTGCCGAGTTGATCAACACAGGATCACAGCAGATCAAACATCTCTGGAAGATCTTTGAGTATACACTGTTTAACAGGTCCGAGAACACCAAGTAAGCTTCCAAGGTTAGGAAGACAGAACACCGACCTCTCTCCAGAGTTGAGTAGTATAATTCAATTACTGAATACACGCAAGTCAATAAGAACGGCCAATGCCAGATTTAATTTTGATCAAATCTAGATGCAAATCAATGATTGTCTGTACACTCTGAACCAATTGAGAACATGCATATATATTATTTACAGCTTGGCAAAGACTGAAGGCACCGAGCCGCTCATGTCGACCAGAGTGCTCTTGTTCTGCAGCCAAGCCTCGATACCGCGACGACCATTCTCCACACCCAGACCGCTCTTCTTCCAGCCACCGACAGCCATCTCGGCAGGGCTCTCACCCCAGGTGTTCACCCAGGTGATACCAGCCTGAAGCTGGTCAATGATGCGGTGAGCCTGGTTGAGATCCTTGGTGAAGACACCGGCTGCGAGACCGAGCTCGGTGGTGTTGGCCCGCTGCACGGCCTCTTCGACGGTGTCATAGTACAGGATGGACATGACGGGACCGAAAATCTCTTCCTGGACAATGCGCATGGAATCCGTGCAGTCAGTGAAGATCGTGGGCTTGACCCAGAATCCGGCCTGCAGGTCCTTGGGCAGATCGGGCTTCTCGACACCACCGCAGAGAAGAGTGGCGCGGTCGCCGTCAATACCGTGCTGGATGTAAGAGAGCACCTTCTCGTAGTGAGGCTTGGAGCTCAAGGGACCGAAGTTGGTCTGCTCGTCGAAGAGCGGGCCCGCCCGCACATATTGGATCTTGTCCAGCAAACTTTTCTCGAATGCGGCCTTCATGGCGCGAGGGACGAAGACACGGGTACCGTTGGTGCAGACCTGGCCCGTGCTGTAGAAGTTGGCCATCATCGCGCCATTGACGGCACTCTCCAGCTCTGCATCGGGGCAGACGATCAAGGGGCTCTTACCGCCCAGTTCCATGGTCACGTACTTCATGTTGCCGGCCGCGGAACCTGCGACCTTCTGGCCGGTGGCGACTTGGCCCGTGAAGGAGACCTTGGCGATGGAGGGGTGGCTGGTCAAGTACGCGCCGACGTCACCGGCACCGTTGACCACGTTGAAGACACCATCGGGAAGACCGGCTTCGGTGTAAATCTGTGCCAGAGTCTGGCCGTGGAGGGGTGTGTATTCACTGGGCTTGTAAACCATGGTGTTTCCGGCGGCCAAGCACGCAGCTGACTTCCAAAGGGCACTATATTGCGGTTAGCACAAGTCCATACTCTCTCCTTAATGTGCAATGAAGCTCAATGTCGAATTGGAAACTTACATCTGAATGGGGTAGTTCCAGGCACCAATGCCCGCGCACACTCCAAGAGGAGACTTCTTGGTGTACACCCACGCGTCCTCACGGAGGTGGGTGGTCTCACCGTTGAGACCTCCACCACCAATGAAGTTGGCGTAGTACTCCAACACATCGGCGCCTGTCACGACATCGACGGTGCTCGTCTCGGTGAACGCCTTGCCGGAGTCCAATGTTTCGACGCGGGCGATTTCATCATTGCGCTCGCGCAGGAGGGCGGCGGCCTTGTGGAGGATGCGAGCGCGCGCAATCAGCGGGGTCTGGGCCCAGGAGGGGAATGCCCGGTCCGCCGCGGCGATGGCAGCATCGGTATCACTGTTGGAGGCGACCTGAATGTCGGCCAGCGGGGTTGCGGTGGCGGGGTTGATGGTCTGGAAGGTCTTGCCGGAGGTTGCGGCTTGCACCTTACCGTTGTAGTAGAGCTGACGAGGAGGGAAGGAGAGAGACATGACTGCGTTATGATTGAGATAGCGAATCCACGAAAATCTCCCCGACATGACCTCGGTCTGAAGAAAGTGAGCCACACCGCCTTTAAAAAAAACGGGAACTGACGTACTAACCCCGTCTAGCGCGTATCAGATTCCGAGGATCGTGGCAGAGGTACTGGGTACTCCGCCCTGGCACCAATCCAGTACGTAAGTGCCAAGTACCCTGTACAATGTACGATACGCGGGGGGGCTTAACTCTATTCTTCAACCTTGTCGGGTTTGCAAATCCCTCGACGGACTCGACTTGACTAACTCGACTCCCTGCACTTACTGGACTTTCTCTCTCAACATGGCATATCAGTGCCGTTCCGGAATCCTCCTCCTATCTGAGATGAGCCCCTTGTCGCAGATAGAAACCAGCCGTCTACGATAAGCAAAACGGCCGAGAAAGTCGGTGGGCTCGCATTATCTAAGACTCTCTCCACCATGCAGAGATCGCCACCAGTCAGAGCCGCGCAGTTCGCCGGGCCTAACGGAAAAAAGAAAAAGAAAATTTGAGTAAATAGCCCATCAGCCCACTGGCTCGTCTCCAATTCTTGCCCTTCTCTTTTTTCTATTTTAAAGTTCTCTCCTCTTCCTCTTCCTCTTCCTCTGGTATTCATCATCTCACCATGGCTACCACTAACGAACTCCCCGCTGTCGATGTGAACAGCTACGACTACATCGTCGTCGGTGGCGGCACCGCTGGCTGTGTGATCGCCGCTCGTCTGGCCGAGTACCTCCCCAACAAGCGTACTTTGGTCATTGAGGGTGGTCCCAGTGACTTTATGGACGACCGAGTCCTGAACCTCAAGGAATGGCTCAACCTCCTCGGTGGTGAGCTGGACTACGACTACGGCACCACTGAGCAGCCCATGGGTAAGCTTTCTGCCCCATTCAAACGTCTGCAGCTTGGAGAGCTCGTCAGTCGTGCATGAGACCATGGTGCTGACATTTTCCCCGCAGGTAACAGCCATATCCGCCACTCCCGCGCCAAGGTGCTGGGTGGTTGCTCCAGCCACAACACTCTCATCTCGTTCCGTCCTTTCGAGTATGATTGCCAAAACTGGGTGTCCAAGGGCTGCAAGGGCTGGGACTTTGAGACCTTCACCCGTATCATTGACAACCTGCGCAACACCGTGCAGCCGGTGCACGCCCGTCACCGCAACCAGCTTTGCAAGGACTGGATCCAGGCCTGCTCCTCTGCCATGGACATTCCCGTCATTGAGAACTTCAACGACGACATCCGCAACACTGGAGAGCTGTCCCAGGGTGTGGGCTTTTTCAATGTCTCCTACAACCCCGACGATGGCCGCCGCAGCAGTGCCTCCGTTGCTTACATTCACCCCATTCTTCGCGGCGACGAGAAGCGCCCCAACCTGACCATCCTCACCAACGCTTGGGTTTCCAAGGTCAACGTTGAGGGCGATGCCGTGACCGGTGTCAACGTCACTTTGCAGTCTGGCGAGAAGCTGACCCTTCGTCACAAGAAGGAGACCGTTCTCTGCGCCGGTGCGGTTGACACTCCCCGTCTGATGATGCTCTCTGGTCTCGGTCCCCGTGAGCAGCTGTCTGCTCTGGGCATCCCCGTTGTCAAGGATCTCCCCGGTGTCGGTGAGAACTTGCTCGACCACCCCGAGAGTATCATCATGTGGGAGCTCAACCGCCCCGTCCCCCAGAACCAGACTACCATGGACTCTGACGCCGGTATCTTCCTGCGCCGCGAGCTTCCCAACGCTGCTGGCTTCGACGGCAAGATTGCCGATGTGATGATGCACTGCTACCAGATCCCCTTCACTCTCAACACCACCCGTCTCGGTTACGACGAGATCGTGAATGCCTTCTGCATGACCCCCAACATTCCCCGCCCCCGCTCCCGCGGTCGTCTCTTCCTGACCTCCGCCGACCCCTCCGTCAAGCCTTCCCTGGACTTCCGCTACTTCACCGACCCCGAGGGTTACGATGCCGCCACCATCGTGGCCGGTCTCAAGGCTGCCCGTGAGATCGCCAAGCAGTCTCCCTTCAAGGAGTGGATCAAGCGCGAGGTCGCCCCTGGCCCCAAGATCCAGACCGACGAGGAGCTCTCCGAGTACGGTCGTCGCGTTGCTCACACCGTGTACCACCCGGCCGGAACTACCAAGATGGGTGACGTGCGCAGCGACCCTCTGGCCGTTGTCGACCCCACCCTGAAGGTCCGCGGCCTCAAGGGCGTCCGTATCGCCGATGCCGGTGTCTTCCCCGACATGCCCACCGTCAACCCCATGTTGACCGTGCTGACCATTGGTGAGCGCGCTGCCGAGCTTATCGCCGGTGAGGCTGGCTGGGCTCGCAACCAGCCCCGCCTGTAGAGTGCATCATTCTACGGATCATATATTTTTTTACGTGCCAAAGATCTGACATGCCTGTAAAAGTTGTTTTTTGGGTTCCTATTTTTGTTCATTTTTTTAGCATACAAGCGAGCAGCACCGAGCTCCGTTGGAGTCGAGCGACCATCCCCGCAGGCCGCATGCGGGGGAATTGGCGCTCTCAGTCTACGAGACTGGGATTTACAGAACATTTGTATAAATGACACTATCTTGAATTTTCTTTCTCATCTACTCAGTAGAAAAATAAAAAGTAATGGAAGTAAAGAACAAAAAAAAAAAAAAAGCTCAATTGGTAGTTTGCATTCTATGCTGGATGCCACCAAACTCCTGTAACCAATTCGAAACCAACGATGAGATATGCCCGAATAATTGTGAAAAAAAGGATACCCAAATCAAAAAGAAAGATAACAAAGATAACAAAACATCATACGATGCACTCAAACCACAGCCTTGTCAGTATCATGGATCTTAGCTCCGAACTTCCAGACCTGATCGACCGTCAAAGTCGGGCCCGAGAACGGATCCTCGCATTCTCCCAAAATGACCAGATCCGCATCCGCCCCACTCTCCAACGATCCCTTCACACCCTCCAACCCAAGCAAACGCGCTGGCACTGCAGTGACCGCATTAATCGCCGCAGCCGTCGACGCCCCAGACCAGCGCCGGAAGTTGTTCACACACTCAATAAGCGTCGCAGAGGACCCAGCGATCTTATCGGAGCCTTCCAGCGTCAGGCGCGCGCCCGTCTTGACGATTCGCTCCCCATTCGTCCAGTCATAGGTTCCATCGGGCAATCCACACAGACGCATCGCATCCGTCACCAGGACCAGACCGTCCGGGTGGGCATTGTAGGCGATCTTGATGCTGGTCGGGTGCAGATGGATCCCGTCAGCGATGACGCCGTAGAAGGGTCTGCGGCGCTCGGACTGGCCCAGCAGGCCGAAGATGCCTGGGTTGCGGTGGTAGAAGGGGCGCATGGCGTTGAAGAGGTGGGTGACCATGCGGGCGCCTTGGTGGGTGGCGGCCACGGCTTGCTCGTAGGTTGCGTCGGAGTGGCCGATGGAATAGATGATGCCGCGGCTGGCGATCTCGGGGATCTGGGCCATCATGTTGCCGACTTCGGGGGCGGCGGTGATCATCTTGATAGGGTTGGGGTTGACATTGTCGGCGCCGTAGCAGGCGAGGATGTCGGCGAAGGTCTCTGCGGAGAGGAGGACTTCGGACTTGTGGATGCCGTTGCGGCCGGGGCTGATGAAGGGGCCTTCGGCGTGGGCACCGAGGGATTCGGCGCCATCTTGCGGTTTGTGAACCTTGGCTGTTGGGCCGAGAGAGGGAAGCACCTGGTTTTTGGTGTGTTAGTCGAGAGCTTTTTTTTTATTTTGAGTTTCTCGTGGTGATGTTGTGTTTTTCTTACCTTGTGGTATACTTCGGCGGTGGAGCTAACCACAGTCGGGAGGTATGAGGTCACACCGGTCCGCGCCAGACCTTTGTTCACCATGCGCAGACCCTCGTCGTATTCCTCCTTGGTGTCGGCAGGGACCGAGAAGTCAAATCCGTGTGCGCCATTGAGCTGGACATCGATCATGCCGGGGGCGACGATGCGGCCGCCCAGATCAATGATCTCATCTGGTGACAGGTGGAGCTCATAGAAGGCTTCCTGGTCTTTGAGAATCTTGCCCGTGAGAGAATCAATCCAGAGATCTTGTTCGACTAAAGCTGTCCCGCGCACCAATCGACAGTTGGTGAACTTGGTGATACGCGGAGTGGCCGCTGTTTTTCCCGGCATATTGCCTATCAGTGCTATCTGCGATAGCTTGAGATAGGTGAGAGAGAGAGATAGCCAAGATGTTTCAGATACCGAGGTTGACTAAAAGGAAACAAGAAAAAGGACGAGGGGAAGCCAAGTACATAAACGACCAGATATGTAACACGAGGGACTACAGGTGACATTCGGCATGCCGATGTGGTAGACTCGTGGCTGACAACTTCCGGAAGATACGTACCGTCCGTACTGTCCGTAGTGTCCGTACTACAGTTACTGTATGTTTACCATACCTCAACTTCAATACAGCAGAATACCGATTACATACTCACTCGGTCTGGTTCAGACCGCCCCCGCATGCGACACTCCGCATGCGGGTCTGCCGATGCAACTCTGCCATCTTTTGTCTCTCTCGACCCAGTTGGACTCGGCACACAATCATTCACTGGGACCCAAACTTGTCATTATTCATCGGCTCATCACTCCTCCACTTGCTGCACCATGGTTCGTTCAACTGAGCTCCTCCTCTCCAGAGTCTCCATCTCCCCCGCAACCCCGTGCAATTCATGATGGTGTCGCATCCAAAAAAACTGGGTCCCCCAGATAAGACCACAAAGCTCGGCTACTGGCTAAACTCACTAGTGTCAGAAAAAAAAGTCATCTACTTCAATCTTCAATTCCGCTGTTTGAAGATCTTCAGCTTTTCCGTTTACAGGGTTCTGCTTCCAATTTGCACTTCCCTACATTCTTCACGGCCATTCTCACGTGGCCACATTCCGCCTCCTTGGTTCATTTGTTATTCCTTAATACCCGGTTGATTCCCCTGTAGATCCGATCTGTTTCTTCTTCCAACTATGGCGAGTCCTGAGGAGAAGCAGGAACAGAGACAAATGGAGTTGGCGCAGGAGCATGATGCGGCCTCGTCTTCCGATCCGGAGTCCGGGGTCGACCAAGCGGTGATAGGCCCCGCGTGGATGTACAAGCCCATATTCAAATGGGGCAACTGGCAGGCCCCCTATTTTGCCTCCCCGGAGATGCAACTATACCTGGTCTCGTTCGTCTGTTTCTTATGTCCTGGCATGTTCAATGCCGTCAGTGGCCTCGGTGGCGGTGGCCAGGTCAACCCCCACGATGTGAACAACGCCAATACAGCCCTATACAGTACCTTTGCCGTGGTAGGCTTCTTCGCGGGTTCGATTGCCAATCGAATCGGTCTTCGCTTGACCCTGTCTCTCGGTGGTCTGGGCTACTTCCTCTACGTCGCGGCTCTTTTGTCGTACAATATCAATGAGAATGCCGGTTTCCTGATCTTCGCCGGTGCTTTCCTCGGTGTCTGTGCCGGTCTGCTATGGTGTGCTCAGGGCGCGGTGATGTTGAGTTATCCCCGGGAGCACGAGAAGGGAAAATATATCGCCATCTTCTGGGTTATCTTTAACCTGGGTGGTGTGATTGGCAGTTTGGTAAGTGGCATTGAGAACTTTCCCCCTCGAACTCGAGGCTAATTGCATATCAGATTCCTCTCGGTCAAAACATGCACTCCAACGCCGGGAGAGTCGACAACGCCACATACATCGCCTTCCTGGTTCTCATGGCCATCGGGTTCATCCTCTGCTGGTGCATCGCCGACTGTAAGCATGTCAAGCGCAAGGATGGTTCCCGAATTATCGTCATCAAGAACCCGACTTGGAAATCAGAGTTCCTGGGTCTGTGGGAGACACTGCTGCAGGATTCGTACATCGTCCTCATGTTCCCCATGTTCCTCGCCAGTAACTGGTTCTACGGATACCACTTCAACGCCGTCAACCTGGCCTACTTCAACGTCCGCACCCGCGCCCTCAACAGTCTCCTGTACTGGTTGATGCAGATGGTGGGCGCTTTCGTCTTTGGTCAGCTATTGGATTTGAAGGGTCTGTCCCGGCAATGGCGCGCCAAGCTCAACTTTGGCATTCTGGTTGCTGTGACTATGGCTATTTGGGGCGGTGGCTACGTCTTCCAGAGAGGGTACACGAGGGAGTCTGGCGAGATCGGTACCGACTTCACCGACAGTAACTACATTGGCCCCATGTTCCTGTACATGTTTTACGGGTTCTACGATGCTGCGTTCCAGACCTGCACCTACTGGTACATGGGATCCCTTTCCAACAACAGCCGCAAGCTGGCCAACTTTGCTGGTTTCTACAAGGGCATCCAGTCTGCCGGTGCTGCTGGCATGTGGAGGTAAGTTAATCATCCAATGCTCCTACTATTTATTCACTTGCTAACAAATCACAGCCTGGATGCTCAGGAGACACCCTATATGACCGAATTTGCCTCTTGCTGGGGCATTCTCATGGGCAGCATGCTCATCGCCTCGCCCGTCATTTTCTTCAAGATTAAGAACAGCACTGCTGTCGAAGAAGATTTGCGATTCTCAGACAACACCACTGCTGATGTGATGGGCGCTACTGCGACCCATGAACTCGGCGAGATGGAGAAGCACCAGGCAGCGGATCACACGCCGACTGAGACTCTTCGCGAGTCGCAAGACGAGCCGGCCCCCCGAGCCTGAGTTCTCAGCTTTTCAATTGTACCACCACGGATTTATTAGATTTTTTACACCTACCCTCACGGAACTTGCATTTACGCGGCGTGTCATTCTTTTCTCTCCCATCCACGAGACTTCCTCGTGAGTATTTCACCCAACGAATCTTCAATGTCAACTCTTCTCTTGAATATGTATATGATTTGTGGTCTTTTACCTTGTATGTACGGTGGAACTATAATGAACGTCCAAAATGGCGGAATCGAGTAGACTCAGAGGGAACTCCGAGTGGTTCAATCCAAGAATTTCATCCCATCTGATCTTCCACGTAATATCTCCATCAAACCTTCGTCGCCGATGGCAAAGGCACAGAAGACTGCGTGTGAGTCGCCTCACTAGGTCCCTCGGACCCGAAATCAGCCGTCAACTTCTTCTTCCCCTCCGGCAGCTCCCAACCAAACACAGTCCGATTGAACAACTGCAACGATGCTTCAGGCTGATAATACGGCACCTCATGACCCGCCTCATAAACGCGCGTGAAGCTGAAGTTGCCATACTCCCTCGTCTCGCCGTATTCAACACCGTCAACAAGGAAGGGCGCGTAGCCCGCCTTGCGGAACTGCTTGCTGTGCTTATACTTTGTCGCGAGGGAGACAGCCTCGCCACCGAACCAGTTACAGATATAATCTGCGTCTCCGTAGATGAGAGCTACGCGTACAGGGCGCGCGAGAATATCTTCTAGATCTTCGAGGAAGTTCGGCCAGACGAAGTCGCCGGTTTGCTGGAAGGCGAAGTAGATCTCGTTGTTGGATTGCGTGTAGTTCAGGTCAACTCCCAGAGCGTTCAGAACGCTGTCTTTGGCGAGGTAGTTCTGGTAGTAGGATTCTGGGGTTGGGTCGTCGCGTGGATGCCGGATGTCATAGACACCGCGGCCGCTGAAGGAGTAGTAGGGGCCCTCTGGAAAATGTCAGTAGTGGTTTCTTGGTTGAAGATAGGAATGGGGTAGACGAACCGACGTTGTCACGGCACATGTTTGTCGCTTCCGTGCAGAGGGCGTGGTCGGAGAGGGAGGTGCGGTTGGTCAGCTTGCAGGTTAGAACCTGATCCTGGCAGCCGTTGGGCATCTCGTTGGCGAACTTCATGTAGTTGTAGACGGTGTCGTTGACCTAAGAGGTGTGAGTATACTTGGAGTTTGCTACATTAATTGGGCTACTCACGGCCTTGATGCCATACGTGTTGTTCACAGCAAACTCGGGGTAGTGAGGAGCTTGAATGCCCTCGTCGATGATGCCGTTGATTATACCCAGAGTGTTGAAGTCAAGCTGAACGCCCTTCTGAGTGCCGTTGGCAATCTTCTGGTTCTCACGGTAGAAGTGGTTGAAGAACTATGACGGTCAGTATTGCACGTTGCTCTATCTTAGTATCGATTGGCTTACAGCAGGGCCATAGTGTCTGTAACAGGTTAGTGACTGATAGTAGACATAAATCCAGAAGACACTCACCCTCCATAACTCTCAGTCCAGAGGTTGAAGCTCTTTGACTTGATCTTCGAGTCCAACTTGGACAATCCACTGAGGAATCCCTGCAGGACTTCCCAGGTAGCTTTAGCAGCCAGCTCAGTGGTATCGATAGCAGTGGCATTGATGACAGGATAGCGACCATCCACGCCAGCCACGGAACCATCTTCAAAGGAGCCCGTGATGGGGTTCAAGGACCCAGCACCCTTCTCGGCGTATGAGAAACCTGTCGTCTCATTAGCCAAGCTCAAAGACAAACAACAATGATAAACCTACCGACACCCAGTGGCTGGGACAAGAACAGCATATTAGAAACCTCATTCCAAGAATGCTTGTTAATAACCGTCTCATTATCCTTGTTCACGGTACAAGGACCCAATTCCTCGAAAAGTCCAATCAAAGAATCACTTCCAGGGCCACCATTCAGCCACAAAGTGATAGGGGCGTTCTCAGGATCATGTCGAGCCTCAAAGAACCAAAAGAACGTATGTTCCGTCGGGGAAAGATCAACATAACCCGAATACGAATTCACACCGGGGGTAGTCTCACAGACACCCTCTTTACCAGGCTCTTTATAGCGAATCGTGACATTATTCGCCGTCTTAATGGTTTTCACACCCGTCGCATGATTAGGCAGTTGACGAGCGAACAGCCCCTCAAAGGACGGGACCGAGGCTGCCGTTACGGCGGGTAACAGTGAGATCCACGAGAAACGCATGGTGGACGCCTTGGAGGATTTAGTGCCATGGCGGGCTCGTACTTATAGGAAAAGGATTTGTCTCGGGGCATTGGTAGGTTGCCTAATCAGCGATCTCCGTTGGACGTCCGGTGGTCGAAGGTACGCCCGACAAAGCCCGCTCGGTAAGGGTCCACTTCAGGGGCTGATGGGGGCCTGATTGGAAGCTGGTTGGACGTGCATTGAGTGCATTGGCGGTGCATAGAGGGGGCTGTGGATTCTGATTTGATGAACGAGGCTGGATCGAGTGGATGAGGGGAAAGATCGACACTCAATGCAGGGTTGGGGTAAACAGTCGCTGATGGCGTCGCTGCCAAGAGTTGTTAGCCTCCAATCATCCTGTATCTTTGGCCGGTGGACATGTTCCAAGGTTGCTTTGGGGTCGCAAGGGTCACAAAAGAGAGATAATAGAGAGAATGATGGATGTGCAGTGGTTTGTGGCGTGATGTGTTTGCTTTATGCATCATTATTTGGTCGAGTGTATCGAGGTTACAGTGCGCAGTAGATATAGATCAGTTTCACATTATATCCACATTAATACCGAGATCGAACATCTAGGCCCATGCATTCTCCCTCCCCACTAAGAGAATTGTCCATAATTGCCCTCCCTGCCATACAGTACTTTCATAGTACCACTGGCATCGGTGTAGTAAATTGCACCGGTCTTCTGCGTGCCAACCCAAGTATCGGAATGCATAAAGGCATTGCTCCATGAGAATCGAGTCCCGCTACCCTGGCAATTATACAGACTGTTGATCACAACAGTATCAGTAATCAAACCGATGCCCCAAACCACCGCGTAGATTTGAATAGTGGCACCGCCGACTGGGGTCAAAGAACTGACACTCCAGGTATTCGCGGACAGACTCTGAGCACCGGGGACGATGGTGGAAGTACCGGCATTCTTGTAGCGAATGAAGACACGCCATTCATTATCGCAAGTGTAGAGCAGAGACAGGCTGGGGGTCGTGGTGAACCACGAGTCGGTCGATGGGAAGGGATTGGTGAAGGGGCCAAAGAGAGCATTAGTGTTAACCACAATGTTACTGCCTGAGTATAGGTTTGCCTGGGCAACGGTGGTCTGGTCGGTGTCGCCGAGACTGAATTTGGAGATTGCCAGTGTGGTGCAGTGCTGGGTCGCAGTGACGACTGCCTGAGTAGTGCTAACGACAATAACAGCACTGGTGGAAGTGAATGTCTGGGTGACTGTTTGGTCAATGGTGACGTCTACCGTGGCATAGTCGGTAGTGGTGCTCGAGTCAACAGTGGTGAAGTATGAAGTAGCTAGCACAGTTGAAGGAACAGTCGAGGTAACAGTGTCTGTGTTTGTGATGTCGGTGGTCACAGAAGTTGTGACGGAGACACTGGCAGTTTGAGTGGTGGTTACAGGGAGGGTCGTTGTTACAGTAACCTAGAAGAGTTAGAATATTGCATAGGACGATAGGTTGAACGTTGATGGAGAACATACAGTTGGAGTAGCGGCCACAATAGTAGTCGTGGTAGTGACAGTTGGAGTAGTGAGATGCAAGCAATTGCAAGCATTGGTGATGAAGGCTTTGCTCTGCTTTTGGAGACAAGACGGTGTGACGATGGCCAATCCGCGCTTTTGCTCTTCCGAGCGACGGCGATCATAGATTATATCTGTCGTCGTTGAGGCAACAAACGAAACGACTGTGCTTGGGACAATCTCAGTGACAGTAGCAGTGGAGACGTCGGTGATAGTAGCAGTATCAGTCACGTCAACGGTGATGACGGTCGACACCGTCTCGGTCACATCGATGACCTCAGTGACGGGGATTGTGGTGAAGTCCACCTCGGTGGCGGTAAAGTAGTCACTGACCACAACCACGACTGTCTCAGTGGCAGTGACTGTCTCAGTGCCTGTCGTGTACGCGGTGGCAGTCGTAGTTGTCACTGCCGGAGTGGAAGTGGCAGAGACAATCTTGGTGGAGGTCTGAATCCCCAGAGCACTTGTGCAGAATGCATCTGCTTTGGAGTCCAGCTTGAGAATTCCCACCACGAGAGTTTCCAAGAGACAGAAGTCTCGCGGTTGAAGAACGTTCACATCTTCGTTCACTGGAAGTCCATTGGCCAGACCAGCCAGAGCGGCGGCGGCTAATGCGAGAAGTCGGACCATTGCAAGTATAGAAATACAAAGTAATTGATGATCCGGGCACTCGAATCAGGGCAAGTGATGAGTATTTATACCATTGTGATTTTCCTAACACCGCTCAAGGGCTATCAAGCCGCTGGGCTGTTGAACCGGCGAAGCCATGGTCAATACCACTGGAGGACAATGAAGCCGATGTATTCAGTTGAAAATGAAGCCTAACTTGGTCAAAAGCTGCAGGTCCCAGAGTCCGAGTGAGAATAAGCGATATCTAGCTCAGCTGAGCCAGTAAACTTGTGGGGCATGTCCAGCGTGGCTGAGCTAGGACTAAGCATAACGTAGAGCGCTGGAGTCACAGAGTTGCCCCATGGCAAACATGTTCGGCATAGCCGGTTGTATGTTGAAGTTAGATGAAGCGACACCCGAGGGGGTACTTCCCAGTGGCCTCTAGCGACTGCGTTAGACCCGGGAAAGACCGAAAGCAGTTAGTCTGACACACTAGGCGACGCTAGTCTGGCTTACTAGCTTGTATTTAGTCACTCGTTCAGATATTCAGACTTAACACACTAACTACATAGTTACCTGGTAATTGTGTTCAGGTCTTTGTCACAGTCTTTCGCCCGATCTATTTCAAAGACGTCACCTTTGTCGGTCGTGTCCTTCAGATTCGACGACCAGGGTGATAGTGCGCAGTGATGGATAGTTCGGCATCGGTACCAGGTTATCATCTTATAGTATTCAATGAGCGTCATCGCACAGCAACGCATATTGTTTGAACTCGCATGTCAATTTCTCGTCACCGGAATATTGCAATGTATCAACAATGGTGTTGCATGCCCGACCACATGGCGTGGCAGCTCCTCATAGCAGCCGCTCAGCAGAGCTGGGTGTCGTTTTGGCGCTCCTGCTGCAATGTAATACTTGTCTAGCAACGAATACCCCATCCACAGAATTGCCAGAATTCAAACTGAAGGGCTTTTGGCATCGCCGGCGAAAAGTCACTCAGCACAACCCACAACCCCCAGGATCCGAGAAAACATGGCGACCTGCTTCAACCCAATTCACTCATATCATTCCTTTCCTTTCAGCACACAAATAGAGAAAAGATGGAAGTTGTCAGTAGCAGTGTGTCAGTGTGGTGTAGTAGAGAAGAAGGGAGAGAGCGGAGTGGGATCTTCCCCACAGGAAATGCGGGGAGATCACGTGGCTAGCATCGGTTAGCATCGGCAGGACAGTACTACTTCAGAACGCAATAAACCAGACGGAATACTCCTTTTCTTTCCTGATAGACTGATCTCTTTGCCTGCATTGAATTCCTCATCATGACTTCCAGGTACAGCGGGCTTCTTCCCCGCAACTTCCGTCCTTATCTACCCCGAAACCACCTCCGCATTCGCGCTCTACCGCCGCTTCTCTCGCGGAGGTTCCATGCCAGCTCTTTGCTGTGGGGGATTAAGTCACAGGTTCTGAAAGATGTGGGAGAAGGTGAGCTCTTTCTATGTGCTGGTTCTATGGGTTCCTTTGCTCACAATTGCTACAGGCATCACGGAAGTTCAGATCATTCAATGGTACGTGGAGGAAGGGGCTCACATAGAGGAATGGAAGCCATTGTGTCAATATCAGTCAGATAAAGCTGTCGATGATGTAAGTCATATCATTTGAGTTGGGATTGAATGAACAATGGCTAACAGCTTCAGATTACTTCGAGATACGAGGGTGTTATTAAGAAGCTTCATTTTGAGACGGACGATACAGTACCAACGGGAAGGGTATGTCCCAAAACCTCCTTCCAAGCAAAATGATACTCGAGCTCAATTGACATTTTTCCAGGCACTCTGCGATATTGAAGTGGATGATGGAAAATACCCAGATGATAATCCCCCACATGAACCAAAGGCAGCGCCAGCTGCTCCATCCCCAGCCAGCGAAGTAGCAGCCGCAACACAAGCAGCAGAGTCCTCACTGGCAGCTCCCCCTCCATTCCCCCCTCCTGAGGCGGCTCCCAAGTCCAAAAATGCATCCCTTGCAGTCCCCGCCGTGCGTGGGCTGCTAAAGAGCCACGGCATCAACATCCTCGATGTCACTGGCTCCGGCAAAGACGGACGCGTGATGAAAGACGATGTCCTCAAATTTGTCGCAGCGAGAGATTCTCCCGCCTCGCCACTACCCGTTCCATCCTCTGTTTCCCCAGACGCACGGCAAACAGAGTCTACCGTCAACCTCACCCCGATCCAATCACAAATGTTCAAGACCATGACCAAATCTCTAAACATTCCCCACTTCCTCTACGCCGACGAACTCAAAGTCAACGACATTACCGCCATCCGCAAGAAACTCGCCAGCGACAAGCGCGACCCAACCAAAATCACATTCCTCCCCTTCGTCGTGAAAGCCGTCTCACAAGCCCTGAACGAATTCCCCCTCCTCAACGCAAAAGTAGATACCAGTGACCCCAACAAGCCCAAACTGACCATGCGAGCCAAGCACAACATCGGCATCGCCATGGACACGCCAAATGGACTAATTGTCCCAAATATCAAGGACGTAGCCAGCCGTTCGATCTTCGACATTGCCGCCGAGATCACGCGCCTCAGTGCCCTGGGCAAGGAAGGGAAGATGACGCCCGCCGATCTCAGCGGCGGTACCATTACCGTCTCTAATATTGGAAACATCGGCGGCACATATGTGGCGCCGGTGATTGTGCCGACCGAAGTGGCGATTCTTGGAGTTGGTCGGTCGAGGGCTGTGCCGGTTTTTGATGATGCGGGCGAGGTTACGCGTGGGGATATGGTTAACTTCAGTTGGAGCGCCGACCATCGGGTTGTTGATGGAGCGACGATGGCTCGTATGGGCAATCGGGTCCGGGAGCTGATTGAATCGCCGGAGCTGATGCTTTTGAACTTGCGCTAGATGGTATATTCGAACTGGGTGGCGATGTCTAGATCATAGCTTCGGTTTCTATACATGATGAAATGCATGATAAAATTTTCCAGTATAGAAACATGGGTTTGTAAATATCTCAGGCGTGGATAATCATTTGATGGTGCAAAGTCAGCTCTTTAACTGCACAGACGGCTTCCCTAGGCTTATTGTTACTTGTGATGCTGCTTGTTCACTTTAACTATTAGCTATTCTTTGCATTTTTCTCTGGAATTTAGGTTAATTCATACGTGCGATGTGCTAAGCATGATATCAATGACATCATAGTTTGAGTCAAGTTTAAGGATATGAATATCCAGTAGACAATTCAATTGGCATGATGTATAGACCCCCAAAACAGGGCCATGAGAAATCTGTATAGCCAGACAGATGATAACTTCGACAGGCCCGAAACACGAGCCCTCCAAACGCCAAATCTAACAAGGACCGGTGGCAGAGCCGGACCAAAACACCAGACACCGTGGGAGGGAGAAAACAACGAGACTAGACAACAAGAACACAAAAATCCAAAAATGCTAAACAATCCTCCATGCATAACCCATTTTCGCATACGCCATAGCAGACAGGAGCTCGAATTCGAGCTCAAGTCCATCGTCTCAGGCTCACACATACTCCGCCAGCTTCTCCGTCACGGCCTCGATGACATTGCGCTGGACATCTTCCATGGAGCCCTGAACGTTGATCGTCATAGCATCCCACTCGCCCTTGGGCTCTTCCAGCGCAGCCAATTGCGACTGGACCATGCTGCTCTTCATGTAGTGGGATTGGCGCTGGGTGACGCGCTGCAGGAGGACATCCTCGTCGAGCTTGAGGTAGACGAAGTGGATGCGGACGGAGGAAGAGCCGTAGGCAGCGACGCGCATGACGTCCCGGTACTTCCGCTTCAGAGCGGAGCAGGCGACGACGACTCCGGCCGGTGGGTGGAATTTGTTGCTTTCCGAGGGGGAGAGGGCGTCGATGGCGGCTTGTCGGAGGGAGATCAACCAGTCCCAGCGGTCTGCGTCTGTGAGGGGGGTTCCTTCGCCCATTTTCTCTTTATTGGCGGCTGGGTGGTACTGAGAGCTCTGTTAGATGGAGACTTGGGAGGCCTGGAAAGGGGGAGAGAGGGTGGTCTTACGTCGTCGCCTTCCAAAAAGGGAACCCCGAGTTCATTGCGCAGGACATTGCCGACGGTGCTCTTGCCGCAGCCTGCTGGGCCGGTGACTACCCAAATGTGTTGCACGTGGGCTGGATTGGTAGGGTTCTCTTGCAGTACGGAGGTGGCGGTTCCATTGGAGAGATCGGGCATGATGCGCGCCTTGTCTACTTGGGGAGGCTGAGGGACGTTCTCCTGCGGAGAGCATGTTGAAGAGGCGGTTGGGGATATTTTGGGTTTGGAGATTTCCACGGTTACAGACTGGAGTCGGATGACGCGGGTGATACGTAAGGAGTTATATGCAAAGTAGGAAGTTGAGAGAGAGAGGAGAAATGCGCAAGAAAGGCTGAAAAGAAAAGGGGAAGACTGAGGCCAATAGTTGAGTATTTAAGGAATTAAGTATGACGGTGGGTCGGGTAAAAAAAGATTCAGAAGCCGAGTGGGGGAGTTACGGCTATTGCTCTTTTCCTTTCTTCTTCTTCTTCTCTCTCTTTTTTATATTGACTCCCTCACATCTCTTTGGGCACTCACCGTCCTGGCACAGATATATATATGTCCAATCTGCCCAGGATCAGGGTTGGTGGTGTGTCACTCGACCTGTTCGCTTCCATCTTCGATCTGATGTCACAGGGAAAGATGCAACCCCCACGCTAACAAGTCACCGCTATGTGTGGTTTTTGGATCTTCCCTGCCCTTGAACTTGACGAAGCCTACGGAGTACCAAAACATCCCACTCGGCTTCTCTCGATACGTCACTTTTTAATTATCCCGTGCCGAATTGCCTCCGAGTCCGAGTGTATACACTTATACTCCGAACCCCCCACACTCTGGGAGATCCACATTACCCGACACTCAATCCCGGTGTTACCTGCAACTTCAATCACGAGGGCTCCGGGGATTCTTGCCTTGAATCGGACGGGGAATATTGCCTCTTCCGATAGGCTTCCGGCCCCCTAGAGCCCGCATGGACACGCTCTGACCATTCGGATTGCCCCTTTGAATCCGGGGAAGATGGATTCCTGCGGGGTAAGAAGCGCAGCCCTTACTTCCAGTCGGATCATCTCCGGATAATTATCCAGGTCCTGTGGACTCCGTCCTCTGCCAGTCTCATACGGGATGTGGGCGGGAAGCGGATTCCGAAGCCGTCGTTATCCGTGTGCTGGCGGTGGCGGGTGACATCTCAGAATCGACGAGTGTCAAGTGTATGCCCAATCGGTGAGAAAGAGCCCAACTGGTCAACTGGAGAATGGCTGGGGATCTTGGGAATGGTCAGGGCTTGAACTCGTAGAATCCCACCTGTCCGAAGTAAATAAGCACGCCCAATAGCCCAATAGCCCGATCACAGAGCACAGAGTTCGGTACAATCACGTCAACCTGGGACGAACATGATTGACGGGGTGTACAAATAGAAAGCAGCTGCAATGCAGTGGAATGCATTTGATTCCTCATTAAAATGAAATTGGTGAAGAAAGAGAAGAAGCGCAAAGACCAAAGAGCAAACATGACCGTCGTCATTGCTAGGGCGGTGAGCCATCCCGCCAGGCCACCGCGACAGCTTCCAATCATCAAAGCTCCGACATATTGGGGTGCATCTGGCCCAATCGCATAATGGCTTCTCTCTTTTTCTCCGCCCCTGTCGATATCGATGTCGTCCTTGAGGATCTCGATGAGCGCCAGACCGTCGATGTCAAGCTCGATAAGGGTCATCGCGAGCGGGTCCCGCTGTACATGGACGGCGAGTCCGTGAAGGGTGCCGTGACCGTGAGACCCAAGGATGGCAAGCGACTAGAGCACACCGGCATCAAGGTGCAATTCATCGGCACAATCGGTACGTCACTCTGTCTGGCTCTTCCGTCCTATCACCGTACTGACCTCCCGCTCCGGTAGAGATGTTCTACGACCGAGGCAACCACTATGAATTCCTGTCCCTGGTCCAAGAGCTCGCTGCTCCCGGCGAGCTGCTCCACCCGCAATCGTTCCCCTTCAACTTCAAGAACGTCGAGAAGCAGTACGAGTCTTACAATGGTATCAACGTCAAGCTGCGCTACTTCGTCCGAGTGCTGGTCTCGCGCCGCATGGCCGACGTCGTCCGCGAGAAGGACCTCTGGGTGTACTCCTACCGCATGCCGCCCGAGAACAACAGCCCGATCAAGATGGACGTCGGTATCGAGGACTGCTTGCACATCGAATTCGAGTACTCCAAATCCAAGTACCATCTTAAGGACGTGATCGTGGGTCGCATCTATTTCCTGCTCGTGCGGTTGAAGATCAAGCATATGGAGCTGTCTATCATTCGTCGGGAAACGACTGGTTCCCCACCAAACCAATATAATGAGAGTGAGACGCTGGTGCGCTTTGAGGTATGTCCTGCTCGATCGACCTGGATGAGTCTGGGGTATTCAGATACAATGGCCGATATTGACACATATGCAGATTATGGATGGTTCGCCATCGCGAGGTGAGTTAAAATGAGACTGGCTCCCGGACACCTTGGACCACAGCTCAACTATAGCTGCGGGAGAGCTACTACACCAATGGGGCAGCATAACTGATCATCACATAGGTGAAACCATTCCGATTCGTCTGTTCCTCGGTGGATTCGATCTGACACCCACGTTCCGCGATGTTAACAAGAAGTACTCAACGAGGTACTACCTCAGTCTAGTGCTGATCGACGAAGGTAAGTTGCTCGATTGCTTGCATTGTGCAAATTGCATTACCCGATCCTCCCACCAAACCCCGCAAAGCCTCAGAATCATGGACCATGATGCATCAATTCATGCGGAGCCCCAGATGATCAATAGCCGACGGCAATTGAAATTACCCCAAACACCGGCTCAGACTCGGCCCGGGGAGGAAGTTCGCTCTGCCGATTCTCTCCCGTCCCCCAACCCGAACCCCCACGCTAGACTCGGTCCTTGACCCACACTCCACATTTCTTGCATAAACCACTATCTGTTCACTACTAACTGCACCCAGACGCCCGTCGCTACTTCAAGCAGTCCGAAATTGTGCTCTACCGCCAAGCCCCCCGAGATCGCCCCGAACGCTCAGATCGCACAGCAGCAGCAGATCCAGCAGCAGATGCTTCTCGAGCAACAGCGCCAGCAGCCTGCTCTGCCACCGGGCTCAGCGACCGCTGGCCCTGGAAGGGAATCCGCGCCCCTTCGCCAGGAACCTCAGCCGGTCCCTGCGCCCGCAGCATAGACTCTCATCCCCCTTTTGTCCGTCTTCCTCAGTCCTTGCGGATCTGCTACTCTATACCCGCCCCTCGTCTCTGATCCGATTTATTCGTTACCTTGTCAATGTCGAAAGACACTCTTTTACGCACGCCACAATATCACTGTAGTTTAAGCTGTTTCCCTTTGGATCCTCACCTCGAATAGAAATCAGGGACTCACACGTCCCCGAGTACTACATCATGCATATTCCTTTTGGATGGGAGGGAGGAAGCGCCGTTGACCTTGACGTTTAGATAAAGCACTTGAGCGGTAGACGTAGTATTCGAAGTCGAAACCAAAGGACAGTTACGAGATCAAGAATCAAGAATCAAGATCAAACCGAAGCATGGCTTGTCATAAATGCTATACACACTCTATAATATTGACAAGTTATTTCTCGCTACCACTAGCGGTTTCAACAGAGAAGGAGTAATGGTCTACGTAAATCCACAGGATTCACCCAGGCCCGACAACTAATATTCAAACCGTCCAATCTCCTGCAACACCTTCCCAAGCGCCTGAAGAATGCGACCATCATCTCTCTCCTTACCAGCAACCTGCACAGCACGAACAACAAGCGGGTAAATCCACTCCAGATGCTTACGGTAGTGCGTAGGGACATCCACCTCAGAAGTCGAAACAGTCTTAATAGTCGATGGGTCAGGGATCGCCGAAGGCTCACTTCTCAACTGAACCAAATGATCGAGAAGATGGATGAGGGCCTTTCGAGCAGGCGTAGGCTGCGGCATCAAGCCGCGCAGGGGCTGATCTGCGATATAAGACTTGAGCGAGACAGCGCAGCGCAAGAGGAGATAAGGCGAGATGGAGCGGGCTAGCAGGACGCGGGGACCAGTTCCTGTCTCTGCGGTATCTTTCTCAGCTGCTGCGAGTTCGAAGAGCGTATCGAGCAAGACGTAGGCGATGCCTGGTCGGAGAGTTGGGGGTGGGTCGAAGGTTCGTCCTGGGCGGATGGCGTAGAAGTCTTGCAGGGGGTTTTCGATGCCGGATTTAGGAAGGTCGAAGCGGAGGGGGGCGTAGATGAATGAGGAGCGGAAGAGGGTGCGGGCGAAGTCGCGACGGATGGGGTCTGGGATGGCTGGGTTGCCGAGGGATGGGAGGATGATTGTCTTGAGGCGCGTGAAGGCTTTTATGTCGAAGTCTTCGTCGGAGGCGATACGGGTGTTGGGAAGTTGCTGGGTTTGGAAACCGCGGGCAGAGACTATCCCGTTGGTGATTTCGACGACGCGGGACCAGAATTCGGAGATTTCAGACTCGGCTGCTTTGCTGTATTGGCTTTCGGCGTAGGGGACTGCAACTTGTAGGATGTTGAGGGATGCTGTTGTGGCTCGTTGCCAGAGGAAGGGCTCGCGGTCTTTGCCTTGCCATGTGTACTTCTGTGCGATTGGAGCACTGAGGTGTTTGAGAGTTTCTGCCAGAGCTCCGTTCGTGAAGACGTCCTGCTTGATGCCGAATTCGGCAATGTACCAGTTCACAAGGTCGATAGAGCTCTTGGAAAATGCCACAAACGCTGGTTTTCTAGTATCACTTCCGGCGCTCCACCTCGAATGTGCTGAACCAGAAAGCTCGGCAAGACACAAGAGGATCGCTGCTTGAGACTCTTCTTTCTCTAAGCAGAGAGTCTTGATGCAATCGGTAACTAGTGCTTGAAGAGCCGATGGCCTGTCGATATCCGGGGAGTAGCGCGGAGCGACCGAGTTCCACACAAGCAGACGAAGGTGGTGCAGAACCTTTTCGATATGTGTCGTAGTCAACTGATCTTTGTAGAGACGATATACTTGCTGGAAAGATTGCAGGTAGGCCAGAGCAGAATCCTGGTTGGGGTGGTCGAGGTCAAGCACAGTCTCATCCCCAGCAGGGTGTGCATTTGCCCAAGCAAGCCAAGCACATTCAAGAGCTTCGTCACTCAGTTGACCGGCGGTTTGTACTCGAAGGAGAATCGCCGATAAGCTGGAGAACGTCGCTTCATTGAGTTCCAAGATGTGCAGATCATTCAGTTTTTGCCAGTATGTCAAAAGTCGCTTCCAAGACTGATCAAACTTCTCGTCGCGGACAAGAGTTTCGAAGAAGTTCGTGATCAAATTGGACGATCCCTTGATCATGACGACTGTCGTGTCTACCCATGACTTGAATTCATCGGACTTTGCCTGGCTCTGCTTGCTCTTTGCTTCAAGAAGAGTGGCGACGATTCCTTCGGTCATCTTGAAAACAACCATGTTCAAACAGAGACGCCACGCCATTGGGGAGAGCTGCTGCCCATAGGCGTCGAAAATACGGAGCAAGGTATGCACCGCGCTGTTCCTGATTTCTGGTCTGCTGTCAGACGTGATATCCACGATACGAAGCAACAGCAATAACCACAAAGAGTTCCGAGAGACGGACGGATCTTCATTGCGAGCTAGTCTAGCCAGCTCTTCCTCGCTGATGGAGGGATCGACATGATCGACTGAAATCTGCTCGATCTGGCCTTGAAGGAAATCAGACACATTCCAGAAGAAAGAAGTAGTCGTGAGCGATATGTTAAAGTCTTGGGTCTGGGACGCAAAACTGGAGAAGGCGTTCACGAGGCTCAAGAGGCATGACGCTGGAAGCAAAGAGAGGAAGTCGGAAGCAACAAGGTGCAGAGATTTATAGGCAGTGCGAACCAGGCGAGGGCCCGCTGGAAGAGCTGATGGTCTACGCTGTAACGCGTGTGTAGGCTGATCAAGAGTCTCAGGCTGTGTGATAGGTTCGAAGACACCAGATATCAGATCGAAGATGAGATGCCACCCATCCACGAAGGTTTCTGCGTATTGTTCCAAAATGTTCCGAAGCACCTCCAAGCTCTGTTCGTGGATTTCGATCACGGTTATTGGCAGAGACTTGGACGTGTGCAAGTCGGACGAATATAGCGAAGTAACTTGGTCTTTCAACGTCTGCAAGTTCCTCGTCTGTAACTCGTTGTATACTTTCTCGTCGTCCACGTCTCTTCGTCTCATTGTTGAGAAAACAAGTGAGCTCAAAATTGCGCTTGCTTGAAGACGAAGGTTTGGGCTAATGGTAGTGTTTGCGGAAGCTGAAATCAGACTCTGCGTTAATAGCCCCCATGCTTGGTTGTCATTGGCTTCGAGCGAAGAGAACCTCTCGAGGTTGGCGTTGGCCAGCTCGTTTGCCTTATCGAGAACAAACTTGAGCTCGTCGTCTTGCATCCTGAACTTTCCAACGGTGTGTGACACCCGTCGGGCGGTTTGATGAATGCGTCCGCCGCTTTTGGAGGATTGCGGCGAACGAGGCATTTCTGAGACTTCCTTCACATCCTCTTCTTGACGATGATGTTCAGTGAATGTCGATAGGTTCAACAGCGCGAGTAAGATTTCCTGGAAACATTCACCAGGGAGATCACTGGTGGTTTCTAGCATCTTGCTAGACGCCGCTTGAACAGCAATTACTTCGGTTCCGAGGTTGGCAATTGGAACATCGTTCCCCGGTGTCAGTGGCGCCTCTCCGGTTCCACTGGCTGATTTCACCATTGCACTCGAAGACATTCCGATCACCAATCCGGTGTACTGAAGTGTCTCGAAGATGATGGACCAGGCCGACTGATCCAGTGTTGGGCCCAAAGCAATTCCCAAGTTGAGCAGGGCTCGCATGCAGAGCAAGTTTCTCGTGCTTAGAGAAACAAAAGGCCCCTCCCCTGTCGTCGCTCCAGAATATTCTGCGGAAGGGTTCGAGAGAGAGAAATCCGCACTCCGTCGCTTCTTTTGGGGTGTGTCACCTGGCTGCGACCCCGTAGTCGAGGCATTCTGAGACTTGGAGTTGCCGGCACTCACAGGAGTCGCAGCCTTTCCAAGGGTAGTTAAGAACGCGTCTCGAGGTACCGATAGCCTCAGAAGACCGGCCACATGAGCCAGCTTCTGGAATGCTCGGACGAGGTTATGGTAATACTCGTCATCCAAAGACGCTCGTAGGAAGGTAGAGCAGGCTGCAAGGACAGCGGGCCAACAGTTCTCTATGATTCCTGCACAAGTTTTGATCGCTGAATACTGAACATGAGACTGGAGGTCGAGTGGGTTGACGGGAACGTGCGATTTTCTCGTTGGTGAGCTGGGTTGTGGCCGAATAGATTCCGCTGGTAAATCCTGAGACGATCTTGCAGAATCAGGTCCTTGGGTCGGACTAAGGAGGCGGTTCTTGCGCATTTGTTTCCGATCCGGAACTGTCAGTGGAAGAATAAACTTTGCAAGGCCTTCAGCAAAGCTGCTGATGCAGTTGAGAACCAAGCTGTAGATGTAGGTCTCCGGTGCCACGGGTGGGTCAGTCTTGTCAAGGAGCTCGATGTATGGTGTCCGAACAACACTCCATTGGGTGCTAATTCCAGGAACCTTGAGTTCGCTGGGAGGAACGGTTGAGCCAATGACACCAGCCACACCTCCTGTTTCAAGAGTGATCTGGTCCTCGGTAGTGGACCTTGTGTGATCTGCCCGTAGCGGTACTGTCGACTGATTACTGACCCCAATCAAAGCGGGCTTCTCTGAGGCCAGTCGAACCAGCGCGGCCATGTGGTCACGAAGAATATTCTTTCGTCCCTCTTCGCCATCATACAATGTGTATATCAATCGCACTACACCAGGCTCGGAGTATAACCCTCTGAATATTTCCATGCACAGCAGTCGCTTCCAAGGCGCCGTTGAATCCGGCTCAGCAAGATGTGTGATGAGACTGAGTGCCATCTCGCATTCTGCCGTCAGAAGAGACATATGACGCTTCAAAAGCACGAGCAGAATTCGCGAGATACGCACGCTTTGGGCGAATGAAGATCGCTCAGAAAGACAGCGGACCGCCAGGGGTAAAAGGCGAACGCGTAGCACTTGCGAGAGCTCGGGATGTCCCACAAAAAGACGTCCACTATTCAAGAGAATACTCTCGATGAGTTCCAGGACGAAATTTGGTGATAGGGTTCTTGAGCGCAGAAACTGCAGTGGCTCGCCATCAATCAGACGACATAGATCATCTAGTACCAGCAGTGCGTCGTAGGCAAAATAGCCGACGTCAAGCGACCGGCCGTCGACCTTGATGGTAGTTGTAATTTTCTCGTCATTGGGGAGCTTATCTTCGCTGAAAACCCGTTCAAATGTCGAAACTACTAGCTGTTGAAGAGTCGCAGCCGCAGTGCTGGAGACTGCAATGGTTTTGCTTGCTTGTAACGTGGCACATATTTCCAATGTGTCTGCAAGCAGCTGCCCGCTCAGATCGTTTGAGTAGAATTGCAACAACGAAGGCAAGGACTGTAGGATCTTCAGTTGAATATCAAGGCCTTTGATCTGTCAGTATGGACTGTTCAAGTAGACATGGTACCGAGGTCCTGGGGATTTACTTAGGCCTGTTGTTTCTTTTAACCCTCCTATAACATCTTTGAGGCGAGTCGAGGGCAGTGATCGCGATGCAATCAACCTTTGCAAACAAATGACCGCTATGCCGGCTAGTTTTGCATGGCGAGTATGACACGCAATGATGAATGGCTCCACGAAGTGTGGCTTGCGGACAAGGTCTGGAAGTTTAGCAAATTGCTAACATCTTTGATATGTGACCACTAACCTGCTGCTATTTGAGCCTCCGATGTTGAAGGCAGGGCTTTAAGCTCATTCAATGATTGTTCAGCGGCCTAGTCTTCGGGTCAGTGGATTCGACCGGTATACCCGGGGTGGAATACCAACATTTCGCAAATCGGAGTTTTTCCTCTTGGATTCTTGAATCAAATTGGTAATCTCAGTCTGCAAGAATTGAGAGGACATTTTGAAAGGGTTTGATCACAGCATGACCAGCGCTGATTGCTGTCAACAATTAAGGACGCGTTCAGTGGATCAGAGTGGCCAGTGAGGATCGGGCTGTCAGAGGCCAAGTCTGTCTGACCGATAGAGTTAATTGCAGCGATCCTCCACAGCCAGCAAAAGATAAATGAACGCGTTGGAATTGACCAGCTGGACACATCGGCCGTTTACGCACTTCCCCGTAAGGACCCAGTCCCCACCGCCTCACTATTCTGCACCCGCCAAGACTTGTCAACGTCACGCTTTCTACTTTCTCGTGTCAAACACACACACATTCTACCTCTATCTCACATACATGACCTAAAGAGGAGTTTGGCAAAGTTGACAGCTCAAGCCCGATGAAAGGCTGGAGGGTGTTTGCCTAGCAGTCAGCCAAATGCCCAGGTGTACACTCCCGACCACCTCATGCCCAAACTACTGACTTCTTTCTATAGGATCTCGTGCCAAAAGATCATCTCCAGTCGTTGTATAAAGCTGACCAAGATATTAGGCTTTTCAAGCATCTGCCATTCTCTCATATACATACACACTTGGGAGTAATGGGGCACTTACATCTTCCATGTCCAAAAATGTCCTTTCGGGGGTCTTCTTTTGTTACCATCATTCAAAACATCCTTCCAACCCTATAGTTTCTCCATAAACTTGGGAAATAAGCCGATAAGCCGTGGTCTTATCCGCTGACGGGGGCAGGATCATTGCTTTATTAGCAGTGGAGACGCCAACCGCAAGGTGTGGAGTATTAGTCGTATGATCAAAGACCTGTGGGTTCCCTGGAAATCTTCATTCAGGAGACTCTTGGTCTGTCAGGTGGCTAGACAACCTTTTATGGATGACTGCAAGCCGATGCCATAGAGTATGTAGTATTGTAAGTCGTTCGGCTGTTTCTTGGTGATATCAGAAGCAGACAAAGGCATCTCGCTCTGACAAAGTCAACCGCTCTTCAAATACTAGTATTGGAGATCATGAAATGATCCCAGTATGTCCAATGGTAGTGAGATAGGAGAAGCATGAGGCTCAAATGAAGAATCCACCTCAAAGAATCAATGCCAAGCCTTGGTGCTTTAGTCATCGCATTTGACCGCCGGGCGCCCGCAGTGCCCCTCTTGTCGCAACATCCCTCTTGTTTTTGGTCCCCGTCATCGTGACATTCGCAAATTTCCAACCCACTGTTCCTATCATGAGTGCTAAAGTCCCAAGAAATTTCCGACTCCTTGAGGAGCTCGAGAAGGGCGAGAAGGGTCTGAGTGCAGGTACGATTGGGTCTCGCGACCTCCGACAATGTCCGATTCCAGTTCACTGACGTATCCGGTTTTTTTACGATTTTAGATGCTTGCTCATATGGTCTCGCTGATGGAGAGGACATGATGATGAGCAACTGGAATGGCACTATCCTTGGCCCTCCCCACGTGAGTTGCTGTTCGATATCGCCGGTTGGACTCTATCGCTAAACCACCAGCAGAGTGTCCATGAGAACCGCATATACAGCGTGAACATCCACTGTGGACCTGAGTACCCCGACACTCCTCCTACCGTTCAATTCGTTTCCCGCGTCAACCTTCCCTGCGTGGACCCCAGAACCGGAAAGGTATCAAGATCTGTGACCCGGACACACGACCATTGTTGATTGATTGTCAAATAGGTCGATGCGACAAAGTTCCCGACTCTCGCGACTTGGAAGCGAGACTTCACCATGGAAACCGTTCTGATCGAACTGAGAAGGCAAGCATCATTCATAGCCCAGGTGGTACCTAGTGCTGACTATTGTTGCTTAGGAACATGGCTTTGCCCCAGCACAAGAAACTACCCCAGCCTGAGGAGGGCTCGTCATTCTAGACAAGCCTCCATGGCCCCACACCAACTATAGTCAGAGACACATCTGGAGTATCAGGGTCGGCTTCATCTTGGGTTTCCTTACTTCTCTTTTCTTCCTCCTTTTCAACGACCCTACAGCGTGTACAGTCTGCATGAATGCATCGGCAGGGTTCTTTTCGAGTTTCAAATTTTTATTACCTCACAATTAAGTGTCTACCTCTTAAGTGTGTTCTTATGTGATGAGCATTGCGACGGGCGTCTGTTTACCAATAACAAATGATCTTCTCTGGTTGGTTTCGCTGAGCATATCCACTATGCCCACGCGTCAGAAGTACAATGGCCTATCTCAGGTTGACCTGTATTGAGATTCCCAGCTCTGTCTGGTTTCTGTTCTGCAGCTCTTATCAGCATTTGAGTATTTTCATATGATTCGCACGAGAAACCCAGCAACCCTGAGGGGCCAACTCTCGAGGGCGTCATTCTACACGCATACCAACCTTAGAACACAACGCATAAACCTTGGAATATCACAACACATCGCCTTTGAGTAAAATGAGTCGATCACAAACTTAGCCACACATGCTTGGGATACTATCTAGGGGGACGGTGGGAGGATTAGGTCAAGTGTGTTGTCATTTGAAGCTGGAAGGACGATATCTGCGCAACATATATATGGTACTGCTACCGGTGGAGACTCAACTAGCTACGCAAATGAGCAAGCTACTTGAGCAACAGTAAGGCAAAACACTGAAGTATTTAGATTCATACGCAGGTATGCTGAAAAGGCTACTGTACTCTCATATAACATACGAAAACAACACGGTAGTCATGAATTGTGACGACCTCGGGATGCATCTCACTTTAGGTACCCAATACACGGTTGAAGACTCGACGGGTCAGCGAGCGAAGGTACCTAGACGCAGGGTGAGAGGGACGAGAGTGAGTAGTAATAAACGAGGGGCTATAGACAGCAGGGAGGTCACGAGGAAAGAGCTGAACTAGGGTGAATGTGCCGAGAAGTGGTATGAGATGTTGTTGTGGACTGACTGGGGACGGCGACGGGGCGCTGTACCAAGGCACGGAGTACCAGGCGCCACACATTCATGACTACGGAGTACAGACAAACAGAGCTATAGACGAGGCACTCTTCTCCAAACGGTCGACAAGCCGGCAGCGGTTGATGAAAAGGTTTGCGTCGATCGGGGGTAGTGTAAGCCCAATGACACTGTGCATCGAGACGTGCGCAAGCACAGAGGTCAAGATGCGAGATCCAAAAATGAGAATAATCATTGATGTTACCATATAGGCAACTTTCAGAGATTAAACTGAAAAGAACAGATACTACACTTGATCTAAGCCAATAGGCAAAGAGAGCTGAAGAAGAAAGAAAAGAGAGGAAGGGCGCGGGTGTCGGCCTTGTTTTATAGCTCAGTTGACTCACTAGCGTCTACTAGCCTCGATTAAGCGAGCCAACCAGAAGCCTTAGGTGCCTTTGATCCCTTGCGTCAGAATAGCGAGCCAATCACATTCTATCTTACATCATCTATATGACGTAAAAGTCACATGCAGAAGATCGGATGGATCCAGACTGAGCATCTGAGCAACGTGATCTCACGTGCCATCCAAGGCATCCAAGGCATCAATACCATGAGCTGCCTCTCATCATCAGAATGCACAGGCATATAGTACCCAAGCAATCTGGGGTCCATCGCTTCGCCTGTAAGTCGTCTGAACCCCTCGGTCGCATTCTCATCGCTAATTGTCCACACAGGTTTATCGCTTTACCGAGCACTTCTTCATCAATGCCGTTCTCCAAAGAACGCCGCATGGCTCGATGAAGCGAGAGGGGTGGTTCAACATAGTTTCCGAAGGTACAAGAACCTACAGAGTCCGAGTCAAACCGTGAATGCCCTGCGTGCAGGCTACGAGGTTCGCCCAATGATCATGATCCAAGTTGGCCTGGTACTGACCTTTCATGTACTCAGGCTCTAGACCTTATCTTTGCGGCGCATACTGATCCGAACCACCAAGAAAAAGTCACGCGTCTGATATCCCGAGCCAAGCTTCACAGAGACAGATTTGTCGCGAAGCAAGAGAAGGCTCGATCACTAGTGCCACCTCCGCCGCCTCTGACACCCAGGGCAGCACGCAAGGCAGAGTCGATTCGTTTCCAAAATGAAACCGCCCTACGACACCCCGACGCAAAGCCGATCCTAGATCGACCAAGGCCGCTGGGGGACAAAGTACGACACGTACCTGTTCTCGTGAATTCGCGGGGAGTTCCATACCTGCGCATCAAAAAGCCCATACCACAAAACCTCAGCAACGCGATACGGTCAAAGCTCGCCATTCGATGGAGATGGATTATGCGTCGCGACAGGCTGAAGGTTGAATCGTTGTTTGCTCACGATGAGGAGGTCTGGGATCGTATTACTGGGACCCGCGATCTACCGGCTTGGACCTCGGCCACCACCAACGCGATTGAGGAGACCAAAGCCAAGATCAACGATTACGACGCAAAAAACAAGAAGCTAGCGGAGGATATGTGGATGGTTGTCCTCGCTGAAAGAGCCCTGGCCGAGGAGGAGGCAGCAGCTCTAGGAAAGCCAGAGGATAAACCAGAGCATCCGTCAAAGGAAGAACAAGGGCCAGAGCAAGCGACAAAGCCGTCGTTTTTAAAGAAACTTGGCCGCAGTCTAGGATTTTCCAACGACACTCCCAGCTCTAAGGACTGAACACTTTGTGAAAACCGGTTGTAGCCAACGAGCACATCCCAATCCCAATCAGTCAATTGACACTTTGGTGTGTGATGGCACTGGTCGTGCCTTGTTGAATGGGCCGGTCTCTCTGGTTTGGATGTCATACGAAGGCCATTGGATGCTGGTCCATCAATTATTGACCTTCCCCATGAAGACATGACGGACCACTCGCCATGTCATTTACCATCCCACTTTGTGTCTCTGGCTTCCGTGAAGCTCCAATGACACTTCCATTCCTCTAAGGGGACGATACCGTCCCTCGGACGCAATATTGCTCCTTGTACTATAGAAATGGTCCACCTGGACCATGTCAATGTATATTACTCTACTCAACCGCCCGGCCATGATCTGGGTTTCTCTAATGCCTAATGTCGAAGTCATGAAGTTGCATCAAGATGTCAATATTTGCATGAAGTAATAGTAGGTCATAAACATTTCCATGAATCAGCTCATGCGGCCACCTTGAGCTTCTCAACGGCAGGCATGGCATCATCATCTTCCTCGTCGTAATCACCCTTAGCCAGACCCTTCTCCCACAATTGTCGGCCTGTCAGCTTTTTCTCGTCCTTGGCGGTCTTCTTCTTTTTGTCTTCCGCTTCCTGTTGTTCGCGTAGCCGTGTTTCGACCTCTTGCATTTCCTTCTTGAAGTTCGCGCTCCACTGCAAAAATGACTCGACAGTTACCGCTGTGCCGTGGAACTTGCGGTTCTCTTCCTCCTCTCGCGCAGCAGCAGCTTGGTCCTTCTCGGCTTGAATGGCGTCTGCCCGCTCGGTCATGAGAAGCTCGGCGCTCTCTTTGAGGGCACTGACTAGAGTGAACACCATGGCCATACCCATGTTCTCTTCAATAGTTGGCTGGAGGGCCTCCATCAGTTGATCCCGGTCTTCCTGGACATCGAGTCGAGGATGCCGCGGAGCATTGGGCGGGGAAGTAATGTTGAGGTTGGGGCCAACATCGGGGTATTCTTCTGGATAGGCAACTTCGAGGAAGATCACAGGCGGCTCTTCTTCCTCTTCGCCATATTCGGGAACGTCTAGAGTGATGGACACTCGGTATGAAGTTTCGGAGATGTCTAGCGATTTGACCGTCAGTGGACACGCACGGATAACTGGTGCCTCCAGCGGGCTTCAGATGTAACCTACCGGTAATCTCGTCGGGGAAAATTGAGTCGAGCACCTCGCGCTCTTCAATCTGGTCTTCGCGACCCATAGCTGCTGATCCGCCGGCGGATTGGAGGGGTAGGAATTAGGGTGGTGAGGCGCAAATGTGGTATACAACACTGCGCGAAGGTAACAGGCAGATTGCAAGGCAGTAAGGCGACTGGATATTCAAACAAGATCTGAGAAGAATGCAATATAATGCCGACTCTTAGAGAAATGCAAATCAGGCGTCGTGCCAATCTTGCGGTCCCACATGCAAACCCGTCAAACAGCCGCTCCAAATTTTTGGCTGCGGAGCTTCAACTTTTTTTTAGTTCTATCAAGATACCCACTACTATTGTCATTATATTGAAACTACGCCCTTGCTCCCATTCTTGATCAACCTGCAATGGGAAAGCCCAGACCGCAAAAGAAAAAGTCGTCCAAGCCCCGCGAAAAGTCCGTCCTAGGCCCCGGTGGCTCAATCTCGAAAGGCAACATGGCTCAAGATCCTTCCAAACTCCTCGACCAAGCGACGACCCTCTTACAGACCGGCCGGGCCGATGAGGCACTCGTGCTCGCACAGCAGGCACTGGAGTTGAGCCCCGAAAATACCCCCCGCACAGCTCCCCGCTATCAATCTACTCGGAGAAATCAGTGTTGAACTCGGTGATATCGACACGGCCAGAACCTATTTCCTTCAAGCAGTCCAACTCGATCAGGATGGATCAATTCCTGAGTCAGAGGGTGGAGGCGCTGAGAAGTTCCTATGGCTCGCCCAATTGAGCGAGGCAGGTGGAAAGGATAGTGTTCTGTGGTTCGAAATGGGTGTGACATCTCTCAGACAGGCCCTACAGGGACTTGAAGGGAAGACATCACCCGAGGCGATCGCCGACATTGCGCAAAAGAAAACCAAATTGTCCAACGCACTCTGTGCCGTTGCCGAGACCTATATGACTGATCTTTCGTGAGTCCATGTTCCACCGCAATCTTGGTCAAAGCTAACAAAATCAACAGCTGGGAAGAGGACGCTGAAGCTAGATGCGAAGCTCTTATTACGGAAGCTATTACTGTCACCCCCGAAGCACCAGAGGTGCTGCAAACTCTCGCTTCCATTCGGATATCACAACTGCGCACTGAAGATGCGCAAGCCGCGCTCGTTCGCAGCATGGGAATTTGGAAGGACCTCACCCCAGGAGATGTCAACGTCCCCGATTTCGCCATCCGTATCAGTCTTGCGCGACTTCTCATGGAAGTGACGCTAGAATTCGAGGCTCTGGAAGTTCTCGAGCGCCTGATTCTCGAGGATGACCAAAGTGTTGAGGCATGGTACCTCGGAGGATGGTGTCTCTTCCTGTTAGCAGAGAAGCAACAGGCGCCTAGGGATGCGACTGCTGAAGAACTTGCCGAGTCTCCCAGACATGCATCTCTCGAGGCTAGCCGTGAGTGGCTCAAGCAAAGCTTGAAGCTCTACGGATTGCTTGAATACGAGGATGAGCGTCTCCGTGATCATGCGTTGGAGCTTGTCCAGGAGATGAACAAAGAAATTGGAGAGGACGAGGAGAGTGAGGATGAAGCCGTTGGCCCTGAAGGCGAAGGCGATGACGAAGAGTGGGAGATCGAGGCCGACTCCGACGATGAGATGGCGGACTCTTAGATACCATTACGACCACATGAGATGATGTATATGCTTCCTTTTTTCCCACTTGATACCACCCAAGAGTAGTCTGTGTTTGTGTTTCTGATTCATTGTTCTCTACTTGCGCTCTTTGACCTCTTCTTTTCTTCCCGGAACACGAAACCAACTGCCAAGGTGATATATAAAGGTCAAAGAGAGGGGCCGCGATTCTTTTTGAGAGCATCACACTCCGTACATCTTGCAGCTTTACATCTCGTACATTGCCGCAGACTTTGATATCGCCACTCGGCCCCGGATTAATATTGTCTCCGGCCATACAGTCGAGTTTTTGCCAGCGCAAGTTCACGCGAAGGAAAGAGTTGAAAGAGTTGTCTCCGTGGCTGGCAGCTCAACTCCTGCAAAATGGACTTGAAACCAGCCTCAACGGGAGAGGATTCGTTCAAGTCCCCCGTGGTCGAAGTGGAGGCCGTGGAGGCCGTGGAGGCCAACGCGGACCTCGCAGTGGATGCCATGTTCTCCGATCTGGCAACGGATAGCGAGGATTCGGACGGCTGGGACAATCTCTCGGACTGCGAAGACGCCATTCAGTTTCTACGCGACGACCAGATTCGCGACGGACTAGGTAAACTATACCCACCCTTACCCCAGATCTATCCCCGCTCTCGGAGATCGCGAACTTGGCCTAACGCGCTTTCTCCATAGTCCCCGGCGCCTGTACTCTAGAGGAGGCTACGACATATCGACAGCGCCTACATGCGATCGGAAAGGCCGCTTTTGTGGAGGAGACCATCGTCCGCGAAACGGTCACGGCCAAGAAACTATGCACGGCGTTTGGGATCGTACCCCCGGCGTTCCTCGACGGCGCGCCCGATGAGGCCTACCACTCTCTTTTGGCGATCGCGATCTCGCGCGAGTTCTCCCGACGACCTAAACTTTCCCAGTATAACACCATCGACGATGCGGTGCGACTCCTCCGCGAGTCCCGCAACATCATCGTTCTGACCGGCGCCGGTGTAAGTTTCCATGCCCAGTAGCACTTGGGAGCATTGCTTCAATTTGCCAGTACTGACTGACGCCTATACAGATCTCGACGAGCCTAGGCATTCCCGACTTCCGATCTAAAGATACCGGTCTCTACTCCAAGCTGGAACATCTGGGTCTCAGTGACCCCCAGGAAGTCTTTGATATTCAGGTTTTCCGGGAGGACCCTAGCATCTTCTTCTCCATCGCGAAGGATATTCTGCCCACGGAGAAGAAGTGGTCCCCTACCCATGGATTCATTCGACTGCTTCAGGACAAGGGAAAGCTGTTGACCAATTATACCCAGAACATTGATAACATCGAAGGAAATGCCGGGGTACTGCCCGAGAAGATGGTTCAATGTCATGGATCCTTTGCAACCGCTACTTGTGTGAAATGCCAATTCAAGGTCAACGGCGACGCGATCTTTGGTGAAATCAAAGAGGGTAATATTCCCGAATGCAGCGCCTGCAAGGAGAGAATCGCAGAAGAAGCCTTGCAACCGCAGGGACTCAAGCGCAAGCGCAGTTCCAATGGGCAGCAGAAGGACCGCAAGGTGCCAGACGATAGCTCCGACGAAGATGACTATGAAATCCCCACCCCTGGCGTCATGAAGGTGGGTACTCTCCGCATACAACCATGTCATCTCAACACTCCATACTGATCTCCTGTCCAGCCTGACATTACCTTCTTTGGTGAAGATCTTCCCGATGAGTTTGGCCAGCGTCTCATTCACCACGATCGTGAATTGGCAGATCTGGTCATTGTGATCGGGACATCACTGAAGGTAGCCCCTGTGGCGGAAGTACCAGGCATTCTACCGCGCAACATCCCACAGATCTATATTTCGCGAACTGTAAGTCATTCTTGACCTTATTGGGCCTATTCATGCTGACAGTGCCCGATAGCCGGTCTCACACACGGAGTTTGATATTGATCTCTTGGGTGACTGTGACGTGGTGGTGTCAGAACTGTCTCGCCGGGCAGGATGGGATCTACAGCATCATATGATTCCTGCCGATGAGAAGGTGGATGTTGCCACAGTGGAAGGATACGAATCACGACATGTTTTTAAGGTAGTTGGTGCATAGGGACGGAGTTTCGGTCTCAAGGGGCGTATCTTTTTGGTGTGATATCCTCTTTTTTAGTACGGTTGATTCGGATTTTGGGTCCGTTAATGAACAAATTTCCTGAAGATCTCTCCATCCCAAAATAATTACTCCCTGAGAAAATGAGAAGACTCAAAGGTGTAGAATGTGGTACTTGTAGATATCAAACTTATCGTGGAGTATATATTTTGTCCCGAGAAAAAAAAATCTACATCCGCACCCCGCCTCCAACGAACCATCACCAATAAACCACCCAACACAGATACTCCCATCATGGACTATCTCGTTCGTTTCGCTCAGACCCATGAGACTTTCAGGGTCCCGGAACTAGAAGCCTGTGCAACCATCGCGGGTGCCGAGATTGAGATCCTTTCTTACAACAAATTTGTATGAGCACACCGATGATCAAATGTCTAGAATGACCAGAGTCAAGTACTCTGAGACCAACTTGATTTTCCTAGAAGATTTGTATATCAGAATTGAGCTAACCTATCAACTAGTCTCCACACTGTGTCGTGAGATTCCCCGACGCAGCAGCAGCCTGTGCAACTATCAAGCGCACCATCCTAGCCAAGGATGTCTTTGAACTATGGGGAGAAGGCACAACCTATGAAGAACTCCATGAAGATGTCCGTCGACGCTCCCAGCACCTCTGGAAAGACTACGGTGACGCCTCATGGAGGTTCGTCTTCAACTGCTTCTCCGGAACACGCAGTGTAGAGAAGAGAAAAGAGATCATGCAATCATTCCAATACATGGGATTCACCGGGCCAATTCAAATGAAGAACCCGGACCAAGAATACTACGTGATGGAAGAGTACATCGATGATGTCGAAGCCTCATCAAACGGCGCAGCGAGAACAGAAGAGCCACGGAAAATCTTCCTTGGCCGCAGACTCGGCTCAAGCTGTCGCGAGGATATGATCACATACGACCTTAAGAAGCGCCGATATATCAGCACGACGTCCATGGACGCAGAATTGAGTCTGGTGACGGCGAACATGGCACTCGCAGCGCCGGGAAAATTGTTCTTCGACCCCTTCGTCGGCACTGGAAGTTTCATAGTTTGCGCAGCGCACTTCGGAGCTCTGACGATGGGTGCAGATATTGATGGGCGCAGCTTCCGTGGCAAAGATCGCTCAAAATTGGGCGTGTTTGAGAACTTCACCCAGTATGGAACGGAGAGCAAGTTTATCGATACGCTCACATCGGATCTCACGAACACTCCGTTCCGAAGGACTGGGTTCCTCGATGGAATTGTCTGTGATCCACCTTACGGTGTGCGCGAAGGACTCCGGGTCTTAGGAGAGCGCAAGGGGAAACCCGCTGTGAATGTCATCATTGATGGTATCCCGGCCTACCTGTATGTTTGATCATACTCCGAATTAATCTACCAGACTAACGCGCGCAGCCGACCTGGGTTCGTCCCTCCTAAGAAGCCGTACGGTTTTGAGGCTCTGCAGAATGACGTCCTCAACTTCGCGGTCCGGTCTTTAGTTGTCAATGGTCGTCTATCGATGTGGATGCCTATTACCAACGACGAGAAAGTCGAGTTCCCAGTCCCCATGCACGAGAACTTGGAGGTTGTCAGTGTTAGTATTCAGGACTTTGGAAATTGTGAGTTGGAGATTACCTTGGATGGCGAACATCGCAGAGCACTGCTAACATCACCGTAGGGGCTCGTCGATTGATCACTTACCGTCGTCTCCCCGAGGGAGAGCTTTCTGATGTGTCAATGGCTCGAAAGAAAGCCGATGACGAGGGCTATAGCGCCGATGACCTGAATGCCTTCCGACGAGTGGTATGTACTATCAATGGGAGAATCACGAGAACAATTGGCTAACGGATTGAAAAGCACATGCTTCGAGGACACGGCACTCGGGTTGTAGAAGACTTCAAAGCGTCAAAATAAAGATGAGCACTATGTGCACGAGAAGACATACCGTTTCGTCATCTCAGCAGGAGATCTGAAGGAGCGGCCACGATGATTGCGTATATTTACAAAGACCTCAAAGGGTCGCGCAGATATATGCAAGAAAGACAGAAAAAAGAGAAAACGAAATATGCAGCAGGGCACACAGCCTTACAACTTCCCCCGCTGACTCGCATCAGAAGCCAATGCAGCCAAGTCCACACCTTCATCCCTCTGGATTCGCTTGACCTCCTCAATGAGCTCAAGTCTCACATCCCGAGCCAAAATCTCCGCCTCATCATCATCGAGTTCCTCCCTCTGGCCCCGGCCGAACATAGCGAAACTCGATCTCTGATTAGCCCCAGTAGCAGGGCGGGGGATAATGTGGAAATGAACGTGAGGCACGACCTGCGCAGCTCTTTCACCTATACAAGCAATTAGTTCGAACATAAGATACCAATTCATACATAGAAATGCACGATGACATGAAGTATGAAGATCAGTCCAGTGCGATGCTCGGGTTGCGCAGTGGAATCCAATAATTTCCCGATCCGATACCGGGGATCTCTCCTTGCGCTCTGAGATCGATAGCGGAGTTGCAATTGAACACACCCGGACTATTCACAGGGAGGAAATGGTGAAAAGCAAGGGTAGGACATACCGTTGTTCTGGACCACATTCCAGTGTCTGTCTGGATCGTCCCCGAAGACGGTTTTCATGACAACCCTCGACAGAATTGGGAGCCATTTGCCGATCTGCGGAGAAAATAAGTATCGGAAGAAGATGGATGTTGCATTGTACATGTATGTGTAGATGTATTGGGGATACACATGAACATACCTCTTGTCCGGCTTGAACGCCCATGTCGCCTACGGTGTTGTAATGCTTCCTCGGGGCCACGAGGACATGTCCGCGGGTAAGCGGCATGATGTCCAAGAAAGCGAGAACATGGTCGGTGGACAGGATGAGGTGGGACAATGGTCTAGCATCAGGGTCTAAGGATGTGGGATTGATGTCCGGGTCATTGAATGGGATTGAGGGGTATGAGGACGCGATCTTGCAGAATGGACATGAGGGGCTTGGATCCATGGCGTAAAATAAAGACAATTGGGAGAAATGGAGGTATAGATCGACAGGGTAAGCGAAAGCGAAAGGTTACAAAAGGATGAAACAAAGTTGAACGGGATTTTGGGTAAACAAGAGGGGAGACCTCGGCTAGGAGCTAAGAAGCTAAGAAGCTTAATTGGAAGACATACGAAGAATCCAAGAGACATACACAACGCCAAAAGCGTAGTCCAACAAATTACCTCTCCCTGCATCTTGGTCCTTTTTTCCATCTCTCTCTTCGAGTCTCTTCGAGATCCTCCAAAAACCTCCCAGCCCAGATGTCACATTGTTCACCTTCCAAGTTCCAAGGAGCTCTTCCCACAGGGGCTCGAGGAACATTGAACATAGAAAAGACGATGTGTCACATCGGTAAGAAGTTAAAATTGCGATTTGAATGAATAAATCCCGACGCCTGGAACACGGATGACGAGAAGGTAAAAAAAGGTATCAGGGCAGACGTTGCCCATGCACGGGAAAGCCGAAGAAAAGGAAAACAATAGCACAGGACCGAGCGCCAGAACACCCCATCACAGAACACAAATGCGGAGCGCACAAATTCAATATCAAGTCGTCGTAAGAATATGCAAAGAGGTAGTCGAGACCAGCACAATGAGATGCCAACATATGTAGAAGTTCAATTTGCCTGCTCGGGGCGTCGCGAGAGCCTTGGAATAGTCATGAAAGGCGCTGACATCACCGGAACAAGGAAGCATGACATCGTAAATGGTACAATTACTGCTCGTCCTTGGCGAGCGAGTCGGCACTATCGACGTACAGGTGGTGGTACTTCTTGGCCCACTGGCGAGTCAAGATGGAAGCTAAGAGGGGTGTTAGCGGTGTACAGACAAGGAGAGACTAGGTCATGCTTACCCTTCAAGAACTTCTTGCTAGCATACTTCTTGAAGAAGGCTTCGTGGGAGACAGGGCGGTGCAGATAGTCGACCATCAGTTGGAAGACAGGCTCAATCTCCTCCTCGGTGTATCCAGAGTAGTGAGCAAGAGTAGCATCCTGACATGAAGGTTAGCAATGTTGTCAACACCAAAGCAAGAAAATACAACATACCCAATGGCCACGCTCAAGGATGAGACGAGCGAGGTACATAGCGGCAGCGGAGATGTGACTCTGAGGGTAGCCCATGAAGCGGTGATCAAGCAGACTGATTTCCATCAGGTACTTTCCGAGAGTACGGGTTTGGATATCGTAGTTGTCGGCCTTGGAGATACGGCGCAAGAAGTTCATGGGGTTAGGGAAGCTCATGTTGTACTCGAGGGTAGCAAGGACGTGACGCTCGGCGTCGAGGATTTCCTTATCGGAGAAGGTCTCATCGGCGACGTGACTGAAGTTGGCAACGTGGGGGAAAGGACCTCCTCGTACTTGGAGGCAATGAACATGGCGGTAACACCGACAAGCTGTAGACGGTCAAGGGCGACAACCTCAGCGGACAGGAAACGATCAATGATGTTGACAGCGAGGAAGAGGGTCTCGGGGAGAAGACGGAAACGGGTGTGGACTTCGATGAGCCAGTCGACAAGGATACCGCGCATCTTCCATTCGAGGTCGGGCTGGTGGTCGATGTACTCGGGGTTAGGCAGAGTGATGATCTCCAGATCCTTCAGGTATTCAAAGATTTCCACCACGTATTCGGCGGCCATCAATGGGTCATCCAGGTCCTCAGTGTCCAGATCTTGCACGGCGTCTTCGAATGCCTTCACAGTCGACTTGGTGGTCTCAACTTCTTCGGGAATCTTTTCAATAACCGGCTGTTCCTTGCGTTCCACCAGATCAGCCTTCTTGCGGGGAGGCTCATCGGCCTGCGTAGACGGTTCCTTGCTGGAAGGGCGCTTGTGTGTGGTGCTGGCGGGCTTCTTGTTGGAATCGCGGGGTTGAAGGGGAGGACGGGTGGAAGTGCGAGCCGAGTTTGTGCGGCTGACTTTCTGGATTCCTCCGGTGTGGGCGGTTGCCTTGGAGGTCAAGCCAGCCTTGCTGGCGGCAGGCTTCTTGCCGGCCTTCGCGTCGACCACCTCGGTCTTGTTGACGTTGCTCACATCACCCAGAGCGGCACGGGGGCGTTGCACTCCGGCGGTTGTGGTCGAGGTGGTTCGCTTCACTCCTAGAGTCTTCTTGCCTGCGGCAGCGGCGACGTCGGTCGTCAGGGCGGCGGTCTTGGCCCGAGTGACGCGTGCCGAGGGCCCATTCTCATCGTTCTCGTTCATCGTGCCTCGAGTGCGGAGGGTGCGAGCCTGGAGGGGAGTCAGTTTTAGTCCGATGACGAAGTTTTGAGACGATCGGATCTCAAGAATTGAGCTCCTGGATCTCAAGCAAGGACGAAAACGCGTGATGTTTAACGGTTCTAATTGCTCACCTGAGGCATCGTGGAAAGAAGAAGAAAGAAGGACGCGTAGGAATTGGAGAAAGGGGACAAGAATATAATAATTCTTGTTCTGCGGAAGGTGTCACGTCAGCATTCCGGACAGCATTGCCTCGGTGGGGACCTCATACCAGGGGATTGAGGTCTATGTGCACGTACCACGCGTGAAAATGCTGTCGTTCTGAAGCAAATGCACTGTCCGATCGGTACAGGTTGCTTGCCGACAGATGAAGATGTTATGGTAGAAGTACAAGTCCAATATCAGACTCTTGTTGACTTATGACGAGACCCGCGATTGACCCCAGCTGGCTCGCTTTAACGACGCGCGATCGGGGAAAAAAAGGTATGGCAAATAAAACAGTCACCTGGGCGATTAGTGCAGCCGGTGTTCGCACGCGATTCACAGCGAGGTTGCTGGTGGGGATGGGAAGGATGTATCTTTAAATGGAATGAGGGAAAGTGAAGAACTTGAGAGGGCAAGGCGATGTTTGGCCCTACTGGACTAGCGCGGAAAACAGGCCCAACCTGAAAGACGCCCCACCCAGTCGCGTGGATCTTGACTGAAATTGATAGTACAAGATGTTTTAACCCTATGAAATTGAAGAATGGGAGAGAGAATTCAGCAGAAAGAGAAAGGGAAGATCGAACGGAGAAGGGGAGGTTGAGATAGAAGTAGATCCAGCAATGAAGGGGAGAGGGCCCGTTTGGAGCTGTAAAGTACCGCAGTACCGCTGGTACGGGGTGGATACGCGAGGGCGCGGCGACAGCGTGGGCGTCGCGGTGCGTAAACAGTCCGTTGCGGGGCAACGAGGGCGTTTGTATCGTATTGCTCGTAAAGTATTATGTCATGGGTCACGTGAACTAGTCACTGACAGTTATAATGTGCCACACATCTGTGGCTGTGTTACTACGGTGGCTGATCTATTCCCAGATCACGTGATCAGCCTGAACTTTTTGTTTCCGTGGAGCGCAACTGTGCAGACCGAGGAGAGGAGAGCATCCGAGTCCCTATTGGTCTACGCTTTTTGGACTTGAGACTTTCTGTTCATCGACCACCGATCCAATTGATCCCTCTGCAACTGCTCTTTTAGTCCCCTCCCTCCCCAACTCATTGGCAGAAATGCTTCAAACCCGAATTGCCCTCCGGGGCATTCGGTTGCCCTTTCGGTGTCTACCCTCTCTGCCTTCACCCGTCCGTGGCTACTCGACAATCGTGAATGAGATCGAAATCCCCAAGCCCAAGCCCGTCGAAACCCCCGTCAACACCTTTGTCGATCCGAACATCTCTTTCGCTCCTCCGCCCACCCGCAGCTCGGGCGTGAACCTGCGGACCTACACTCCACGCACCCCCGGTATCAGACATTTGCGACGACCGGTCAACGACCACCTGTGGAAAGGCCGTCCCGTGCACAAGCTCACCTTCCCCAAGCGTGGTCACGCGAAGGGTGGTCGTAACAACTCCGGTCGAGTGACCGTCCGTCATCATGGTGGTGGTGCGAAGCGTCGAATCCGAACCATCGACTTCCTGCGCATGGCCCCTGGGCCACACACGGTAGAGCGCATTGAGTACGACCCGGGTCGTAGTGCCCATATCGCTTTGACTGCCAGCAAGGAGACTGGCAAGCTGAGCTACATCCTCGCAGCCGATGGAATGCGCGCCGGCGATGTGGTCCAGAGTTACATGTCTGGTATTCCCCAGGATCTATGGAACAGCATGGGAGGCACAGTCGATCCCGGTGTCCTGGCAGCCCGAACTGCCTGGAGAGGTAACTGCCTCCCCCTGCACATGATTCCCGTGGGAACCCTGATCTTCAATCTCGGATTGCGACCCGGTAAGGGAGGTCAGCTGTGCCGCAGTGCTGGAACTCACGCCACAGTCGTTGCCAAGGGCAGTGACTCGCGCCAACAAACTGTCTACGAAGAGGAAATGGAGGCCGAAAAGAAGCCCTTGACTGTGCGTGAAAGACAGAAGCAAGAGCAACAAGCCCAGCACATTACGGTCCGCCTCTCAAGTGGTGAAGTCCGTCTCATTCACAAGGATTGCTGTGCCACCATTGGTATCACCAGCAACCCCAACTACCACTACACCCAGCTCGGAAAGGCTGGTCGCTCGCGTTGGCGCAACGTTCGCCCGACTGTTCGTGGTCTGGCCATGAACGCCATGGATCACCCCCACGGTGGTGGTCGTGGAAAGTCCAAGGGTAACGTTGACCCGAAGAGTCCTTGGGGTATTCCGGTATGTATCTCCGTTTTGATTTCTATATTCACGATTCCAGTTTGACTGAGCTGACTCTCCTTTTTTTTTTTTACCAGACCAAATCCGGTTACAAGACCCGTCCCAAGTGGAAGATCAACAAGGCTGTCGTCCACGCCAGACCTCGCAACCAAGGCAAGCGTCGTCGTGGTTACAACTAAGCATAGTTCCACTATGTTATGTCTTTGAATCGCTCCATACCTCTTCACCCTATACCTCATCCCCACCGCACCGAGGATGACTGTACGATATCTTGTCTCTCACACATTCCGTGTCTCATTTTACTCCATATTGCACTATTTTTTGGGAATTTCTGGGTTGCGCACCTGATTGAAACTTCGATGGGGGCACTGTACAGTACGATGGCTCCAGATATACATTCTAAGCGAAATAAAATAGACGAAGTTTGAAGTTTGAAACCTGAAACTTGAAGTTCGAAGCCATATTCTGGTACCTAAATATATTTAAGATGTAATCTACTCCTAGCATTTGTGTCTTATAGTACATGAGTGAGTTGTAGCTTTCATAGATGCTGCATTTACACTTGTAGACCCTGCCAAGCCTCCAGGCAACTCCTTGATGCGTGGCCATGTCGATCCCACCTGTCAATATTCTTGCGAATTATAGGCTTTTTCATAGTTTCAGATGGAATGCCATCGAAGTGCCCGAAAAAAAAGGGGGTATGCTCCTCCAACTGGTGAGAAATAAAAAGTCGAGAGAGCTCAGCCTCTTATGATACGAAGCCCGCCGTCATCCATAGAACTTTGTTCCTTTTTCCACTCCCCACTCTCGGCACTTCAGGCCCTGGCAATGAACAGTTGAATGTCCTTGGCTTGTTGACCGGAGTACACCTCCCTCGGCTCACATCGACGGGTTGACCTCATCGAACCTGCATTACTCAGCTACGTGACATTGCGAGATGGCGGCACTCCCGCCATCGAATTTCGGCCCCGACGCCTTTCGATACCCCACAGAATCCGGCTCCTCTCAAATGGGGTTCGCATCCGCTGATAATGGTGCGCTCGCCGAGGGCAGCGCCGGCGAAAGCAACTTCGTGCCCCGCCCCAAGCGCATCGCGTGCGTCGTCTGTCGCAGGAGGAAACTAAGGTGCGATGGGAGGCGGCCGAGCTGCGGCACATGCTCGAGACTGGGACACGAATGCGCATATGACGAGGTGCGCAAGAAGAGTGGACCAAAGCGGGGATATGTCAAGCAGCTTGAAGCACGATTAGGTACGCTGGTCCCAACAACGATCGCCATGACGCTTGTACCACTCAAGGACTATATCGCTGACGATGAGGGATGCATTAGCTCAGGTGGAAACGCTGCTTAAAGGCCAGGATCCAGAACCTACGCAACGAACATCCCCGCCTCAACTGTTGGATAATGCTTTCACGGCGCCCATTGGCGACGAGTCTATACTAGCCTTGCCAGACCTGTCGGAGTTGAGTGATCTGGGAGGCTTTGGGGGTGAGATGCATCGTTCATTCCATGGTCCAGCTGGCCCTGCTGCAGGACACCCAGGCCCAGCGTTGTTTCCTCCGCCCCAGAACACGTCCTCGAACAGCAACTCCCAGTGGGACTTGATCAGCCTAGGATTAGAGGAGCCACTTCCTTCGCAGGATGTTATCGAAGAACTGTATGTGATTCGTGCGGTCCTACGTTGGAACCTGTTTGATCTGTTCTAACTCGAGATAACTTCTAGGGACGCTTTGTTCTTTGAGAAGATATACCCAATGATGCCCATCATCCATCGCCCCCGTTACTATGCAGCCTTGGATTTGGCACCCAACATGCGGCCACCCGTATGTCTGCGATACATCATGTGGTGCCATGCTGCGTCTGTTAGCGACAAGTACTTCTTTCTACATGATCATTTCTACCACCGCGCACGCAAGTACGCCGAAAGCGATGAAATGAAAGGATTTGGAGAGAACATCGTCGGACTGGCATATTGCCAGACATGGGTACTCATCGGCACATACGAATTCCGAATGATTTATTTCCCGCGTGCGTGGCTGAGTGTTGGAAAAGCTGCGAGATTGGCATTGATGCTGGGATTGAATCGACTGGATGGCGCTGGCCTCGATGTCAAGCAATCAATCCTTCCACCCCGAGATTGGACTGAGCGCGAGGAAAGGCGAAGAGTGTTCTGGGGGACATTTGCCACGGATAGGTACGCCAGTGTGGGAACGGGTTGGCCTATCCTCATCGACGAGAATGACGTGAGTTTTTCCTTTACGAGTGAACCCTTCAACCCTCGGAGCCGTCATGGCTAACCATAATCAGATTATGACGAATCTACCTGCTTCGGAGGAGTCTTTCTTGAAAAGCAAACCACAACGAACACTTCGTCTGACCGATGTCATCAACGGCGAAGGTGTCTCGACACTGGCTCCGTTTGCGTGCGTCATAGTCTTGACAAGTCTGTTTGGTCGTAACCTGGTGCACATTCATCGACCTCAGCCTCATGACAACGACCACGATCTCAATGGAGAATTCTGGAAGCGACACAGAAGCCATGATAACATCCTCCTGCATATTGCCCTATCTCTTCCAGATCACCTCCGACTTCCCAGTGGCATGACAGATGTAAACGTGATTTTCGCCAACATGAGTATTCATACTTCGACTATCTGTCTCCACCAGGCCGCAATTTTCAAGGCTGAAAAGAACAAAATGCCCAACCAGATCACGATTGAGAGCAAGCGCAGATGTCTTGTGGCTGCAAATCAGATCTCAAGTATAATGAAGATGATCAGCCACGTCGATTTGACGAGCGTAGGTTCACACGACCCATCCCGAATTCTTTTCACTAACCACCTCTAGTTGAACCCATTCATGTCATTCTGCTTGTACATCGCTGCTCGTGTCTTCGTGCAGTATCTCAAGTCTAGACCTGAGGATTCTAGTGTCCAATCCTCATTACAATTCCTCGTCTCCGCTCTGAATGCCATGAAGAACAAAAATCCTTTGACCGAGTCATTCCTCGTGCAGTTGGATGTTGACCTTGATGGAACTGGCATCCGCGCTTTGGACGACAGACAAGTCTCCAAATATGCGGCACATTCCATGCTGGTACGTCTCCTAGATTCGCCCCTCGAGGATCGAGAACCACTCACTAATACCTCCCAGAAGAGCTATTGTAATGAAGCCCCCGATTGTCCTCCCGTCACCAACATTCGTGGAACTGCCCCAACGAAGGAGCAATCCCAGCGCGATGCCAACCGTCCTACCTACCAGCAATCTACTCCGGGCTTAGCAACATCACTCCCAAGTCGATACAAAGAATCGGCAACCCAGCCAGCCGGAGGTCCAGCATTCAGCGGCGATGATAACCGACATCCCTTTGATCGAAGTCCGATTAATCAAATGGAACAGGCTGACCCAGGGACCATCGTCGACATGGATATGGATTTCTCACCTGACTTTGGAAACCTCAGTGACAGGAACAATCCACCTTCAGATCACCCGACACCTTCGACCCTGAACTCATCTTCGAACACATCATATTCACTCACCGGTGCTGAGGATGCACCTCCCGGAACGAAAAAGCAAAAGTCCACAAACCACCCCAACCAAGGCTCTGGATTACCATTCGATAAACTGAACTCAATTCACATGCCATCCGAAATCCCCAACCCCCAAGCGGCTGGAATGAACTCCATGAACGCTCGGTTCTACCCAAGCAGCTCTGGTAGCCCGGTTATGCCCACTGATCCATCAACCGCGTTCTCTGCACCGCCCACATGGGGTCTTCCAGACCAAATGCCCCAGATGGGCAATTTGGATCTAGGCAACCTTAGCATGGAGAACTTCTCCGAGTCTCAATGGGCCCAGATTCTGGGCACTCAGGTCTTGGGAGAAAGCCCATCCGGTGGAGCCAACCCTGGCTGGGAGGACTGGCGACCGTCATGAGTGATCTCTGCGCGCAGACAAAAGAATGCTCGCCAATGAATTTGTCTATCCGTTGGCATGAGAATATAACCACTACTGCTGGTTCCCGGATTGCTCGCTGCGAGTGAAGGATTCATTTCTCGCAAGCCAACTCGGGCCCAAGATATTGCACCCGACGAAGATCGGATGACCGATCGATCGCCTATAGCAATGCTGGTAGGGTAGCTTACCCTTGGAAATCCTTCTACGGTTTCGCAATCCCTGCCTGACTGTGATACATGCAAGGCATTGGCCTTGCAGCTTATGAGCACCCCAATCCGTACAGGGACTACAGTGTTCCACACTGAAGCTGGTTCCCATTTTTGGATTTGGGACGTCACTCAGATCAACACAACACACTTCTCCCCTCCACGGCTTCCCTAACAGCAAAGGTCGATAATTATGAGAGCTAAAAAGCTCGAACTTCCACCCACCTATTTCATGAATGATGAACGGTCAACCGGTGTCTTGCGGGCGGGGCTTTTCTCTTTTGAGCATTATATGTATTATTTAAAACGGGGCAAACCTGGAAGGCTTCTCCAGAATTATAACAAATCAAGACTCCTTTTCACCATGTTATTATGACAAATCTACGCAGATCTGTATCGGCCAGGGGCGTAGGTCCCCGGGCGAGGAACCCCGGAAGTAGTTCAGAAGGAAACCTTGGAAGGTCCGGCCGGACCCAAGGGTACAGCCCGTCGCCAGGAACTGTAATTATTGAGGTCCTGTTGCAATACGTCACAGAAGGTGATATATGGCAGTGTAGGCCCAAGACAAAATAGGAAATTATTGTGATAGGACCCTTGGAATACTGAAATTTGCCCTGGTCGCTATAAAGCTACTGAAGTATGGCTTTGGTTAACTCTTTTGTATTATGCCATTGATAATTGTTTAGTACGTCCATTCATAATATTTGAAAGCCAGATGCCTGCATGTCTAATAGTACACCTCGATGCAAAAAAAGGCTTGCGAGAAAAATTCAAAACAACAGAGGCCAAATGCAATGCCCGAGGTCACAGACCACCGCCAGCAGCACCAACAATCTTTAAGCCCCCGGAATTAGAGCTACCTGCCCCGTCAGTGGTAGTCGAGTAGGCCAGCCAGTACCGAGACGGATGCCATGCCACAGCCGAGACACCGGCATGTACACCGGCCGTGGGAATTGTGTAAATGCTATCCCCAGACTCCGCGTGAAAGATTTCAAGACCATTACCACCACATGCAGGCTCATCACACGCACCCACCACAAAGCGGCCGTCGAAACTCCAGCTCACACCGCGAATCGCACCGCCATTCTCGCTCGAGAGTGTGCGGCGACAGATCCAGTCCGTCGTGTCCCAGAGAGAGATGAGGGCATCGCTACCGCCCACCGCGAGGTATCGGCCCGTGGGGGCGAGTGCGATAGCAAGACACGCCGAAGTGTGCGCGTTGAGAGTATGCATGATGTTGAAAGATGGGTATTCCATGATCTTGACCTTGCCTTCACCCGTCGTAACGAAAATCTGTTGCTCGGGACGTTCAGGCGTCGGCATACACCATGAGAAAGTGGTAGCGTTCGTTTGAACGGTCTGAGGGTGGGGATCTAGAGCTGTGTATGTAGTTGCGCCAGGTGTGGAGGAGGGAAGGTTGAGGGCTCTGGGGCCGTCGGGGTGGGTAGTCGGTGCGGAGGGAAACTGAACGGAGATGGGGATCAAAGTATCGTCCTAGTCAAGGCGTGTGTGAGCAAGCATATCGTGAGCGATCGCATCGGGCGTCTGCCAAGTCGCAGGCGACCTACCTTCTTGCCAACAACCATTGTACTGCCATCCGCAGACCATGACATAGTGAAAGCTTCACCTCCGACATCTAATTTGCTCACGCACGTCTTAGAGCGCACATCCCAGAAGCGCACCGTGCCATCGGCGGAGCAACTCGCCAGCTCGGCATCGCGAACCGGATTGAAGAGGACTTTCTCAACGGCACCCGAATGGCCGCGCAAGTCAGTCGAGTATCGGAAGTTCGGGCGATCCGGATTCCAAATGCGTAGCGTCCTATCGGCGGAGCCCGTGGCAATCAGTTGGCCGGTGGGGTTCCATGCGAGAGTGCGGATGCTGCGATGCGCGATCAGTACAGATAACGAGAGCTGGCGCCAACACTGAGCTTACGTGTGTGATCCAGGACCCTTGGCGGCTGGATCAGAGTAGCTCTGAGTCTTGACGCCTCCAAAGACAAACGCGAAGTGGTCCTTGTGGAGGAGATCGCGGCGCGCGGGCGCCATTTGGACTGGCTGTGGTGACTTCGGCTCTGGTGACTCTGGTGGCTCTTGCAACGGGCGCAGGGCTAAGTCGATCGCCTTGGCATGAGAGCAATTGGACGTCAAAGGAGAGTTGGTTCTTTTCACAGGGCTATAGGACGGGCTGCTTGAGGATGCAGTTGGAGGACATTCGGATACCGCCTTCGATACTGCCTGGCAGTCGTCACTTTCGGGTGTAGCCGTCATCGCCTAGGCATTCAACTGTATGTCTTTTGTTTTTCTCGTTGAATTTTTGTCTTTGACGATTTCTGGCTTGTTTGAAATATGACTAGAGACATGAGAGAATCATCAAACTGAGTTTTGGTTTTATTCGGACATCCGAATCTCGTGTATGTGAAACTGTGTGCAACTGCCCGGGAATCCTAAAGTGTAAGCTTCAGCTTTTGTACTGCGTGAATAGTACACACACCGCATCCACAGTCAAGAGTATAAATATTCTCGGCTAGCTATGAGAGTCATGAGTTTGAGTAGTTTTTTCACTCGATCGAGGGACAAGCGAGCAATTTACACTGGTTTCTCGGGTTCTGAGACAAAATACAGACACAGGCCGGTAGAACTCAAGCCGGCATTCGAGTCAAAGTGACGAGCAGGAGAGAGAGAGGAACATATTGCTTGACTTGTAGTAGAGCCACGAGAGATTCCGTTAAAGTATCTTCATTCGGTGCTTGCTAGGATGCTCATGCTCGACGTATGGCGTTATGCATCGAGTGAAAGAAAGCGCCGAGACGTCAGATCGCAGCGTGAATTGCTGTCAGACAAATGTATAGACTGAGGTCTCACAAACCCACCGACATTGAGGGAACTACGTAGAGACATTTCGACAAGCAATCCAATAAGAAACGGTATGCAGCCTTATGGGTCCGGGCCGAGCTTAATCCAACCTCACCCGCCGAAAAATCAACCTATCAAGGGACAAGTTGCCACAGGTGCACTCCGAGCTGCAACATGTTCGATCAAGTGGACGATGTGTCACGGCGCGAAAAATGCTTTACTACCATATCTTCATTACCGGCATACGTTGAGCCAAAGCAGATCCCAAAGCGACCACCCTTTTCTACAATCCAGAATCATCCACTTCTACATTCTGTGGGTGATGCGAACAGGGGATGCCGGGGCTATTTGAACTGACGAAAAGCAGGTCGAACTCATCCTACCGAAGGAAACCTATGACAAGATCAAACCGTCACTCGCCAAATTAAATAAGCCCCGGTATGCACGGGTCTTCATGCCGCCTTCTTCTCTGCTGGAGCATGAGTTTTTCAATACATACATCAAGTCAGGTAATTCTAATCCTTGTCAAGCTCGGCTGGAGCTGAGGTGTATTTGAAGTGCGCTTCATGTGAACCAACGCCCGGCAGCAGACTCAATCAATTCACAGAACCCATCATCTAACTTGGCGACAGGGAATATCTTGATGATCTCCGAAGGGTCCTCTGGATCAGACAATGTCTTCACACTTCGCGATGGTTCGTGAGAATTTGCCCCTACAGCAGCTACAGTGCTAACGTGAACGCAGGCATCTTGCGGATGGAACTTGGAAAGGAGATTTATGAGCGAACCGGCCTCACAGGCAAAGTCATCCGCAGCGGAGGCAGGAAGCATGCCAAAGAGAGATATTGTACGTATAACCGCGAACAATGTCGGACTCTTTACTAACGATGTCAGTGGTGGAATTGAATTTGCGACTGCCATCGATGCTGCATGGCAAGAAAGGGTTCGAAAGAATCGTTTGGGCCTTTTCCAATGTCCTGACTCAATCAGTGGCCTGGCTGTTCCATGACCTGGAAGATACCACTTTAAAGGAAGGGGCTGAGAACAAGCCTATTCACCAGCTTCAGCCACAGCTTTTGACATGTGAGGCTGAGGAGGTCAACCATAAGGCAGTCGTCATGCCTCACTTCCACGAGAAGGTGGAGGATATGACGGAAGGGGAAGCCCAAGAATACTGTGGCAATTTGGCGGAATGGCTTGCTCTGATTCAAATGGGTTCTCCCCGGGTTCAAGAAGATGATATCGACCCGTACCTGAGTCGATATGCGGTTCCAGACGCAGAAGAAACTCCAGCTGATCTCGTGAGCTTAAAATGGCGTGGATTGATATCCAGCCAATGGGTCACCGAGTTGTTCTTGCTGTGAGTTTCCAATTTACCCTAGGGGTTGTTACCTTCTTTAGGGTCTGAAACTGACCAATCTACAGGGCCCAAACCCGACAGTGGTTCGCACTTGCCGCATCGAGTTTAGGGAAGGAAGCCGTGGAAGGAAAGGATGGGCTGACGGTGCTGAAGGAAGGCACGAACGTCATCTGCTGGGAAAACGTGGGAGCTTCGATAGTGCAATAGCCCTAACTTAACACAGACCCCGTCACCGTAAATCCAAACTTCATACTTCCGTGATAAGAAGAAAATAGGTTTAATTCACCCTTGGAACAATAGGTGACCAACGGAAACCATAGATGGTCGCCGTCGCCCAATTGGGAATTTATTTGAATATATCCTAGCTGCAGTGTATCATAGCAAGCAAAATAACTTTTGTCCTCAAGTAACAGATTTCTTAACCAAGCGAAGCGGGTGGGGAAAAAAAAGAAGAAAAAAAAAAACAAAACAAAAAAAACAGAGGTATCATGCGTCCTTCAGAGAAAGGTTTTCAAGGGGCATATTTTCCTCGGAGGCTAGAACAGGGGGAATCGCGGCTCTGGAAATTAGGGAAGGACCGAGTGTGGTACCGACGAACTCCAAGTGCACAACACGTGTCCATAAGACCCATCCTTCCCATGACATTTGCAGCATGAAGAAAACTGAGGCGTCGGTCTCAAAAGCATCACGAATCTCAACCTTCATGTTGGGCGGCAATTGCCGGATGGCTCGTGAAAAACTTTCAACGGCGTTTCGTTGTCCTTCTAGAGTGAGCTTCACCAGCACGTGTTTTCTGCTAACTCCAGATATTGGCCGGGGCAGACGAGACGGAGTTTGATTGTTGAGTATCAGACTGATCTGTCCGGTTCCTCTAACCGTCTCAAAAATGGCATTTGGAGCAAACTTTGGTTTTTCGATTTGGAGTTGCTCGAACCATTCAGCAGTTTTAAAGCTCTCTTTCTTCTTGAGCGTTTGGAAAGCCCGGAACAGTCTTTGGGTGAATGATTTTGTGGCCGCACGTGCGGGGGTAATCTCCTGCTCTCCAATCGCCGCGATAATGTGGATGTTGGACTTGGCTTCGGGCTCTCGAATCGCGGCTGCCGCGTGACAGCAGTCAAGAATGACAAAATGATCCATGAGCTCTGCCTGGTGAAGTTCTGAAAAGATATGACTCCACCGAATTTCTTTCCCGTTTGAGGTGAATCGCAGCATACCGTCTTTAACAGCACTGTGTCCAGAGTAATAAAAAATAAAGAGCGAGGGCAAGGAGGAATTGGCGCATGGGCGGATAGTTTTTCTGACCTTTTCTGTAACACCCCAGACGGGTAGCTGTGCGCTGCTCTCGATTGAAAACCTGACACACTTGACGCCCACGAGTTTCAATATCGACTCCATCGTGTTCAGGTCGTCTTCAGCCCCGGTGTTGTCGTCGTCCCAGCGGACTAAGACTGCGATCTTCTGTGAGTAGAACTTGCTTCTCGCCGCAGCCACTTTTTTTAAAGCAGACTCAAGGTGCGGAAGTTTGATGACCGAGACTGGCTTTCGTGGAAACGAAATGGGGATCTGATTTTGACTTGGCGCTGCGGGCAGCTTGCTGGGTGACTTCATGCTTGATGGTTGCGACATCTCGCTAAAACAACAGTGAGCACATGCAGGAAGTGAAGAGGAAGTGAAGAGGAAGTGAAGAGGAAGTGAAGAGGAAGTGAAGAGGGAGTGAAGAGGAAGTGAAGAGGGAAGTGAAGAAGGAAGTGAAGAGGGAAGTGAAGAAGGAAGTGAATAGGAAAAGAGGAAACTAACATTATATTGAGTAGGAAAGTGATGCAAAAAAGATGCTGAAGCAGGATGGGTGAGACGACTGATGAACGAGGAGAATAGTAACGAGCTCAGCAGATAGTTGTAGTTGGTCGGGGGAAGAAGGAAGGAGAGTTGGGAAAGGGGAGGGAGACAGTATTTACACCCATAGGTCTGGCTCCTTCCCAATTGGGCGACGGCGACCACTTATGGATTCATTATGTTGCCTATTGTTCCAAGTATAATTCACACACATTCTCCTATTGGCATTGAAGGATGCGATATGATCAATTGAGTCATTCACTAGTGTTGAACGCCTTTTTGATAACAAATCTAAGCCACATTGTTCACGATGTATGATTCATGCCTCGATGATCAAAATCCGGACTCTGCGCTTGCCGGCTCCACGGCCTTCTTCCTTGACGGAGCTGACATTGACACGAACCCGCTGGAAAAGTTCCACTGTCACACTCCGTGCCTTATCCGCGTTGTTCTTCTCTTCCACACGAAGCGTATACTCTTCGCTGTCAAAGTCTGTAGTTCGGTGAGGGACCAGCTCGCGGCGCTCGGCAACGGAGCGTGCTCCAGATTCACCGGGCAGCACGAAGTCTTCCAGGCGAACAACACCTTCGATACCGAAGCGAGGGACGAAGATAACGACTCCGTTCTCGAATACACGCATCACATATCCTTCCTCTTCGATGCCTGCATCGACACCGTCAGCAGCCATCTTCTCGCCACGGGCCTTGAGAGCCTGGCCCACGTAGTACTCGATACTAGCACGGCCAGCGAATTGCGCATTGCGGTGGCGCACGTTGATGTTGCGGCAGATGTCTTCGAGCTTGTTGCGGGTGCAGACACCCTCGATGACAGCGTGTCCGTCTTCGCCTTCGTAGCCAATCGCGGAAGCCAATTGACGGTGGACCATCAGATCGGCATATCGTCGAATGGGAGATGTGAAGTGAGTGTAGATGGGTGAGGCAAGACCGTAGTGACGGAATTCAGATTCGGCAAAGGCACCCGCGCAGAAGTACTCGGCAGAGGTCATACAGCGGGTTGCCAGGATACGGACCAGAGTGTTGAAGAATGGGTTTTTGGGATCCACACAGCGGTCCAAAGAGTCAGCCAGAGCCCTGGAGCTTGAGACATCGATCTCCATGTTCCGCTTCTTGGACAGTTGGTTGCTGAGGTCCTCGAAGTTTTGCGGTGGTGGCGTGGCGTGGCGACGCAACAACGCTGTCTGCGAGAAGGATTCGAAAATCTTGGTGCCGACAGTGATGTTGGCGAGAAGCATGAACTCTTCGACCAAACTGTTGGTGTCAAGCATCGCCTTGGTCTTGACATCTGTTAAAGGATCACCACCCTCGTCGTCTCCAGTCTCGATGCGGACTTCTGGAGAAGCAAGGTTCAAAGCACCAGCATCCATACGCTTCTGGCGAAGGACCTTGGAGAACTTCAAAAGGTTGCGCATACTGTCAGTCAACTCATCCTGTGCTGACTTATCATCGATGCGCAATTGGGCTTGCTCGTAACTGAACGCCTCCCGAGAGCGGATGACGGACTTTGTGAAGTCGGAAGACACAATCTCAGCTTCGGGGGTCATCTCCCAAAGAACAGAGAAAGCATATCTCTCAACGTAAGGTTTTAGCGAGCACAGGTCGGTACCGAGAAGGTGCGGAAGCATATCGATACGCTTGTCAACGAGGTAGACAGTGGTTCCGCGAACGCTGGCCTCGGTATCCATTGGGTTGTTCGGCTTCACGAAATGAGACACGTCTGCAATGTGGACACCAACTTCGAAATTTCCGTTGGGCAGTCGTCGAGCATGCAGCGCATCATCAATATCCTGACAGCCAGGAGGATCGATACTGCAGATGAGCAAGTCGCGGAGATCCTTCCGGCCGTTCCATCCCTTATCTTCCTTGGAGGCCGGTACTTTCCAATCGTGTCCTTCGGCTGGAAGACAGTCCAGCACAGACTTGGGGAACGGCTTATATTGAACATCGTACTCAAGAAGAAGAGCCTCAGTTTCAGCACCCTTGGTTTCCAGTTCTCCCAGGGATCGGATGAAGTGACCAGTGGGGTACCTTGAATCCCGATCCCAGGAGTCGATAGTGACAAGAATACGCTGGCCGAGCAGATCGCTCGCCTGTCTGGTGCGCAGTCTGATTTTGGGAATGCGCTTGTCCATGGGCAACAAGAACACATTTTGCTGTCGCCGGCCCGAGGATTGTGAGCCGGCAGAGCTCTCATCAACATGGCCGACATATTGGCGCCAGCTACGCTTGATGACACCAACGACCTTTGCGGTGGGTTGGGGCTTTCCTTCTGAGTTCTTGCCATGGGCCTTCTTCACTTCTTCCTGGAGAGCCTTGCGTTCTCTGTCGTTCACCACTGCTTCGGTTTCCTCGCTGTCAGGATTATCATTGCGAGTCACAGCCTCCTCATCCACAATCTTCGTTGAGGGGGTCTTCCACTGCTCCTTGGGCAAGATTTCAACGACGACAGAGTCACCGGCGATAGCACGGTTACTGTTATCCCGTCCCAAGATAAGAAGAGGCTTGTCGAAAGCCGAGGTTTTGACGGAGCCTTCCAAATAGTTATAGGGTGACACATTGAATACACCTTGGTGCAATGTCCCAGCTCGCAAACCAGTTGTGAGCTTGGACATGGAAAAGTATTCGGGGTAGAACAGGTCGCCACGAGCTGTCTCTTTGGCCTCGCGCGCATCCTTAGACTCGCTGATCATGTCCAATAGCATTTCTGATCCCTCTAAACCAGAGACGTAGTCGGATAGGGAAAGAGCTGTGATTTCTTCATCTTTGGCTTTCCGTCGGTTCTCCTTGTCATCAGTGATGACCACAATTGCGGGAACCGACTTCTCTTTCTTTCCCTTTTTGATCGATTGTTGCAGGTGAGATCCATACCAGCTTGCGACCAGACGCACAGCACGATCGTTCCGGTCATTAATGGTTTCTTCGGGACCTCTCCGAACGTGTGTTTCACGGCGGAACTCATTGAAGAACAAGTAGTAGCGTTTCTCATCCGACTTGATCAGAGCGAGAAGACGATTGTAGAGGGGGAGCGATCGGTTTCTGAGCTCCTCGAGGACGGTCTGGAGGACAATGACATCATAGAAGGCACCGGTGTGCTCGAAGAGATCCATTCCATTCAATAGCGCATTTGTATCGGGGACCAGGTAATGGCCGCTGGGGAATGCCTTTGTACCGGCGGGGCGATCAGATAGGACGAACGGCGCGACTGTTCCAAGTTAGCGGTATGCCTCAGTTGTATCAGGAAAGCTACACCCACTGTTTCCATTGGCATCGGCGGGCGCAATGGTGGGACATTGCGAGCAGAGCCTAGAAGAACATGGGATGTCTTCTCTCAAGTAGAGCTCGCGGACAATCTTTTGCACCTTTCCACTTTTCGTGGAGCGGACGAAGACCTTGCTGGTGACATTAGCCGCCTGTGGGTTGGAAGACAGGTCTCGCCTTAGACTCTTCATCGTGACAGCAAGAACACTGGCTTTGGAAAATGTTCGAAAGGTGTTCGTCAAGATCGGAAGTCTTTTGCAGGCAAGATTGGTTATCGGTGGGTCCTGATAAAGCGCTGAGGTAAGCCGACGTCGTCGTCAATTTGGAGTAAAAAGATGCCATTTGATCGGTTGCAATACATAAGAACAAGTTCTTCTTGTGTTTTATTGGGAAATTCTCTTTCCTTCTTTTTACAATCCACGTAGTTCACAATGGTTCTCGCCGTAAGTATCCTATCCGACCTTCGAAGGGCCTTACTTACGACTCAATCGCAGGCCGTGGGGCAGATATGCTCAACTGCCAGCATCACCTCGAATCTTGCACAGTGCCAGTTGTTGGTTAAAAAGGCAGCTGCTGCAGGTGCCAAGGTGATTTGATATTCTCCTTGCATGCCTCAGTCATGAACTTATCTCTACCAGGTATTGTTTCTTCCCGAGGCTTCAGACTATATCGCTTCTTCAGCAGAGCAATCATATTCTCTTGCCAAGTCCTCGGAGAGAGATAGCTTTGTTTCGGCTCTGCAGAAAGATGCCGTGCAGCAGAAGATTCACATTAATGTGGGAATTCATGAGGTGGCCTCTGAGAGCAGGCTGAGGAATCTATTGATTTGGATAGACGACCAAGGCGCCATTACTCAAAGCTACCAGAAAATTCATTTGTTCGACGTTGATATAAAGGATGGACCTTGCCTTAAGGAAAGCGCGTATGTTTCTGGTGCATGGTTCAGCCCTTGGCTCTGCTAATGAGAGACATCTTCAAGGAATGTCCAACCGGGGCCACAGATCCCCAAACCATTTGAGACGCCTATAGGCCGCGTTGGCTTGAGCATTTGCTTCGATGTATGTACAGTATTGGTTGAAATCCGGCATTGCGTTAGATACCGCCTGTTGAGCCCCTTGCTTACACCTGTTTCACTTGTCTAGCTGCGGTTCCCAGAAATCAGCCTGGCTCTGAGGCGGCAGAATGCCGAGATCATCACGTACCCATCTGCTTTCACAGTGCCTACTGGAAAGGCCCACTGGGAATCATTGCTGAGGGCAAGAGCCATTGAGACCCAATCATATGTGATTGCGGCGGCCCAGGCAGGCCCACACAACGAGAAAAGACGGAGCTATGGCCATTCGGTCATCATTGATCCCTGGGGAGAGGTTCTAGCGGATCTGGGGGATGAGTACCAGGAGCCCCAAATTGCGACTGCGGATATCGATCTCAGCCTGGTGGCAAAAATCCGGCGTGAGATGCCTTTGCTTCGAAGACACGATCTATATCCGGAGTTTTGATGGCTTAAAAATGCACTCAGCAGAAGCCAGTGACGTATATCATCTTCTCTCAAGTTACCTCACGAGGTCATGACAATCATACAGTGTTCATAGATTTTGCCGCAATATACTGTCAATTATGAGCGAATTTTTGTTACCATAGCACCTATAGCCAACATAAAAAAAAGCAACTTTGGAGAGTGTAAAGTTGTACAGCAGGGGACAAACGAAAATTGATGAGCATGCAAAATAAAAACCTGTCTAAAAACGAGACCGGAACATCATATCTGCCGTAGCAGGTAGTACAGACATAAACCGAAAGAGTCCCTCTCCGATCTCTATGTACAGCGTACAAGTTGAGCACTTATTTCTTGACCTTGGCGGGATCCTCAAGGATACCCTCGGCCTCCAGTCTCCGTCGAGCCTCTTCAAGAGCCCATGTTTGTATACTAGAGTAATTGTTAGTGTTCCGCTTGTGCATGTAGACGTGAGGCGCAAGAGGCGTAAGATGGGGTACTGGGTTGAACATACGAAGTATCGGGCTTGAAGACATATGCGACACCAGCAACCAAGAAACTTCCAATGAAGCCATAGTACCAGATGTTCTCCCAACCTTCCTTCGCGTATTTCTGACCGGGCTTGACGCCGAACAGCCAGCCGGTCGGGGGGGTCATAGTGGTCGCCGTGATCCGCAGCACGCAGGATGGGCTGGGTTGAGAAGGCCTTGGTGGTCTGTGGCGTGCGGAGGAGGCAGCGCGCCCGGAGGGCGTGCGACATTGGCCGGGCAATCATCTTGGAGACGGGGGTGAAGGAGTTGAGATTGATCGAGGGGTTCTGGCGAGGAATTGGTGGGAGCTGTAACACCCAAATGAGAGTCGCCTTGGCAGTTTAAGCGGCAAGGACGGTCTCAATTGATACGGAGCGTCTTGCGGGTGAAGAGGGGTGGTTTGGCGGGTTGGCGTTGAAGCCGTAAAAGGCCGGGAAGCTGTCCAGTCATTGCACTAGTCCACTTTGGGCGATTTTCATTGTCCGCCTTCAGGCCTGATAATTTAGGCATATATTAGTTGATGCCTTGACGCCTTGAAAAACGGGTGTCACCACTACACGCGCGACGCGTTGCTATCGCATCTCGCCCCCTCTGGCGCTGATAACAAGGTGCTGCATTTGCCAATTCATCCAATCTCATTGTATACAGAAGCATCCTCGACGATACTACACTTATTCCCATCTATCTGGTGAGTTCTACGATGAATCGCCGAGGCCTTGCTCCCTTCCATATCTGACATTCTCTCCAGCGTTCCGCGGAATGTATCTTTACCAATTTTGAACGCGTCATTGGGTGTCTCACAAGTCAAGCCATGGCAGCAAATGCATACCCGATCTCCTCGAACTCACGAAGGAAATTGAATGGGTTTCGCTACAAAGACGAACGACCACCGGACGATACCACCTCGAATGGCGCATCGACATCAGCCCATGACGCCCAGAACACTCACCAATCCGGATCCAACGGTGTGGTAGCGCCGATGCAAAAGTCACTCAATGGGAGCAATCCCCCGCCTCCTGAACCTCAATCGCTAGAGACAAAGTCGAGTAAAGAATGCCCTCAAACACCCGGAAACAGAATTCCTTTAGCCGACTTGATCAGCAATGCCGAAGACTCGTTTGATCCCACTCCGGGACCTGAAGTGACACCTGTTGAGCATGTCATATGGCAACACGTACCTGCCAGTTCAAATCCGTCATTACAGACACCGGGAGGCCGTCGAAGGAAGCGCCGACACAGCTCTTCCCCTGCTGGATCCCCTTCAAATGGAAAAACCAAAAAAGGACAGAAAGAGCCACTCAACCTGCAATCCATGCAAGCTCTCTTCAAAACACCACAGCACGATCTAGCAGCGGACTTGTGGAACAACTACATAGACAAGAACATGGCTGATGGTGCAGATGACCTCCCTCCGCCCCGGCTCGCGAATCTCCTTTCCTCTTCTCCGCAAACACCAGCTTCCGTCAGAACTAGCCGAGACTCCTCGGGGTTGAGGCGTGCGATAAGCTGTACAACCGAGTTTCCCGCCTCGCGAACCAAACGACGGCGAGTCAACAGACTTGATCCCGGCGGCTTTCACCGAACTAGCAGCAATGTCGAAGCTAATAAACCCAAGACGTCAAGAATCAACTTTCTTATGGACAAAATTGAGAAAAGCATCAATCTGACACCTGCTGAAATGGGTCCACCAGGTTCTTCCCCTCTGCGCCAGCACATTGATGCGAGGAGATGTCGCTCTTCTTCACCAACCAAGGACCATCGACTTCCCGGAGTAGAGGAAGACGCGGGGGAGATCGATGATCTAGTTCCGTTTGAAGATACCAAACCTGCGCGAATGCCTGTGCTCGAAGAGTCATCCTCGGAATTCGGAGGTGATGATTTAGATCAAGACTTCATGGACTTGGTCGGTGCATCTGCGGATCCTTTTATTGAGGCACCGCGTCAGAATGTTGATACTGCTCCCTCGGCACCCTCTGGCTGGGGTACTTCTGCCGGAGCGAAACTTCAATCACGGCATTCTCAAGATGCCGCAGTACCTGCCAGTAAACCTTCCACATCTCATATACCAACGATTAACGAAACAAAAAATGATGAATCCGATGAATTTGAAGACGATTATGACGATCTTCCTGGCAACTTGGAGGAAATCCTTGCCAAGTGTGACCAGAAATCGGCTCCAGTCACAAACCCAACTACCAATGCACCATCTGCCAACGGGCTAAAGGCCAAGAATGTTCCTGTCAACGGGGGCCCCACTGGAACGAATCCGACCGTGACAGACATCAAGGCTGACTCACCATCGTCGGATGATGAATTTGACGATGACTTTGACTTGGAAGACCTTGAGCAGACCATGAAACAAGCGGGTGAAGGAAAACCAGCTTACGTTAGTCACTCCTGAGTGGAATTATTCATAAATACATGCTAAGAAATTTTATAAATAGAGCCCCAAGGGTCGACAAGCTATCAAACGTTACCAAGTTGTTGATGTTATGCAGAGCACGTATGTTACTCTAAAAGGGCGTACTCTGCCGGAACAGGTCAGATACTTATCCTTCTTCCCATATGCGACAATTCGAGCTGACTTAAAGTGCAGGTCTTGCTCGTTGAAGATGAGAAAACCCGAGAACGAAGGGTCATTGTGTTGCAGGAGTCGTGGGCCGACACTCCCTGCATCAAGGACTCTTTTGTCCACTTGGTTGGCGACTTCGACAGCAGCGGCCGGTGCGTTGTGGACAATGCAAACAACATGATCATTCTCCACCCGGATCATCTCATATCTGCTACAGTTGTGGCTGACTCTACTGACTGCCAACGGCGGGCCGTTCTTCAAGATCGAGTGAAGGTTCACGCGGCAGTGGAGAGGCCACAGGCTTTTGGAACCTTCTTCCATGAAGTGTTCCAAGAAGTATTGAAAGCGAACACATGGGATATGGAGTCGATTAAGTCATTGGTCGAGACTATCATGGGGAAGCATGTTGAAGAACTGTATTCCATCCAAATGAGTATTCCGGAAGCCGTTGAATACATCATGAGCAGGATCCCCGCCGTTCTTGACTGGGCGGGTACCTTCCTCCATGTCAAACCACAAGTATGTCCTGGGCCTCTATAAATCATTATTTTGGATCGCAGTCGCTAACCTAGATTGACAGCCCAATTCTATGGTGGAAGACCGAAACAGCTCTAAGCTGAATTTGAGCATCAGCAAGCTGCTCGAGGTAGAGGAGCATATCTGGTCGCCGATGTATGGATTGAAAGGCAACATCGATGCAACTGTACAGGTAACCTGTCGTGATGGTGAAGATGAGAAGCACCTCGTGGTCCCGTTGGAGCTTAAAACCGGACGGCGAGACACAAACCAGACTCACAGGGCCCAGACTGCTCTTTATACTCTGCTCATGTCGGATCGCTATGGTGAGTTGTACCAGGAAGCTTCAATGGCGCCCTCTTCTCACCGTCCGTTACTAATACTGACTAGATATCGATGTTACCTTCGGGCTTCTTTACTACCTCGAATTGACAAAGACTCTCAGCATCCGTGGTATTCGTCATGAACTTCTTCAAATGATTCAAGTGCGCAACAACCTGTCTGGGTACATTCGTGAAAGGGAACAACTTCCACCGATGCTGAAGAAACCACGTCAATGTACCAGATGTTATGCAAAGACCCCTTGCCTAATCTACCACAAGCTCACTGAGGATGGTGATGCCGAGACAAGTGGGCTTGGCGAAGACTTTGACATTTCAGTTGGCCATCTGAATGAGCGGGATCGAGACTTTTTCCAAAAGTGGGATAGCCTACTTACGAAAGAGGAAGGCAACTTGGTGAAGTTCCGACGAGAGTTGTGGACACTCCTGAGCAGCGAGCGGGAGGCCCTTGGGAGGTGTTTCGGCGACGTCGTTCTCGATTCGAGAGCCATGTACGAAGAAAACACCACCACAAAGATCAATCGATACCACTATACCTTCGTGAAACGAGATGCGCCCCCTGGTTTCTCCTTCACCGAGTCCCAGATCTCTCTAGGTGAGCCAATCGTTGTATCTGATGAAAAGGGCCACTTCGCGCTCGCCAACGGATACGTGGTACACACCAGCCCGTCACACATCAAGGTTGCTGTGGATCGTAAACTTCACAATGCGAGATCGAGAACGGTTGGGTTTGATGGTGTCACGAACCAATCTTTCAGGGGCATCATGGAAATTGGCGAAGGGGAGCCTGCTGCCCTTGAGAACCCCGAGGAACAACTTGTGTACCGGATTGACAAAGACGAGTTCAGCAACGGCATGGCTATTGTTCGAAACAATTTGATCTGCATGATGGATAAAGACCTGTTCCAAGCAAGACAACTTCGCCGACTCGTTGTTGAAGGGGAAGCACCCGCATTCAGGACAAACTCATCGGCCTATACAATCTCTGATAAAATGGGTCTGAACGTTGATCAGAAACAAGCCATCGACAAAGTGATGAGTGCCAAAGATTATGCTCTAGTTCTGGGAATGCCTGGAACTGGAAAAACAACCACCATTGCTCAAATCATTCGGGCCCTTGTTGCACAAGGGAAAAGTGTACTCCTCACTTCTTACACACATACTGCAGTGGATAACATCTTGTTAAAGATTCGAGATGACAACATTCACGTGCTGCGTATTGGAGCAACGGCCAAGATCCATCCCGATGTGCAGGACTTTGCCGACCTGGCTGCGAACCCCAAATCGACTATCGAAGAGCTCAAGAACTCATATGAGAAGCCACAGGTTGTTGCAACTACTTGCTTAGGAGTCAATCACAACATCTTCAACCATCGCATATTTGATGTCTGTATTGTCGACGAGGCCTCCCAGATCACACTTCCAGTTTGCCTAGGTCCGATTCGCATGGCGAGGACTTTCATCTTGGTCGGCGACCATTTCCAATTACCACCACTCGTGCAGAACAAAGCAGCACAGGAAGGTGGCCTGGATGTCAGTCTTTTCAAATTGCTTTCAGACGCGCAGCCGGACTCCGTCGTCAACCTCGAGCACCAGTACCGCATGTGTGAGGATATTATGTTGCTTTCAAATGAGTTAATCTACTCCGGTCGGCTCAAATGTGGCACCCCGCAGGTAGCAGCCTGTTCTTTGGTGATTCCCAACATCAATGCCCTCGAAGAATATCATGTTGCAGATAAGGGCCACACGGCATCACAGCGAGAGGCTTGTCCAGGTGATCCTGGTAGTCCTTGCTGGCTACGAGACTTGCTGGAACCATCCGCCAAAACACGCCTGGTGAACACCGATCCCATCGGCCCTGCAGCCCTCGAAATAGCACAGGGAAACCGTGTCGTGAACCACATGGAGGTCTTCCTCTGCACACAACTCGTCGACTCTTTCATCGCGTGTGGAATCCCCGCCCGCAACATCGGCGTGATCACCTTCTACCGCAGCCAACTCTCACTCCTCCGCCAAAGCCTTCGGCGCCACGGCCCCGATCTGGAAATGCACACAACAGACAAGTTCCAAGGTCGAGACAAAGAGGTCATCATCTTAAGCTGTGTCCGCAGCAACACCGAGAATAACGTTGGCGAGCTCTTACGCGACTGGCGCCGTGTCAACGTTGCCTTCACTCGTGCCCAGACAAAACTCCTCGTCGTGGGCAGTAGATCCACCCTCCGCGACGGCAATGACCTCCTCCGCAAATACGTTCGCTTAGTCGAAGGTAAGGACTGGGTCTACAACTTGCCGAGCGCTGCGGTAGACAACCATGTTTTCCCGTCCTTGCCAACTCAGTCTCAATTCATGTCTCCTGGTGCCTCGAAAACACCCGGTTCTACCAATGCAAAGACAAAAGCCAGTCCCTCTTTTCGTGACTCACTGAGCCCTCTTGGTTCCCGACAGCCTGGTACCAATCTTCGAAAGCCTTCAAAAACAGGCGCGAAGTTATTCAATGGTACAAATGTGGTGGGAAATCGACCTATCTTGCGCGACATTGTGAATGACCTGACAGGCTAGCACTGCACATTCAAGCATGACTGTATCTAATTAATATGGCGAGCTGGAGTGTTCTGTCAAATTTTGCGCATAGGATAGCACCGGCCAGATATGCCGCTGTTTCCGGTGCCCTGCTGGGGCATCATGTACTTGAGCTAATTCGTGCGGCCTGTTGGTATTTGGCCGTCAGAAATGATATTGCATCTGAGCGTTCGGTCCTACAGTCTATACTTTTCTCAATCACTAGGGATATTGATAGCGTAAGGCCAACATATAGCATTTGCAGACCGAAGCGATGAGTCCACTGCTTTAGGCAAAATTTGAATAGTGATAGAATACTCCGTATGCTGAAGAATAGTAATACTGGGGGGCTGTACCCCCCAGACCCCCCCACTATGTAATTGAACAGATGTCACGTGATATATGTCCAAAACGGTATAGCTGAGTGCTTGAATGATTCTGCCACTTCTCACCGGTCGTTTTAGGGATCCTTACATCAACAATAATCAATCAACAATAATTGATTCAACAATAATTAATTCAGTGATCACGGCTTAGCCAAGACTTTTGGCTCCACCGAAGGGATTTTGGCGAATCATATTTATCTTTTTTTTTCAGTTATATTTCAGTACACTTTTTATCATCAGTACTTCGTAAAGATTTCTGTGTTCACAGTTTAGCCAAGACTTCCTTTACTCGACTAATCACAATTACTCGACGATTAGTTGGAGAAACAGCCAAAAAGACAGCCAAAAAGATAGTTAAAAAGATAATTAAAAAGAGGTCTTGAAGATGGTGATAACTCTCTTCAATCGTTTTTTTGGAAAAAGATAGCCAAAAAGACAGTTAAAAAAATAATTAAAAAGAGGTCCTAAAAGTGATAATAACTCTCTTTAATCGTCTTTTTAGCCACACGTAAACGCGGCACTTAGGCTTATTCCTGTTATTTTGAGCTAGTATAGAACTTCTGATCACGTGATATAAGAGGATCCTTGTGATTCTAATTTCCTCGCTTCGCTTCGCAATTATAACAACCTTGGAATATTGAAAAAGCAGAAAGAATTCTCATTAACTATCAAATGATCATTTGCTGAGTACAATCATGCCCTTTAGGCCCTAGACAACCCCCTGTGGAACTAACTTGAAAACGAAAGAAATCCTCGTAACTTGCGCTTAATGATGAAGTACAATCATGCTCTGTATGGCCCTTGACAGTCCCCTTTGAACCAAGTCCCCCTCGTAACTTGGGTTCAATCGGGCACCATTGTCCATGAAACTGTCGTGTTGGTGTTCCATACTCGTGTGTTTCTTACTTCAGCGAGTACTTGAATCTCTTGGCCTCGGGTCCGTTCGAAGCGGTGCGGCTTCCAATGACAATGCAATCAGAACCCGGCCCTTGGGGAGAGAAGCTTGGCTGGGCTAGAGATTTGCTGGTGGGTGTGGTGCGATTCATCGTGGAGAAGTTTCTCTTGTTTGAAGTGCCTTGAGAGTCCTGACTTATTTCGACCAGTTGTACCAGGCTTGCTAAGTGGGTGCGTCGCTGTGCTTGTTTCTCGGTTTGCTCCTGGTGAGCGGCCGATGCCCGTTCGTAAGCTTCACGCTGCGGAGAGTCTTGTGGTTCGTTCGCAACAGCCAACCTCATTTGGTCAACTTTCTTCGCTTGCAATGCAAGGTGTTTATCGAAAGTTTCGATTTGTTGACGGATGACTGCTGTCCTCCCTAGTGCGTAGAGAGTACTAGAAGCAGGTGGTGTGTCCTTTCCCTTGGGTGGTTGCGGATGTTTCAAAACGGAGGCACGCTTGTAGGTATGGTAAGCCTCGTTGAGCTTGCCGTTCAAGGCGCTTTGAGATGCTTTGATGGCTGGGTCACCTGGGGTGACGAGCAAAGGCTTTCGCACGGGAGGAGAACAGCCCTCACGCTGAGGCTGAGGCTGTGACTGTGGAGTGGGTGGCAGAGCCTGTTGCGATCCGACCTTGTGCTCTTTTGGGCCCACCCATTTCAATTTGGGGACCAGATATATGCCATGAACTACTGCTGGACCAGGCGTAAGGATCCCCGAGGAAGCGCCAGTTTTGACCTGCTTCTCAACCCGACAAGGAGTCAAATATGTGTTCCTGATTGGTGCAGGCTGCGCAGTCATCCGGGGAGTATTCTGATTGAGAGCCGGAGCAGTCTTCTGTGATGGAGTTTCGGGAGCTCCATTGGTCGCTTCGTTCACTTGCGCTGGCGCGAGCGTTCGAACATTGGAGGGGGTAGGAAAGGGCTGATCACCCGAAGTCGCAGGGGCCGGCGTAGCAAGAGAAGACCTCTGAGCTTTCTTGCGGCCTTTTGTGGGCGCAGACTTTGGTGTCACCTCTTTTTCTGGAGAGGTTTGATCGGCTTGCTTCTTCTTGGGGGTACGCTTGGTGTTCTTCTTCTGCTCGGCTGGCTTGGGTTCGGCTCCAGATCCAGGAGCCAAGTCGACACTGACATGGTCCAGCGAAAGCAGAGTGTCAAGGGGTTTGACGCAAACTGAATCAAATCGACATTGGGAAAGCGGTTGATTCAGGATACGCACGACCGCGCAAGTCTCCTCCAGAACTGCGCGAGTTGCTGGTCCAAGAACGGGGTCCTGAGTATCACATGTGACACGCAGACCGTCAATGCCAGGCTCTGGGAGCTCAGTGGGAATAGGCCCAGCTTCAAAGATCGAGTCAGGGATGTCACTCTTCTGGTGGGATTTGGAGCCATATGTATCTGAGAGTGTTAGCCAGAAACCCGACGTGCAACAGCATGTGGGCTTACCAATAAAAAGATCGTTGTCAAGAGGTTTGATCGGGTCATCAACACCAGTCAACAGATTTGAGACAGGGCCTTCGCCGTTCCATTTGCCATGAATGACGGAAAGAAGGACTTGACCCAGGATATCCTGTCGCTCTGGGGTCCAGTCGTCGACGATGCGACGGGGAGGGACTTCGGCGTCCATCTTGAGCTCCGGATCGACAGAGGAGCTATAGATGGGACGAAACCAACAAGAGGGGCAAGGCAGCGTTGGTGATGCCGATGTAAGACACGTAAGAGACCGTGGGGGCGAGCAAAGAAAGTAGGGTTGGAAAGTAGGATAAAAAGATGTAGATGGAGGGAATGGAAGCAGCGGAATGAAGCGAAAGGATGGGGATAAAAAGCAGGATTTCAAGCAAACCAAGCCAGGATCCTGGCAAAGAGAGACAGTAACAAGGTTGGGAGAGCGATTATTAGAGAGGGTGGAGAGAGAAGAAGAAGAGAAGAAGAAGAGAAGAGAAAAGGGAGAAGAGGCGAGCAGAAGGAGCGTCGGGGTCGATACCTGGGTCGACCTCCGTCTCGCTTTTAGGTAAATCGTGAGTACTTCGTCTTGCTCGACTTGATAAAGCATAATTTCCAGGATAGTATCATCCTTGATTTGAATTAATCATGCTCGAGTAGGTTTTCCGCTTGAAGGAGGTAGTCCACAGTTGGCGACTAACATATTGACACTGTTACGTGACCGGGCTCTGTTGATATAGTATTTGTCGTAAAGATTATGGGGCTTGCTCAATGACAGTTGATAATTGTAAGAAATAGGTTGATTCCTGGGGAAATTGATGTTGTTTTATTTAAATGGCACTGAGATTTAGATGCTGGAGTTCATAAGGTGACAACTTAGGGCATGGCTGTTGAGTATGACTATGCGACGAAGGTTGGAAGACAGGCTTCACATACCTGCTCGTGGTCTCTCTCTCTCTTCCCTCTTCTTCCTTCTAAGGTTCTCTAGATTAGTATTTCCACGAAGGACTTGATCTCTATCAACGACGCTTACACAAGTCTCCTCTTCAAGTGTCTCTTCAAGTGTCTCTTCAAGGATCTTTCCCTTACTACTATAATTACCAATTTCTGAGGACCTTTAGAGACCTTTGGGGTAGGATTCTGGTGAACTGCATCTCGGGGTTCGGATAACACCAAGACTTTTTAGCTATCAGGATCCATAGAGGCAAGCAAAAAGAGGGCCCAAAACCAATCAAGAATACGGGAGCAAGAATATACCGTAATGTCATGTATTGTGATAGACCTCAGGAGAGAAGAAGAGAGAGAGAAAAGAAGCTCTCGGTCTATAACCATCTACCTGCGGGGAGCTCTAGCAGTCCGAAATACCTGTTTAGACCCGTCTCAAAGCCACCATCCCACGAAGTAAGCTCAGAGGAGCCCACAATTGAGCACCTGTCTCCGTAGGTTCCGCACTAGGAATAGTCGCGGGGGTTTCCAGCGTCTCTTTCTCGCCAGGATTTGCCAACGGAGTCACAGGCACAATGGAATCCTGGCGTTGAGCATGTTCGACCTCGCCAACCTTCCAGCCGCGCACAACCCACAGACACAAGGCGGCTCCAATGTACATGAAACCAGTGAATATCTGAACGCGGATGTATGAGGTACCACCGCCCGCGGTGTCACTGCGAAGCTGAAGGGCAATGGCCTCAGAAACGGTACACGGGGAGACGAGCATGAGCCACGTAATGCTCAGACCGGATGGAAGGTCTCTAATGCCAATGATCTCGACAAGTACGGGGGAGACAGTAGCCCAGTAGGTGCCAGAGACAGTACCGACCAGGACGGCAAAGAAACAAACCACGCCCATACTATCAGCAGAAGTCCAGATAACAAGACAGAATAACCCGCAGAGGAAGGTGAGGAACGTGGCAATATTAATGCGACCCAGCCGGTCACTAAACATGCCCACGCACGGGCGACCAAGTCCCTGGCCCAAGTTCAGCAGAGCAGAGACGATACTTCCCTGATGCGAGGAGAGTCCCACGGACAAAGCAAAATTGGCCACACTGAACAGGAGTGCCACATAGCCAAGCATACTGAAGACTCCCCATCCCAAGAAAAGTAAGAACTCCGGGCGACGCAGAAGAGGTAAATGGAAGGCTGTGAATCTACTGCCGACAGCCTTATTGCGGTCTCGGAGGAGATTGCAGCACACCAAGTTCACGACGCAGGAGATGATACCCAAGATACGGAAGGCCCAGCCCAACCCGTAGCGTGGGATGATTGCACCCACGGCAAGAGAGTAGATCAAGCCTCCAAGACCCGAACCGGCCGCTGTGATGCCCATAGCGACACTGCGGCGCTTGTTGAACCATTGTGGAGCGATGCCAACACTGCCCACGAAAAGGAAGCCCATGCCCCAACCAAAGCAGACGCCCTGGCTAAGGAAGATATGCCATTTGAGCGTGGCAAAGGATGACCCGATCAAAGAGAGGGTCTCAAAGAAGATGCCGAGGTTAAGCACAAACCGAGTGCCCCATCTGTGAATGAAGTGGGTGGCTAGCGGTGCTACTAGCAGGGCACACGAGATACTTAGTCCGCCTGTAAAGGCGTATGATAATGCCGATGTGTTGGGGAATACATTGTGTGAGAGGTAATGACTCAGGAATACTCCGTAACTCTACAGATGGTTAGTGTGGCGAACATGAGAATTGGGAACAATTAAATGAACCATCAACCATCAATCACAGAACGGAAGATAGTGCAAAGCACACTCACACTATTGATACCCCAAGTATGTGCGTTGATCCAGAAGACACAGGCGACACAGACCCATCCATATCCTCCGTCGGGAGGAACGTCGCGCTCATATTTTTCATCCTCGGGGGCTGCCGAGTGGGGACGAAGTTTTTGTTCTTGTCGTGCACTCTCGCGATCCAAATCGTCTTGGTGAGACCGAATGATATCGATTGGGGCATTATCTGCCATAATGGCACGCTTCAATGCTTAAGATTTGTTTTGATGTCTCCGAGTTCAACGTCTTCATAAAAAAAAAAAAAAAAAGAACCTAAACCGGAATGGGATACCGTTTCCGTCACATCGACAGGGGTTTTTAGCAAAATTATTTAAGAAAATATAAGCGAAGATGCAAAGACGTGAAGATAAAGAAAATGGGAGAGTAGACTCCCAGAAAAGAGCCGATTTCGAGTCATAAGAACAGGATTGGTCATAAATTGGAGATATCGGACTAGAGGCCGAATTCTACAATTGTATACAGTAAAGATGGCCGCCTCGTGGTGAGGTTGCAGTGATTCGGCGACATTCGGCCAATCAGGTTGCCATAGGTGGGAAATCGCATACACTTTCCACGGTGCACCCAGCCCTGTGCACACCAGGTGTTTGGCAGGGGTTCTGAAAGGTGCAAGGCCCTGCGCAGTGGGGTCCGGTGCCGAGAAGCCGATGCGGAGGTTATGGAGAATGTCTAGGTTCACGAGCTTAATTGAAGCTGATTCCTTGGGTAAGCAGATATATTATAGCGCATTTGTTGTATTTAATTGAGAGCTGAGTGTAGTTTCATCCTATACTGACTTACTGACTCTCTTCATGTCGTCGAACAGAATATAGATCCACGTGGCAAACAACCCTAGCCCTAGTGCCCAACCTGCTGAGTCAGCCGTTACCTGGCGACGTTGTTTTGTTTGGAGGGCGCTAGCCAACTCAGACCGTCAATCATAGATCGCAGCTAGACTATTTTCAACTTAGTTTCTGTCTCTGGCATTCATGAGCCCTTGTTCCTTGTATCTTTAAATGCTGCACCTTTTTTTAAATCATGCACAAACACACTAACCGCAAAGTCTCTCCGCCAGGTCCATCCTTCATGTCCAATGATCAAGTTGGTGAGTGGCTGAAGATCGCGGGGGATGAATGAAGCTAACACGCGTCGAAAAAGCAACGTACTTGAAGGACTTAAGGGCCAATCGCCCCGCGCGCCCGACAGGCTCCCGACCCTATCCAGGGAGAGCCGCCGCGTCAACAACCAATGTCCCCGCCAATCTTCCCCCAAGGGCATCCTCGGCCTTCTCCATGCACCGTCCGGTCGAGGATGAAATCGAGGACCATCCCCGCTCGGAGAGTGCCATGTCTCATCGCCGAGCTACCTCACAGGTGTCGGGTACCGCCATGGGTCGTCCGTTAGCCCAGGAGCCACGGACACATTCAGTCCGAAAGAACGTCTTCCCCGCACAGGTCCACGCACGCACAATTCCAATCCCACCATCTCCAGCTCCCTCTTACCAAGAGGACGGTCAACGCAGACATGAAAAAGAAGAAGCCCGGTCACTACGTGACGCCTTGCAGAAAATGGATCTGCAAGATGACGTGGGTCTTCACCAGGCTGCCCAGGACGAGGCCACGGAACTGGTATGGATGCACCAGAACCCCGGAAAGCAATTTAAGAACCCATACGCGCCATATCAGAACCCGGACGTGAACAGGCGGAGCGAGAGTCCGGCCCGAAGTGGTTCGCGGGGTAATGAGTCCTCTCATAGATTCAGCCAGTCGGTGGGGTCAATTGGATCGTCCAACAGTCAATCAAGCCCAGAGTCATTGCGCAAGCGATCCTCCTTGGCTGGATCGACGAAGAAGAATCTGAAAGTGAACTTCAAGCTACCTGACGAGGAGCCGCCCGTTGAACCAATTGCCCCAAAGCAACGTACGGTCAGCAACGATTCCTCCAAAGGAGTGTTCCGAAACCCCAATGATCATATTTACGAGGAGCCCGTCGATGCGAAGAAGGAGCAAGAGGTGCCGGATTTCACCAGGTCCGACTCCTCGGCGTTGAGAAACAAGCCACGCAACGCTTTCGGTCGTAATCCTAAGCCACTTCCGTGGCTGCGAGATAGGGGGACCAACAGTGTTCCCGTTTCGGACAGAATCTCAAAATTCGAAATCCATAAGAACCCGCCCACTCAGTCGCGCAACGCGGGGTACACGCGAAATGAGAGTACCCCTACCCCTCCGCCGGAAGAACCCAAAGAGCAGCCTGTTCCCATGAGGGACGGAAGAGAGATCCGCAATGATGATATTCGGGCTGCCACCAGTAAGAGACGAGGGGACCGCAGTGAAAAGCTCCCCATGCCTTCAGCTGTCAGCGATCGAATGGGGCGTCCAATCGTGAGCTTCGATCAAACCTGGAAACCGGCTGAACAGCCGAAACCGGAACGTCCAACGATGCCCATTATCGAAATTGCTGCGCCCTCCATTGAAGTCTCGGCTCCCTCAATCGAGGTATCCGAGCCTCCTCCCATCCCCGTCATCAACGTCCCCGACATCAAAGTGCCTACAATTTCCGAAATTGACGCGCCCTCCGAACACAAGCAAAAGTCGCCTAGGCCAATGCCACAGCCCCCCAGAACAAGTCCAACAAAACAAGGATTCCCGAGACAGCCAGCATCCGAGTCGCAGAACCGTTGGTACACGCCCTATTCCAGATCCGGTGCCCCAACCGCAAGTTGCGAACTGTGCTCCCTTTCAATCTCAGGCAAGATTGTCACGGCTGGTGGATGTCGCTTCCATCCTGAATGTTTTACCTGTCACCACTGTAACACAGCGCTCGAGTGTGTGGCTTTCTACCAAGAGCCCGAGTCTAGTCGGGACGAGAGACTGGCAACCGAAGCCAACGACCACGAAGCTCGCGTGCCTCGGTTCTTCTGCCATCTAGATTTCCATGAAATGTTCAGCCCCCGCTGCAAGAGCTGCAAGACCCCCATTGAAGGAGAAGTGGTGGTGGCATGCGGTGCCGAATGGCATGTCGGCCACTTCTTCTGCGCCGAGTGCGGCGATGTATGTTTAATCCGTCTACCTTCCGATGACTTCCCCAAAGCTAACTTTAGCCACTTTAGCCTTTCGACTCGCAAACGCCTTTCGTCGAGAAAGATGGCTTTGCTTGGTGTCTCAAATGTCACTCGCGACGCACAGCGCCCCGCTGCCTAGGCTGTAAACAGCACGTCCTCGAAGAGGTCGTCATCACGGCTATCGGCGGTCAGTGGCACGAGCGCTGCTTTAACTGTCACGAGTGTGGTGATGGATTCGGCCCCGAGGGCCGTTTCTTCGTCCGCGAAGGTGAACCCAAGCGGACAGCCAAGGGCCGCATCATTGGTGGGCCTGTGCAGCTGGCTATCTGTGAGCGCTGTGAGGGTATTCGTCTCAAGGCGCCGGGGATGTGCTAAGACACGATTTTGCATATATATGGGGGGAACTACGACCATGTTTTTAACGAGATTACTGCTCTGCATTACTGGACTCACGTCTGACGTCGGTGTTTGTTTGTTGCATCACTTCATTTTTCTGCATGCTGTTCTTGCCATTCCCCTTTTTTCGGGACTTGTTTCTTTTCTTTTTGTCTTATCATTTTGGATCATAGCAAGCGGAGACTGCCAGCGAAGTTGAAGACCGAGATTTCGGTAATGCATTTTGAAAATTTCAGGATAACGCCTTCCAACACCTCTCTTTTGATATATATCTAGTCTTCATTCTTACGCAGGCCACTCCGGGTCCGCCTTGCGTCTGAAAACAGCAACGAATTTCTTTCCGTTGTTGCGCGTAACCTTCTTCGATTCCTCCGTCTCGAACTTCATGACCCGCACACAAGGATCCGCCTCGAGCTCTTCATCTGAAACTCGCTCGAACAAATCCTTGCTGCTAGGGGGAGGCGTGCCATCCTCGGGTTGGTTAAGGAAATGCTTCAGAACCCAGTAGTGGTACTCTTCCACATCGGTAATTGTATAAAGCAAACCACCAGGCCGCAGCACAAACGCATACTCCGTGTTCAGAGACTCAGAGACAATGCGCGCCTTGTGCTTCCTCGCCTTGAAGTGCGGGTCCGGGAAGCAGATGAAGATCTTCGACAATTGATGGTGGCCAAAGAAGTTGGGCAAGAACTTCATCGTATTGCTGCGGATTGCAGTGATGTTTTCGAAGTTGCCGGGGTAAATTTGTGTGGTGCCGACGAGGTCATCGTGGACTGGTGCTGCGGCTTCGGCGGTCTCGGGCTGCGGCTGCTCTGAGGCTGGTTGATCGGCTCGGTTCTTTAGACGCTGCTGTTGGCTGCGGAGTGCGTGGATGCGCGAACTCAGGTACTCGAGCACGGATGTGCGAATTTCCATTCCTGTTGTATGTTAGGTCTCATGCAATGGGAATAGCTGGACTTGATCCATTCACTACTCACCAACCATCAGGGTATCTGGTAGCAATGGCGCGAGTCCAATCATCAAACCACCGAATCCACAACCGATATCCACGACCTCGACATCCTTGGTGAGTTTGCGCGCGCCGCTGAGGGTCGTCTTGGTGGGGTCCGAGTCTACGAAGGCAGGATAGTGCGAAGACCAATCCATGTGCGCAGGGCTGAGGGGACTGTCAAAACGGTTAGCTTTACTTCACCAAGCTGAAGAACGGCGAGGAGTTTGAAACTCCGCCCAGTCACATACTATTCCAATTTGTGGTCGGAGAAGGGATTCGCATGCGCACGCTGGCGGAAGAATTTCTTCTGCGGCATCTTGATAACGGAGCCATCGTCAGCGGACTGCTGCGCTGCCAGCTCGCGACGGTACTCCTCGCGCTTGATGCGCTTTGCTGGGGGGTTCTGCTCGGGGGTCGTCATTGTTGGTCGAACTCGAGGGGGAAGTCGAGGACGAAGTTGAAAAAAATCCCCCCACTTCCGCTCCGGCCCCACATCAACTCCAACTCCAACTTTGGTCTTTGACCTCACCTTCACTTCCACTTTCACTTTCAACTGGCTATTTGCGACTTGCTACTCATTTGAATCCCTATTCAACTTGAACAGCGCTCTGCATCATGACATCTGCATCAGCGTCTCCTTTTCCTTTTCCGCCAACTTACAACTTCCCACCCTTCTTCACGCCGCAACCTAATACAAACACCCGCCAGTCACAGCTGCAGAAATGGTCCTCGCTCATTCAATCCTGGTGTCGGCACCACCGTCAATTCCGGCTCTCGCTGATAGATGCGGTTGAAACACCTTTATTCCACAACGCAGCTTTGCGCAAGCGTCTTGATCTGCGCGAGGCCCGCGCGGTGGTGGATTGGATGAGTAAGAGCGAGGAAGAGGGCGGCGGTGGGCGGCGAGCGGAGTGGATTGCTGAGGGGTCAGCGCAGGGCAAGGCTGTTGCGTGGATTTGGTGGAGGAGGCCTGAAGAGTGGGCGGATGTGTTGGTGGAGTGGGTGGATGGCACTGGGCAGCGGGGAACGGTTTTGACGGTTTATGAGTTGATCGAGGGAGATGTGACCATGTCGCAAGGTATGTTAAGGGGTGTATTGAGTTCGATGTCTTTACGGTTGCTAACTCGGTGTACAGAGTTCCATGGCATGGATACAGATGTTATGCTACGCTCGCTGAATGTGCTTGTTAAAAGAGGCAAGGCGCAGATCTTCGGTGATGCGGGCCAGGAGGGTGTGAAGTTCTTTTGAAAGGGATTTGCTCTCTATGGGATAAATCGTGGCTATTCGTGACAAAAAACAAATCGCTTCTCGAGTGTGAACCAAAAGCCACTGATCCAATATTACATACACAGATATCAAACGGTCCCGATGGGACGGGATTGAAGGTGGGATATTTACTCCTCCATGTCTTCGACCATTTCGTCGGTCAACTCGTATTGGTCAGCGGGACGGATGGACTGTGACATGGCCATGTCGAGCAGCCAGTCAACGCGAACAATCCGTGGGGTCTTCTCGATATCGAGCGCCACCTGGCGGAATCGAGGCCACACCCGGCTGTGCTTGGTTTCGGCACTGCTCAGGAGGAAGACCTCGTGGCGTGCAGAGTGCTGTTCATCCTCGCCATCGGTCTCTTCGTCATCGCTCTCTTCTCGTCGAGAAGAGTTTGTAAGAGCGAGGCGGCCGCGGAAGAGCATGCATTGACCGCCGTTCGCCTCAACGATGGACTTGAAGGCATCAAAGCCGCCTCGAATATCTTCCACACAGAAGATGCGATACCCTTGCAACATCTTATGCTTGTTCCTCTTTGCATTGGCCGTGACGACATCGAGCTTGATGCTGTATTTCTCTTCGGATACCTTGTCTTCCAGGGGGAAGTCTGAAGGATTGAGTAATTCATTGGCCTTGAGACAGGCGGTTATGAATTCAGTGTTCACAATGATGGCTCCGAATGCCAAGGCATTAACAAATTTGGTGGTTCGCAGGATGGAAGGTGCAGCCAGATGAGTGCACCGTTTGGCATCTTGAACCACCATGATGCCGATGTCTCGAAGGGCTCGCTATAAAGATCTCAGTCATTCTGTTACAAATGATGTGCATAATCTTAATTTCGAACATACCTTGTCTGCATCCTCCTTCTTTTCATTCCCTTTGCCCACCCATTTCTGGTAGCCGGTAATAAGCAGACGCATGGCGATTGGCGGCCGGGTCCTTTTCTGACGTTTGACGTCGACAGCCTGTTCGTCATCGCTGTCATCCTCGATCTCAACCTCAACTCGCTTCTTCTTTTCCTGCACACGGTCCTCGTCTGATTTGCGCCTGCCGCCGTAGATCACACCGCCAACACGTTTCCGCTCCTTTTCGTAGAGAGCCAAGTCAGGAGCATATTCGTGGAGTTTGGCGGTGGCAGCGTCCTTCGATTTCCGACTGCTGGTAGATGAAGGCGTTTCGTTTTCTTTGCCTTCTGACATGATCCTAGTCCGCGCGGGAGTTTCAATAGGACGACTTGTCTTGCCGTTGGTTTGTGGAGTACCACGCGAAGCCTTTGGGCCGTCTTCCTCGATCTTTCGTTTCTTCTCGGGAGGAGGCTGTACGGGAATCACAACCTGATCTTTCTTTTGCGGTGAGCGGCGGGGACTTTGAGTAACCGCTTTCTCAGAAGAAAAGAAGACTTGTTCCAGGACGTTTCGGTCAAGACGGGTCTGGCCTGCGACTTCTCCGAGGTTTGTTCGCAGCGGGAAGTGACTGTAACGTGGATCGGAAGCCGGTTGCAGTTTCCACCTTGCATAGCTGTCTTCCAGCCAAAGATGATTGACGACTTCGAGGCCCCATTCCTTCGCGGCAGTGCACTTCTCGCTGTTTCCATGAGCTGTGATCAGATGTGTGTTCTCCTGCTTTAGGGTCTTTGTACATTCGGCACCCGCTGCAGCAATCAGATTCTCCAAGTAGATTCTCGCTTCGCCAACATAGTTCGATAAACTGATCTTCAATCCCTCGAACCCAGGGATTCCCGTTCGAGAGACAGGGTAGTGTAGCAGACGCCTGAGGGGGGAAGTGTATGTGTTAAATGTCATAAGTCTGTAGAGCCATGCAAGATTTCCAACGTCTATGTTCAGTCGTGATGCTGTACGGTATGCAAAGCCCTCTCGGTATCGGCAGATCAACATATCCGCACTGTCAATATTCGATGTCATTTTGGCACCGCCATCCTCCAACACAGATTCTAGGGACTGTTGCAGATGCGAGCCAATCCCAAGGTCTTGAGATAACATGATCGACTTTCCTTGAAAGACGCTGCGCTGACCCGTGTTATGTAACGTCGGTAGCTTGTCAGGATCTGTCGTTGACGCGCCAACCAAATCTTTGTTCTCGGCTTGCCGAATCGGCGTCTCGAGCCCTGCACGCAGGATCTCCGGGTCCGGGAGCATGTACGGACCTTCATCAATACGGCGACCAAGTTTCAAACAGTCATCAAACCTAAACGATCAGCAAATGGCTTGGTCTCCGACCCACGGAACATACCAATGCGGTAGCACAATCTTAGTCTTCATATTCTTTGCCTTGACCGTGCGTGCTTTGTCGGAATCGGCGGTGAGGTCGACCAAGTGGGTCACCAACTGGGAGACTCGAGGGGAGTACAGCCCACCTTTCGCAATCACACCACCGATGATGGCATCTTTATCACCCCCTGGTATGTCCCCGCAAGTGACGACGACATCGTTCATGAATAGGCGCGGATCGGGGCTGTATTGACGGGGGTTGACGAGCTTCTGCTTGGACAGTGAGGTCGTCACCCACTTCGGCTTCACCACGGGGATCAATGCATCGCAAGTGGTATCGTAGGCTTCGAAGTCGACGGTAGTTGAGATTAAATGACTGAACTTGCCAATGTCCGGGATCTCAGCCCCGGGCTGCACAATCAGTGGCTCGCCGCCATTCTCCTCGAGTGTTGTCGCGAGCTGAATGATTGGTCAGTTCGCGGTACCATCGCAGGCTGATGAAAACAACACACCTGCTCTGCATATTCTCGCGTGAGATCAGTGGAGCAAATAATGCCAAGACAGCACTGATCAAAAAGTCTCGACTCCTCGGTCGCCATGGTTGTGTGAGATATTATGGAAGATCTGCAGCAAGCGGTGATGAGGCAATTTGACGCGCCGCTGGCGCGTGTCAGAACGCCGAGTCACGTGAGCAGTCCAGAATCACGGGTTACATAATCATTAGGTAAAAGAAATCCGGGGTACCGCCTTGGCCTTCACTCGCCTCATGCCAAATGCCCAATTGACGAGACGATCCTCGGTGGTTTCTGGTGCATCGTGGGCGTGACTGCAGTCCTAACGCATTCAACCCCTCACTTCCACCATTCTGTCGTCAGATGTCTCGTTCCTGAATGTCATCGACTGGGATGATTCGTGATCGACGTCCCCCAACTTAATGCGGGGAGCGATCTCCACACCCCCGGCCCGGTGTCTACTAAATAGCTCGAGCCTGCCCTGGTTTTTTTTTTATTATTTCTTTTAAATTCTAAATTCTATCTTCTTTTCTTTCCTCATTCTTCGGTGACACGATCTTGACGATGGCCGCTACCAAAGTCCTGCTCATTCCTGAGCTACTAGAAGAGATCCTCTTGGATCTAGACATGACCACTCTGCTGGTGTCGGCGCAACGAGTGAACCGACTCTGGTTTGATGTCATCAGCCAGTCCAAGAGACTTCAACAGGCCCTCTTCTTCACACCCATCAACCCTGCCCTCAAGCCCTCACTGGCCTACTCAAAACCCAAAACCTCTCCTCTTCGCGGACACAGTCCCTATCACAAAGAAATTGTCTCTACCCTCAACCCATTACTGGAAAAGCACTTCGGCCCTGTCTTCTTCAGCAGCGGCAACAGCCCCTGTATCCTCAACAAAAACAACTTCTCCAAATCCCTCGAATGGGGCCCTGACTACCGCGACGAGGATGGCATGCCTTCGAAAACCCTTTCTCGACACAAAGCATTCACTCGCGCCGGTGCCAGCTGGCGGCGCATGTTAGTATCGCAACCAGCACCACCGGCCCTGGGCTTCGTCTGGTGGGAGCACCGCAGCCGATTACAAAATGTCTATGAATACATCATCCGCAAGTCCCGCTGCTCTTCGCCACCATCCTCCGCGTGCTCCGCCTCCTCGGCCTCCTCAGTCTCCTCATTGTCCTCCTCGTCTTCGGCATCTTCTACCGACTCCTCTGAGTCATTACCCTTATCCGAGACCGGACTCCGGTTTGGTTCATTATACGATCTGGTTCAGGACCAAACCAGTGCGACTCTCAACCTGGGATTCTACGTCGGCTGGGGGAACTACATTCCCGTCGGCAGTGAAGTCGCATCTCTGAGCGAGGAGATCCTCAAAGAGACTAGCGTTGTAGTTCAATTCTTCCCAGATGTTCGATCAGAGGGTGGTGATCTCGCTGATGTGAAGACGTGGGACAATACTTTCCGCAGCGAGGATTTCCAGCTGCCGGACAGCGAACTTGTGGACAAGGCCGTGTTTGAATACGGACTTTAATAGTCCAAAATAAAATTGCATAGCAGGGATTTGTTTTATGTGCATTGGGAAAATCACAGTTATCTGATTTAATTCAATTGATGTTTGAATGTCTACTCCGTATACTTCCACACTATCCACACTACAGTAGAGCTGTATAGTTCTACACCCACTTTACTCCATACTTTTTTTTACCCCATACAAATTTTCTTTCACCCCCTTTCTCTCCTCACCTCCACGTCTACTCCAAAAATGTCTCAACAAGAAAATGGAAAAACACGTCAATTGCGAATTTTTCAATTTTTATGACTAAAACCAACCCAAAAGGCGCTCAGGTGACGTAAAAAAGGCGCAACCCCATGACTGCAAAATGTCGTCAGTGTGGGGCCCGTGCTTAGCTAAAAATACCGCAAACCTGAGGCCTTTCCGACTTTCAACGTCCAATCTGGACACTCCGCTCTTCCACGATGCCAATTTCACACTGCCAATGACTCAATCCAATCTATTAATTCAAACTAGGGTGGAGAGACCCGCATCGGTTCCAACATCGGTTCCAATTCGGGCACACTGATCGGGAAAACATCAGTGACCGCCTCGACCGGCCAGCTCGCATCCTCCAACTCGGGTTCGTCTCCGGTTGACAGATCCACTATCACGGCCGGCTCATCAGACGTCAAATCAATCACGAGACCATTTTCAATTTTGGGTATCAGTTCCGACATGGCGTTGGGTTCAGTTTTGATCATGCGCCCTGCCATCACGTCGGGTTCAACCTTGATAGTACGCTCTGACACAAATTCAATGTCATTAGTGGCCACGATGTCAATCGCCAAAGGAGCCACAGAGGAACTTCTGTGTTGCTGATCCCCGGCCTCGTGTTTAGAGATTAGCTTGGTCGGCTCGGCGAAGGGCTCGGAATCGGGGTCAGACTCAGACTCGAAGTCGGACTCGTAATCTGATTCAGACTCGGGTTCGGGTTCGGCTACGGCCGCGGGCTTCAGTCCTTTCTGAAGGTGGGAGGGCCTGGTCGTAGTTTGCTGGGATGAACCATCCTCCAGCTGCTGTACAGATTTCTTTGATTAGCATCATCGGCAAAGGCTCGGTTTCTTCCGCGGGTTAGGAAACTAGATACGCTTTTGGGAACACCAAGGTACTTGAGCAACTTATTGTTAAGACTGTTAGTGACATCTCGGTGGAATTGGGTGCCGTACTCCGCTGCGAATGCGGCATCTTTGCGGCTGGTATTCAATCAGTAGATGCTCGAAAGGCCAGCTGAGTGAAACCCACGCGATGTTCTCTAAAGCATCACAGAAAACGCCCAGAACAGATTCAGGCTGGGCACGTCCCGGCTCCTTTGAATAGATGGCATTACGCCATCCACCTGTCAACACAAAGCGCTTGATTGCATTAACTCCCGTTGCACGTAGTATCTCTTCGGGATGACGAGGGGCATCCACATCGTTGACTGCATACAAAATCAGCATGAGTGGTATGAAAACAGATGCTGGATCAAACGCACCGGCTCCGCAATGACGAAGACGGAGATGAACCGCCAACGCGCCCGGTTTACGGAAGGTAGAACCGCACATTTGCGAGGTTCCGACTAGGATGTCGCAACTTCCAAAAGTTATTCCAAGTCGCGAGGTATGAAGGGAGATAGAAGCCTACACCAGAGTGTTTGTTGGATTCACTAAAACCATCGGCGTGGGTGGTCCTCTTCCCGAGGTGAGAGCACATATGATCTGCTTTTTAGTTGGCCTCGAGTGTATGTCGTCGTTATCTGCTCTCCAACCGGGGTTGTTATGTGGAATAGGACCTTGAAAATAAACTTAGTAACCTGACCGTATTCGGCACTCTGCCTTACCATATGCGTAGCCCATCGTGGGGTGCGGGTTTACTGCGGCCAATACTTCGGGGTTCACGAAGTCCTCTTTCTTCAAATCTTCGAAGTGCAGGGTGAAATTCATCTTGAACCATACACAACCTCGGGAATAGTTTGAATCATACAAGAGCAATCAGACAGTCATATCACAGCAGGAGGCTTGGAGATATCAAGGGCGGGAGATACGAAAGGTGTCAAGGCGGATTGATACTGAAGGTGAGGAGGGCGATCAAGGTCAACCAATGATACGAGCGAGGTGTGTCTATATAGATGCAATGCTAATAGCAAACAATGCGGGTGGCCAAATCGGGCGTCCTCCAGGGCAAACCGTCTCAAGTACGTTGAACATGTCCCCCAATCACCTAGCTTGACTTCCAGGACGCTATAAAATTGAGTCCTTTAGGCCCGCTTCAGGCTGTCAACAGAAGTTCGGTTTTCAGAGATATCTGATTGCTAGCACACCTAGAAATAGTTTTGGGCCACATACTATTGAATGAAGGTTCCTAGCAAATGCAGACGATGCGGCATTCAAGCATATTTTGGGTTTAAAATTCTTCCTGCTGTTTGATGAGAGAGGGGATAAGAGTGTCTCAGGAACATTTGTAAGTGCAAGAAGCTATAAACCGAGAGCCTTATATCTTGATCATACAAAATTCGCTGTGAAATCAGTGTGCAGCAATCTCGAGCGAAACGGCTGCCGCTATTTGAGCCCGCTGAGCAGGATGCCCTTTATTCGATGCTCAACTCGATACTAGGTTTCAGCCCTGAGCAGAGCAGGTTTGGTAGAGAAGTTCTTGAGTCTGAATGGATGGTCAAATGAGCAAGTCCGAAGGGTGAATAGCGAGGCGCGGTGAGCTCGGTAAGATCAGCCAGTTCGGTCTACTCAAACAATGCGGTGGTCTCGGCAATCTCGGTAAGTTAGTCGCAACGACACAGAAACCACTGCTTGGAAGGTCCTGAGTATTCTGTGTCCAGATCACATATCGACCACCACATGTACCTGCGCAGGTGGTGATGTTCAACCATCGTGCAACATGTCTAGAGGATCAGGGACGGCATGTGAGGCCAGCTGACGGGTCCTCAACATTCAACCGTACCGTTCAAAACTAATTTTCGAGGTCCTCGCTCGAGAATTAGAATACATAGACAAGTTCAAAATAAATTCCATAGAATATAGCCAAATCTCTGGGTTCATTGACGGCCCTTAATGCTGGCATTAAATGGGTGCCTTTTGACGACCGTCCTGAAACGCCCAAAGCCACCCAATGAGGCCTGCGGGCGGGTGGCCGCAGGCATGGGCAGCATGATTCTTTTGAAGCCCCAGAAGTCAAACCCATATGTTAAGAGAGATGACGCCGACTTTGCATGCTTTCGCCACTGCGCCGGTAAGATCATTCCAACTTTTTCATGCAAGGGACAGAGGATCATCAATTCGAGGGAATTACCGAACTGCAAAGAATTGAGCATTTTAATGGAGTTTTGGGTTCTACGTGCATACATGCTGCTGCGTAATGGCGGCATTTGAGACTGTCTCGAATCTTGGAACCACAGTCACGGAGATGAAGCAAATGTAGTTTGGCCCTCCATAGTTCTTCTCGCTACTCCGCAATGGATTTTGGATCGCTGGCTCCTCTGAGTCTTGGGATACCTACAAAGACCACCGAAGACTCGAACTTGGCTTCAATTCGCCGCGTCGGTATCACAATGCCTGAAGTTGGGTAGAGGTTAAGTCCCGATTCGGTATAGTATAGACTAGTATATACGTGTATCTCATTCCGATTGGCTGACCGTATTCTTCCGATATCTCCAGATAGTCAAGACCTCGGGATTGTTTTCGTGGGATCCAAGGATGACCGGGGAACAAGCACCAGCAATCGCGCCTCGTATTCTTCCGAGCAGCCAATGAACAGGGTGCCCTAGACCTGGGGTACATGATATGAGTACCTACAAATCAGTACTTCAAAGATCCGACGAGGTCGTTGTGATGTAGAATTTACCCTTCACATCAGAAAAAACATCAAAATCTTTGTCTCAAGTTAGTAAATATATCCCTTGGAAAATGGGCATCAAAAACGCTTTTGAGCGATCTTCGTTCGCTAGGTATGGAAGGAGCATCCGCGAGCTACCCCGTGGTGTCATTTGCAATTCTACTTTACTGTTCAGTGCTATGATATACGCATTTGCCGGCATTCCCATGAGTGAGTCTTTCCACAAGACTTTTGGATTAGCATAGTCTAATATGCAGTGATCTGAAGCGTGGGACCAGGTATCTTCCGCCACCCTTCCCTCCTTGCCAGGATTCGACAACCAGTTCCATATCTCGTCAGGCTCCGATGCGGAAGCAATCTCGACCTACGTGTCAATAATCTACATTGGCTATGCCGTTGGTGCGGCGTTGTCATTTTTTGTGAACGACCGAATAGGCCGCCGATGGGCCTTTCGGCTATACTCCCTGGTTCTCATCATCGGTCAGATGATTGTGGTGGGTGCTCCTAACATAGGCGCCCTCTATGCTGCCCGCATCATCACGGGGATGGGAATTGGCTCCCTCAGTGTAATTGGACCCATGAGCATCGTTGAGATATCCCCAAAAGAGATACGTGGTCTACTCACGGCGATGTACACCGTGTCCATGGGAATCGCCTTGACCTCTGCCAGCTTTTGTGTGCTGGGCATCCACAGGAACGTCCCCAGCGGCAAACTGCAATACCAGATTCCAGCCTTCTCGATATCCATCTTCCTGGCCCTGTGTATTGCTAGCAGCTTCTGTATTTGCGAGTCACCTCGATGGCTCATGATGGTCGGGCGCAGAGAGGAGGCAGTCCAAACTCTCGTCAACCTTCGACACATGCCTGCTGATCACCCCTTGATTATCGGCGAAGCGCATGATATTGAGCTCTCACTTATCATGGATTGGGGCGATGTCCATGGTAGCTCAACCCTTTGGCTGGCCGTCAAGGAGACCTTCACGGTATCCTCCAACTTGCGCCGTTTGCAGCAGGTGTTGGTGGCATATGCGCTAGCTCAGCTTTCCGGTGCCAATTCAGTGACAAGCTACTTTATCCCTATTATGAGCCTTTTGGGGGGACACTGGAAGCACCGAGAGACACATGTTTTTTAGTGGCATGTACGGATTCTCCAAACTCATCTTCAGCATCATTGCTGCCTTCTTCATCATTGACATTCTCGGTCGTCGAAAGTCGTTGTTTATTGGCATCACCGCTCAGATGTTTTCACATATCTACATAGGCGTGTTCATCAGGTACGAACAGCAGGGCGCCGTTCCCAGGGTAGCTTCAACGTTCGCCATCGTCGCACTATTTATCCACGCAAAGATGACTTCTTTCATTTGCGAAAGCCCGTAGATGGGGACGGTGTCAATGGGATTTTCCGAGTACTTGGTTCGGGGAGTCGAGATGCGCCTGTATTCACCTTAGCATAATATATCTTGTAGGGTTGCAAGATTGGAAACGTACAAGCCAGGTGCTGTCGGGTGATCCTCAAAGTTAGTGAACTTCGGAAATTAGCAACTGACGTTCAACCGAAAGTAATAACAGAGAATTACCTTCTTTCCTCGAAAGCCGAATTTCAGTCGTCCTGTCTTCGAGATTGGGAAGCTTCCTCCTTGGTAATAACTTCACATGGCAGTCAGCGAACTATGGAGCGACTGTCGAATAACATTTGTAATTGAGAACGTACCTGTCTCCGTCACCTTTTCGGTAAGACCACGCAGGATAGTTCTCTGGCGAGAACTTCTTCCAAAGATCTTTGCGATCTTCAGGTATGTCGATGAACATGACAGTACCTGCAGTGGCCTCGACAGTCTGATGTGCCTCGGGGATAACCGTGGCGGTCCAGGGACCCGCTAAAGTAGATCTGAGCATTAGAAAAGGACGGCGTGATAGCAAAGGGTCACTTCGTGAGTCACCTACCCGCCACAATCACAATATCACTCATGTGACGAAGTCCGTCAGCGGTCATGATTCCAGTAATCTTCTTGTCCCGACCCTTCTTTTCTGTGATGAAGCTCGTGAACTTGCCCTCGGGGTCACCAAGAACAAACTTGACGCCAGCCTTCACACAAAGTTGTCTAGCGAAAACACAGGCCTATTTGTAAAATTATCTGTCAGCATGTTGTTAAAAAAGATTCAATGTGGGAACTTTTGCCTTGTCGGCAACGGTGATGCCGCCTTGGATATCAAAAAAGCCGTTTGTGTTGCCGTTGTTGATAGCGTGGACCTTGCTTGCTCTCTCCACCCACTTGGGGTCGAGTTTGGCGAGACGCTCTTCGTCCTCACGGTAACCCTGTTCCATAGTCAGATGGAGAGGTCTCCCTCATATCGAACCCTCCGGTGAGATATTCAAGCTTACTCTGACAAACTGGGTTTTGCGGAAATCAGGAGCAGTCCGCTCCATCGAGGCCAAACTTTCAGCGTAGAATTGTCGCAGCTCAGATCCTTCGGCAATAAAATAGTTACCACACTCCAAAAGAAGTTCGTCATCTTGGCTGAGGCCAGCAGGGAGTTGGGACTGGGGGGTCGACGCAACCTGTTTGTTCCATTCCAGCCACATGTTACGGGCTTCAATGGCCATATTCTGGTACCTGCAGGGCGCATCTTAGCTCTGACCTTTTTTCTTTTTTCTTTTTTGCTTCCATGCGAGTACTTCTTACTCAGTCTTGTCCCCGTAGGCCATGCGGAAGATCTTGTTGATATCTGCAGACGCGCCATCGCAACCGTTGGCGGGGTCGTAGAAGTTCTTATCAAAGGCACATCGGTCAAAGATGGTAATGGATTGATAGCCATCTCTCGCGAGCCAGAGTGCGGTGCTGAGGCCAAACACTCCGCCTCCAATAATTGTGATCTTTGAGTCCCGGGAGAGCATTGTAGCGGCGGTGTTGAGTAAGATCTTTGGATGTAGTTAGTTCGATACTTTCGCTTTCTGGAATGAAGAAATTGATGATATAAATACTGCAGAGCTTCACACTACTTGTACAGCTATTCCGGATTCGATACTGGGGTGACTTCAGGGAATAGGGCAGATTGATGGAGGGCTCCGATGGCATTAGGGCACGATTGGCTGCTCGTATACTTCCGGAATGGCCTACTCGGTACTTTCCGAGCAGTCCAACTTCGCTTTCGACTCCATTTTTTTTACGCTGCCCCACCTAAAGACCGTGATGAGTCTGGCCTGGCTACTCCGTCAGAAGGACCTGCAGCTTTGTACAGCTCGGGACGGTGTTCATCCGTCGGCTTTCTCCCGCTAAGGAACAATCCTGTACTCCGTACATATACTCCGTATTTGCATATGAACTTGATAAGCCCTGAAGATATGACCATCTTGTCTCCTGGGGGTCACTCTGAAAATCTTGAGAATACCTTGGGACACAGCATAGCGTCACTTTGTTTTTGGATATCTTCTTACAATGCTTCTACAAGTTAGCTAAATGCAATGCACCAAAATATAATAATCGACAAAGTAGGCATCCGTATTTCAACTACAATGTACAAAAGGCCAAAGCAAGCCGGGGAATATAAGCAAAGCAAGATCAAAACGGAATCCGCCCAAAGCTAAATGCAAAAAAGAAAAACTCAAGCCGCCGTCGTCAACACATAAGAAGTAATACTATCCATGCGCTCCGTAGTAAATTTCAAGCTGACAGTCAAGAGCTCACGAGCAATGCGCGGCTCTTTCTCCTGCAAGATCTTCCACTGTTCACCAGTAAGACACCAAGCAACAGAATCCCGCTCAGCTTTGACGGTGGCGGTGCGGCGGGTATCACTGAAGAAAGGCAGTTCGCCGCATGGCCGACCGGCGACGATGAGCTCAAAGTATCGACCTTGGGGGAGATCGTAGCCTGCGCGCAACATGCCGGATTCGAGGAGGTAGAAAGCGTGCGGGGCGTCACCTTCGTGGTAGAGGATTGTGCCGGCGGCGTAGGATTCGCGGGAGAAATAGGCGCAGGCGGGGAACCAGAAGTCTTCGTTTTGGAGGGAGAGACCTTGGAAGGTTTGGAGGAGGAGGGGAAGCGGTTGGCGCATGACGGACCAGGCTGGGGTGACCATGGTGGTAGTTTCGTGTGCTTGGATGGTGGATGTCGCGACGCGCTGCAGATACTGGCGGCGCGGGGAGCTGACGATATTGTCTGGGAGGGTTGTTGGTTGCGATGAAGGAACGGGGACTGGGAGATGATGGTCGCTGTCGCTGTCGCTGGGGATGGTTGGTTCGGTAGGAGTGGTGAGTGCTTCTTGGCGGTTGTAGAATACTTTGAGGTAGTCGTTTTCGCAGAACTCGAGGGCTGAGTTGAGGTCCTCGAATATGGGGACGCCAGAGTCAGGCTCGAATAGTCCTACATTCTGCAGAGACTTGCCCACGTCACCGTCCACGTTCAAGCCGGAGATAGCCGTTTGCACATTGCGCTTTCGAAGAACGCGGTTGATACGCGTGAAAGCTTCGGCGGCCGAGAAGTCGATACCGTATACACGCGAGAAGTCTAGAATGAGGAAGCGAATGGGTCTGCGGTCGAACGCTTCATCCTCGATCAGGCCACGCATGGTTTTTTCCACATTCACAATGGTACCAAAGAACAGGTAGCCTCCCAGCTTGAGCATGAGGGTCTGTTGTCCAGCCTCGCGTAGGAACTGCTGTTGGATAGGGGGACGGCGGACCGTAGACCCAGCAACCTCACCGGAGTAGGTTGCTCGAATGGCGGACTTTTGTGACGTTTGAACGACAAAGTTGACACAGGCCAAAATGATTCCAACGAAGATTCCAACGACGAAATCCCACGCACCCATTGTCACGACGATGATGACGACAGTGAGATATTCGAGACGGGTCAGCTTTCCCCATGTGTCCACCAATGCCTCCTGCAGCAATTCGATGCCCAGCAAGAAGATCAAAGCGCCGACTACCATGATCGGGATGTAGCCAATGATGACTGGGCCAATGACCATGATTCCCGCCGTGGCCGCAGCCAGCATTAGACCAGCCAAGCGAGATGAGCCTCCACTAGCAATGAAGAGGAGACTGTTTGTGTAGACGAGGTAGTTCTGAATGCTTCCTACGCATCCCGAAAGGGCATTGGTAACACCATGGGCCACAAGTTCTCGATCAACATTGAGGTTGTCTTCGCCGGTTGATATACCGAGAGCAGGAACGTTGATGGGAACATGTAGCACACCAAAGAAGGTTAGCGCAAACATGGCAGGGATTGTCTCGCCGAAAGCGGTCCAGTTGACCTCCGAGAGATCATAAAGCGTGTAGAAATGATACCAAGGGTTGTTAGAAGATGGGGCATCGAATACCCATCCAGTATGGTGCAAAGAATCCATGGAGACCCGTGCGCTCAATGTGGTGATGTAGAAGACAGCGGCCACCGCAATGAAGTAGCCACCAACCAAAAAGTTCGAGCGAACAAACCGCTTTAGAACGAGCAGACCAATAGCTAGAGCCAAAGGTATGATCCAGAGCGGGAAAGTATCCAGCTCAAACAGCTTCTGAAGCGTGGGTAGAGTGTACTCCAAAGACCCGGGAAGCCGGGCGGAAACCTCCACACCAGTCTGCAGCAAGAAGTAACCAACACCGCCGATGCACCCGATAAGAATGTGGCGGGGAAAGAATCCAATGAGCGATCCGAGCCCACAGACACCCATCAGGAAGAACACCAGACCAGTAAGGATTGAGCTGACGGAAAAAGCGAGAATGGTTGTTGCAATGACCGATTTCGGATTATCCTTGCCGATGGAGTTCATGATAGTGAACGCCATCTGGTGGAAGAATGGCACTACTTCAATCATTTCGCTTCCTATTCCTCCCTTGAAGATGGAACCTCCACTGGAGAATACCACCTGGGATATAATAGTGCTGACGTAGAACATCGAGATACCGTCAGTTCCTAGATGTGCGAATAAGGGCTCTCCCAAGGGGAACAGGATCATTCCATAGGACAAGGCATCGAGGATGTTGAGAAGCAGTCCAAGTAGCACCGCAGGGACCAGACTGGCAGGATAAGCCACCGCCTGCTCCCATATGGCGCGCTTGTTCCAAGACTTGGGGTTGGACAAAGTGCGCGAGCACTGCGCCAGATTAGACAGTCCTTTGGTGAGGGCAGTTGGAGATCGGATGATGGGAACTCTTTGGTTCTCCACATCGGAGGCACCATAGTTCTGTGTCGATTTCGACCGCGATTTCGACAGCAACGAGGTATGTTCGGTATCAGGCTCTGGTTCTTCGAGGACCGTGGGTGGGGGCGGGAACTGCGTGATCTCCCCAGCGCTAGGTTGCGTAGGCTGCTCCTCCACCATCACCTCCGAGGGGCGACGAATCATCTCTGTCAAAGCCGAGGACGCAGACGCAGGATCGAGAGATGCATATCTCGGCTCCAGCAAAGCCTGCCCCACGGCACCAGAGCTCGTAGCCTCGTTCGGATCGTGAGCTTCGCCGTGGCTTTGGCTGCCATTAAATATATCCAAGCTGGGCGGTAAGCCGGGGCCATCTCGCAGAAGTGACTTTTTCGTAAGTGATAGACCGTATGTGGCTAGCTCGGCGGTCTGGTCACGGAGACCGTCTGAAGCATAATGGGCCGGATCTGCGGCAGATCCAATGGTCAGTAAAAATCGCGCCGGGGAGCGGGGGAAATTGCAGACTGCCGTGACCCACCCATACTGTTGGCATTCAATGACCGGTGATAGAAGGAGCGATTGGGAGTTCGAATTGTTGACCCGTTATAGCTTGATGCTACTCCCATTGGACTGGGTGACGTGCCCAGGTGTGCATGTTCCACAGCAGACTCTGAGGCGGTGGTTGGAGTGTCGCGATCCAAGAACAAATTACGCGAGAGAGCAGAGGCGCGAGAATCACGACGTCCACGAGGTTGCAGTACCCCCATGGTCACGCAAGAGTCGTCCAGCCGGGAGGAATTGGAGGGGAAGTGCTATAGGGAGACAGATGACGCAAGCGAGGCAAACATGGCTTCATCCACTTTATATACAAAGTCACCCCCAGAAGTATCACGAAATGCAATTAGCAAAGATAAAAGCGAAAAACGCAGGTTCATCGGAGTTTTGACTAAACGAAGTCTTATCTCTGCTGGGCCACTAAACCCCATCCGGACTGATAGACGTCCAGATAAAGACTGTGGTCCGTGCGGACATCTTAGCTCGCCTCGAAGGCTTGTCTTGCCCTTTCTCCTTCTCTTTAATTTACCCTCCATGGCCATATTATAGGGTGTGGTGTGTTGCTGGGTAGCTGTGATAGCCTCCGGAGTCGGACGCGCATCTGCACCTTGCCTGCATAACGGCGCCGTTGGCCAATCGGCGATGGTCGTACTTTGGGCTGTTACTCCACTGCACCTTCAAAAGTTCCATATCAGCCAGTACTTCATTAGTAGCCGGGATTTCTCCCAAGGTTATTCTTATTGTGTACATCCTACTCTGTGCTCAATATATTGCACGGAGTAGCACCGAAGACACGGCTGAACGAATGGAACAAAAATTCAATTTAGCCATTAGCTCTCAACACTAACGGCGGGGTATCTCAAAGTACATAGTTCCACCACTGCAGTAACTAAACGTTCTATCCTGAGGATTTCTCAGAAGCACATCTAGCCATATTGTTCAAGTCAATCGTTCCAGGAATCCCTGAGCAATAAGGCGCTCCACATCACCCTGCCGAACATACAGTTGACTGTTCTTGGTCAAGTTGATCACACTAAACAATCATTAGTTAAATGTCTCCCAACAAACCAACGAGAAACACAAAATACATACCCATACTCCGTCTGAATCTCACCAGCATCCTTCAGCACTCTCACATCAATAAACAAATCTTTCGGCGGCTCCAAGGTCCCCGTCAAATCCACATCCGTCCACTGCCCTTTATAAGCCGCGAGCAGATCCCCATACTGTCGAAAATACTCCTCCTCCTCCGGACTCAGCGAGCTGTGTCCTGAAGGCCCCAATGCCATCTGCTGCGACCCACCATCCGGCTGCTGCTGCTCGAGGATATCAACACCCGTCCAGCAGAGTTCCTCAAGCTTTTCGGTGCGCACGCGGTGGTACGCCAGCAGACAGCGCTTGTTGCGACGCATGCACAGGTGATCCACTAGCAGGGCACAGGCAATAGCTGGGTCTGCGGAGGGATTGAAGCCGCCTTCGTAGGGCGAGAGCAGACGCGTAACATCGCGGTCGAGATCGCGTACTTCGCGAGTCACTGCGCGGACGATCTCGGTTTGGTATGGGGGGAGGTGAGCGAGGGATTGTGTACGTTTGGCATGTTGGACCTGTTGCTGTTAGATACTGGGTGGGAAAATTTAGGGAGGTCGGGTACCAATTTGTTGCCGAGTTCGCCGTACATCGTGGCCGCACGGTCGGGGTCCTGGTCAGGATCGAGACGGGAGTCCATTTCGGCGCCAAGAGTTCGTCTTAGTCAGGTGAAGTGATCGACGCGCATCAAGTATGGAGTTTGGTATGGGATTTGATATGCAAAAATAGAGTGTGAAGATGCTCTGTTGCACATTACAGAGTTTCTGTTTGCGTTGCTAGAATGAACCACAGTATAAAGTTGCACAAGGTGAGGTTTACTTCGTACGGAAGTTAAGTTGTCACAACACCAACTGAAGTTTTGAGGGAAAACAAAACAAAACTATATTGAGATCATACTCCAGTGCTATCAGTAGTTTGTAGATGCTCTCATCTTGTTATAGTTACCCTGCGTGATCGGCTCATACTTTGCCATTTCGCCCTCTGCAACACACGACGCAATGCACTCAATCAGCGTGTCCGGATCAGGTGACATAAAATATGGAATCGAGAAGCGTCTACGTGTCATACGTTCAGATCCCTCAAAGCGATCTGGGAGAGGGGGCAGCGTGACCCGATGGCTGGTGGACATCAAAATATCTGACCAAGTCAGCGTCTGAAGCAGAGTCGAGCCGAAAACAAACCATTGCTCCATCTCTGCAACAAGTCTCCCACATTCATGACTATTGCATTTCGCAGAGGTGGCGCGGGAACCAAAGTCCCTGGCTGGGTAACATCTTCCACCTCAAGCCCACCACAGTCGTCCTGGAACAACATGGTGATGGAACTCCAGTCGGTGTGTGCTGGGCATCGGGCGGCCCGATCTGTTTCAATGGCCACAGCAGGGATAGGTGGGTAATGTAGCAGGCGCAATTGGTTATTATGGCCTGAGTGCCGGGTCAGCAGGTGGTTCTCATCTAGATCCAGACCGACAGCCAGCGTTCGGAGAATCTCCCCTCCGACTCGGAAGCACTGCCAATAGAAGCGATGCATGAAGTCGCGGAAGCCTGGGAGGTCCTCCTCGGGCAGCCATTGATCAGGCTGGTCGACGTTCTCGTCGCTCCCTATGTCATAGCTTTCCTGGAGCGGTCAGCGGGGTTACGGCTTCATGCCAACCGCAGTCAACTCGCGCTCGACAGAAATCAAAGGAAAGCGCAATGTGCTCTCACTTTGAAGTCCGGTATTTCTCTGAGCTGCTCTCTGTCCAACCCATCACCACTCATCGCCTGTGACACCTTCTCCAGCCTGGGCCATAAGTAGCCTCTGTGAACAGCCCACCCGTCCGGGTGGGGCGCCTTTAGTTTCAGTTTCTGGGGTAGGTCGAAAAACAATCTGGACCAGTGGAATGCCTCGTCCAGCATGGACTCTGGGAGGGAGTGGTTGACGATGTATACGAAACCCACCTCTTTACAAGCGGTGATGAGTTCTTGGGCGACCCGCTACCGCCCAGCCTCCGAATTGTAGGCGAAAACCACAACCGGGATATGAGACTTGGCTGTGGCTGTGGGCAAGGTGGACATGGTGGACATGGTGGACTTGAAGGCTGGGAGAATTGTGAAACGCGGTGAAGAAAGTGACCGGTTTGGCACGGGAAGACCAACACTCAAGGTCCGCGATGAATAAGCTTCAATTCGTAGGTCTTCAGGATAAGGTCACAATATTGTAGATTATTCCAATTCCTGTACTCCGTACTCGAATTGCTTTTGGTCCTCGAAATTGGTCAAAAATAGTACTCAAACCCAAGTGGAGTACGGAGTCAACCGCCTTTGGGCTGTGGGCTTGGGCTGCGGTTGCTGTGGCAGGGAGTGGGGACCAGCTTCCTACATCATTTCTGACTGCACCCTTTTCAGACCTTCTGGAACATTTGACGATTCCTTTGCAAACCTTCTTGAGCAGCGTGGAAGTGTGTAACCCTACTCTCTGGCTCCAATTCCTCATCTCGTCGACAAGTCAATCTTGCCTCTTCGAGTAGTTTGTTGACATCCCGATAAGACATGAGCACATCGACACCTTGAACGAACAACGAACAACGAACAACCCACACATCTATACGGAGTAAAAACCGCCAGAATGCGGACCCCCTGGATCTGGCTCGCCACCACATTCCTCACCACCCACGCCCTGACATCCCCCTTCACCCCCGCGGAAGCAGCCAACCGTCGGGCCTTCGAAGTCCTCCGCATCCTCCGCCGGGCCGACAACTGCCCCAGCGGCACGAACCCGTGCACCGAACTCGGCAACGCAAACGCCTGCTGCAGACAAGGCACCAACTGCTCGCGGGATGCCGCAGACAACATCGCCTGCTGCGCGACCGGCGCAAGCTGCACGGGCAGTCTGACCGGGACCTCCACCACCACCGGCACAGAAACCAACTTCATGTTCCCGAACGCAGCGACCGCAACCGCAACCACCAACCCCTCAGCCACAGAGTCAACGATCGATGGCGCTTATCCGTTCGTCTACGTGCCCACCGCTTTCAATAACCCCCCAGACTTGCTCGTCATACTATTCCGTGTGTCAGTCGGAGTATGCGCAGTGCACGGGGGCGCTGATGGGTCGATATGCCGTGACGATTGGCGGGGAGGGCGCTGGGAAGACTGTTCAGGCTGTGACGGCCCAGTCGCAGGCGACCTCGATCTGCTCGAGTTTGAGTGCCGATGCTTGTCACGGTATTAATCTGGCCTATTGTAGCTCGGTGGCTACGCAAACGGCTGATTCTGAGGCCAACGGGAACAATGCTCCTGTGCGCTTGTCCAGCCTGCAGGACCTGGCTCTCGGGGTAGTTGTTGGAGTTGCGGGAATGTTTATATGATGGATTTGAAATGGTCATGGCTGAATGTTTAGTTTGTATATTCTTTTATCTTTTTTTGTCTATGTTTCGCCATTTATGTGAGCGTCGATGATTTTATGATATATCACGACTACTAGTCTTGTCCCTTGATTTTTCGGTGTTTTATTTGGGCGATACAAATCTGAGGTTGAGACGATTTTAGGGCGAAAGCTGCTTGTTTATACCACCTGACCATTATCTCGCTTCCATCCCCCGTTGGTAGATTCAACACCTTACTTTCCCTTTCGAATGAGCTTTTTTCCTTCTTTCATACTTTGATTACTTGATCGTTGGTTCTTCTTGATGGAGCCTACCAAGTTCACGCTGCCTTTCAGGCTTGTTCGCGACATATGGAGCCCCCGTGGTTTTGATAGCGATGACTCGCGTCTGTGGCTGGCAAGCTTCGAAGGCCCTGCTTTCATCAACAGTTTTACTGTTACCTTTGAGCGCACTGGGTATGCGGCATGGGTCTCGCTGGATCCCCAGCTGCTTTCCAGATTCCATGTCACTACTCGTACCCCAGCCAATAAGTGGTTCTTTGAGGATGTCAGCATGCTCACCTTTAATCGCGATCAAACTGATGTGCACTGTATCCAGGTGCCAGTCGCCGGTCATGACAACCCTGTACTCGTGCTTTCTGCGGCAAACCTGGCCGGCCTGGCAAAGCGCCTGCACCAGTTCGGCCGGGGCAAGGCTTTCAACCAAGATTGGTACGGTTTGACGCCTACATATGATATTCATATCAAATATTCCAGTACTGTCGGCATCTCCTTCGTCAATCGCATGGCAATTGGCCAGTTCAATCCCTCTGCTTTCGCTTCCTCCTCCGATGTGCGTTGCCTCGAACGCCTGGCCGGTCTGGAAATCTGGACAGACACAAAGAAAGCAGACACTGCCTCCACAGACATTGTTCCAATTTTCTATGAAGAATGTACTGGCGCTGGCGGTGGTCTTGGAACCGGTGCGCTTTCCGTTGGTTATGAGGCTCGAAAACTTAATGTAGGGATGGTGACCCCTGTTGGCCTCCTCTTGCCGGATATTGGACCCTCTGGACCTGTACAAAGCGCCGTACTGTGTACCTATCATTCGCCAGTGGATAAGTACAATGCAATGGCCGAGATGTTGTGCGAGATGTGTGAGCTGGGCACTCAAGTGCTTATCATTGGAGATCAACCACGTGCTCTTGTGCACGCACTACTCGCCAGTGGACGGAATGTCATTAACGTCAGCCTGGAAAATGAGGAGATCAGTACTCCTACACAAGAATCCTGGGGGAAGTATGAGCAGATACGCGGCGAGGTCTTTTGTGATCCTGATTTCCGTGTTGTTTCGGACGATCAGGGACTTGTCGTCAAATTTGTGGGGAATTTTGCAGCGTACGTTGTCGATACCTCTTCACACACTGAGTCAAAGATTTCTTCGACTTCCAAGAATATTGTCATCGGACAAGCTCTGAAACGCAATAGCCCCGACGTGCCCGTGATCGTGCAGTTGCGAGATCAACCAACGATTGAGGTTTCTCTTGCTATCCTTGACCTTCCAGGTTATAGCAATCAAGGGTGTGATAGTTACGGAGTGCTGCTCGAAGACAATGCAACGAACTTTGGTGCCAGCCCCAACGACTGGCAGCACTTTTGCTGGCTCCGTATTCACGCTGGCAACAATTCGGGAAGTCGAGAGCTTAAAGTGAACGATCAATGCTACTTTCAGCTGTCCGCCCAGAGTCAACTCGGACGCAATCTGATGTCGCCCTTCTTCAAGACATGCCAGAATGACTTTCCCGAGAGCGCATTCAAACCGGGTCGCCACCGTCGCATGTTCTCTGTCCGTGGCACCCCTGGTGACGTGTATCAAAGCCATTTGGCTTCTTGGGACCATATCATCGTGACTCGTGCGTTCATGCTTGCTATTCACAGCTCCATCTCAGGTCCAGAATGCGGCCTCAGCGAGCCTAAGAACCCGGTCGAAGTGCTAGCACATTTGGAGCACAACTTGGGTGACTATCAATCTTCGAGGAACATCATCAATTCTTGCTTTGAAATTACCGACGTACGCCAATTCACGGGCACCAACCCAATACTCTTTAACCGGCACCCTTCGATCCGCCACCTTGTCAGCGCGCGTTACGATGCGCTTGCTCGCATGTGTACCTTCGAGACCATGGAGGCTCCTCCCGAAGTCAAAGCCCTATTCCACCAACCAGCATCTGGTGTACTCTTGCGAGGCTTATCGGAAATTTGCAAGCCTAGCAATGGCTGGCGCGGACTGATTCTTGCCAAATACAAACGGGTTCTACCATATGAGTTTATGTCTGTACTAGCTTACCAGCCTTTCTACTTATGCATGTATCACTATCTGTTCGCATGCATGCATGGACTCCAGAAGCCCCTACCCACGTGGGAGCTACAATACAACCTTTGGACCCTCAGTATGAACGGCACCAATGAAGAGCGGTTCTCCTTCATGGCTCTGAAGCTGCGCACGGCAATCTTCCCGCGTTCCACCACTGGACGTGTACATGGCCTCCCGTGCGAAAATAACGGCGCACTGGAGTTCTTTGGCGTTAATTTGCGGGACCTGGGAGTCAAGGATCAGTACGACCTGGCTGATCCTGAGTATGCGCGAGCCTGTGCCGAAATATTCCACCTTACTCGTGACCCAAATGACATGAAGGATGAGGACATGGCCGATACACCGCGTACTCCAAATCGTCCTTTGAAGGCCTCGGTGTCATCGAGCCCGACGGTGTACAAAATGTCTCCTAAATCGCCTCGCGGTCTATCGGAATCTATGCACACAAACAACAATTACTGAGTTCACTTTGTTTTCGAACGATCTATCAAACGCGTCAAGAACGACCAAAAATGCAAAACATACAAAATGTCACTGGTGGCCCTGAAATTCCTGCGATATCATGAATACTCAGATATAAACAGCGTACATAGGATCAAAAGCCCCGTCTGCAGGCCCTAATCCTGCCGACTTCCCCGCTAGCTGCCGGATATGAGCAAGTAGATAAACCTAGGGCAGAGCGACTAGGTCAAAGGTGCTTATGAGCCCCTTACTCCCAGGGTACCCCAGACCTGACAGATATGGCCTGCCATGCATGTTCTTAGCGAAATAGCGATGTTGAGACACGAAGTTCTTGGAATGGACGTCGTGAGCTCTAGATTCCCACCTGGGCGTGGGCTGCCATGCAAAATAATGATATATACATCCCTGCTTTGCATCGATAGACTTTCTAGTTATCTCTCCAAGGATAGTTGCTTCCAAGGTTACTGTGTCCTCTAACCACAGTTCAGTCAATCATGCCCGAGTGGTTCCCATCCTCCAACGACCCATGAATCACTGCATTCCACTCCGGCAGATAAGGTACCCCAGACATCGAAAAGTCTAAGGATGAAAAGAAGGTTTGATCCGAACCAGGAATGAGATCCTGCCCAAAAGCCATTCCATCATCCGACAAAGTCGATGTAACAGCCTCACATCCGGGCTGAGGCTCGATCTCTCCAAGGCCCCGAAATTTGTCTTGGGTAGTAACAGAATCAGTGGACCTCAGAGCTGTGTCTGTGAATAATTGGGCGTTCCTTGCCGCTAGGGCTTGATGTCGGAGCAGTACAAGACACTTCCAAATACTACCATGTCCGTCTTCGCGGACAGAAAGCTTATTGAAACCGAGTTCTCGAGGGAAAGCTTCCTCGACCAAAGCCCAGGCACGGTCTGTGCTGGGTCCACATGGACTATTGCTCAGACAACGCAGAACATAGGCTAGAGCATACCACGGGGTATAGGTGGTGAAGAGCCACTTGTGTCCTTGGGAGAGACCTCCCTTTGTCACGCGAATGCTACTCTCCAGACCATCGCATGCAAGCTTGAATGATGGCCTCAGCACATCAGGATAATCATGTGTTCCATCTCTGTTCTGGCTATCAATCTCCTCTCTGAGTTGAAGCATGAACTCCATCTTCTTGCGAGCTGTAGTGAAATGCTGCATTGCAATCAATGGAAGTTGGTCGGTGGTTGCAGAAATGGCATATTTGGACGATACATAACGGGTACGCTCTTCAATTATCTGTCTCTTCGCAGTCAGATCTGATGGCGCGGTTGAGGTGGAATTTTCACGAGTGCCGAGGACTGGGTTCAACAACCGACAGGACTCAGTCTGGATAAGAGAGAAGGACATCTCTGTCCAGCCGAGAGACTCCACCGGTAGTTGTTTCATGTTCGGAAATAGTTGGTTATCATCCACATTGAGAGGGAGACGCAATCCACAGTTGAGAACGTCGATGGTGAGCTCGAATCCTTGATCTTCCGGTGCTCGGGAATCCAGTACACACAGATGCCACCAAAGACGCAGGCGTATCTCTGAGTCGAATGGACTTAGGTGGAGAGAGGCACCATCTCGATGCAGACCTATTGACTGGGCTAGTCTGATTGTGAGACCGTTTAGAACCCATGCACCGCGACCTGTCTCATGAACCCGTAGACATGTCTAGATGGATTTTGTTAGGACTTGTTGTCTTGACGTTCCCGAGTTACCTACTGTATAAATTGCAAGGGCTTGTAAAGCTGTAATGTCGGGTCGATTCATCACCTCTGTCACGAGGAGAAGTTGATCAAGCGCGGCCTTGTAGTGCTTGAGAAGTATTGATCTCTCCACGGGAAGTTCAATTGGCTCATCGCAATGTCCCAGTGTTGTGACCGCAGCAAAATATATTGCAAAAGTCAAAGCAACCATCGACAAGTTGGCAGACTTAGGGTCCAGAATTGTAGCTATGACGGCGGACTGGATTGTCGGTATATGTAGAATCTTGAGGACTGGATCAACAGACTTGACATAAAGTGCCCAAAGCTGAAGAGCTAGGTGGGAATCCGGATAGAATTCAAGCACATTAGAAGAGACTATTGAGCAGGGGTCCTGCGATGATGAAGCTTGTTCACCGACGCATCTCTGCTGCTGTGGCGTAGTTGCAGGATTTGAGACGCTCTGGGTTTTGATACGCTCTTCCTGGTTGTCACTTTAGCATAGCACCTGATCGAAGCTGTTTCATACTCACAGTCTGGAGTAGGTCCTTCAAGTTTGAATTATTAACATATTGCACATTATTTCCATCGTTTAACAAAAGCTCCCACGTCTCTCGTTGACCCGATGGGAAATTTGGCGCATGCTGGACTTGATGCTCGGCACTAGAGGTTGCGGACCCACGAGGATCGACAAGACGCGAGAGAAGAGTTTCCAATCTTTCGAGGCGATCAGATATACGTTGCAATGTTGGACTCTTCTGCTCGTCGTGATTTTTGGTGGGATAGATGCAGGCACAATTGCATTTGGAACAATTCGTGCATGGCACTGCTCGGTCACAACGGACCTTGCGCCGATGACACGCTAGGCATGAGCGTGCGGCTAACTTGGGAGATGAGTTACTATTCTCTTTAACTGCAGGCTTCTGCACTCTCATGATAAAGGAGATTTGTGTATGAGCTTGGATCTGGGTGGTCAAGGAGGTCTACTGGAGGTTGCGGAGTCTCGGCGCCGAGAGTCCGAGACTGCTCAGATGGTCCCATTCGGCGCGGAAAGATCCATGGATCGTGGGTCCCGGACATTTGGCGCCCGAGTCTCCATCAACTTTGTAGTGTGGGGGAACATCCGATGTTATTTCAATACTGATGTGCTCTGGTAGCTCTCCTTTCCCCAACCTCAGCCACAATGCTTGAGGCGAGCGACAATCGGCGCTTTCGGTCTCACCTCCGACCTTTGCTAGGGTAACCAGGGGGCAGCCAATTGTTCTCGGAGAAATCGCATCGCATCGCCGCTCGACAAGGCAACATGAGAGCCATGCTTTCCATCATAAATTGGTCTTAAGACTGAAGCTAAGGTGCAATAGATACAGGAGCGAAGATGAACGGTAAATCTCACCATGAAGAGGGTAATCCACAAGGTTCCCCCAGCCGAAAAATAGCTCGGAGGAATTTCGAGAGGGTGGCTATGGTTGGGTCTGTGTTGCTTGTACTTTTTTCATGAACGCGCACACATGGGGCATCAATGCTGTGAGACAAGAGCGTCCCTTGTGCTTCCTTCGATAAACATGGCTAACGGCTCGGCGATTCTCCAGGCTTACGGGGTGTTCCTTGCATATTACCTTTCGTCGGACCTTTTCCCTGGTACATCAGCTCTCGAGTATGCCTTCGTGGGAGGGTTGAGCATTTCTTGTGCCATGCTCATTGCACCCCTCGCCACCTATCTCTGCCACAGGGTATCTCATCGATTCGTCTTGAATCTCGGAACCATCCTGGAAGCGGTCTCGTTGATAACGTCGTCCTTTGTGGAGGCCAATTGGCAGCTCTTCCTGTCCCAAGGCGCATGTTTCGGGTTTGGCATGGGCCTTTGTTTCTGTGGGTCTGTTGGCATCACTTCACATTGGTTCAAGAAACGGCGAAGTTTGGTTAATGGCATTGCTTCATCTGGCTCTGGAATAGGCGGGCTGGTTTATTCCCTCGCAGTTGGGAAGATGATTCCAGAACTCGGCTTTCCGTGGGCGATGCGCATACTGGCGATCCTGTGTTTCGTTATAAACCTGATCTGTTCCAACCTCCTTCGGATACCCTCATACTCCGCCTCGCTGAAAGGATCACCGTTTCGAGTATCCATCATATGGAGATTGGATTATCTCTTATTGCTAGGTTGGGCGATTTTGAGTGCCCTAGGATATGTCGTCCTGCTGTTCAGTTTGCCCAGCTTCTCAGTTGCAATTGGACTCACTCAACAACAAGGTAGCTTAGCAAGCGCACTCCTCAATCTCGGTCAGGCAATTGGACGTCCGGCCGTCGGCCTACTGAGTGATCATTTTGGGCGAATCAATGTTGCCCTCATTGCCTCTCTTCTGACAGGCCTTCTGTCATTGGTGTTTTGGATCTTCGTCGACTCTCTTGGTTTGACATATTTCTTTTCAATAGCCGTGGGGCTATTTGCTGGGACCCTTCTAGCTGCTGCCGCACCACTCGCAGCCGAAGTTGTAGGTCTGCAGGATCTCGGCACTGGACTGGGGATTCTGTGGTTCACACTTTGTCCGCCCACGACGGTCGCTGAAGCCATTGCGCTGCAATTGAGAGATGATTCGCAGGAGCCCAAGCCCTATCTCCGAGTGCAGCTTTTTGTTGGATTTATGTATCTGGGATCTGCTGTTTGCTTGGGCTTTTTGATGCTCGAACTCCGGAGGAAACGAGCTCTTGCCGCCAGTTCAGCCTGAGCCAGGTCCAGGATATTGTCCATTCACCTTCCGATTCAATAGACATTATTTCTAGACATAGCCATGAGATGCTTCTGTGTATTCATGAAATCGATTCTCGGATCTCTTGGTACCATTCACGACACAGAGGTGAACGACTCATGCAGTACTTTGGACCTGACCCGCACCGTCAGCTGGGTCCTGTGGGCCGAGTTGAAATCCCACCCCACCCATACGCAACAAAAGCTTTGTGTACTCCGTAAGGAGGAGTAGTATGCTCAATATTGCGGTCCATGGTGGATCGATCACGGGAGGTGAGATCGTGGATGGTTTGAAGCCCGTTTCAAATGTGGCTAAGTGGGGGGATGCGAAAAGAGGCTTTCCACCTGGGCATAACCTGCGGATGACTCATGGGCTTTCGTTGGAGCCATCTGGGGAGAATGACGCATTGGGTATCACAGAGGATCCGGAGTATGATTGGACTTGTTGGTTGGGATTGGATCACTCCACAACAAGGCCGCCCGTAGTAAACAATTGTTTCCACGCCGCGACAATAAATCTTGAACAGAGTTCCAGGCCCTGGACGGAGTTGACCAGACAGAGGTGCCCGGTCTCTCAGGCATAACTGCATAGATCATCAATTATTCCATGCGAATGCTGCGATTTACCTTCATGCACCTGGGACTTCCTTGCCGTCGGATCGTCAGGGCTTCCGGGCGATTGGGCAGTTGATTGTTGGGCTGGGGTTAGTAGGACCATGCTTGTTTCGCCCATTTCTCGCTTTGTGCTGGCAATGGCTGCCCAATTCCCACCATGGGATTGTCTTACATCCAAGGGAGCTCCGTACTTGGAATGGCGGTGTTGATCGTGGAAACGTCGCTGGTGGGGAATCCAAGCCCCAAACCCGCGCTGATCGTTAACTGCAGGGGAGTGTTATTCGAGGTAAATTACCCGCTGGGCCAATCAGAATGGACGAGGGTAGATTTTAATTTGAAACCCCAGCCCCCGGAGGTGAGGAAAGTTGAAAGTCGGTCTCGAAGAGAAAAGCGGGTGGTTGGGTAGAGTGGCTGGGGATGGGAAAATGGACTAGAACAACCACCACATGTTTTCTTTCTTTTCTCTTCTTCCATTCTCTCTTGCATTCCGAAAATTCGAGATCAATCATTCCTCGAGAGTTTAATCCGTACCACAGGCATTGTTCGCAATCAGATGAGACACTGCTGAAGATATACTTCCACTTGGATTCCCTCTCGATCTCGTCGCCAACGGCCTGAGCGCTGTGTATTCCGCTCACCATGCGGTCTTCGTCTGCGCTGTCCGTCTTGTCGACACTGACTTTACTACTCAATTGCTCATTGACCGCCGCAACCCCGCTCGCGCTAGAGCCAAACACACTCAACAGCACCATCGAAAAGCGTTGTGCGAATCCCTGCGGCTACAACGACTGGCTGTGCTGCTCATCGGGCCAGACATGCTCTACCAACAGTGCCAATGAAGCCGTGTGCTCTGATAGCGGTGGCAGCAGCGGAGAGTACCAGTACTTCACCACTATTTACACGCTGACCGAAACCGATCTCTCGACAATTACATCCGTGTGGAGTAGTCAACTTGCCGCAGCGACAAGCACAGGAACCTGCAGAGCCGACATTGGTGAAACAAAATGCGGGACTCGCTGTTGCGAGGCGGCGCAAGAGTGCCAGGACGGTGAATGTGTGGCCGAAAGCTCATCTGTAGCCATCACAGCCGCGGGAACTGATGCAGCGGCCACGCCGGGGGTGCGAGGAACGAGCAACGGGGCCAGCACGGTCACAGCGACCTCCGCCCCGACCACGACCGAAGGCTTCACGGCACCTGTCGGAACAGACGGTGCCGACCTGATCGGAGCCAAAGCCTCCGACAACAGCGGAGGACTCAGTGGTGGCGCGATTGCCGGAATCGTCATCGGCTCGATCGCCGGTGCATTCTTGCTGCTGATGATTTGCGCCTGTATATGCTGCAAGAGCGCACTCGATGGACTCTTTGCAGCTCTCGGTATTGGCAAACGTCGCCGACGAGACACGACCTATGTGGAGGAGCGCCATTCTCACCACTCTCACAGCCGCCCTCCTCCCCCTGCTGGACGGCGAACCTGGTTCGGAGCCAGACCAGCCGCCGAAGGCAGTGATGTCAGTGAAAAGAAAAGCAGCAGCTGGGGCAAACTGGCCATCCTGTTCGGTGCTCTGGCCATTTGCCTGGGCTTGAAGAGACACCATGATAAGGAGCATGACGACAGCAAGACCGAGTCCTCGTACCCTAGCTCCTATTATTACTATTCCGACTACTATTCCGGAACTGGCAGTATGTTCACCTCCACTCCTCATTCCTTGTTTGTTATTGATACTAACATTCTCCCAGGCAGCCGAAGTTCTGACCGACGTACTCGGGACACACGACGATCCCGACAATCGCGCGCTCGATCGAGCCGGCGATGATTCCTCACTTTTGACTTTCATCTATGACTTTTGACCTTTTCGGTAGCATTTACGGCGCTTCTCTACATGATTGATGTATCACTATGACTTACACATGACCTTTTTGATGTTGATGTACATATGGATTTACGAGTACAAACTTGACATGATAATACGAATTCATTGTTCACGATACTGGGTACCCTGTAGCTTGTACGATGAAATACAGCCCACCTCTCTGACTGTTGATTTGACTGAATAAGGTGATTACAATAGTTCTGATATTGAGCATGAACTGTATAGTAATTGGGTACTTTTTCAGTCAGCGGGCAGCGGCATGAACAAGCCATTACATCTTGCAGCCAACAATGTATTCTGCCTCTGCAGGGGGTAAACCCAAATGTCATTAATCTGATCTCCAGATAGAATATTCAGCTATGTTCTGTATTTTCAGTCAAATTCACCAGACTCCGAGAGTAGATCGGCAGAGGTGCACGTACCCAAAAGCGAAGTGAAGTTCCCCCGGCCACACAAAGGCGTAACGGCACCTCCCCGCCTTCACTGCCGAACTTCTCTCTTCTCACCCTCTCCGCTTCCAACATCAATGAGTCTAGTCTCGGGATTAAACTCCTGACCCTACCCTATTTTTTCCCTCTATACTTCAGTCGTGTGCCGGTTCACCCTCTGATCGGAGTATTACGAGTTCGCCCACCATGCTCCAAGCGCCGAGCCAACACGTCTTCTCTCACCAACACCAATACCCCCAGGCCGATCCCTCCTGGCTGCAGCATCAGCAGCACCACCAGGCTCAGCCACACCACCAGTCGCAACAGCAGCACGCTTCCCTGGTTGCTCAACAGCATGCTCAGGTGCAAGCCGCGGCTGCCGCGGCCCAGCAACAACACTATGGCCGCATTGCGATGAGTGGTAATGGCGCCGGGAATCCCGCGCAGGGAAACGGTGGCGCTGCTGGCATGGGAGGAGACGGGATGGCGAACGGAGTCAACGTCATGGATGGAGGCATCAGCGAAGAGAATCGCAAGGTCTTCATCTGGGTCGCAGAACTCTTGGATCCCGCTCGCCGGGAAACCGCCTTGATGGAACTGAGCAAGAAACGGGAACAGGTTCCTGAATTAGCACTGGTCATTTGGCACTCTTTCGGTATGGCGAACACTCCCAGTCCCTCAGTTGCCCCAACGTGCGCCCAGCCCTTGGGCCGAAGCTAACTCGGCAACTTGCAGGTGTCATGACCGCGCTCCTCCAGGAAATCATCTCGGTTTACCCGCTGTTGAACCCCTCTCAACTGACTGCCGCCGCTTCAAATCGAGTCTGCAATGCGCTGGCGCTTTTGCAATGCGTCGCATCTCACAATGAGACCCGTACCCTGTTCTTGAACGGTAAGCGACATTTCAGGTGCACATCGCACAAATTTCGTTGCTAATGGCTTTCGCTCAGCTCACATCCCTCTTTTCCTCTACCCTTTCCTCAATACCACATCCAAGTCTCGCCCCTTCGAGTACCTCCGTCTGACGTCGCTGGGTGTGATCGGCGCCCTGGTGAAGAATGATTCTTCCGATGTGATCAACTTCCTCCTGACCACCGAGATCATCCCTCTCTGTCTTCGGATCATGGAAACCGGATCTGAGCTTAGCAAGACCGTTGCCATTTTCATTGTACAGAAGATTCTGCTTGACGATATTGGCTTGGGCTACATTTGTGCGACATACGAGAGATTTTATGCGGTGGGCACTGTTCTCAGCAACATGGTCACCCAGCTGGTAGAGCAACAGACTGTCCGCCTACTTAAGCATGTTGTGCGCTGCTTCCTTCGGTGAGTGTCCTCGAACATCCCCCTCTCTCATCTGATCATTTCTAACAGCCAGTGCAGACTTAGTGACAACAGCCGGGCCCGCGAGGCCTTAAGACAATGTCTCCCCGAACCTCTCCGGGATGCCACGTTCTCCTCGGTCCTCCGCGACGACGCAGCCACCAAGCGCTGTCTGGCTCAGCTCCTCATCAACTTATCCGACACTGTCTCGGACGGGGCTCCGGCAGCCATGTAACATATGAAAAGCATCTGTTTCTTCCGACATATTCCACCTTATGAAATGCATGGGAAAGGGCTTCTGGCGATTAACGGTCACAAGGCGCAAAATTGAGGTTGAAGAATTGGATCTAGCGTGTGAGGTATGTCGTCGATTGAGGGCATCAGGGTCCATCCGTTTTCTCTTCATTCCTGGTTGTTTCTCTCCTTCCGCAAGGATACTGGCTTTGGGGTTTCGATCTGCGGGGGGTTTAATGTATTCTTGTGTCTTTTTCTTTTTCTCTTTCTTTCTTTCTTCCTTCCTCTTCTTACTTTTTTCTTTTCCTTTTCTATCTGCTTGGCTTTGCATCTTGTTTGGGAAATATGTTCTGTTCTGCTCGTGATTTCTTTCTGACGGGGTAGCACTATGCTGCTATCAGTCGGGTGGCGTGAATTCTGGTCGGCGCTGTCGTCTCTGTGCATTTTTATTTCTTTGACGCCCAAACTGCTCTGTGAAATAGACCCTATGAGCAAGAGATATCCAAAGATTCGTCTGTTTTTTTGTGGCTTTTTCACTGTGTATATGTGCATCTTATTCAAAAGCATTCCAATCAATCTGATTATTCACAGTGTAATGGGATTGTCCGTCAAAGCAAAGACTAGTGAAGATCTATAGATCGGTCGATCTCACTGGATCCCCTTTTGGTGAAATTGTCTCACGTGACTTGGTTCGTGACGCGCCTGGATTCATCCGCATCGCCTCACGACACGAGAAAAAAAAAAGATCACCCAACCATACCGATCTACTTTTCATTTGCGCCTCATTTGCTATCCTCCCTGTCTTGAGAGTTACATTTGCTGTGGCTTTCATACACATTCGAAGCCAACCTCCGTTAAACGCCCCCAGAACACCGGCCTTGACGGCTGTCCCGCCGCGATGGGATCGCGAAAGCGCACCCGTTCTGAGGCCATTCCGGTGGCAGAGCAAGATGCCCCCGAACAGCCTGAACTGTTACCCAAGCTGCGAAGCTCGTGGGAATTTGCAAGTCTCATGCAGTACATTGCCATTTTTGGACAAGTCATGAAGATTGACGAGGACTTTGGAATCGAGGTATGTTCCCTCGCTGCCATGAGATGAGATCAATGTTGCGCGCTGTGTCGCATTGTGCATGACTCTGCTCACCCTTTTTCTCTAATGTGAACCCGCGCTGACAACCTGTCTTCTCTGATTCCAGGACCTAGAAGCTGAATGTCTCAAGCCTGAACCCTCAGAGAAGCTATTGGAGATCGGATTGTGTCTCCTGAAATGGATCTCCTCGCATCGCGGTCTGACGTATGTACACCGCTGTGCTTTGCTTGGTATATCGGACAAACGGACTGACTTTACGGTACTAGGTTCGCTAATTTCGACGAGTACACCCGCCGCCAGTACAATGCGAAGGCGCCCAACAAACCCAATCCCTTCGGATACGATGAGGAACCGAACAAATTTCTGGAATTCGATGTTTTCACCAAGATCAGTGTCCTCCAGCAGCTGACGGTGTGGACTTTCTGGAACGCGGACCGCATTCGCGACAAGATGCCCGAGAAGAAGGAATCCGAACAACTCGAATGGGTAAGATTGCGCCAATATGATCCCACTCTTGAGCATGATAAGCTGACTTTGACCAGCGGATTGAAGAATTTGGCTGGGATCGCGAGGGTCGTTCTTACTACGTGCTAGATGACAACCGTCTGTACCGTCGGACCGATCGCCCTCTCCCTCCTGCGCCCCAACGGCCGAAGAAGAAGGCGAAGAGCCGATCCTCGCGCGCCTCGCGGACCTCGAAGCGCGTCTCCGCAGCAGCCGCGGAAGAGGGTTCCGACGATGAGAGCAAGAACACTAACGATACAAACGACTGGACACTCAATTCCGACGACCTCTTCAAATGGGAGTGCGTCGCTGTGACCCTTGAAGAATATCAGGCGTTCCTGGAGCCGCTTCAGAAGACCAAGGATGCGGACGAGAAAAATCTTCGCGACAGCATAGTTGAGCACATTCTGCCCATACTCGAGAAGGCGGAGGAAGCGTTGCTGCGAAAACGCCAGAAACGAGACAAGGAGATGTTGAATCTACAGCTCGTTGCTGGAGCCAAGCGGTCGAGCCGACTCGCTGCCAAGGATGAGAAGGAGCGACAGGAGCGAGAGGCTGCTGAAGCCATTCGCAAACACGAGGCTGATCTAGCCGAGGCCCGCAAGGAGCAAGCCAGACAAAGCCAACATGAGGAAGATCGACAGTCACGAATGATGACTCGTGAGCAGCGAATCAGGGATCGTGAACAGAAGCGCCTGCTGCACGAGGCCGAGTTGGAGCGACTGGCCGAGGAGCAAGAAAGGCTCAATAACGGCGAAAGCAGGGCCTCCGCCCGAAACCTCAAGTCTGAGATGGAGAAGTCCCAAAGGAATCTAGCTGAGCTCGCTCCGGATGATCAATGGATCTTTGACTGCTCTGGGTGCGGAGTGCATGGCGAGAACTTGGTGAGTTTCGATTTCCGGCCGCTAGTAACCACATACTAACTATTCTACTAGGATGACGGAAGTCACAGTATTGCATGCGAGAAATGCAACGTGTGGCAACATAGCAAGTGTCTTGGTGTCTCCCAGCAAGCGGCCGAAGAGGAGGACTTCCATTTCGTGTGTCGCGAGTGCAAGCAAAAACAGGAACAGGCCAACAGGCCCAAGATCCCCCCTTTGAAGTTCCGGGTCAGCGCTTCGGCGTCTCCTTCAGCTGGTCCGGTCGACAAGAAGCGGAAATTGGAAGACGATGGAGATCTGGCCCCTCCCTCCCCAGTGAAGAAGTCACACGCCGCTCTTTCCAATGTTCAGAATGAACAACCAAGGTCGCAGTTTGACCTTCAGCCCACTGTTGGCCAAGGCAATTTCTATCCCCCTCCCTCGCCCCAGCGTCGGGCTCATTATGCCGATCGAGACACATTACCATCCTCAAGTCCGCCTCGCCCACCGTTCTCCCCTCCCAAGGGCATGAATGGCTTGCTTCATTCCACTATGGAGCAACACCCACGACCTCCTTCCGCACAGCACCATCTGCCGTCCATGCAACCGGCTCCTCACCTTCCTCCCGTTGGCTCGTACCAGTCTGTACGGCCGTCCTCCTCTCACTCCAACCAGAGTCCGGTGCAGAACCAGCCCTCAATGTCTCCGACTCAGGGAAACCCCGACGTTGGTCTACTTGCAGGCTTCCCTCACGCTGCCCCTAGCCAGGCACCATCTCCATGGGGTTCTTTCGAAACTCCTCGCCCGCAGTCCGGCCATGCAGCCACACCAGCAATGTCTAGCGGCTACCCGTCATTCTCTGCTGCGACGCCCAACGGCCACCACTCGTCGCCCCCTCAAAGCTCACATGGTATGGGAATGTCCGGGATCAGCCCGACCAAACAGTCACCCCGTCCCCCGACTGCCAGCGGCATGGCCGGTGCGCCTGTCCTCCCTCCCATTCGCCGCCTAGAGCCCAGCCCGAAACTCATGGGCCGGAGCTCTCCCGATGCCCCTATCATCCCGGTCAAGTGCATGACGCCCGAACAAGAGGAGCGCCGGCAACGTGAGAACGCATCCATGCTCCACCAGGCACACCATTACCAGGGCAATGGCCAGCATCCAATGTCATCGCCATCCCTGAACCGCATCCCTCCTTTGGGTTCCGGGACCACATCCCAATACCCTGACCCTGTCCCATCGCCCCAGCGTGGAAGCAATGGCCAGAACTAATCCTGTAACACCATGCTCTGAACGGCTTAATCCTTTTGTCGGCATTTTCTCTTTTATTTTTACCCCAGTCTTTGGAACATGCGCAGATTCACGTATCGATTTGGACACCACTCTCCACCGACCTACGAGCCAAATTGAAGCATTGTGCATTTCAAAAAGCAAATGTGACATGTATCATTGAATCACTTTTGACGTCTCTTTAAACTTCTTCACTAAAAGGGGTTGGGTGGGCGCAAATGAGAAGCAGCCGGAGTTGTTTATCCCCAATACCGGAGTCCTTTTCCCCAACAACGACACCTCATCCACCCAACCCTAAAAACATGAAAAAAAACAATAACTATGATGGTCTGGGTACTTGGATTGAGTCTCTCATTTCTTCAAAAGCTCTTCGTTCTTCCCCTGTGGTTTGTTCTGCTCCGTTGATGTACCATTCTCATATCGAGTCTTCACCGTCGTTGGTCCGGTCTATGAATCATCTTTCATTCTGTTGGGCTTTTGACGGTTGGCGTTTTCTGTTTGCATGTTTTTCCTTTTCTTTTGTTTCTTGTTTCACAATGCATCAAGATGGATGGGATGTTGAGCGGCGTTTCAAGACGGTCTTGCCTTAGGGCACCGGGTGTTTTAGTGACTAGGATATGTATTCTAAAGACAATAACAGTTGTTTCAATAGCGAATTGTCTGTTCATTTGTATTGTACCTAGGTATTCTAGACTAAGCAATGTCTTCCAAGGTTGTCCTCAAGGTTGCCCAGGTGGAGGCGTGGAATGACCTTGGAAGTCTACAGGACATGGATATATTTTCGATACACAGCAGGTCAAGTCTATAGGTAATTGATAGCCAACACTTTTGAATTAAGTGTCAAGCAATATAAATTATGCGCTGTACATACTACCTGATAACCCCCCAGGGCAGCCCTGGAGGGATGCAAACCCACGCCGTATCGCCTGGACCAGCGCCTACTTGCCCTACCTCGCACCGAACATCTACGAAAAGTCGGTGGTCAACACATCGTCCACCTGGGCAGCCCTGGAGCCAGCCACAATGCAAACCGACAGGATAGGGCGATCGACACATATCCCTACCAAAACTAGCCAACAAACGCATTGCCCGACGCAGTCCTGCCCAGCCAACCGCCAACAACTCGTGTTATCACGCTTAGCTGCATGACAGCGTGAACCCATCGGCACAAAGCCGTTCACGGCTCAATCATATTATGCCATTGCTTTATTAATTGTCTCACTCATCTATTATCTATTGCAATTACCAAGCATGAGGAGGTGAAAAGTCTCAAAATACAGCAGGCAGCAAAATCAGCGAAGAAAAAAAAATAAAAAAACATCAGAAAAAACAAAACAAAACAAAACTAAGACAGCCCCATCTCGCAGCTACACTAACTCCGAGCGGGAAAATTGCAATGTGAAAATGGGAAAGCTTTACGAGTAGGAGTTCAGTCAAGATACGCGATTCCCGAAATTAGATCCAAATCCCTAAACAGGGCCCCACGAACTGCCTAGAGGACGACCAGCGCGCTAAAAAGCCCACACAAAAGTACAGCAGCTAGCCAGGTCGGTCAGAACTGACGTGTGGCACAGTCAACTTACATACAGGCGGCCGCTGGGGGCTCATTGGGTGCGATCGATGTAGATCACGCACTAACCTGCACAACGGTAGTTGCAGCTGCATCTACCCCCCATCTGACGGTAATTTCTTCCACTGAATCAGGACCCAGGTGATTGATCAATGCTCTCAGTACATCTCCGTAATCCGTACTATGGACAGAATATGTGCAGGGGGGGTACACGGGACCGGGGAGGTGCGGCTTATATCAAGCGATATGTGAATTTGAGGCTGTAGGTTGTATACTATGTGACCAACATAGGAGATTCAGAGCTAGATACACTAAGGCTATGCCCAGGTGCTCACTAGCTATGCTCAATACGATGCTCCAGTAATTCCAAGCTTAATTTCAATACAATTTCAGAGGCAAATTCTGTCTTCCGGATCTGTCCTTCTCCACTTCTCTCCCGTTTGGGGGCGTTTTTTGGGCTTAAGCTGTCCGAAAGTAAAGCCCACGGGGCAAGAGAGCATACTACGTAATATAAACTTGTCCACATGTGCTCATGTCCAGATTTGCCCTTCCTATGAAGCTCTTCGTAATTGCATATTGGAAGTATGTGAATATTAGGGTAGAGTTTGAGCTTAAAGCTCCACAACCAATGAAAAAAGGATATCAAACGAGAAAAGGGCAATACGAGAACCAATAAAAGTCAAAAAAAAAGAGAGAAAAGGGCCAAACTCCTAAACTCCCTAACCGGTTCAGGTTAAAATCTCAATCTCCGAATAGCATCTCCCTAACTCCATGGGGGAATCGACCGATCTCCAGAGTTTTGGAATCTGAGCTTTCGTCTCCACCATATGCATCTCATTATAGTCTGATATAGTTAAAATGGATAAAAGGGATATAGCAGAGGGTAACTTGAAATTGTGGAGTTCCGGAACTTGGCCCGGCCACTCCCCTGCCGCGCTTCCGAGCTGATCATCTGCTACACGCATTTGGATGTGTCTTGACTTTCTTGGTCATAGAAGCGTCATGACTAGGATATAGTCTAGGAACAGAGAATAGCACATTAGAAAAGCGAAACAAGTACAGAGTAGCCAGGGCAGAGGGCAACGGCAGGCAAACGGACAAGTATTTGTCAACCGCGCCAATTTTTAGTCTCCAACACGGGAGGCTACAGCCGACTATTTCCCCACTAAATTAGTTTGATACGAAAAGGACAATTGCATTCGAAATCGTGCTCCTTTTTTTGTTTTGTTCCATCGGCTCCACTTTCGCTTGTGAGATCGTGTCCGGAGTACGGAGTATACGAAGTACAGAGCACAGTATATGCAGCACAGAGGCCAGATGGTGAACCCTGCTGTGATCTACATCATATCAGTCCCTGAGAGTGAAGTCTGTGCATTTGATACTCTGTATAGCCGTATAGAAAAGGAGGATGTGGCAACTAACCATTTAACCGTCCACTTAGATTAAAACAGCCCCAAGTTCGCATCCTCCGAACGGACGGAGAAGAACGGGATCTGTGGAAATGTGATTGTGATGAACCAGCCATCTACTGGTCCTAGCGTCTACACAGTTCCATACTAACCTTAGCTTGGGCGTGTATTGAGTGTAATCTCTCAGATCTGGACGGCGTCATTGCGTAACGGCCCACTAACGGTCGAGATCAGTGGAGCTGCGCACGGAGGACCTTATACTACACAATACTCCCTCACCCATACGGTAGTCGAGAAAGGCGTTGAAATGAGACGGGAGAGACGGGAGAATCACACGCTTCCTCCGAAACTTTGATCCCCACGATCTTCGGTTGGCCATCCGGATTTACCGTCATTGCTACCTGAGAGGAGAAGAACTTGTCTGCCTCGAGCCGAGCTATACGCCATACTCCGTACTTAGGGCAAGGGCTACACGGGATCGCCGAATCCCTGCTTGCTGAACAGGTGACCATTCGTCGATGTGAGGCTAGACCAGGGTGAAGGGGGGCTCGACCTGTCATGTTTTGAGGTCAATATCTCCGCACGATATGCCATTTTTTATTTTTTTATTTTTTTTCCAAAATTGCATTTATCGCGGTCACAACAAGGTGATTCCCCGCCCCTTGCCGTGACACTTGCCCTCCCATATTGTGATACTTGGGGTGCTTCGTACTGAATCGTGTTGGATGGTAGAACTTCGGCGAATAGTCGACTGGCGTCTAGACCGAGACACTCGGATCCGACTTCAGCGTCCGCCGTACGGAGTACCATTCGTTGGGATCTTACACTTACGGAGTACACTTGCAGATTTGGCGGATTTCGGGTTCTTACTCGTCTAGATTCCGTACACGTTCATGACAAGTTAGTTTTGCGACCCAAGACAGAGCTAGGTCTCATACCCGACCTCCCCATGTGAATCTGTGGCTTTTCTGGATATTTTTTCTCTTTCCCTCCCCCTGGTCTCTCTATCCTGTGTAGAAACCTGCAACAACCCTGATTTCGCGCATTAGTTCCACCGTGCGCTGCACATTATTTCCTATCCTGAGAAGCCGAAGGGGCAACGTCTATCACCAACATCATTGATATGAGGATCAGCAAGAGAAGGCGAAAAAGATCCCGGCACGAGGCGCCAAAAAAAAACAGGAGAAACGACAGGATGCAGTGACAGAAAAAGCAAAGAGGAGAAGGAAAAGTCCTAGCGCCAACAGCACGATGACTTTTCATTAACCGCAAGCAGTCGAGATTGCCGCCGGGTGCCCAATTAAAAAACAGGACCCGGATCTCCATACCGAAGTTATAATCCCTGCATTACCAGTACTTGTACGGAGTACTCCGTACAGTAGTCTTCGTGCGTTTTCTGGAAGCTCAAAGCGTTGAAGATCCTCGGGCCAGTTACTATTCAAGCTATGGACTATCTATTGTTGAGAATACCCCCCTTCCCCACCTATCGTCGGATTTTAGAGCTCGGCTTTTGTTCAGCCGTACGTGTTTGCTTGGCTTGAGTACTGAGTACCTTGCAATATCCCCTTCGGGACACTATCGCGTCACAACCCTAGTCACAGGAATATTAGCGTTGCCAAAGCTGCTATTGCGCAGGAGGCTCTGGCAATAGCGGTCTGACAGTTTTCCTGGCTAATAGGAAATATTAATCCGGATTTTGAGGCACGGGAGAAGTTTGTATCCATTCCCGAATAGTTGACACTATGCAGCGGTATTCGGAATGGCGATCTTCCGTTTACACAGCGGTTTTTGGTTCGTCCATTGCTCCGATCCCCTCCCCGTTGTCTGTCACTTATCCCTTGCCGCGAGGCCTGAACCCTAAAAATACTGGATGTGGACGAGGGGAGGATAACGGAGTTAAGTTGCTTTCTTGGGTTGACTACCTTCCTAGTTGTGAATAATCTTGTCCTAGACGCAAAGGTTTGTTCACACTGTACGGGTGGGCTGGGGGATGTCGTTGGGGAGTTGTAAAGGTCCGATTTAGTCAGGACGGCTGTTCGAAGTGAGAGTGATCCTTACACCGATCAAAACCGGATCAGCTTTCTTCAGCCGGGAGCCGAATGAACATGCCCTAGTCGATCATAGCATGGAAACAGTAATAGCTTTTATGTAATCCATGCCTTCAGCCGCATATCGTTAGAAATCAAACACCCTGGTGATCGAACACCCTGGTGTTGAGGCGCAGGACTCAACTGTCAAGGGGAATCAGTTACGGAGTACTTGTAGGGCACTTCGGGGACCGGGGACCTCCCAACCAAATGGGGAATTACAAGGTTGTTACTATTCTGGCTAGCTAGAAATAACCACCCTGGCACGTTCTTCTCCCCATGTTCATCGCCCCGGATGGCGTCTTCACACTTCGTACTTAGCATCAGTAGACTTCCAGGGACTTCATTCCTTTCTTTCTCTGTCGGGGACAAGAATAGAACCAGAACCACAATGACCTGAAACGAGGATGAGATTATCTTTAGAAAAAAAAACGGTCCATCAGGGGGTGAAAGAGAGTGATGAAACGACCGTTTAGCAGTGGCACGCAGGGCGCTGGCAAGGCGCATAGTCTTTCAGTCAGCCGACCCATTAGCGTTTGAAGCTTAACCTCTTTCGAGAGAAATCGGCCTTCCAGAAGGCTTGGAAGGATTGGAAGGAAAGGAGCGGGGTGATCCTTGCTGATCCTTGCCGTGCATCTGGTTCCTATCTTCCCATGGTCTGAGCACCCGTTGGGATCCTGTCATTATTGGCTTTCCCAGAACCGGCGCCATGATCTTCTCGACTGCCGAACGACAGGGCTGTAATGAACCTGTATTAACTTCTCCGAGTACTCGGCGGAGGTGAATTTACTCTCTTTTTTTTGGGTCGAGTTGGCTCGACATGGTTAGCATGCAGCTCCCGTCTTGGGAAGCGTCTGATTGCATACTCACCTGTAGCCACATGGCTTCTGGACTTGACAGTGGGAATCTATCGTCGAATCTATTCGTAATTACACTTTGACTACGCGATATATCACCAGAATTTGAAAATTTGAAGCAGTATCGTCCCTCCTCCGCGTCGGCGGAGGCCGTTAGGTTCTCCATCCCGACCCACAATTCACTCACTCTGGTATATGGAGGATCTGCAAATTACGGAGTTTGTGTGCTAACTCTGGCCCTCAGCCTCATTAAAACCTCGTGTTATTACCCAGGACCTAAAATAAGAGCACCGTACATAAAAGCAGTGAGATTTTTAAAAAAAGAAAAAGGATAAGCTCAAAGGACAGGCTTAACCCCAACCCCGGTCAGTCTGGCAAGCAGACAACCTCATGGCAATGGCAATACAGGGGACTTTCAAGATCCTGATGGCATCATTGGCCACAGAATCTGGCGCAGCACATGGCATCAACGCCCCTGGAGCAGGAGTGATCGATCATTGGGTAATTCTCGAGGATGGACAGGGTTCAGGGCTCAACAAAGAAAAAGGTATGCATGGCCAAGGATCCAACACCCACGAGGCAAAGGGATGAAAGGGAACACAGCATGGCTGGGACCTGCATATCGCCCTGGATTCCATGGGCCAGTGTCAGTCTAATGGGGACATTTGAAATACCTCCCCGACGCACCGCAGGGCTGTCTGTATTGTCTGTATTCTCGACATGGAAACAGCCACCAAACTTTGACCGATTAGAATTAAGATTCTGAAATAGAGAATCTCAAATAGAGAGTCTCAAAGCGGATGTGTAGACGCCATTTGGAAGTATAAGCTAAGCGCAAGACGCGAGAAATGCATTGGTTGGAAAGATGGACCGGGCAGAACGTGGAGTATGAACGTCATAAGACTCCACAACCAAAGCGGGAAGATCAGTCAGGAGAGCACAGTAGAATAACCAGAATAACTAGAACAACCAGAACAACCAACATGAATCGTCAAAAACCAACAGATCGGCATTGCCGGGAAGTCGAGCGAGAGAGCGAAATGCCAAGACTCCAATCGCACCAATCGGGGACCGCGCGCTTTCCGGACTCATCAACCACTCCTCCCGTGGCCAATCAGCGTTCAGGCGGCGCTCAGTAGCCCATGGAACGGTCATCTTAGACCTATCTCGGCTTCAACGTCAACTCTGTCGATCTCTTCTCCATTCGCGGTCCCTTCGAATTACACACTTTTGATCACTCTCCAAACCCACCCTATACTCCTTTGGGTAAAATGGGAAAAGGGCCAAACCGATCTCCCCGACATCTCACGATCTTAGACTCTTACCCTTTTCTGTGTGGCAATCCATGGTTGATCCTCTGGGCACTCTCCAGGGAGATCTGTTGGGAATAGACTCAACTTTGACTGAACCGTGGATGCCGATGAGGTAGTGTATCACGAGCTGATGGAGTTTCCATATGGCGTATGAAGGTGGAAGTATGAAATATGGTGTATGGAGAGTATAGAGATCAGAGCACAGAGAGACGGTGTAATTTTGGCCCGTTGGCGACATAGGCTTGGTAATCGCCGATGTCACGTCTAGCAGGCTTAGCCTGGGGGCTCTGCTTGGCATACTCCCTGAACTCCGTATGCTGGACATCTCTATATGGGAACGTGTCTAATGCCTTAACTTGAGTAGCCCGTTACTATTACAAATAGATCATAGAGTGTATACTCTTGGACACTGATACGGAATACCCTGGCTCTATACTCCGTATGCCTGTTCATGTTTGCTTTTTCCACATGGCCCTGAGATGTCGTTATATCGTGAGAAGGCAATCTTTTTTAAATTTAATTTTTGGTTTTTCTTTTTTCCCCCAAAAACGAAAAGGCAGACACCAATTCCGTAACCCGAATCCCGAGGTGCTATTCGGTGCTAACTGTAAGTATGCCTATGCACGCTAGGTTTGCACTATCCTCTGCCACGAACGTCTGGCACCTGCCCCACCCTATCCCTCTCTGGCTCATTAGTATCTGGCCTATGACAACCCCGGGCAATCGACTGAAAGTGCCCAGTTGGTATCGATACCAAAGTGTCGGTGGCCCAGCGGGCTAGATCCCCAGTCCCTTCTCTCCCAGTGCTATTCCGGGCATGGGAATGCAGTTTGCCAGAATTAGCACAAAGGTGAAGAAGTGTAGCAGATTATCTTGACTATGGGAAAAACTGGGGCATAGAGAGGGCGAGAACCAATAGCAAGGGGATGATCGGACGGGAGTCTGTGGACAAAGGATAATCTGCGACGAACGCCTCTGGGATTAGAGTAGGGGAGAGAAAGAACAGTATAAAAATACCATACGGGTGATCAACGTGAAAGATATGGGTTAATTCCACTGGGGGGAAATTCACTGGGAAAATCCCAAAAGGTCTATCTAGACAGCTTGATGTGGAAGAAAAGGTCCGAACTAAATGGGATATTAAAATAAAAAAGAGGAAATCTGGTAGGAAATAATAATATCAAAAATAAAATAATTTTTAAAAAAAAGAAAATCGAATTAAATCGAATTCCCCAAAATGTCCCCAAACGAATCAGAAAAAAAGGTAATATATTCGGTATTGTATTATATTGACTCAGTTTCAGCCTCTAGCTGTTTGCGTACTCTACTCGAAGGGATCTCTTATACTTCGTCTACTCTGCTCTGCTTCATGTTCTTATTTAGTTCGAGACCCGCCCCCCTCAACTTCCCTGATCTACATCTCTTTGACCTTCCAACTCTGACATCTTGAATACATTGAGATATAATCTTCAATTGTACTTCGTTTGAATACTTGACAGTTTGATGCACCTGTCTCACATCTCGCTGCGTGTTTGAAACCTCTTTCAGGGGACTGCAACTGCAGAGTAGGACAGTCCTCTTTATTCTACACCTTTTCCGCTTCTTTCCTTCTTCTGAAAGTCTTTCTCTTCTTTGGAATCTCCTCTTCCTCCTTCTCTCACCAGCCTGTATCAAGATTGCAACATCTTAGTCTCTGGACAATGACTTTCAAGAGGATTCCTCCTTCTCCCACTAATTCCTCTGACGGACACATCCATCAGTCCTTTGAAGACTCTGGAATTTACCAGAGTTACCCCATGATGTCTGAAGACCTGGGCCACCAGGCAATGGTATGTCCTTTCTTGTCCATCTTGGTGTCAAGGCCAGCAGGACTGACCTTTCTCTCTTCAGCACTATGGCTCTCCCCCGCAGTACTACCAGACTGCCAGTGGCTATACCAGCGTACCAACTCATGGGGTAAGCTTGATCTTTTTTATGCTCTTGTATTACATCTACTGACAACGATGCCATATAGATGATGATTGCGGATCCAGCCATGACACCTCCTCCAACTGGCGATGAAGGCTCGCCTTTCATGGGATCTCCCTCTATGAGCGCAATGGGATCTCCTCCCCAGCGTCTGCCAGCCTCTCGTGCTCGGGCAACCCCAACCCAAAGAGTCAAGAGAAAGCAAGTCCGTCGCCAGAAGACTGGCCGCAAGGACTCTGATATCGGATTCAAGCTGGAGGGTCCTCTCAGCCAGTTGACCGCAAGCTTTCACTCCACTCCCATTCGTGACATGGTCGAATGGGCACACCGTTCTGTTGAAGACCGCCTGGAGGAAGTCCGGAACAAGAACGGCAAGATCTGCCGTCCCATGAACGCTTACTTGCTATACCGGTCTGCCTACACTGCGCGGGCCAAGGTGCTTGTCGGCGCCAATAACCACCAGATCGTCTCCAAGGTGACTGGTTCCAGCTGGCACATGGAGCCTGAGGATATTCAGCGCAAGTACCAGGAGCTGGCCAGAATTGAGCGGGACAACCATGCGGCTGCCCATCCAGACTACAAGTTTGCTCCATTGAAGAACAATGCCGGCACTCGCCGCGACAGCGGCATGTCCGCCATTGTGCCCGCCCACCTCGCTGACGAGAGTGGAATGTCCGATATGGACAGTGAGTTCGGTGGTTCCACTGCCTCTACCAGATTGCTATACGGCAGCCACTCGCGCGCCAACAGCTTCAACAGCAACTACTATGATAACAGCAGGGACTCTTCACCCTTTGATGGCCCTGACTCTCTCATGATCCCCAACTATATCCATTCCCACTCCAACTCCCACTGGTCCACCACCAGCCACCCAATCGGTATGGCGGTGGTGCACCCCAGCGCTCTCCAAGGTCCCGTCTCCAAGGTGGAAGACGTCTCCTTCGGCCCCGTCAGTCCATCTCACGAGATCCACTACGACTCATCCCTCGCCGGCCTGCCCGGCGCTGCCCACCACGAGCTGCTACTACCCCAATCACAAATGGTTCACGGTCTCCCTCCCAGCGACATGGACCCCCGACTCCTCTCCCAATCCGGCGACGTCTCTGGAGAACCTACCATGACCACCTACGCCTCCCCCTCCCCTTACCCAGCATGGGATGAGTCCGCCCAAGCTTACCTCCCCTCCACCTCGGGCTCGTCCATGACCCCTAGCCCCGCCCCATACCCACACCCCGGTATGGAATCCGCCTACCTGCCCAGTATGCACAGCATAGAGACACGGGAGCAGGCGCAGGCTTGGGAGATGGCTCGCCAGGGAGGCATTCCCGAGCCAGCCCATGCTGAATACGATATGTGGTGCCACACCGAGCCTTCGCAGTACTAGGTCTCGGTCGTGCACCACGCGCACATCTATGTTTGAATACATGTTTGAATACGGGCTGATTGATATTTTTTGCAATTGGTGGCGCCTTTGATACCGATGCAGAAGTTGATTATGCCGATGAGCCTTTTTACTCAGAAGTCTTGGGAAAACAGGAATCAGAATGATGGGCGGATTGCGATCTTTTTTTACTTCTTTTTTTTTTTTTTTTCCACTTCTGTTCATGTCATGGATATTTCTCTTATTTTCTTCGATATCTCTTGAAATTTGAATCGCATATCATACTGCAACTTGTTGTTGCATACTTAAAAAAAAAACAACTTTCCCCTCGTAGATTTACTCAAATCGACCCGCAATTTAGATAGAGAATGAGGACAACACCTTGAAACATCTTGGCTGGCTCGATCCATGGTTCCCAATTTGCTCTCTTTGTGCTCCCTTACAACTGCTTACTTGCTCCCCGATTACCCCGGAGTCCGGCCATCTGATCAAATCCTCCGGCTAGAAGGTTGGAGCAGATGACTGGCTCCTTCTGGATATCATTAGCCTTTTCTACTTAGAATAATTTATTCAATCTTTAGTGCTTATCGAGATCCCCAAACAGGAACGCCCGTGTTCTTCCTAAGAGTGACATGCCTGCTAATGTTTACTTTCCCATTTCTAGGAGCTCGATTTGGCCATACCGTTTGGCTATTACACTTCCCTATACTTGTGACTCTACCCCCTAGCCTACCTCTTCCTTTCAGTTTCTCTTTTATTCTTTTGCTATCTCTTTGTGTGCTAGACCTCAAAGGAATAAATATGCAAAAGTTGGTCAACAGGCTGTTGCCACTCAGAACTTAGTGTTGGATTGTGAATTGTGCCACCAAAACTTCCCTTTTATCAACATATTTGATTTTTCTCTAGTCAGGCCTATCATGCAGCTCATACTCATTTCAAACAAAACAAGTAATGCCTCATGCAAAACAATTACCTTTCCCCCTCTGTTGCATACAGCCCTAAGTTGGGCAATATCAACCCACCGCCTCGACCGCTCCACCGCCCTCATTGAGATTCGCCGAGCAAGTCGAATTGGCGACGACCAAGACATCACATAGACATCGACGCGAGACACTTCAAACAACATTGTCTCAGTCAAAATTACTCCATCTCAAGCGGAGTCGCGAAAACAAAACCCTCTTTGAAGCTCCACGTCAACAAACCATTCCCGCACCCCTCCTACCCCTCAACAAGCTCCGAATCCCACCTCCACAGCCATAATGTCGATCCCCAACGAAGCTCTCCAGAAGGTATGTTGAATCAATTTCACAACGCCCTCTCCTCCAGACGCCACGACCGGGTGATGAACCAGAATACCAAGGTCTCACCCGGTCCCCCGAACCGTCTCACAACCCCATTCAACACACCAACGGTATCAGAATCCCCAAAGCTAACAAGAAACCCCCCAAACAGCTCCTCCAAGAAATTGAATCCCGTGCCATCGCCTCCCAGCAACAAATCAGCCTCACCAAGGCGCACATGACCGCCAAGCAGCGCGACATCCGCATGCTGCAACTCACATCGAAGGAACTATCCGAGCTACCCAGTGAAACCAATGTCTACGAAGGATGCGGAAAGATGTAAGCGCTGCGTTCAGAATTCTCCACACCGGTGTTTTCCCATCGGAACAGCCATCCCGCAACCCGAACCCGAACCCTGAAATTCCACCCGCGACCGCTCTTTGAATTTGTGGCTGATGGCTGACCCCCTGTTCCAGGTTCGTCAATGTTCCGGTCGATACGGTGAACAAGCGCCTTACGCGCGAGAGCGGCGAGGCGGCTGCGGAAATTACCAATCTGGAGAAGAAGTTGCAGTACCATGAGACGACGAATCAGAAGAGTCGGGAGAATCTGGAGCAGATTTTGAAGTCGGGTCGGGCTTGAGCGGTGGGGATAATTTAGTTGACGTTGAGGTCGGTTGATACGGATGAGCTTTCGGTGATATACGTGGTGATACCGGTCGTTATACGTTATACCGGGGCAGGGTACAGTATCACCGTGCGGACCAAATCTGATCCAATAGCCAGTCGGACCTTGGAAGATGGGCTCGCGCAGTCTTTTGTTTCTTGACTGTGTGTTTCTTGACCGTGGATCTGCCACACATTGTTGTGCTGAATGGTGGATTCAGGACTTCATCGTCTCGGAGCTGGTGAGCTTCCTTGGACTGCAAGGGGTGGATGCATACATATCCGGATTGCACTGGGCTGGCCTGGTTTGGTCGGGCTTCTAGAAATATTTATGCGGCGACTTGGATACCCCGGAGTTGTCGCTTGCTATGGAGTACTTTTTTTTAATTCAACCTGTGAGGTGAGAATCCTACCTGGGCATGATCCCGAAGTCCCTGGTATTTGTGTTTCCAACCTTGGGAGATGTGCCAGTATGGTTGATCTGCTTTCCTTTGTAAGATCTTGAAATTTGTGAATGCTCTCGGCTCCTGATATGGTCAACGAGGTTGAAACATGCAGGTCGATGCTCTCAGAATCCGATGCATGCTGTAGGTCTGGTGGATAGTGGGTCCATTCCGATCTTATCATGCAGCTGTCGTCCACGTACGGAGTAAGGAGACGTGGATCCTGCGAAACACGCATTATACATTCTCCAACGCTGATCCGACATAGGGCTGAAGTCTAGAGTGTCCAAGGTTTGAACCTTGGAAGTGTATCAAGTATGAAGAGTATAAAGTGCATAGACTAGTGTGCCAAGTATCCAACCCAACGTCAAAATCGGCAGTTTCAGTCGGGTATATCCACATCTAGAACCTTGGAACCCGAACAAAGGGACTTCAACAGTCTCACTATTGACTCTGACTATGACTATGACTATCTACACGCATGTCCAGGTGCCAACTTGAAAATATCATGTGCGCCGTTGTCGTCATCTCCCACGGGCAATAGATTAAAATGACGTACGAGTCTGGGCATTCCCGAGATGGGTCAGACTGACGTCTCGTGAAACAGTGAAAGCAGTGATGCAGTGGCGAAAGACTGTACATAACCTTGGAACATACAGGGCATGGAATATAGAGAATTACATGTAGAAATGCATATGCTCTGCACGGTGAAGATCCTGATCCCTCGCTGCAGGGATCTCCGCGTGGAAGTACGGAGTATGCGATGCACAATCCTTCTTGCGTATAGTTTTAGGTAGCTCGGATGGCGGGGTCGATCTGTGCAGAAGATATAAAAGTAGGGCTTGAAGATGAGTGAAAGCTTACATTTGGCCCGGTGGGAGTATGAAGTATGGTGCATTGCGAACTATAGGAAGTATGCGAACAAGCGATGGGAGTGCCTTGTCGGGGAAGAATATTACGTCAGACGCTGTGACACGGCGGATTGGAAAGAACAAGAGCCACGAGGTCGTTATTTTGTATTCCGATCGAATATAAATATAGAATATAGAATATAAAATATAAAATATAAGAATATAAGAATATATAGATTAAGAGAATATAGAAGAAATAGAATAGTAGTAGTTAGAGTAGTTAGAGAAGAGAGTCGAGAGTGCCATGGCTCACTGAGCGGGATGCGGCCCCCAACCTTGGAACCAACACTCTCCAGGGCTATTCCGTGGAACGACTTTGTTGACTTCTATTTACTTCCTGCACGGAGTACAGAGTCTCAACGATCTACAGAACCTAGAGTAGGCAAACTTGAAACACAAGGCCCAATACAATCAGGTTCACATCGACCAAGGTTCTCACAGCGGTATCGACAGGGATTGGCGCAGAGGATCCCGCCCCTCCTGGAGGTGCAGCGCCGATGCCCAATGTGCGGTCTGGAAAGACGCTAATCATAGGGCGCTACATGTACATCGGTCACTTTGCGTCGAGTTGGTAATCTCCAGAGTGGACCCTGATGTACATTGCACTTGGAGAATACGAGGGACATCTACTACGGAGTTCGCACAATAAAGAAGAGAGAGAGAGAAAAAGAGAGAACACACCCTTATCGATCACGGGGAATAAGAAGGATACAGAAAGGGACAGAAAGGGAGACGAATAATGGCCGATCTGTACGAAGTAAGGCGAGGCGCCATGAGGCTGAAGTGCAGTCGAGTCGAGAAGAAATAAAATAAGAATATATGACAGCTGAAATAAATAGCCCCCACGGGCTATTTCTATTCTTTTCCTCTTCTTCCTCTTCCCCTCTCTCTGTCGATCTCACCTGAGACCAACTTATTGTCTTGTCACTCTCCTTTTTGCATTTCCCATCACCCGCCACCTGCGACTGACACAATTTCCCCACTTCGGCCCCCTCTATCAGAAGGCCTCCCAACTGCGACCACCTCGCACCCCAACATGCCCGTAGAAGCCATGTTTCCCGACGAATTTGATTCCGACGGTTCCTACTCGGAAACCGACTTCGACGTCGGCCGAGGCGCCCACCGCGCCCACTTCCACCAGCGCTCCTCCTCGCGCCACCGCCGCCGCTCCCCGCGCGCCTTCCTAGTCCCCGAGCAGACCTCGCGCGTCCACCGCTCCGCCTCCACCGGCGGCCGTCACCGAGGTCGTGAAGGCCGCGAGCCCGGCATCCCCAACATCAACATCTTCAACGACCAAGCCGTGCGCTCCGACAACCGGCCCGAGAACACCCAGTCCTCCCGCCGCGTGCACCAGCGCTCCACCGACCGCCACGACTTCCACGACCACCACCGCAGCCACAGCGCCAACCATCTCGCCGACGATGACTACGTGCACGTCGGCGGGCCCGCCCACCAGCCACGGCGCGAGCGCGCCGTCAGCGGCGCCAGTTTCTCCCGGGACCCCTCACCGTTCCACCGAGACTATGAACTCGTCATGGGTCACCAGCTCCTCGAGCATAATGATATCCGTCAGGATATGGATCTCAAGATGCTGAAGCATGAGACTGAGAGGCTGGAGCGGGAGCTGCGAAGACGGAACCGGGCTAATGAGATGGGGACCATGGCACCGGGACCGCCCGCGCCCCCACCGCCTCCAGCGGCACCGGCGCCCGGGCCCGGGCCTGTGGAGCGGGTGATTGACCCGCTTGAATCGCGGTACTGGAAAGACCGCGAGAGACGGTATGAGGAGATGCTTGCTGAGAAGCGCCGTGTGCAGGAGGAGTTAGAGCGGGCGCGGCTTGCTGAGGAGATGGAGGCGAAGGCGGCGAAGAATGCGCGGTTGAGGGAACTTGAGAGGGAGGCTGTTAGTAAGGAGGAGCAGAGGGCTGCTGAGGAGAGGTGGCAGATGTCTCGGTATGCTGCTGATCGGAGGGCTGCTGAGGAAGCGGAGGAGGTTAGGAAGAAGTTGGAGGATGAGAAGTATCGGGAGTTTGCGAAGCGGGAGCAGGAGAAGTCGTCGCGGGAGAAGTTGTTGAGGGAGGAGAAGTGGAAGCAGCTTGCTCAGGAGAAGGAGGAGGAGGAGGAGAGGGAGAGGGTGATTCAGCAGATTCGGGATGAGGATGCGCGGAAGGCTAAGGAGGCTGAGGCGAAGAAGGCGAAGGAGATTGCTATGAAGGCTGCTGCTGTTGAGGAGTGGAAGCTTGAGCAGGAGAGATTGGCGAAGGCGGCTGCTGATGCTGCTGCTGCGAAGGCTGCTGCTGAGGCTGCGGCTGTTGCGGAGTGGAAGCTTGAACAGGAGCGCATCAAGCAGCGGGAGGCTGAGGCGGCGGCGAAGGAGGAGAAGGCCTTCCGGGATCGTCTCAAGAGCATGGGATATTCCGACGAGGAGATTGAGAAGATTGTCAAGGGGAAGGGGAAGGCCGAGGATGGTAAAGATGGCAAGGATGGCAAGGACGGAAAGGATGGCCATGCTCCTGGCCATGGACCTCCGGACCACAAGATGACTTGGATCAAGGTATGTGAATGAACATCTGATATCTAGTTTCCACTCGAACGTTTCGCTGACCATCACAGGTTCACAAAGACCACCTCCTCATCGAAACCTTGCACGCCTACAACCTGCCCTGGGACACAGACCCTGTAAGAAACACCGCACCCTACATCAGCACGGAGAGCCGAATGCTAACATGAACTCTAGCACGACCCCAACTACCTCGTCATCAAGCAGTGGATTTCCGAAGACTTCCAAGAGGAGCTATTCGCACACACCCGACGCCTGCGTGACAACAAGGTCATTGCCCAGACTTCCAGTTCCATGACCGAGCTGAGGGTCAATGATCGCAAAAAGGACAAGTTGTTCCTGGTCCGGAAGAAGAGTCCCAAGAGCCGCTTTATCTTCACCTGAGTTGGCCGTGTTTGAAATGATTGATGCTGGATCAGAATGATCAAAATGATGGACATGCTTATACATTTGGTTTCGGTTTTGCGATTTTCTTGGATTTGAACTTGTTTTCTGTTTGGTTGATGTTAAGCTGGGATTTGTTTGGTTTCTTTTCTTCGTTTACTTTTGTGTTTTTGGCTTTGATATCACAGAGTATGTGGTAGTATAGTAACGCGATATGATTCTATGACCTTTTTAAACTCCTTATCCTGCGAATATGTAGTCACTAGGTTCTATAGATTAAGCATCTCTCGTCTCAAATGTGGACTACTTAAAGCGATCCAGGTAAGAAAGGTCGAAGCCATGAACAAGGGAAGAGATGTGATCGGAGATTATTGGACATGCGCAGATGCAGTACAGTACATATGCCAGGTCGGAGCTATGTACGCACCCTCATTAGGGCAAGCTCGATGCAAGGTAGGCGCGCGGGTGCACGGACACCAACGCAGATCGAAGCCGTGGAGAACTTTTGAGGATGAATGGACTATGATACAAGAGTGGATATGAGTGTTGGTGCCAATGGAGCAGAGTGGCGGTCAGACAAAGCCAACCGCCAACCTAAAGACCCATCTGGTGGTTCGATTCCCAGCGCTTTTCAGCACGCAGGATCAACTCCTCGTAGACGGTCCATGCAAGCGCCGAGCTAATAGCTTTGCGGCCCATACGGAGACCGAGTCCACCAAAGAGACTGCGGATACCGTTTTCGCGGAGCATTAGGCGCGTAGCATGGACCATGTTCCCATACTTGGCCGGCATGAGCTGAACTCGTGTCTTGACAGCGTCGAACGGATTAGTGATCGCAGTCGCCATTCCGGCAGCCGCGGCACCAGAGACAAAGTTTATTGACGAAGATGAAACGCCGGGTGCCGGGGAACCGTCGGATCCCGATTTGGTGGTCATCAGAGCGAGGCGACGTTTCAGCTGCTCGTAGAGGAGGACGTAGAGACCAGCATATGGGGCGTCGCGAGCAGCAGTTGCACCGAACCCGGCAAAGAGGCCACGGAAACCTTCTGTGCGGACTATATCTCGGCCTGCGCCGAGTAGGCTGCGGTATGCGTAGTAGTCTGATTCGTAGCGGACCTTGAGGACGGTTACGGGCATCATGACGAAGCCTGCGGCGACTCGGGCGACGGCTCCGGTGGCTAGGTTGGCGGTGTTGGAGAGTTTGGGGAGGACGGAGGATGACTTGGCGCCTGTCACTGGGCTAGCTAGAGCCATTGGGTTGCTCTGCGCGACGGCTTGGCGTAGTGAGTTGAGGCTGGTGAAGTAGAGGGCGGAGCCAAAGCCTGTTCGCAGGGCGGATGGGAGTGTGCCGCGCCATAGACCGCGGATTGGGTTCTGGGAGGAGAGGATTGCCTTGAGGGTGGGGAGGAGGGCGGCTCCTTGGGATTGCTGGACTCGGGTCTTGAGGAGGTCGGCGGGCTGGAGGAGGATGGAGGAGGTGAGGCCAGAGCAAAGGCCGGCTGCAAAGTGGAAGGGTGTTTTTGAGGCTAGATGCGCGAATCGAGTTAGCTGGGTAGGCTCAATTGAGGATCTTGAGGTCGCATACTTGTCGAGGTGCTTGTTTTGACCTGCGGCACCGCTATTGTGCCGTTGTTCGACATCGTGCCGGTTCTCAAGCAATCAGACCCCACGCCTTGGATGGGAATTGACCGCTAGTATGAAATATGAAGATGAGTCGATGCCAGATCGAATCTCATCGGTATTCCGAGTGTGGTAGCTTGGACGGCGCAAACGCCGGAAGCGTAAAAAATGAAATATAATTGGCCCAGACAGTTACGGGCAGCATCGGGCAGCGGCAGCTTGCATCCCACAGAATCTCAACACACAGAGGCAATCGAACAGGGTCCGGGGGTGTCAATTGTTGGTCAAGGCTCAGATGTCAGGTACCAGAAACCTCGGGTAGACGTTGGATGGTGAAGTCATCGGGATCTGCGGCCTATCGATAAGCCTTCACCGCCAAGAGATTGACTACACTCGGGCAACCTTCGAAATGTGTAGTTCTCCGGACCTTTTTCCAAATCTCAGCTATTGAAGATATAGCCTTTGTATACGCAGAGATGCCATCGAGGACCAAATGCGGTTCAGATGTTAATGGCAACGACATGCAAAATAAAAAATTGAAACCGGGTGCGAGTCTTCCAGGGTTATTCTCAAACACATTCCTGATGTGGTCCGTGGATATAGAAAGAATGGCGCTATGGAGGCTTTTTAGCCCCATTTCACGTGATATACTCGAAATGGACTGCAGCCCAACCCCGCATAAGCTGGGTGGCTCAAGGGTGGCACTGGAGATAGTAGCCAGAAAGGTCATCGACAGCTTGGCTCAAGCATGGAGCCGGTAGGTTTTGCAGTCGGCATGGTGGGGCTAGTTGGTTTATTCAATACCTGCTTGGACATTCTCGACAAGTTTGAATCGTGGAAGGACTATGGGAGCGAGTCTCGCGCCTTGACGGCTCAGTTCAGCGCTCACAAGATTCAGTTGGAGCGATGGGGCCAGGCCGTTGGGCTTGGACCTGATGGGCTATCGGATCAACATGACAAGTTTCTCGATGATCCGCAGATACTATCAACGGTCGAAGAACTTCTCTCGGCCATCAGAGATATTTGCCGCTACCAGGAAGAAACTGATTCAAAATCCAAGCCGGCGTTTGACGGGCACACTCATTCCCTGGCTCCCCTCGAATCTAAACGACAGAAGCTCAAATGGGCATTACGAGACAAGGCAAAGCGAGCCACACAAGTCGAGCAATTCTCATCGATTGTGCAAACATTGCATGCATTGGTTCCCATAAAAGATGGAGGCTGTAGCGTGATGTCGAATCACGGAGAGCTCAACGATTGCGATGAAACCTTTGGGCATTTAAATGGTTCGTGATGAATATACTATAGCGTCACCGGGCCCAATCTAACAATTTCTCTAGCTGCTTACCTGGCTCCAGGGGGCTGTATCGCTGAATTTGAACGCGTTCTGCGCCGAATAGAGAGCGATATTCAAGGTATGCTCTCTACTTCTGCCTACTGGACCTCATCTTATATGTGAAGCCGAAACAAAACGAGATTTGCAGACATGGCTGCTAGGAAATCATCTCCCCAACGATCGCTACGAGCAATATGTGGAAAACAGAATGGTCAGCACCTGCGAATGGGTTATGGATCGGGATTGGTTTCAAGAGTGGTATTCGTCTTCGTTTCCAAATGGAAATTCCAAATTTCTTTGGATCAATGGCCCGGCCGGGTTTGGAAAGTCCGTCTTATGTATGAAGGTCATCGACTACTTGTCCTCCATGTCGGACGCACCGGTCGCTAGTTTCTTTTTCTCTTCCGACATTGAAAGAGAAGATCCCTATGTGGCAATAAGATCATGGGTATCTCAAGTGATGTCTCAACCTGCGGCGTTCTCTTTGGTTCGAGAACGATGGGAGGCCCAGGAAAGACAAAAAGCGACACGGGGAGACGTTGTCAGCCTTCTACGGGATATCGTAAAATCTATCCCAGGGTGCACCTTCATCTTAGATGGACTGGACGAATGCATCTGGCAGAATGGGAATAAGACGACTGGTCATGATGACCTGATTCCTGGCTTTATAGAGGCGCTGATGCAAGCTACTGCAGATGCCGCTGCTCGTGTTATGATCGTCAGCCGCGATGAGCCCGAAATTCGTACCTGCCTTCATGACCAATCGCATGGTGCCTCGCTTTTCGAGCACAAGATCACGCCCGATGACGTCCAATCCGATGTCTTGTCTTACTCACAAAAGCTTGTCCACGATGAACTCAGGAAGAGCACTGCTGCAGCTAAAGAAAGCCTGAGTCAAAAGCTGGCAGATCGGTGCAACGGCACTATATATCTGTTGTACGATTTTAATGTCACTTATGGTATCTTTAGTTCTATCAAGAATTTGTGGTTAGACTATTTTTAGGTTACTAGGGTGCTGAACTAAATATAGATATCTAAATCTGGTGGTTATATAAATGTGTGTCTTTGTTGGGTAATGTTTTATGACGATGTTGTGATAGAGTTACGCTATTTATGGCGAGTTTTTGTTAAAGCTAGTAAAAACATCATGCCGTTTGAACTTATCGTTTGTATAACTGCTTAGAAAGAGCAATACGATCTATACTTGTTGTCTGATAATGCTAAAAAAGGTTTTCTCTAGATCTTTAATTAAGTATTAATTAGCTATTGAAGCTCTTTTGTCTTATTGAATTTATTATAGGCGTGTTTTGTCTTGAGGTTATGAAGGAAGTGTAAGTGGAGGAGTCCAGTTAGTACTAAATTGCATGCGTGATATAATTCTTTTCCCCATGTATTTGTGTTATTTTTCAGAATATGTTCTTGCTTTTATGGTGCGAATAACGAGGCTTATGTAGTCTAGTAACCTAGTGAGCATAGCTAATTAGAAGTCTGACTCGTGGCCATCGTTGACATCTGAAGACGATTCATATCTATTGATATGGATTGATAAGGATTGATGAGGATTCGTAGCTTCTAGTGTTGGTAGATAGGAAACTGTTGGGTCCGACCGGTGGTCCAGCCGGTATTGCGGTGCCAAAGTAACGTATTTGTAGCAAAAGTGACTTTCTGAAGACGACTTTTGAAAGAAGACACAAATAAGCTTTTAAAACACTACTTTGGAACCCAAGGGCCACGAAGCGCCACGGTTTGTAATCGCAAGAGCAAAATCACAACCTTGTTCTGCCGCCAAAATAGCTACTGTAAATGCCCATTTTCGGAATGGGTAAACTTGGATTTCCCACGGCTTGCTTCAGGACTGACTGGGCTGTCCCTTCAGTCTCATTCATCTTGAACCTGGTCTGATTGATCTCATAGCAAGGACACTAAGGTATAGATATAACATTGTCCACTCTGCAACTATTTCACCTGCGATCCTTTCTCAATCTCCTTTATCTTCGGCCGTTCGCTTCTCGCTGCTGGATATGGATATAAACAAGAAAGAAGAACTCTCTTAAGGTGGCCCTCCTGTCACTTTTCAGCATAATATGGAGGATATGACCCTCTCTTTGCAGGACAAAGTGAGTTTTGATATTTTCAGAACTCATCTTCTAGCCGACCCCTTGGCTTTAATTATGGAATCGTTCCCCAGGTCTCGCTTCTCTAGGCGAGGAGGAAATTAGTCGGCAAGGTATTACGATATTGCCCCCCTCCTTGCTGCCCTCACATGAGAAAGTTCTAGAGCTTTGCTGTATCTGTTTCCGGACTCTGTGATGTAAACGAGGCTTCCTCATAACCACAAAGATGGCCGATGACAACTAGCCGTGGAAGCACGTCGTGTCGCATCTCGGCCGAAATATTGTTTGAGTCAATATGAATGTCTCACATTAGCAAACCTCACTTCTCTCGAAAGATAAATCGAAGTAAATGTCTAAGAACTATGTTGCCGCTTCCACTTTCGTCAAGATCATTTCGAAAAACTTTACGTGTTCTCCTGGTGTAATCACGCAGTTCCTCTAGGCTATGAAAAAGCCGCACGTTACTACGCTCGCCTCTGCTGCGAGCCCAGTCAATCAAGTCAACAATATTGACGTAAATTCCCCGCACAGCCTATTTAACGACGTTAACAGAATTTGAAGAAAGGTCTGGTGACTTCTACTACCTTTTCGCAGTCAAAGCAAGTTCTTGGCAGGGGCTCAATTCTCACAGCCCGGCAAAGTGAATGCCAAGCGACTAAATCGTCCTCCGCTCCAAACCAGAGTTTGAACTCCTGCTTGAGAGCTTCCTGAAATCTTTGCCAAGCTTGGTCAGATTCATCTCCGCCTCTGTGCCAGCCATAGAATCTTTGTAAAGACAAGTATGATTCAGTTGGCGGTAAAATAGGATCATATACGAAGCCACTGAAAGACTGGAAAAATGTGTTCAATGGAGTCCTTGGCAGCTTAATATGCGCGGGCGAGTCTCGGAGATGCTGGTCGAGAGCGTCCTGGCTGCCAAACGACCGGTTGCAGGGATCGCAATCATACGATGGAGTGTGCGCGGGCGAGTCTCGGAGATGCTGGTCGAGAGCGTCCTGGCTGCCAAACGACCGGTTGCAGGGATCGCAATCATACGATGGAGCGTGCGCGGGCGAGTCTCGGAGATGCTGGTCGAGAGCGTCCTGGCTGCCAAACGACCGGTTGCAGGGATCGCAATCATACGATGGAGCGTGCGCGGGCGAGTCTCGGAGATGCTGGTCGAGAGCATCCTGGCTGCCAAACGACCGGTTGCAGAGCTCGCACCACTTCATAACAGCAGTTTGCTTGAACGCACCTGAGAGGGCAAACGAGACGTTTATTACGTTCCGAGCTACCCCGCATTATGAGCCCAAGTCTTGTATAGACGCAAGGGTGCCCAAATCGACGTGATCAATGTGCTCGGATTTGAGAGCGCGACAAGCTTTATTTCCGGACTGGCTAGGAGCTTGGTGCACTGTACCATGTGCTTGGTTCTGGTTCTCGACAACGGGCGTAAGTGTGGAGCAGAGGATCCATGATGGTCGTGATAGACGTCATCTATGCTGCGTGACTGGCTCATAGCGGATACGTGATAAGCCGACTCATGACCGCCCAACAAGGAGGCCACAGACGACTAGAGTGTTGCGATATACCATGATATTTACCACGAAGCCATTGGTTTGGGGACAGGGTCTGAAAAGTTGTGCCATCCTGGCATCTGCAGTCTCCAACTAGCGCCCGTATGAGAAGAAGAAGGATTGGTTGTTGGTAATAATCCAATAATGTTAGCTAGCTGAGATAGCCATTTTAAGTGAGTAATTGCTACTTAGTACAGACCCAACCCTCTGGGGCATACTGCCCTACAGTCTGAATGACTCAACGCCTGGTGCAAAACATTATAGCATCATGATCTTTGGAGAACTATCAGTTGGGAAGCAGCAAGTCTAAACATAGGTCAGATCTATTATCAGATCTATCATCACACGAATAAATTTGAATAGCTATAAAAATGGTATGAAACGAGCAAATATGCAAAGACACGGTGCCTTCGTAAGGTTTACTTCGACTTATATCCATTTTTATGCAATCTGTCGTCTTTAGGAAAAAGCTGTGAGTCCCCTATTTCCGAAATTGGCTTTCTTTAATGCCTTGAGCTGGGTGACGAAAGCAAAGTATTGAGGAGAGGGAAGAGAAGGAAGAGAAGAAGGGGCCGGGGCATCTGAAACGTGAAACCCTCAGGGAGAAGAGCGGTCGAGAAAGTCGTAGCAAGGAAAATATGTTTGACGTCGCCAATAATAAGTCTTTCCAGAGCTTTCATCACATATATTCAGATTACCTTCCACAATGGGCGCAAATTGTTTTTATGACCAGTAACAGAACGTGCGATCATTTATCAAACCTTCATTCCGACTCATTATCGGAAGCCGAGAACATGAATCGCCTCAAATGAGTTGTAACCACAGGCCTGGGCGTCAGGTGTAAAAAGCGGTTGAGCTGGACAAGAGTTTTTGCCCAGATTTTCCCACCTTCGCGCGATGACCATGCCGTGCATTTCCAGAAGTCGGTTCAAGGGTACGAGGGCGCTTCAACCATTTCACGTCCTCCAAGTCAATAACAACCAGACGGCTACCTAGGCCATCCCACAACATATTCCGCCACTTACTGTCGCCATGGACAACTCCATGCGACCGGAGCACGGTCAGAGCTTTGTCGCGCTCCTGGTGAAAGAATCTGGAATTCTTATCGTTGATGACATGCTGAAGACGTTTTCCAGACCAGCTCAGTATCATCATCTGCGCCATTAATTCGCCATGGTACCAATATGAGACTCGTGGCGTGAATGTCCCAAGATAGACGGGGATCTGATTTCCTTGCAAGCTCCTGAGGTGACAATAATTGTTTGCCTCCGCTTGAAGGCGATGCTGCTTCTCCATTGTGGTAGCTTTAATGACCACAGTGTACCCGTGTGATAGAAGGGTAGCTTTGACGAGGTTTTCTGTCCGATCATAGACGTGAAGCTGTTCAAACCTATGGTTTCGGTTTCGGGTGAGTTGACGGTGAAGCTGGTGTGTGAACTCCTGCGGTCTTATAGAGTGTCTCTGGCTGTCATGGAGTTTCTAGTTGGGGTATTCTTTATCCAGAGGTTCTTGGTTAACGATGCTGCGGATATAGGCAATTGTGTAGTAGGGTCGTGTAGATTGCCTATGTTTTCGAGAGGTCTATTTGCCAGCTTATGTGCTTTCGCTTTCTTTAGTTAATTAGCGGTTGTTATCTTGGCCACGACTCGACCTACTATGAGTCGTTGTAGCGATTAATGGTAAATACAATTCTTTATCACTACCACTACCTTCAGTTGACGAATGCTTTGAAGTAAACATGTTTAGTTTACAGCGAGTATGGGATCGTGTATTATGCGTCTTCGGCTTTAATTTCCAGTGCAAGAGTCGATAATTAGAGGCTCGTGGGTCTTTATAGAGAGTCTCGGAGATTTTTCTCAACACATCTAGGTATTCAATCTTCTAGGTCTTTAGTTTATCGTATACTATATTATACTATTCTTGAGATAGAGCTTCGACAGCTAGCACTTGAAAGGTAAATGCAAGCACCTAATCAATAGCGGTCTAGTGGAGGCGTATTTCGTTGTCCGCTTACACATTCTGGTTCAGGATATACATGAAATATTAAACAACTATTGGATCATCTTCTAGGATATAGAGAAAAACAAAAGCTTCTCCTATGTAGATATAGCCGTATTGGACCCTACTATCGATTATATATGAGAATATCTAAGTGACTATAGTGACGACAAGATAGGTGATATAAAACTCAAATATATCGCCCTTCTGGTCAATAACATTCCGGGCTAGATCTATATGGTGTAGACTAGCTACTAGTTTAGGAATTGTTACTTTATATAGCGCTTTAAACTCTAATGTATATACTAGTATTTGTCATTTATCAGTCACAGTATATACGCAGAATTGGTCAACACATTGATTGTGTTTTCGTGAAGTGCTATCCTTCTATCTTTACGCTACTTCTTTCACTTTTCCTTTACCTCTTCCACGCCTAATATTCGTTGGTCTTTGGGGTGTCTGTGTATCCTGAAGACTTATTTACCCTAGATTGTTCTTAAGCAAATTTTCCGATAGGTTTGCGCGATTATAGAAGGTCATTTAGTCTTGGATTCCAAACTTATGATAAAGGGTATCATCATCTTGTAAAGTATTAATAATCTTTTTGATAAAGTTATCGACAATGTTTTACTTAAAATTCTAAAATGAGGTTTCGGAATAGATCGGGTTATTCTAGATATTCGTAGCAACGTAATCGATTTGGGTATTAGAAGAGAATAGTGAGCACGAGGTAAAGGCAGCAGTACGGTCGAATTTACTCCAGACTTGCTCTTGGAGCTAGAGGAAGTCAGGCCAAGGAACTATACGCTTAGAGTAAAGTCGATTCACTAGGTCAGTCGCGTTGCTCTGAGTCGTAAGGGTCGCATCCGTCTCGACTCAGATCGCTTGAGACAGAGAGTCATAGCAGCGATTGAGGAGGTGGAATAGGTTATTGAGTTGGAGTTCCTGTTCTACCTCTTCTCGCACCAGTCTCTCTTCTTTCTCACGACGCTCCGCCTCTTCTCGTACCTATCTCTCCTTTTTAAGTTGACGTCGTAGCTCTACGATAGTTTCTTCCATTACTTGTTGAAACAAGTATTCAGCAGGTAATCGAAGTCTACATCATATGGGTTCGCTGTCGCGGAGTGGCCCGTCAGGGCGGAATGTTTTACCAGCTTACTCACCCCCTGGAGTATATCGTGCCTCAGGCACCAAATGCAACAAGCCGCTTTGGCCTTTTGATGCAATACTAGGGAATTGACAGTTGGTGTTGCTTAGTCACAATTATGCTGGCGTTTTGTATCCTTGTTTTCCAGAATATGCGTCGGCCCGATAGTTTCAGATTACTAGGCCGACCGTCTCGTCAGTAAATGGATGTATTCAGTCCTACTTCAAATTCTCAGCCAGTATAGTCACCGTGGCGAGATCATTCTCTCAGTTAAATCACGCGCAAGACCACGTTTTCTGTTCTTCAGTGAAAGCCGCTACTGCGAAGGATATACAGTATTGTATAATCTCGCTTTGAGTAATCTATTCGACCAAACTAGTAGTCAGCTAAGATTCTTCTAATATAGAGAGAAAAGAATAGCTTACCTTTCTTATTCTCTACCTACTCCGCGAAATATACTTCTGTATACTCTAAACTTTGATGATAAAACGACATGTAATCGCTCGTAGACTTTCCTAAAAGTAAAGGAACCTCTCTTCCCTGTCTGAGGGCTTAAATTCCTTATTAGGAATAGGCTCTATGGCTCTATGAGCGAGACAAATTAGTTTTCTTCACCGATCAGCAACTGTTATTTGCTGGAGAACGCTAGGACAAACGACATCTGCTATAGCGGCGTTTCGTTATCGGCTTTTTTGAGCTGCTTCGATAGTGTCGGAGCCCAAGAAGGTCGAATTCTCATCATGACGACTAATCACCCTGACAAACTTGACGCTGCTTTGACTCGCCCTAGTCGTGTGGATAAAATGTTTAACTTTGGGTATACGGATAAAAGCAGTATTGAAGCATTTTTTGTCTCATCTACAAACCATTCATTGAACTGGAGTTCACCAGTGTGTCATATATTACGACTCGCAAATTGGAAAATCAGCTAGCTGGAGCCATGAAAACCCAGAAGATCCTGGACCTGTCTATTGATTTTGCTGAATTGGTTCCAGCTGAGCAATTCATAGCAGCTGAAATCCAGAGCTACCTCCTAGGTTTCAAGGATGAACCGGAAGTGGCTGTTAAAGGGCGGCCGAATGGGTAAAAGATACGATGGGGGTGAAATCGTGCAGTAGTAATTCATGAGTGCGGATTTTTATAGAAATACGACAACTGGTTGGCTGGCCCACACAGTCACCATTCCGACACAAACCCTTGCCCTTCCTAATTTCACTGTTCAGTCTTAGAAGCAAAGGGCACGGTTATCCCCAGACTCACGTTGGTATGATTATGAGAGTCAGGCCATTGACAGCGGAACATATGTAACTATGTGGATGATTGCGAGCAATTGATTTGTCTCGCCTAAATGTACGGATGTAGCTACATAGAGTCAGATCATGACAATATTGTCTAGGACCTTCCACAAATCAGTTTCCGTATTACAATAAAATTCTTCTGTCTTTCCCATGTCCTAATTTTCACTCTCAACATTTCAGAAGAAACAAATGAATAAATACCTTTTCAAGCCGGACTTCAAGACAAAATGCTACGATCATGATCATGAGCTTCATTAAGGCCTCAATCTTGATAACTTCCATGATGCAAATAATCCAAATTCCTGGCCTGGTTCTTCTAAGCACGTTCGCACAGGTCTTTTACAGTAGACTACTTAAGCTTTAACCCAAACAACACTGGTGATCGTAAGGAGTTTGTCATTCGGAGTGCTGGTAGATGGAGTACTGGTAGATGGAGTGCTGGTAGATGGAGTGCTGGTAGATGGAGTGCTGGTAGATGGAGTACTGGTAGATGGAGTGCCGGTAGATGAGTTCGTTTTGTCCTTTTTCTCAATTGTAACACACCAACTACCAGTCTTCAATCCATCATTGAGTACACATGACACTTGGTTCCCAGTTTTATTGGTAAAGGTGACCCGTCCTGTGTGATTCACCTGGATCCAAGCAACAGGCGAGCCGTCTTCTGTACCGCATATGTTGACATTGAGCATATTCAATTCGGGACTATTGCCCTTGACGACCTCACTTAGCACTATGAATCGGAGGGGAAGAAGGTGGTTGAGGAAGAGTAGGTTCTGAATGGGGGAACTGCGGTAAATCAAAGGGAGCCATTGTCTAAAGAAAGACAAAGGCAAAGAAAGCGATGCATTGAGGTGGGCCGAAAAGGGCTAAAGGGGATTTTGGGGGAAGTTGTCTTTTTTTTCGTGATGCGCGACGTGACGCGCCGCATTTCATCCCCTCCAACCCTTTTCACTTCTACTTAACGGCTCACCCTTGTTAAAGGGAGATATCCACGGTCGATATACATTTGTTCTTTCTGCTCAGCTTCTTTCTAGGCATTTTTCAGCACTTTATGACTCTCTGCGCGCTCTGAACGCGTAAAATTGCCATTGCGGGGGCGGTTTTTAATGTCAACACCGCCAAATTCCAGCATCTAGTCGAGTATACCACCATACCTCACGCTTCGCTTCAGGGTATATCATGAATAAAACACATCGGAGCTTCCACCTATTCTGATTGACACACCGGACACTCGAATTTGGGTCGAAGAAGTCGGCTAGAGGGGTGAACGGCTCTCGGCAGTGAGATATGTAGCAACAAGGCCGACTGAAGAATAGGCAATCTTCGACTGAAGAATTGAAGATTGCCTATTCTTCATTATTTCCCGATACTGGCGAGGCTCTCATATCATACAGCCTTGGGGGTGCCACACGAAGAGACAGTAACATTGACTCTTTACTCTCTACTCCGTGTTCCGTACTCCGTGGCCCTAGTTCAGATGCGAACATGCCAAGATAATGTGGGAATGATGCCAAGGAACTAATGGTAATTTATGCTAGAGAAACTAGATTGACCAGGGTCCAGTACAAGTAGGGTATTGTAAGGGGGACTGAAAGTTTGATATAAACCTGCTCACAGCCCTGGGGACTATAAAGCGGTCCTTCTCTTGTAGCATGTGTAAAGTTGTTGTTATATTATGGAGTTGTGTGGGTCACAATCCAGTAATATAGATACAAGTCTAACCCTAATGCATAAGTAGTGCGTATCAGGATGACAGAACAATACCATCAAAACAGGTGCTCCAACACCTTCCAAGGTTCCAACGAGGCTGGACTTTTCTCCGTCCTCAACTCCCCTCTGAACCACCGCAACATCCAACCTTGGAAAGTCGACCCATCATGTCGCTACTTCGAAAGCCGATGAAGCAATACTCCTGGCTTCCAGACTCCATTCAGGACGTCTATGAGTGGCTCCATTACTGTGAGCCCACCTGGGGCTACACAATCTACCGGACGACCTACACTCCCCAATCCAATGCCGCTTTCCCGCGTATGGTCGACCTCACCACGAAGCACATGAAGAATGGATTCTACTGGGAATACGAATCTTCCCTTAGCTGGAGACCAAGGGCAAAGGAGTTCATCAAAACGCCCTGGGATGAAATCTGGCCCAATTACCAGCCACGAGTCATTCAAGATGCTTCCCAGTTCGACGGAGCATCGATCGACCAACTCCGCGAGCATTTCAGGGCCGACGCAATTAAGCGTGATGTGCTCGATATGTTTCCTAGCTATCGCATGTTTATTGTCATTGACGAAGAAAGTTTTCAAACGTTACAGGACGCTCCCTTTCCAGGGGACATGAACTACAAAGAGAGGAGACGTCATTACGTGAAACTCGGCGAGGCGTTGGAGGTAGATCCACATGAGGATTTTCCAGGGCATATGAAGTGTTCCCTGCCCTCGTTGTGGGAGGTGTGGACGGATATGTATGACGGGGGTTATATGAAGGACTGTGGTGCGATGATACCCGACGATTCTGATGTTTTGTGAATTTGTCATGCCATGTGGGACTGAGTACTACAGAAAAAAGACCCAAAATTCAATAGCTACGTATTGTCGGTTCTGCAACTGAAATGGTCTACTGAATTGAACCGCCTGGGCACTCAACGACCCTACCATTGAAGCCTTGGAACCCGATTTGAAAGTTCTCTTGTATGAACTATATACATCTATCTATCAATTCACATGGTTGCTCAGCTTCAATCCAGATCATCCATGTCAATCTTCATATCCGTCGCATCCGCCTTCATCTTATCCAGAGTCTCGATAGTAGGTGCGACATTGGATCCCGTCCTCACTGCCCACAGTCGTCTCATGTCAGCTATGCTGCTAAGGGCCCAATTGGTATTCGTTGTTCCAATATGCTGAAGCCGGTCTCGGAACCATTGATCCCACCAATCCTGGGCATAGACTGCATCATTTCCATCGGCGGTCCACTGCTGGTCTACTAGGCCCCACTCCCTGCGGATTTCATTTGAAGTGGCAACCATACGAGGACGTACTCGAGGATCATTCAGATAATTCATGACAGTGATGACAGATCTGATGCTTTGTAGGGCTTCGTTCGGATTATCGAGCTCCATTTGAGTGGTCATGTTCGCATATCTTGTGGCATCACGCCACATCTAGAAAATGAATCAGTAAAAGAAGCCCCCACGATTGAGCCAGGATACGGGGTTTCAAGGTCTTACCCGACTTTTGATCAAATTTAGGCCCTGAAGGAGAACAATGAAATTTTGTTCATTTGATCTGCTTCCAAGAGCATTCATGACTCTTACGAGCGGGGTTGACGATGCCTCCCCACCTGCCATTGGAGGTGCAACACGCAGCATGGGCGTGTTGAGGGCTTCCAGGAATGGACGAGGTAGGGCAGAGTTTCTGGGTTGTCCTCCAGTTGACAACCTTCCTGCGTAACCGTTTCTGAGGAACCCTTGAATCGTGTTCAGTTCAATGTAATGTTCCGCTGCATTTGGTCAGTCAAATCACAACAAGGAAATGAAGAAATGAGAGATGTCAAAAAGCTGGAGAGAACCCAGCCATATTCAAAGCCATAAAGGGGAATATTACCTGAATAGGGTCGCCTGCCCCTCGCAGTGGTGATCCTTTGACTCCCAAGGGTTGTATCCAGACATTCAGCCTCGCCTCGATACCCATATGCATGGTTCCAAATGGGGTGGCCTACGGCCCATTCACCACTGCTTCTATACTGTGATTTCCGTGATTTAGTCAGGAGTCAAATCGGAGGGGGTCTCTTAACATACCGAGAAAGATTCCCAGTTAAGGGAACCCCCATTGCGGAAAGGTACTTTGAAGGGCCGGGGACCCGCTCTCTTTTCCAAACTCCGTGCCTCGAGGTTGCCTCCGTCATCATCGTCGTCTGAATCCTCATCACTACAGTCTTCTTGTCCGTCTGGACAGCAGGATCGATATGCGTATTCGCAGCTGATCTCACTGTCTTCACCTCCAATCTTGTCGTCGAATATGTCCATGTTGCAGACTATCAAGGCGGAATAATCGACCATTCCATCTTCCTTCCATTCGGGGTTCTTCTTCAGCCATGACTGGATTTTATCGACCGCAAAATTCTTGTAGACAGAAGCAACGTTCTTGTCCCAAATTTCGATGGCTGCTTGGCCTGCCACAAGCGTGAAGCCGATATCGAGCATCAGACCGCGCATAGACTCATACGGCCTGGTATCAAAACGACGGTGTAAGACCGATGTGTGGTTGTATTCCCCAGAGGAGAGGCCCACAAATTCCATGCTTTCCAAATCGCGCTTGAAGTTGTAGGCATCGCTGCCGCAGTCTGGGTTTTTCATGAATGCTTTCACGTCAGACTCAAGGCGGCTTTCAGAATCAGTGTAGGATCGCTTCGTCTTCGTGACATAGTTCGCGCTACAGCACATGGACTTTCCACCGTCACCTTTGCAGCCGTCTCGGTGTTGATCCATGGCGACGCGGACCTTGTCATTGGGACAGCCGCTGTAGCAGTAATCTTTGACAACACCATCGGCAAGCGCCAAACCAATGTCGTCTCTCCATTCGCAGTCGTCCCATTTGGTCTTGTCGTCGTCATCGCAGCAGTACTTTCGCGTCTCCCAGGAAGTACCTTCATTGCCGTTCCAGGTATATTTGACGCTTTTCGCGTTGCAGTAGTTTCCACCACTGCCAGTCGTTGAGTTCAGGAAATATTCCATGTTGCTTGGGCACTCTCCGCTATCACAACCCGGCGCACTGCCAGCCCAGTCACACTGAGAGTAAAGCTTCATGCTGTTTGTGTCGGTTGTACAACATGCAGCCTGGTAGTCGTTGTCGTTGTTGCTGCAATGCTGGAAATTCGACCCAACTTCCACGTACCCTGACGGGCAGTCTGATTTGCAGTGACCGTTGTTATGCGTATACCAACCACACTTGGGCTGCTCAGAGTCGGGCGGACAGCAGAAGGTATGCTGTCCATCACCACCACATCCGGTGTTATCCCACATCCTCTCGTCCCCGCGAGCACCCTTGTCAGTGCGAGCGACAGTTGTCCATCCACTGGGACAGCTCTCAAAGCAATTGGTCCATCGACATTGGAGATGAGTCTTCTGGACTTCCATTGAGTCCTTCGTCTTGTCAAAGGCTAGTGAGGTGACTTTTCGGCCGGTCTTTTTTGCCAACGCAGTAGAAAAGTTGCCAGATGGGTGATCGTGAGAAACTGCCCAAACCATGACACCACCAAGACACTGGGATTTCGCAAAGTCGGTTTTCATCTCGAGGGCTTCCTCGTCGTCGTATGTGAGCCACTGATTGGTGTCAAACTTGAGTATCTTGACGGCAGCATCTTTGTCGAGTTTTGATGTGAGTTTTTTCTCGCTCATGATATCCTTGACTTCAGAGTTGAGTAGGATGCTAACTTCATCACTGCAGGGACCTGGGTTACCACCCGAGACGAAGGGGCATCCAGGGTCCATGCAGGCAGGGTCCGAAGCAGAGAAAACACGAGCGTAGAATGCCAATCCAAGAACCACCTTGTCGGAGGGGACGTCGTTACGCCAGATGAGGTCCATGGCATTTTTGATCTCGGTCAGATTGGTGTGCGAGTTGAGAACAGGATCAAGCCATTGGTTTCCCAAATCCCATTTTCCGTGAAGATCGTAGGACATTATGTTGAAAAAGTCGACATGTTTGTGTAAGTTTTCGAGATCAAAGTGTTGCAGATACCAGTATGAGGCAGGCAAGGTTATGCTAACCCCATCACGGCCACCTGTTCCTTTAAGAGACTTCTTGAGGTTGGCGAGGAATTTGGGGAGGTTTTTGAAGTCCTCTTCACGTCCACCGCGATCATCTGCAGTTGGATATTCCCAATCAAGATCAACGCCATCAAAGTTGTAATCAGTCATGAATGTCTTCAAAGAGGCAATGAACTTCTTCTGGTTTGCTTCTGAGCGTGCAATATCGGAGAAGACCGTTCGAGTTGGACCAGGATCATTGAAAGTCCATCCTCCAATGGCAATGAAGACTTTGAGATCAGGGTCGGCCTTCTTGAGATCGGTCAATCTCTTCATGAGCTTTTTCTCAGACTCGCTGGGAGCCAAGACCGCGAAGGATTCGGGGTCAACTGAAGCAAAAGCATAGTTGAGATGAGTGTATACTCCAACTGGGATCTGATCAGGATAGAAGACGTTGCATGGGCGATTAACGCTCCAGCCTTCGTAGTATCCAACAACTCGGTTCAAGCTGTCTTTGTTTGGGCATGAGGGACGCTTGACTTTCTTGGTGCCGCAAAAGTCCTTGGTGGTTCCACAGAAACCGAACTTGGAGCAGCAGACATTCAAGGGACATTTCTTAGACTCGGCATAATCGCCGTATTTTCCGGGATCGCACTCGGACTTTCTCTCGCAGTTCGCAACACAGTCGTCACCACAGACTAGAAATGAAGTGTTAGAGATTGAAGTTAAAAAAATTGAGCGAGATCAAATCTTACAGTCAGGTCCTAAACCGCAGAATCCAAATTTGTTGCAACATCCCTGAGCACAGGGTTTTGAAGCAGAGCACTCTGGTTCAAAATCACAGCTAGCGACACAATCGGCACCGCAGAAGTCATCGGTTATTCCGCAGTAGCCGAATTTGTTGCAGCAGCCGGTGGCACAAGGAGCGAGAGCACTGCAGCCTGCGGCTTGGGCATTCTGGCACAACAAGAAGAGACAAGTTAGGCCAAAAAGCCAGAGAAGGCTCCGATTGAAATGGAAGGCCCCCATTGTGCTTCACAAATCTTTCTCGCAGGGTGCGATCTCGTTTTCTATTACTTCTACTAAATTTTCTTCTATCATCCGGTATCCCGTACTCAGATGCTACTGGACGTAGCCAAGGCCCTCCTCCGTGTTAGCGTGAGGGATTAATCTCCTCAATTCTGATCCGGTGCTTGATAGTTCAAACTATTTACTCCGTAGCTGTGAAAAATTCTCCCTGCATGCATTTCTCAAGCGTAAAAACAATGAAGAACTATAGTGAGGCCCCATCGAGGCTGTTGTAGTACGGAGTAGAGTGGTATTCTTGGCGCAGTTCGCGATAGGGCTTGGTGGGCCTCTTGGCGCTCTTGGCGTCCTTGGCGTTTACCCTTACCGGCTGATCCGCGACAGATGTCAGTACTATATCGCGGTTGATAGAAATCGGAAAAGCTTGCTTGAACTTGGCGAAGATAGGCACGCCAGCATTGGTCTCATATCCTGCAAGTATGAAGCTCAAAACGAAGGTCTCTCGTGTCTGTCTCTGCACCGCTATAACTGGTAGCCCCCGGTGGATAATGGTATTGTCAAACGCTAGCTTCGACTAGCACAATACATTGTATCTGGCCCCCGATGGAGGCTCATTTCGCTTCTTCGCTGGAGCGTGCAGTAGCTTCGGGAAGAGGCTGAGACATCAATATGGCCAAGCCGGGTAGCGCATGCCAGAATCCAAAAATGGGTAACATGCGATCTCCTGGTTGGTTCAACGTGAAGAGGACCCTG